ATATACTTGAATTGATTAAGTATATGCTGTAGTAAAGGGGTAGGGTTGACGTTAATAGTGAATTTTTTTTTTGGCTCGTTATGTTAATGAGGATTTAAGGTATTAAATAGAATATAGGTATTAACTTCTTTAGTATAATATAGCTACTATTTAAAGGTTAGTTGCCTTATCTGCCTATCTATTATCTAATACTTTGAAGTATTATATCGTTAGTGGACCTCCTTTTCTTGGCTGTAAGCTATCCTCTTGACTGCTGCTCGTTGCCGCTGTTGCTCTACTTATATAGCCTTAGTTACTTGCTTCTTATATGCCTCTTTTATATCATTAAAAGTGACACTTAATATAAATGAGTGGCTTGGTGTTACGGTCAGATATCCGACAGTGGTGTTTTCTGCTAATAGGCAGCTGAGGTCGATACTCGGTAACAGTAAGGTAAGTCTTGTTGGTAATCTTGCTGGTCTGTTGGTGTCTGGTGATCAGTCAGGCACGTCTAGGCGTAGATAGCTTTATAGCTTCACAACAGAAGGATAATCTAAGAGTCACTTATGAGAGAGTGAATCACGAAGTTGATTGCTGAAGAGCTATGGAGAGTCTTTGAGCCCCAGGCTCAAGTCCTGTCTATATACTGATGTCTCCCTATCGTGATGCTGTTGATGGTGATCAACTAGAGTGGGTCCGGGGTGAGCTGCTCACTTGGTGATCGCTCCCAGTGATCACCTTATCTCTTGATCACTTTCTTATCATCACGTGATCTGTCCATAGTTCTTCCGTTCCGACCCTTGCCCGTAAGCGCCGTGATCATGCATACATGAGCCCGAATGTCCCCTGGTCCCTCGTGGGTTCGTTCCAGGTGGTTACGTTAACCAACGCTTTCCTGGGTCGTAACATCAGGTCTCCCCTCCAAAGGTCTAGCCCCTTAGACCTATATAGGTAAGTGGGTTCCCGCCGCGGGCTGTCCCTGGGTTTATCTCATTCTCATCTTTCTTCCACCATGTCGTTGGTGACTAATGCGGCAGAGTCAGACACTCTTAAATCTGGCAAGGCTTCTTCCACCAAGCGCCGTCTCGCGGATTCCTTGAGGATTCGTGAACACGGAATTGAAATCGAAATGCCGTGTAGTTGGTGTCGTTCCAAGGGGATCCGTTGCAAGATGCTTGCGGGTTTCCAGAAGTGTCAAGAGTGTACTCGCCGGGGTCGCTCTTGTGATGGGGATGATAATGCGATTTGCGAATGTGAGTGTTTTTCGTGGTTCCGAGGTGTGTGGCTTTCTAATGATCGTAGTGGATCGTTTGCTGAATGAAGCCGATCGTCTGGATAAGGCTGAAGAGCAGGAGGAAGAGTTGCTTCGTCAGAAGGCGGAGTTACTGCGAAAGCAAGCAGAACTGTTCCGTCTTGCGCAGGCGGAGATGGATGCGTCTCTTGCCCGGCTCGATCGTTTACGTAAAGAGAAACGGATGATTTTCAAGAGGGGTCGTGAGGCCGCTGCTGAGTGGCCTGCGGATTCGCCCGTCGATCCGGTGGTTGAGGCGGTTCACGAGGTACAGGCTAGTGGTGGTTTTGGTGCAATTGACCTGTCCTTCCTTGAGTCTTTTGATCCTAGCGATCCGTCCTGGCAGTCCTTCGGTGAGCTGCCTGTTGAGGGTTTCGTGGCTGAGGGTTCTGGGACTCGCGATAGTCCTGAAGGAGTTGCTGGGAGTGTTGGAGGTTCTTGACTGGCTCCCATGAATTGTCCTCGTGTCCGTATCCTTTCCATTTAATAAGATATTGTGTTTCTCCGTTTTCCTCTCGCTCGTCAATGATTCGTTCGACTTCGTACTCCGGTTCGTTTGGTTCCACGATGATGCAGTCGTTGGTGTTTGATCCTCGCGGTGCTGGTTCAAGCAGTGCGATATGAAAAACTGGATGTATCTTCATTGTGTCTGGTAAGTCGAGTTTGAAGTTGACGTCTGAGATTTTCTGAATGATTTTGAAAGGTCCAAGTTTTTTGTAGTCCAATTTGTCACTTGGTCTTTTCGTTTTGATGTTGCGTCGCAGAAGATACGCGCTATCTTCCTCTTCAAAGGTTGGTCCCTCAACCCTTGATGTGTTGGCGTATTTCTTCATTCGTGCCCTGACAAATTCGAGATCTTTGGTGGCATTCTCTTGGATTTCTCGTAATTTGTTGTAATCTGCCACAGCCTTTAGTGCTCGTGGTCCCTGTCGAGGTTCTCCATATGCCGTAGGCTCGAATCCGTAATTCAGGTAGAATGGGGAGTTCAGTGTGCTTTCTCCTATAGCACTGTTATAGGCGAATTGGGCCATTGGAAGCAATGGTACCCAATTGTCTTGGTCGTAGTTGACATAACATCGTAGATACTGTTCCAGTATCTGGTTGATTCGTTCGGTTTGTCCATCGGTTTGTGGGTGAAAAGCGGTCGATAGCTTGTGATCAGCTCCTAGTTGCGAAATCAGGGATTTCCAAAACTTGGATGTGAACAGTTTGTCTCTATCGGATACGATTTCCTTGGGCAATCCGTGGTTGCTGACGATGTATTTCAAAAACGCGTACGCTAGGTCTTCTGCCGTGCTTGACTCTAAGTACGGGATGAAGTATGCGTATTTCGTGAGTCGGTCGACAATGACCAATATGCTGTCATAGTAGGTTTTCGTGAGTGGTTCTTTTGACTTGGGGAGTTTGACGATAAAGTCCAAAGAGATTGAGTGCCACGCTTCTGGTGGCGCTGGTAGTGGTTGCAATTGTCCGTATGGTTTGTGTGGACTATTTTTGCTTTTCTTGCACATGTCGCAATCCTTGATTGCTGAAGCCACTTCTGCTCGAGTGACTCGTGCGTCGTAATGTTGTCGAATTCGTTTAAATGTTTTGGTAACTCCTTGGTGTCCGTGGGCCCTAGCACTATGAATCTCCATGATCTGTTCAGGTGTCATCCTGCCAGTCGTGCTGGTATTGACACGGGTACCGATCATAATGAGTTTCTGTGCTGGGACAAGGTCACCGTTCTTGTCCTCCTTGAGGATGACTTGGGTTTCTTCTGGTACCGGGGTTTCGTGGTCCGGTCTTCGGCTTAGGGCATCAGCTCTTCCGTTCTCAGATCCTTTGACGTAGATGATTCTGAAGTTGAATTCTGACAGGAATTCAGACCATCTGATCTGTCGTTTGTTGAGGACTTTAGAGGTGGTGAAGTGAGTGAGGTTCTTATGGTCGGTGTAGACCTTGACTTCATGTTTGGTCCCGGATAACTGAGGTTTCCATTCTTGGAAAGCTTCGATAATTGCCATGAGTTCCTTGTCGTGGATTTGGTAATTGAGCTCGGCTCCGCTAAGTTTTCGAGAGAAGAAAGCGCAAGGGTGTAGCTTTCCTTCATCGTCGCGTTGGCCGAGTTGTCCACCGATGGCGTAGTCTGAAGCGTCGGTTTCCAGTTCGAAGGGTTTTCTTGGGTCTGGGATTATCAGAACTGGTTCGGAACAAACTTGTTGCTTGACTTCTTCGAAGGCTTTTTCTTGTTCTTCGGTCCATTCGAAGGGTACGTCCTTTCTGGTGAGCTTGATGAGGGGGTTGATTTTGGCGGAATATCCTTTGAGGAATCGTCGGTAAAAGTTGACGAATCCCAAAAAGGATTGGATGTCCTTGACATTTTGAGGTCGGGGCCAGTCCTTGACGGCCGCGATTTTTCCATTTTCCATCCGGATCTTTCCTGGTGTGATGGTGAATCCTAAGAAGTCGACTCGTTGACTGTGGAATACGCTCTTTTCGGGTTCGACTAGTAGTTTGGCTTCTTGTAGTCGTTGGAGTACGGTGTGAACGTGCTTCTCGTGTTCCTCGGGGGTACGAGAGTAGATGAGTATATCGTCTAGGTAGACGACAACGAACACATCTATAAATTCTCTCAGGACGTGGTTGATCATTGTCTGGAAGGTGGCGGGTGCATTGGTGAGTCCGAAAGGCATGACTAGATACTCGAAGTTGCCTTTCCTGGTGCGGAAGCAAGTCTTCCACTCCTCGCCTTCCTTCATCCTGATCAGGTTGTAGGCTCCTTTGAGGTCGATGGCTGTGAACCATTTGGCGTGGTACAGCTGGTCTCGTAATTCTGAGATAAGAGGTAGCGGGTAGCAGTTCTTGATTGTAATATCGTTGAGTTGTCGGTAATCCACGCAGAGTCGTAGTTTGCCATTTTTCTTTGGTACAAACAATATTGGGTATCCTGCAGGGGATGTCGATGGTCGGATGTAACCTTTGCGTAGGTTTTCTTCGAGGTATTTGTCAAGTGCCTCGCGTTCCGTTTCATTCAGTCCGTAGATTTTGTGAAACTTCGGGTGTGCTCCTTCTTTGAGCGGGATCTCGTGATCGTACGAGCTATGTTCAGGCAAGCCGGTTTCCAATTCTTCAGCAAAGAGTTTGGTGTACTTGCGGTATTGTTCTGGGATCGGAGAGAGGCGTTCTTCCTCTCGTTGATCGTTGATGAATTGTTCGAATTGTTCGTCCTTCGTGGGCTCGATTCTTTTGACGTATGCGACGTATCTGTGTCGCTTTGATTCACTCGGGGGTTGCGGCTTGCAACGCTGCCTCGCAGTCGAATCTCTCCATTGGAGTTGGCCTGTTCTCCAATCTATGCTCGGGTTGTGTTGTCGTAACCATGGGATTCCAAGGATGACATCCATGTCTCCTATTTGTGCTATGTCGAAGATCAGATGTTCTTGACGGTCATGGGTAACCATAGAGAGTTGCGCGGTTTCTCTGTCAATGGTGCCTCCACCGTACTCAACTGTTTCTCCTTCCACGTTTTGCAGGGTGTATGGTTCCTCCTTGAATCTCCATGTGATTCCTCGTTGATTCACCAGTCGTGGTGACATCAGGTTTGCTTGTGCTCCACTGTCAATTACGACCTGAGTGGGCTGTCCTTCGATGTAGACGCTCAGAACCAGGTGTGAGGCGTCTGTCGTCGTGGCGAGGTATAGGGACTTCCTCAGTGTCGCCTTCTGCTGTCCCTGTGCAGTTGGCGTCCCTAGTTTTTTGAGTAGTGTCGGTGGGCTTGCTTCCCCTTCATGTCCACCGGTTTTATCTCGGGGGGGGTTTGTTCCCTAATCTGGGTTCTCCAGGTTTTGGCTTTGCCTACGTAATGCATCATACATTCGTCGTGCATGCATTTGGACCAGTGTTTGATCAGTCCGTTGTAGCACAGAACCGGGTGTTCCGGACTGGGTTGCATGTGTAACCAGCTCGCTTTGAATTCCTTGACTATCCATGTGCCGAGTTGGTGGTGGAGGTAGATCATGGGAATCGGCTGCTGCTTCCTTCGTCGAGGGAAGAAGTCGTTAAGTTCCTTGTCCTGGAGGTGGAACTGGCATTCGTCGTAGATGCAATCGGCCCAGAATACTTCGGTGTGGCGTGCGTGTTTTTGGTCGAGGTACTCGTGGTCTCCGAATATAGGTTCCTCTAGGACGGATACTACTGGTTTCCCGTCGATTCCGGTATCGTCTGTTCCATAGAACCAGACTTCTTGATCGTCCTCATTCTTTTCGTACTGTGGTCGGTACTCAGGGTAGTCCTTTTTGGTGGGCCAAGCCCTTTTGACCATCGGGTCGTCGCTGAAGTCGACATTCGCTTGCGCAGCTATTGGTTCGTCCGGGTCGTAATGAGTTGGGCTTTGGTTGGCCTCGTAGAGCTGTGCTTCCCTTTCACGGAAGACTTCTCGTCCAGGGTCCGATTCGTCAGAGGATTCTTCTTCTTCTGAGAATGGTGTGAATGTAATCGTCCTGGTTTTCTTCTCAATATCCTTGTAGGATGTCGATTGCGTAGAGGTTTGGCTTGATCTTCTGAGATCCATGAGTTGCTTGGCAGCCTTTCTTTCGAGCTTGCTCGAGGGTTCGAACTCATCAAGCGATTCCTCATGTTCTTCTTCAGAGCTTGTTTTCTCGCCAAGTACTTCAATCGACTCCTGGGGTGTGGGTTCCCTGAACCCGAGTTTTGGAGGAGAAAATCTGGGTCGTCGTGGTTGCTTCCGTCCCACGGCTACTATCTTAGTGGGCTTCCCAGGTTTGATGCTCCTTTCCTCCTTGAGAGCGTTCTCGAAGTCCTCCTCGAGTGCCCATTGTTTCTGGAAGTTCCCTTGGGCTTGTATGCGTAGTTGGAGTCGTTCCTCGATGACTTTCAGGGTGTCGGGCATACAGGGGTTGTCTTCCTTGCTTTGTGCAGCTTCCTTGGCTCGGATGAGCTTGGTGATTAGCTGTTGGTTTCGTTGCTCCAGTTGCTGAACCGTGGTTTGTTCTGGGTGGCCTCCTTTCTGGGTTCGTCGGGAGATTGCCACAGTTCTGGGTTTGGGCTGTTGTGGGTACCATCCGGCTTGCTCTTTCAGTTCTTGATGAACTAAACAGTTGTCGTCGAAGCAGGTGGTCCAGTTCCTTTGTTCGTGGGGAACTTCCCTTCTTGCTACGTTGGCTTTCCTAGTGCCTTCAGGTACGGGTCGGTTCTGGAGTCGCTTAGGTTGTTTGCAGTCTCTAGCTATGTGGCCGGGCTTCTCGCAGTTGTAGCATTTGAAGTCCTTCGGATCCCGGTGGTTCTGGTGAGGCTTCCTGGTTGCAGCACCAACGTCCATGGGTCCGCTGTGTTGCCCATAGGAGGTGCTCGGCTTACTGTGTTGTTGGTTGTTCTGCCAGTACGAGTTGGGTTGCGAGTTCCTAGGTCCCTGCGGCACATACTTTTTGCTGGTATTCGGCTGAGGGCGGCGTGCTTCTCCTTTTTCCTTTCGCCGTTCGTACAGCCTGGTATCGATTCTGACTGCGATTTCCACGTATTGTAGGAAGTCGTTGGGTCGGTCGAGCTTGGATAGCTCGTCTTTTACTTCTTCCTTAAGTCCTTGGTAGAACATGAAGATCTTGGTGTCGTCGGTGTAATCAAGTCGTGCGCAGATTCTTCGGAACTCTGCAGCGTAGTTGGTGGCTGACTTGGTTTGTTTGAGATTTGCCAAGTCTCGCTCGGCTTGTCGTTTCTCGTCTGGGTCCTGGAATAAGGATTTCAAGGCGTACTCGAATCCTGCGAAGCTCCCAAAGATTTGCTGGGTCTCTAGGTTGCAGTGCTCCAGCGTCTCACTGTCCAGGTAGTCTTCTAGGTAGGGTTCGAACCAAGAGAGGACTCGTCCTCTGAAGAAGGTGCCTGCATGGATGATTCTCTCCGTTTCCGTACGGAAGTTGCCAGAGTGAAACGTCTGGTAGGTCCTGACCTGTATCAAGAATCCTTTAAGCGTTCCAGGGGTCCCGTCGTAGGTGGTGGGGGAGTTGAGCTTGAGTTTTTCCCGCCCATCCACTGGGGTCGAGATGATGTTGGCAGCAGCTCGGAGAGTGCGAACTTCTTCCCTGAGATTGTTGGTTTGCTGGACCTCAGCCCGAAGTTGGTCAAGGAGTGCCGCGTTGTTGTTGAACATCTGTTGCATGTCCGCGATGTCCTTGTGGGCCTTCTTGAGTTGCTTGGCCATTTCAGCATTGTCGTCCTCGTCGCTAGAGGATTCGGCGCCCTTCATTTCCTGGTCCAAGCTCATGGGTTTAGGGGGTGCGACCGCCTTTCCCTTGGATCCGCTAGATGAAGTCGGGGTGGCTTTGGAGGACATCGTTACTGTTTGGTGAGTATCAAGGTCAACTTACTAAACAGGAGCAATCAAAGTGTTACGGTCAGATATCCGACAGTGGTGTTTTCTGCTAATAGGCAGCTGAGGTCGATACTCGGTAACAGTAAGGTAAGTCTTGTTGGTAATCTTGCTGGTCTGTTGGTGTCTGGTGATCAGTCAGGCACGTCTAGGCGTAGATAGCTTTATAGCTTCACAACAGAAGGATAATCTAAGAGTCACTTATGAGAGAGTGAATCACGAAGTTGATTGCTGAAGAGCTATGGAGAGTCTTTGAGCCCCAGGCTCAAGTCCTGTCTATATACTGATGTCTCCCTATCGTGATGCTGTTGATGGTGATCAACTAGAGTGGGTCCGGGGTGAGCTGCTCACTTGGTGATCGCTCCCAGTGATCACCTTATCTCTTGATCACTTTCTTATCATCACGTGATCTGTCCATAGTTCTTCCGTTCCGACCCTTGCCCGTAAGCGCCGTGATCATGCATACATGAGCCCGAATGTCCCCTGGTCCCTCGTGGGTTCGTTCCAGGTGGTTACGTTAACCAACGCTTTCCTGGGTCGTAACACTTGGCTTGACGGCTCGCTAGGCCTAGCTTCTTTGTTACTATGTTGCTAGTCTCTTATTATAGTCTTTGATATGACCTTGTTAGTACTTATAACTAAGAGCTTTCTTATTAATTATTTCCTTAATCACCTTAAATCTTTTTTTTAAAGGAGTATTCTATAAGCTGCTATATTTCTCCTCTATATAGTTAGTAATAAGTATAGCCTTATTAAAGTAATTGTTATATAGCAAAAAACATATAAGGTAAAATAATATATTAGCCTTGTTTTACTGTATTCTTTTTACTAATTAGGCTAATATAATATTGTCTTTAATAGGCTAGATACCTGATTTTTTAAATCTTCTTATAATATTTATAGCTGTGAAGGTAGTATTAGTTATATTGGTAAGAGTAGTAATAAAGTTGCCCCTTGTAAATGTAAGGTTACCATTTTGTATATGGTTGCAAAGTACCTTTTGCTGGGTACTTTTGAATGGCTGGAAGACCTTAATATCTATTGGCTAAAGGAAGTGCGTTATATAAGGCAAAAAAAAACCTAGGATAATGTCGAAGTTAATACAATACTCTATAAGCTCTATACTAATGTGGCTAGTAAACTTATTTAATAGAAATAGATAATATAGCTATTTTGACTTCTTAATAATATCCTAATAATTATGGTATTGTTGGTGTACTCTGTTTGGCTTACTATTAAGTAGATATAGGTTATAGTTGTTATAACCGTATATGTTAACGCCAAAATAGTCCTTAAGTGAATGGCTTATATAGCGATACTTAGCTAACCTTGCGTATGATTCAGTATTGAAGTGCTATATATAGTTTATTATAACCTCTTGGTTTGAAAAGCCAGTTATTGAATGCATAAAGTAGACACCTTCTTGGATCTAATAATCTGCCTAAGCAGTAACTGGCCACGTTTTGAAGATCAGATATCCTGGTATGCTGTTGCCCGCAGCATTGCCATATCTAACTAATGTACATGACTCTTGATTCGCAGAATTAATAACCTCTAGTAGGCAGTTGTATTTTAGTGGCCACTAAAATAGTATCACGTGTATCCTGCTGCTAAGGCAGCCGATTCGGCACCCTGACTCATCGGCGTTCCATATTTCTGAAGGGCCAAGATCATACTCTCAGACTATTGCCCAATACCGCGCAAAGAAGTCCTCTATCAGGGCAAGGTCCAGCTCTGCTCCCTTACAGTATATCTCAACCGGCTTAATAGCAGCCTTCTTCTGAAGCTCTGGGTAGTCGGCAAGCCAGGTACAGACAAAGTGCTCCAATACAGGGGGCATACCGCAGAGGTCACGCAGATAGTTAGCCGTCTCTTCGACCTGTATCGGCAAGGCTAGGAAGCCAGCTTCAGCAAGCCATATAACAAAGGCCGCAAGAGCCGCGTCTTCAGCGTCTATTATTGCCCGCGGCCGGCCACCTTCGTCTGGGCTTACGCGGAGGTCACCGCCAGCTCGCAAGGTGCAAAGATGCTTCTCAATCGCCGTATAAGATACTCCGTAGTCCCAGGCAGTCTAGCAAATAGAGGGTATAGGGGCTAAGTTCTTGCCAGCACAGCCGAATTGGCTTGCCCGTTGCTAGGCAGCAAATAGCACTTCGGCAGCCTTTTTGGCAATAGTCATATTCTTGTCACATAAGCAAGGCATATTAACTATGTTAGATAAGGATATTTAGTTTAGATAGTGTTGATATCTGTCGATAAAATATCCAAATAATTGATTGTTTTAGTGAGAATATAACAAAAGTCAGGACAAAGTGGGGACACAATGGCAACCACCTTTTCGTAGTGGCAACCCGGTTTTTTCGCCCCCTCCGTGAGGAGGGGGTGTTTAGCTTTGCGCGGCGCTGACTAACACCCCGGGTAATGACGTGACTATGATTTGGTGACCTTTCAAAAGGTGGGGAAGCGGTCCTTCGACGGCAGTCGGCCCTGGTCGGGATCCACCTCAAACCCGCACTTGCTACATGATAGCCCCGGAATACTCCGGGGATACCCGGACAAGCTACTTTCGCCCATGTGCAGCGTAGTAATTCGACCTCAAGCTCTTTCTGTTCCGAGTCATTTCTTGTTTGTAGCCAACATGCAACCACTATGAAGACAAACACCAACCCTGGCAGGTACGATGATCGTTTGGGCCATGGTGATTGGTAAGTGTTTAAGACGAGTGCGCGATTGATAAGATTCAATTCGGGAAGAGCTCTAATTCCTATACGTTAGGATAGCCTATTTTACTGCCACTATAACGTCGTCATCAATCTTTTGCGCGACTGGAGTGTATCTCCACCGACTAAAGTAAGCCGGTGTCTTCCCCTTGCCGCCGTTGTTGGTGGCGTACGCACCAACTATGGTACCTACAAATAGTATATTAGCAACAAAGCATCTCAGAAACTGACTATATGTGCTCACCGGTGAATGGCCCGCTGCCGCCTGAAACGACGAGGGCGCCAGCTGTGCCAATTTCTGTGTACTCTTCTGGTCGTGCCGCCGGAGCCGCGCCGAATACATACTCGGAGTCAGTGACAGCTGAGACTGACAACCTTATGATTTCTGATCTCCACTCTTTTGGCACGGGTACGATGACAGTCTCGGGGACGGTGATGTTTGCCTTTCCTGATGCCTCAACTCGGAATCTGAATCTCGGAATAAAGGTTGTGCCAGAGCAAGCCGGCAAATTGACTACACCTAAGTCAATGTGCTGCGCCTGCGTCAGAAATACTGAGATGCCCGCTTCTTCTTCTTCGACTTCAGGATTGAAGGAAAGATCGACCATGTAATTGAATAGAGTCGCGCTTTGTTTACGAGCTATGAACCCAAGACCATCCTCTTTGGGCTCGAAATCCGGAGTTGCGGTTAGGTTGACGGGCGAGGGAAATACTTCCAATGTATTCGGATGGCCTGGTGGTGAGACTGCAAAGAGCGAGGTCTTGGGTGGGCGCCAAAAGAAAAAGTGCCTCGGAAGCTCTGAATCTGGCTTGAAGTCGACGATATCAGGTTCGTCAATCCAATGGCCAGTTCCTGGGACGTTCTTATTCACAGGTGGAAGTGGCCCCGTCATTGTACCGTGAACCTTGTCGAGAACTGGCCATTGGTCCTTTTTCCAATCAACTGCAAAGAGAACGGTTTCACGACCCATCGGGTAGATCTCCCACGCAGGGCCAGACCTTGTTGCCAGTGCGACCCCCACCAGTTCCCAGAAGCGTCTTGGAACAAGTCAGCATGCCCAACCGTCTGGAAATACAGATTCGTGTTCTTCGCCGTGAGGATAGGGTTGTGTGGAGCGCCCTCGTAGGGGCCAGATATATCTTTGGACCGAGCAAGAGTAACGGAATGATTTGTTTCTGTACCCCCTCTCCTATCAAGAGGTAGTAGTAGTCATCTTTGCGGTATAGATGCGGCCCTTCGGGATTGCGGTCACCAGTCCCGTTCCAGACCTTGACCGGTTCAGTCGCTGCGCCGGTGGAAAGGTCAATTTCGCTGCTGTAGATCCCAGCAGCGACTGACATATAAACTTTTCTGTTGTCCCAGAATATGTCAGGGTCAATGTCGTTTGCTGGATTCTCGACGCGTAACGGGCCCGTCCAGGATGCATCGTTGTATGGGTCTATAGTGGTGAAAAGCAAGATTTTTGGTCCCCATTCGGCGTACCAGGACACGTAAGAAGTAATGAGGTAGAAGGTCCCATTGTGGAAACGGATTGTGGAAGCCCATATCCCCTCGCTTTGTTCTGAATTTCTATACAGCTCTGGTAGTTGTTCAGGCCGCGTCAGGGCATTACTGGCGAGCTTCCAGTTGACCAAGTCTTTACTGGCGTATAACGGAACGCCTGGAAAGGCCAAGAACGACGATACTGTGCAGAATAACGTGTTATCCCATTCTTTTACGAAAGTGCAACTAGGATCTGAGTTCCACCCAGGTAGAATCGGATTGGTGAAGGTCTTGTTGACCTCCTGAGACAAGCCTTGACCCGCCAGGGTAATGGTTGACAGCCAGAAGAGGCTGAAGATGTGCATTGGTTTTCTGAATGTTCCAATTAGGGTGAGGCTTTCTGACTGTGACCTAACGATTTCGACCACTTGGGCTCAAAGTGCGTTGAAATGACTAGCTAGATATATATCATTATGGCGTACCCGGGTCTCCAAGACGCGGTGATGTGTTGCCAAGTAAGATGCTGCTTTCTTGTCAACTGATTTAATTAGGCGCGAAAGCGAGAGCGATCCCATTATTTATTCCGTGATTTCTTCCGCCAATTCAATCTTTGACACGGCAATTCCTTTCAGATAGAAGGGGCTTTTGAGCGGGGTTGTCGCTCACTGCAGCTTTGGGGTCGTCTGCAACCCCGCACAAGCTGCGCTATTCTACGGCTCTTCTCCCGACGATGCCGTCGTATCTGCACAATTGAACGACCGTATGAGATCATTCATGTACGCTCTTGGTTAGCACATGCAAGAAGCTGACATTCATTGCAAGGAGTGGTATAGCCGCGAACAACTCTTTCTGCGGTAGCTTACTACCAGCGAATAAAATCGTGTCGGTTGGGCTTACTACGGCTCTTGATGGATCTCTGTTCAAGCCATAATCTCATCTGTTTAAAAAACGCAACGCTTGAGATCGGTGAAGGGGACAACATAGTTCGTGGAGCGGGTTGATAAGTACTTAGTCCACCAGATGTTTTCGGTCGGCCATTGACCCTGGCCTCCCGCATGACGATGATGGCCACAAATTGAAAATGATCACACAATAATACTAACTAAACCAATCAGTGATATTAAAACCCGAAAGCCTCTTTGTGAACCCTGTTTCTCTGCTTTGAACAACTTGTAATATGTGAGGCCCAAATAGTCAACGTCACCTTTCCTCATGCCAAAACACAAATCAAGGCTATGAGGGTAGAACTCCCCAAGATTTTCACAAAGTCTTACCTATTGTAAACAGTTGTAATCGATATTTGAAATCAGGATAAATCCAAAGCCTTAATTCACTAGCATAAGGTTGGTGTGTGGTATTATTCAGGTACTTCAATGGCTATGTGCTGGTATCGTCCAGGATTTTGGGCAAGGTTTGGTTGTCATCATTGGACAAACTAACTTCAACGAATACGTCTTTTGAAGACATTCTTCGTGATTCTACAGCTGAACATTAAACCCACATTCTCCAATGATGTTGTACTGACCGACGGCTACGTCTTCAATGTCGCAGAGTGTCGTGGTTCTATGTTCCAGCGAATTGCTGTTACAGATGCGGATATTCCTTGTCAAGCGACATTGCAAGCCTCTTGAACCGATGAGAACATCCCGTCTACTCGAGCCTTTTCCTCTTGAGGAATTTTCACAGCTTCTCCCACCTGCCGACAAGGCTGATCCAACTACAACATAAAGTCGGGAACACCAAGTTGAATGGGGGTTTTGCCTTTCTCGCGCTAGTCCTCATTGGGTGTGATAGCCTTTTGAACTTTTCGAGCTGGGATTCAGCCTCTGTTTCAGCAGTGTTCCCTAGCTAAAGTAAGAATAACAATAGTCCAGGTGCTCTCCGAGGAAGTTTAACTGCTAGGCCAAATCAACAACTTTGTCGATGAAATTAGTATGCCATGCAACTCCTAGCAGGGTCTATTGTGCGTAAATATGTAGTTCAAATTACACTTGCCTGGACTTGGACAGCCTCGCAGTCCAGGAGCCGGGAGAAAAGGTTACGGCAGCCGCTTAAGCGCAAAGTCATGGATTAAACAAATTGGCCCTGCGCAAAGGATACAGCACGATATAGCGTGAGTTTCGAAAGATGCAAGTTTGTATTACAAGTTGAAGCGAACACGATGTTACCTATATAAGAGAGTGACCAAAGTTTCCAAGCCAGTATTCAAAAGAACCGTCGACCAAAAGAACGCCGTAAGATGCAGATTCTAGACACCGCCATGCAATCCATGTGTAAGTTATATAACATTCAACCTCCTACTGCGTTGAATCGTTCCGTCCCTCAACATTTAGAGCTTGAAGCCTCCGAGAGGGTTGGGGTTGGGAATGACATAACCACCCTGCTGGACGGGAGGAACGATGGCATCCCCCTTCTTGGCAGCCAGTTCCTTGTGCTTGGCGAGAGTGAAGTCAGGGCTGTCGAAGTTCTGGTTGATCACGCCAACCATGCCAGAATGGCAGTGCTGACCGACATTTTGAGCGCAGTAGTACCACTGAAAAAATACATGTTAGTCTTTTTTTCCCCCTAGCCTGCAGATGATTTAGTTGGAGAGTGTAGACTCACGATTGGCTTCTTGTCCTCAACGACGACTTGGAATACGTCGGAGGCTTGTCCCTCGGGGGTGAAGAAGTTGAAGCCCGAGAAGAAGGAAGTGCCATCGGCGAAAGGGGTGCAGGGGTCGGCGAAATTGGACTGGGCGACCGAGTGGTTGCGAGGAAGGAAGTGCCACTCGACGGTATCGCCGATCTCAGCGACGACGTTGTCCGGGTCGAAGCGGAGACCGCCCAGGCCGGCAACGACGGAGTGAGTGACGCCCGTGAGATGGGTCGTGCGAGACGGGGTCTGGGTGCCGGTGGTGCTGGTGGGAGCGGCCGAGACGGTGGCAGCGACGGAGGCCAAAAGGACAGTGGATAGGGTCTTGATAGAGAACATTGTGACTGGTTTTGGCGCTTCTTTGTAGAATCACTGAGTTACTTTGATGAATTGAGATATAGAGAGAGACAAAGACTTTAGGAAATAAAAGAGCAGGAAAGACGAGATAGGAAACGTTGTAAGGTTGTTTGGTTGCTTGTTTTGCTTGTAATGATGAGAGAACCGAAAAGTCGAAGAGCAAATGTCCCGTTGCATTTATATAAATCCCACGAGATGAATCCGGGCCTCTAATCGCATTGTCCAGCTCGTGGCGTCGCTGTATAGCCTCACGGAACGTTCCTCCTCCGCATCGCAACCCGCCTTTCCCAGTTGGCGGCTCGCATATTACAGCCAAGCATCGTAAGCACGACAGCACCCGAAATCCTTGACCCGATCGATCCTCTATCATCTACCAGCCGCATCGCCGGTATGCCGGTCACATGGGGGAACACCACCAAGACCTAAATCCGGATTGACGCTAAATTCTCATTCGAAGAACCTGTGCTGTGAGATGACTGGCTGCTTGCCGCGCAGCTGTAGAAAACTATACTACCCGCGGGAATGGCGTCTGACCGTGGCTTGTGCGGCATGACAGTAAGACTGGATTGCGCGTGGCGAAGCCGGCTACTAGTGACAGCGCCCCAATGTTGCGATGAACACACCGCTTGCGTTCTAATTTGGGACGCTATTACCGATCCCGGGCTAATGGGTCACTAATCAATATGACATATGTGAAGCTATATCGTGGATCAGCCTCAAAGCCTTGCAGCATGATAGAACCGAATACTTGGTCTCAGGGGTAAGGACCAGACCGCTTTCTTGACAACGTTGGGGCTCAAAGCAGCTGTTCTGGTGCGTCCGAGTCACGTTGCGCTTTGCAATCATGTGGTGAGCAGTGGACTCTAGCCAAACATTGGCTAGACACATAACATGTTGGCCGTAATAAAATAGCGCGGGCAACCAAAAACGCATACTTGGCTGAATGCAAACGAACACTACGTGACGTTCCCATGACAAACCCGCAAGTGATTTCATATGCTAACGGTGTGGCGGCTCAAGACTAGTGAGCACGATGTAATGGAGAGACATACTAACACACCACTCAACTTCTTCTTGGACTCAGGTAGAGCTCAGAATTGAAAATCTACTGGTGAGTATTGCTTAGTTTGGTTAATCCGTTGATGTAATTATCGCAGTCTCTCTGAAGCGCGCTCCTAATCATTGTGTATAATGTGCCCTTTGTTGCCTCGCTATGCAGAAAGCTGTACAAAACCAAATGCAAAAGTCGCCATCGGCTGCAATAACGACAAGATACAAAAGCAAACGATGGCTATGTCCCAAAAGATCCCACTACTGCCGTGTTGCCTTCGTCGGCATCCTAGAAAAGACATGAGAAATCAAGGCAGATAGCGGGATTTACTTGGCGTCCTTTTCGTCCTTCCCATCATCATCGGAGCCCTCCTCCTCCTCAGTCGCCTCACCCTTCTTTTCTTGCTCCAACTTGTACCATGGCCCGTGTATCGCGCCGGTGCCAGCGCCCACCAAAAGGCCGAGTCCGGTCGTCGGGATCGCCGTAACACCGCCGACAAGAGTGCCTACCAGCGTCCCCACGCCGGCACCCAGACCTGTGCCGACGCCCGCGCCGATGCCCGCGCCGCCAATCCCGCCCTGCCAGACGCCGCTTTGCAGGCGCTGCGACTGTTTCGCCAGAGACTTGGCCTTCTTCTCATGCTCGGCCGCCTCCGCGAGGATCTTCTTCTTCTCTTCAGGGTCCTCGATTCCTTCCGCGCGTTTCCGAGTCTGCTCCGCCGACTCGGCCTCCTCTTGCGCCTGTTGGAGTTTGGCGGTTGCTTGCGCGAGGACCTTGTCCTTCTGGGTCTGCTTCTCTTCCGGCGACGGGGAAGACATGGGGGGAAGGGCGATCAGGGGGTGTGTTCCCTGGGATAAAGTAAGAAATAAGGTAGGTGGGATATGAGTGGGGAAAAAGATGTTCAGATTCGAAAAGGGAAAGATGCAGCCGTTCTGGTTCTTTGTCAGATTTCTCGGCAGTGAGGTTGAAGAATTTCTGTAACCTGTCGCACGGTTTTGGGAAATTCGATATCAAGAAAGTTGGCAGCGCGTTGACATCACTCGCTTATTGTTCACGCTCGACACCCCCTGCAGATGTTTGTGGCGGAATGATCTGCTCCAATACCGCACGGTGACGTGTAAGCTCGGTTTAGTGCATACGCTGGGCAGTGTGGAATGGGGGGTATCTCATGGAAACTGTCTCGCCCCGACAAACTTTAGCGTCTTCACTGCATACCTAGTCACGAGGGAAAACCTGACCAAATCCAAATGGAAACACTTGATATGCTTTCCCGTGAACATGCAAGTTCTAGGGCGAAGGCTCTGAAAACGAGGTCTTGCGGAATAAATGGGACGGAGCTCGGTCTTACCAAAAAATGCGAACATCAAGTGGCTCTCATTGTCGCTTTTTTGTTGCAGAAGGCATACTGATAATAGTTAAATAAAACTAGTGCTTTCTCCCACTCCGACTAACAGCTTCTGCTCCTAAATAGGCACGTTGGGGTCATCGAGGACAAGCAAAGCTTACATTTAGCAAGCTGGACAAACCTGACGCCAAATGATGATTCGCACAATATGGAACTAGGAATAGAACAAAGCTTGCTCTCTGGCTGCCTTGCAACCTTTCGGAACGAGGTGTTCATGTCCATGGCAAGCCGAGTTGTCAGACGCAAGGGTAAGGAGTCTCTTCCTCGGCCGGCAAGTCCCGAGGTGCTTGAAACAGCGCGAAAGATTTAGAAGCGGGAGTGGAGAGCAAACTAAATTTTGATGTACGATCGACATATCGGAGAATATCTGGCTTCCACTACGGTCTTTCACCAAACACGTCTTGGAAAGCCGATTTAAAGACGGTTGACACTCTAATTAAAAACCTAATATGAATTAATGCAAGTGTTTGCATTAACGCTTTCAAATGAGCTCGTTGCACCATTGTTGTCCAACCTCTGTCATGTCTTCAAGTGCTTCGAACAATTTGTGATAGGGAGGAATTGTATAAGAGCCAATAGAGTACCAAGAGAACTTCTACAAAAACTGGACTAAACAACTTGGCACAATGAGAGGCAAGTGTAATAATCTGTTGCCACACTTGTATGTTCTCAAGCGGGAATTCCTTGGTTTCAAGGCTGGTTCTGTGGCTTTTCGATGGTGATGCACATAAAGTGAAAGATGCTCGCCATACAGTCGTAGGATGTTACACTGAACTAATTCTGTCAAGGACAATCCTGTCGATTTTGTATTGCTAGGAAGATGTTGTCACATCCCTACGCTACTTCATGGGTCTTAGGTAACTGTACTGGAACAAGTTTCGGTGCTTAATCTAAGCAATTCTTACAACTGACGCCTAGCAATTGTCGCACGGTGAAAAGAGATATAATGTGGGCAAGTAGAGCGTAGGTAAGAATGCGTTTCCTACGGTAAATCAACGCGACAGCAATATTCCACCACCTCTATGGACGTGTCTGTATGTCAAGAAAAGTAACGTTTACAAAGCTAGGTTACTTTTTGCCAAATGACTCGATCTAGGTAATTAATGTCGCCAGCTGGGATTCTCCGAGGAAGAACGTCTTCTTTCATCAAAGCCGCGCCAACGAGACGATACGGTCCATGAACCACGGAAATAGACGATTTTCTCCACAGCAAGGTTTTTGCTAGTGGATTGTAGTGAACCTAATTGGTCTTGACTCTTCAGCGTTCCAAGATTTAAAAGGCTATCAATAGGCACCCAGTTTGGTTGGCCAACAACCGATGAACCTACTTTTCCTAGAAGCACATCTTTAATCTCAGGGTTGTGGGCCTTATCTGACCTGCTCGCAACTTGTTTCCGAACAGTCCAGTGTAGGCTACGGGTCCTTCAGGTGGCATTGGCGCGAAGAAAGTGACGTGACCCACTGATCGTCGCTCCGCGGATTGCTTATTTCTGACAAGCTCTGATGGATTTTTCGCAAAGACGAATACACGTAAATGCAGCCTTGAAAAGCGTACGTAAGCTAGTCGGGGAGAAATTCCTTATCAAGAGCTGTGTTGACTGCACAAGTAGGCAATAAAACAATTGGCCGTGTCAACGGGTGGTGGAGAACTAGAGGCAGGACTCTGTCCCTTCCAGATTGCGATCTCAAATACGCGTATGGGCCAAGACGTGATTCGCAGACCAAAAGCACCGTCCGGCGCGATCCACCCACAGGGCTAGCAGGGGTACGCTGGTCAGCCAATCAGACGGGATTCCATCCACGTATTCATCCTCATGGGGAAGCGGATGGGGGCTCGGTATCAGACAAGCTTCTCGAGGCCTTTGCCCATCGCCCCGGGAAAACCGCGTATGGAGATGGCGTCGAAAGAGCATTGAGTCGCGGGCACTGCCTGCCTGCGTAAACGGAAAATGAATTTCTCTCCAGGACCCCTATAAAGATGGCCGCACTTCGAGTCCCCTTGAGCCTTGGCAGGTCCTGTTGCAGCACGAAGGGCTAGACGAGATCCAACCACCGAAACCTGAAGCAATCGTCGTCAGCATCTTAATCACAGCCGCCGACACAGCCACACGACTCGACATACTCGAATAAGGGAAGAGAGCCGGAGACTCGACGATTACAACTGCACGATGCCTGAGCTTCAGTCGCACAATGGGTACTACCTCTGGCATTACGTGCCGAACCTGGTAGCGGCCATCATCTTCGAGGTCCTGTTCGTTCTGGTCACGCTCTTCCACGCGTGGAAGATTGCAAGGACAAAGACGTGGTTCTGTATCGTCTTCTGCATAGGCGGCGTTCGTAAGTTTGATCCCGCCTGCCATCCACACCAGGTAATCCATCACCACTGACCACTGATGTTCCGCAGTCGAAATCATCGGATATGCAGGTCGAGCAATTGCCCGCGAAAAAACCGGCGAGATCGGCCCTTACATCATGCAGAGTGTCACGATCCTTGTCGCGCCGGCCCTCTTCGCGGCGTCCGTCTACATGACGCTCGGCAGGATCATCCGCAGCGTGCACGGCGAGTCGCTGTCCGTCATCCGCGTCAACTGGCTCACGCGCATCTTCGTGACGGGTGACGTCTTCTCGTTCCTAGTGCAAGCGAGCGGCGCCGGGCTCATGGTCAAGGACGGTAGCCAAAACATGGGACAGAACCTCATTGTGGCGGGACTGGTGATCCAGGTTGTACTGTTTGGCGTCTTCTGGGTCACGGCCATCCTTTTCCACGTCAGGCTGTCCAAGTACCCGACGGAGGCGTCTGCCAGCGGCCACTCGCCGTGGAAGTCGGGTCTCTGGATGCTATACTCAGTCAGCGCCTTCATCATGGTGCGGTCCGTGTTCCGACTGGTCGAGTACGTCATGGGCAACGACGGCTACCCTCTGCGGAACGAGTGGACGCTGTACGTGTTCGACGCGATGCTCATGTTCTTCGTCATGGTCGCTTTCGGCTACCGGTTCCCCGCGGCGTTCCAGTTGAGAAAGCGAGGCTCCCAGTCGACGTCGGACGTCGAGAATTACGACATGACAATGGAAAACGATGGACATCAGCGTGCGTCTCTGCGCAAATCTATGCGTTGAAGCGCATCAAAGTCGGGAATGGATGTGGAGGGGCGATGCATCTCCCCAGTAGATTCGGAGACGAGAAGACAAACTAGCGCAGAAGTCTTCCAGGGCGATGAGATGTCGACATTAGAGACAGCGGACTCAAAGCTCGGAATGCGATAATAGTTGATGGACAGCCGGGGTTCTACAGACGTGCATGTACTATGATGAAAGAGGAAAGTGTGGACCAACGGGAACGGGAATATTCATATCAACGGCAGAATCACGGCGTAACGGGCTTCACGGATGATGTTATTGGATCGGGTGTAGCAATTGATGAGCAGCTTCCAACAAGCAAGAGCACCTTAATGAAGAAGGCCGCGTGGACGTGGCAGGCGCAGTGCACTTTTGGTACAGATTCGCTCCTCGAGGGGGCCGGTGTTGGACGCATTAAGCCACAAAGTGGCCCCCTGTAGCGGCACCATGCTTCCCCGTAAAAACGCCTACTGGGTAGCTCCGGGCCCACCCTAAATCGCAAAATTGGTTCCATGTCTTGTGGCGGCATATGCCGAACCCGTGTATCCAGAAAGCCCTCCCTCCTCCGTTCTAGTGTTCTAGCGTACGATGGGCGAACTGGGGGACGACACCATGTTATTTGTACCCCCAAGCATACCAACCCAGTCCTGTCTAGTTTCTCCCCACCAAAAAAAGGCTGAGCTCGGTTTCGTCTTAGAGGAATAAATAATACTCACCACCTGGGTCTCCATTCTTACAAGCAGCCTCGTCGCCACGCATCCCCTCCTTCCTGCTGGAATCCCTCGTTGCACTCAATGGCTCGCCTCTCGCCTTGATTCCCCTCTTCTTGGCCAAGACATTCATATGCTAGGCCTCCTTCTCACCCGAGAGGATGCCTCCCCAGACGCGCAACCACTCGCCGGCTCTTGGCGGCAGCTCAACAAACGGCGACACCGCAAGCACCCCGGGCCCATCCGCCGGTGACGTCAAACTCCGCCGCGCACACAGGAAATCTCGCAATGGGTGCAAAGAGTGCAAGCGGCGGCACGTCAAGTGCGACGAGACGCGCCCGACATGCGTCAACTGTGCGACGGCGGAACGGCACTGCTCCTACCTCGACTCCCTGCCGGCATCGGCCCGGTCAGCCGCCTCCGCCCAGCGAGGTCTCGCAGCCGGCCTCAGCCCGGCCAGCTCCGGCAGTCAGACCGGCGGCATCGGCGGCAGCAACGGCGTCCCGGCCGTGGCGAGCTCGCCCTCCGTCACCGCCGTTGTCAACGACTTCGTCACGAGGAACGACGACGACCACGAGGTCGTCAGCCCCGCCAACGGCCAGTTCTTCACCCTGGAGCACATGCGCCTCCTGCACCACCTCGAGACCAGCATGGGCACCTTCATGTCCGCTGACGAGTTCATGAAGCCCCTCGTCGACATGAACCTCGAGAACGCCCTCAACGCCCCTTACCTCATGGACGCCCTGCTCGGCCTGTCCGCCCAGCACATGGCCGAGCTGAACCCCTCCCGCGCCGACCACTATCGCCACCAGGCCACCCAGCTGCAGACGCGCGCCCTCATGCTCTTCAACGACGCCAAGGAGGAGATCTCCGAGGCGACGTGCATCCCCATGTTCCTGTTCGCCTCCACCCTCGGCACCCACCTGCTCTGCGACACCCTCCGCGGCTACCGCCACGACTTCAACGCCTTCCTCGACCAGTTCGCCTGGTACCTCAACCTCCACCGCGGCGTCAGCACCGTCACGGGACGCTCGTGGCACATCATCCGCGAGTCTGGCGCAAAAGAGTTCATCGACTTCCTGGAGACGACCCAGCCCTCCAAGCAGGCGCCCGAGGTCGACATCCTGCACCGCATGCTCGACCAGGCTGACCTGGGCCCGGCTTCGCGGCAGGCCTGCCGCGACGCCGCAGAGACCCTGCGTCACTCGTACGCCATCTACCGCAGCATCTCGGAGCGGAGCTCCCACCAGTCCGCCTCCGTCATGTCCTTTGGCGTCCGCGTCACCACGGGCTTCATCGACGTCCTCAGGCAGCGCCGCCCTGAGGCCCTCGTCATCCTCGCCTTCTACGCCGTCCTCCTCCACTGGTGCCGCAACTTCTGGGTCTTTGCCGACGGAGGCGAGTTCTTGATCCGGTCCATCTCAGCCCACCTGGGCGACTACTGGTCGGAGTGGCTCGCCTTCCCCATCTCCGTGCTCGAGGGGTACGCAAGATGACAGGCGTGTCAGGGACTGTGCAAGAAACAGAGGAAAGGAAAAAAAGGTCCTATCATCCGCAACCTCCTACGTCTCCGGGACGCGAAGCAAACACCCCGGTTTTAAGAACTGCACATCGTGGAGCCCATCCAGCTGGGCCCGAGTTGTTGGGATGCAAGGGGCCGGGGGGAACACAGTGGTCCGACGAACCCTCGCTCACGTCGGCTACCAAGAAACATTGAACGAACGGTGCGGGTCTCATCTCAACTTCGGGTTTTGCGCCGCCGCCGTGCCCAAACGGCACCAAAGTCCGAAACATCCCACCGCCCATCCGCCGCCGACGTCTGCTAAGAGCCCCCAGCCCACCCCCCTTCGCAATCGCAAAAGCACCTGGCTGCCTATGCCAAACCGCACCACTGCGATGCGCGCCGGGCACGTCGGCTTGGTCGGGTATCCGGGTCTTGGAGGAACAATGGGGTGGGCTCTCAGAGGCTCTTAAATGTCTTGGAAGATGCCCGACGGCCTGTGGCGGGAGAGGAAAAAAAACAAAAACACACGGCCTTTGCGCGATCTGACGTGTTGGCTTCGAGTCTCAGTACGCCCCCCCCCCCCCCCCCCCCCCCCCCCAAAAACGCCCGGGAGTCGGTGCGACAACGCTCAACCACCAAACCACCCGACTCCCTCTAAACCCCATCGATCCCGCCGTTTCTCCCTCCTGCATACGTCCTAAGCCCGTCAAGACAATCCTCCAAGGACAAAAACGCCATGGCCGTCGGACATGACATGGGGAGTGAGTTTGTCAAAAAGGACTGCGCCTTCCCTTTACGACCGTGATTGGAAGGGGGGGCAAACTGCGCAAAACCTGGTTCCAGTTCTGATGAGTCCTCCGCCCTCCTACCTATTAAACAAGCAACCACCACCAGCTTCTTCAAGCTGGCGCAGCCATTTTCATCCTTGTCATTTAGGCGGCCGACCATGTCGCTCACCATACCATTCCCAACCACCAGGTTCGGTCCTGGGTTCACGGTCCCCACTGCTGTGACGGTGACCGAGGGAGGACGAACCATCACACTCACACCCACACCGACGACGGATGCCAGCTCTAATGCCTCGCCGTTTCCCGACAACATCTTGCAACAGTCCGGTCTTGCTCCGGGGCAGATCATCGGCATCACCGTGGGAGCCACCTCGAGCCTCGTCTTCTTCGTCGTCGCCCTCGTCTGGTTCTGGAACCGGAGGAGGGCGAGAGTGCTCGCTGCCCGCGACGAGGCCCTCGACACCGTCATGGAGGACCCGGAAAAGCCCGACGATGCCATGGTGATGGCGCACAACACCGGAGAGACGCTAGAACTCCCGGCACCAAGAGGCTTGCACGAGATGCCCGAGACGCGAGAAGGGCCGCCCGTCGAGCTACCAGCTCCCGTCGAGAGGCACGAGATGCCCGCCTAACCCAGCCAGCTGGTGTTGCAGAGAGCACCACGGTGTAGACTGAACGCCTCGCGCGGGACCCGATGAACGATTATGGAATGAGACCCAAGATACCCTCGCTAAACATTGCTCCCGCTTTAGCATTGTTACGGCACGAGTCGGACTCTGTGAGAAAGACTCCCTTTTTTTTGTGCAAAAAGAATACTGTCAGAGAGTATGGATAGCCCTTTAATGTCTGAAGGCGTCGTATGGAATAAGCCAGCACTCAGGCTACTGACATTTACGACCAACACATATGGATCCTGAGAGGGGAAGCGCATGTACCGTAGATAGACTGAACGTAAATCCACATACTGAGCCACAGCTTCCTTTTCATTCTTGACTCCCCTGTTCACCGTGATACCCCATCGGGCAGAGGATCCGGCAACCTTGCCGAGACCCGGGTTAAAATTGCGCGATTGAGCGCTTGCTTTACAGAGTTTGTATACACAGGCCCAAAAGCCGTTCTGCTTGTAGCCTCTTATGAGAGGAGCGTTTGCTACCAGACCTTGATAACCACCTTGAAACTCCCTATTGCCATGTAGAATACACTCCAGCGCTCGTCCTATTGCAAGCCCGCATAAACAGGCGTGGCCGTTCAAGCCAAGACCACCTCCTATTTTCATCTTCAGGTGGGACTCTTGACGGCCTACGACTGGTCCTCACCGTAGGTCGACGGGGCTATGCTAAGGTCGATGTCGAGCTCTTTCAGGAAGAGGTCGTCCAGGGTGCTTCCATCACGGGTATAGACCCAGGCGCCGGCGGCGGTGCCCTCCTTCTCGTTCTGCGAGTCGCCGACAATAACCCAGTCGTAGCGCTTGGGACCTGAAATGGGCGACGAGAGCCAGATCTGCTTGTTCGGGGGCTGCTTGTTGATTACGTAGGTGCCAGCGTCGGGAAATGTAACAGTGAGAACACCGGCCTGTGTCGTCCATGTTAATATCCGTGTGAACTCTTAGTTTGCGATGGAGTTACATCTAATGTCAGACAGCAGGCGGGGTTGAGTTCGAGACTGGAAAGTCCAATTGGGGTTCACTTAAGGATCAGTTGCTTACAGCGTACTCGACATCGATGCCCTCACGGGCATCGGCTAGCTCCTCGAGCTGTGTGACGATGGTCTCGAGGTGAGCGTCAGAGAGCTCGTGGTACTCGGCATCTGTGAGCTCAACTACGTTCATCTTGACATCGTCCTTGGGCGTCTCCTTGACCTTGGGATCGTCGGTATCGGGCATAATGCCGCGGGTAGCAATGCACGACGTCGTAAAACTCTTGCGGACCGGGACAACAGGGATGAATGGCTTGGAGGCAGCAAAGAGGAGAGCGGAGCGGCGCGGGACGCTCAACCGGGATTGCGACGAAGCGCGAAGGGTGCGAGTGGCCGCGCCGGTGAGCTTGGTAATGTTGCTCCGGGCCATGATAGCTGTAGCTGCTTTCTATTACAGGTTTGAATGGCTTGGTTTGCGGTGTTGAAGTATTAAGACTTCGATCGGTTGAACGGAGGAGAGAGGGGGTTTGTTGTAGATCAGAAAGATGCTTCTCAGAGAATTAACGGCAGATGAAGGGCAGCTTCGGTTCCTTCCCCACGTCACTGGAGGTGCGGGAGCTGCAAGTGCAGCTTCGATCCGCAGTTGAAGGAAGGAACAAGCTTGGGCCAGGAGGAGGCCCCGGCAGAATGATTACCTACATCAGAAAGTCATGTGCCAGGTACCGCCAGCGCACCTTACGTTTTGGGGCGGTAGCGGAATTGCAATTGCAGGCGTCGAGGCAGCTGGACCCCACCAGCCCGCAGCGCATCAAGACTGGTGGGACACCTTCGGTCGTCTTGAGAAGCACAGTTCCGCGAGACCACTCGCCGGTGTCAAACAATCCAGCAAAGTTGGGATGCTCAGGCGACAGAGAATATAATGATCAACGCCTTTCTGGTCTTCAACGGCCAGGGTCAGCCTCGTCTGACCAAATTCTATACTCAACTGGTACGCTTGAGCCGTCGCAAGGTACACGCTTGGAGACTTCGACTGACCAGTCATCGCAGGAAACCAGCATGCAACAGCGCCTGATCTCAGAGATCTTCACCCTCGTATCCAACCGTCCGGCCGGCTCGTGTAACTTTCTCCCGCTTCCTCCCTTGCTCGCTGCTTCGGGTACCTCCCACTCGTCGTCGGAAGAGGAGAACGACGTCCCCTCTCTCGTAACCTACCGCAACTACGCGACCCTCTACTTCATCGTCATTTCGACCTCAACCGAGTCGCCCCTCGCCCTAATCGACCTGATCCAAGTTTACGTCGAGGCACTTGACAAGCTCTTCGAGAACGTATGCGAACTAGACCTCATCTTCAACTTTGAGACGTTGCACGCAACACTAGGCGAGATGATTGTGGGAGGAGTAGTGATAGAGACAAATCTGGATCGCATCGTATCTGGAGTTAGGGCACAAGGCACCGTGGCCAAACGACCCGTGAACGAAGGCCGGAGCGCAGGACTCGGCGGTGGACTGGGCATGGGAAGCAATTTTGTCTGGCACGGAAGGTAGACTGGGCCATGTCTGACAAGAATATAGTTATTATTCGAATGGTGTGGTTGTACATGGGGCTTCTCCGGCCGGGTATTCAAAACTCCATAAACTCCTTCCAATGTTGATGCTTCTATGTCGGCCTTGAGCTTATTTGGTCGTTTCGGCGGGAGCGGGTGCTTCGGGCGCATCTCTGCGTCTCTCGTATCGTTTATCGGCATCGATGACGCCAAATAGGCCACGAAAGCGTTTGCGGATCTGGTTATAAAAGTGAGCAGAGTTCGTGATCTGTAGTCGGAAGGCTACGAACCTCTTCGGAAGGCCTATACTGCTTGCCAAAAAACTCCAGCTCGGAGAAGAAGAACGTCCAGCCAAGAAAACCTGGTTCAAGTTAGAGGAGTTCCTATCCAATGTCGCAGTGACTTGAACAAACCAAGAACTGTCGCCAGCTGAGCGAGCTTAACGGCCTTGTTCCATCGCGGCCGCGCATACACCAGCGCTAGACGTCGCTTGTACTTCTTTTCGAATCGAAGCTGTGACTGAGGCGGGAGATTCGTGAAGTTAGGAGGCCACACCTTTTTCGTCCGATACGGGTTGTTGAAGACATTGAGCTTAGAGCCGGCTGCTTCAGCCGCTCGTCGCACGAACGTGGGAAACATTGTAGATTTGATTCGAGCTTGGTCGTGGTCACAATGGCTGGTGGTGATCCCGCGGACGGCTTGGAAAGGCAAGATCTAAACGGTGCAGCGTCTTGCCTCGGGCCGTTCGCGACTGGAGAAGCTCGTTGAAGAGCCACACTCAGCCACATGCTATCAGCCACACTAAGATGGAAGCCCGCGAACGGCTAGTAGTAGAACGAGGTACGTACTGCTTTAGGCTGCCTGGCTATCCACTTATAGCATACCTAGCGAGCACAGCGCTCGAAACAGCGGCCAGTGACCACTGACCCGACAGTACCCCGCCATAGCCACCCAAGTCATCGCGGGGCACACTCAGCCTCGAAAAAAACATCGGAGCCGCGACGAAATCCCCCCCACGTTCGACTGTGACTCAGGATTCCTCGACAACGACATCCCGAAGGAGCAGAGACGAGCACGCGAACCCGAGAGTGACTCGCAACGTCCGGTGCTAGAGTCAACGTCGAAGCACTTCCATTACGAATTGATTCGGTTGGAATTGGCCTCTGCGGATTCCAATTCCACGATACCGAACGAGAAACCCGCAATCATGGCCAACGAAGCCGCCAAGGCCCTCGAGGCCCTCCAGGTCTCCAAAACCAAGGAGCTCAAGGGAACCGAGAAGCGTGACTTCCTGATCTCTCTGGAGAAGAAGTACCAGCAGAAATGGGCGGAGGAGAAGATCTTCGAGGTCGACGCCCCCTCTACGAAGGACGTCCCTCTGCACTCCATTACCGCTGAGGAGCTGCGCCAACAGCAGCCCAAATGGTGCGATGCAATTAGCTATGATATAAAGGATGGGTATTGACGAGAGTACAGGATGGGCTGCATGGCTTTCCCTTACATGAACGGTCGCCTCCACGCTGGTCACTTGTTCTCCGTGAGCAAGGTCGAGTTTGGTGCTGGTGTAAGAGAAGCCATATATCAGGAACTGCTGTAAGAAAGCTGACGGCGTGATCCAGGTCGCCCGTATGCAAGGAAAGCGCGCTCTGTTTCCCATGGGATGGCACGCCACTGGTATGCCCATCAAGGCTGTTGCCGACAAGCTCAAGAACGAGGTCGCCATGTTTGGCCGTGACTTTGAGGGATATCAGGAGGAGGAGGTCCTCGTCGACGACAAGCCCGTCGAGGCTAAGGCGGCTCGCGACGATATTACCAAGTTCTCCACCAAGAAGAGCAAGGCGAATGCCAAGACGATCAAGGCCAAGTACCAGGTTTGTTGCGGCTATCACTTTCAAGAGAATTGCAACTAATCTCTCCTTAGTTCCAAATCATGGAGGCCATGGGCATTCCCAGGCAGGAGATCCACCTCTTTGCCGATGCTTCCTACTGGCTCGATTTCTTCCCTCCTCTGGCTCAGGAGGATCTCACAAGTCTCGGTTTCAGAATTGGTTCGTGGGATTCCAACTTTCATTATGGTGCAATTAGCTGACCGGCAAAGATTGGCGCAGATCGTTCATTACTACTGAAGCCAACCCCTACTTTGATGCATTTGTTCGCTGGCAGATGATCCGCCTCAAGGAGCTGAACAAGATCAAGTTCGGAAAGAGATATACCATCTACTCTATCAAGGACGGTATGTTCAGGCCAGTGTCTCGGATTCGACACTATTTGCTAACCTTGCGCAGGACAACCCTGCATGGACCACGACCGAGCTGAGGGTGAAGGTAAGTTCCTCAAGTCTGCCACCATATTATTTAACATCTGACTTTGTAAAAGGTGTCGGTCCCCAGGAGTACACCGGACTCAAGATGAAGGTCCTCGAGTGGGCACCCAAGGCTGGAGAGGCCCTTAAGTCTAAGCTTCCCGCGGACGCCAACATCTTCCTCGTCCCGGCCACTCTTCGTCCCGAGACTATGTATGGCCAGAACGCCGTCTTCGTGTCTCCCAAGATCACGTACGGTGTCTTCAAGGCCTCCGAGAAGGACTACTACATCATGACTCAGCGGTGAGCATAATTTATGCCTACCCTTTACAAGGCGGAAACTGATGACCCCTAGCGCTGCTCGTAACATGGCTTACCAGGGCCTTTTCGTCCAGGACGGTGTTGTCGATCAGACTGCCGACATTGAGGGTTCCGCCCTCATCGGTACCCGCGTCCATGCTCCCTTTTCTGTCCACAAGGATGGCGTCCGAGTCCTTCCCATGGAATCTATCCTGCCTACGGTATGTGTACTCATCCGCTGCTGCTTGGCAAGACTAACACCATCTAGAAAGGTACTGGTGTCGTTACTTCCGTCCCCTCGGACAGTCCCGCCGATTGGGTCATGACCATGGACCTCCGCAAGAAGGCTGCATACTACGGCATCGAGCAGGAGTGGGCTGAGCTTGAGATCGTCTCCATCATCAACACTCCTTCCGGAGACATGATCGCCAAGACTCTGTGCGAGCAGCTCAAGATTGCTTCGCCCAAAGACACAGTCCAGCTTGACAAAGCCAAGGAGACTGCATACTCCGAGGGTTATTACAAGGGCACCATGAACATTGGCGAGTTCAAGGGCGAGGCTGTTGAGACCGCCAAGCCCAAGGTCCGCCAGTCCCTGATCGACCAAGGTCTTGCGTTCGTCTACTCTGAGCCCGAGCGCAAGGTTGTCAGTCGATCCGCAGACGACTGCATTGTCGCCCTGATGGACCAGTGGTACCTTGACTACGGAGAAGAGTCTTGGAAGAAGACTGCTCTCGACTGGGTTGAGAATGCGGACGGCAAGGGCCTGAACACCTTCAGCCACGAGACCAAGAACGCCTTCCAGGGTGTTCTCAACTGGCTCAACCAGTGGGCTTGCGCGAGATCATATGGTCTCGGTTCCAAGCTGCCTTGGGACCCTCAGTTCCTCGTTGAGTCGCTGAGTGACAGTACCATTTACATGGCTTACTACACCATCGCCCCGTACCTCCACAAGGACATCTTTGGCAGAGAGAAGGGCACTGGTAACATCGGCCCCGAGCAGATGATTGATGAGGTCTGGGACTACGTCTTCTGCCGCCGTGAGCTTGATGACAAGATTGTTTCCGAGTCAAAGATCTCCAAAGAGACTCTCGAGAGCATGCGCCGCTCGTTTGAGTACTTCTACCCCCTCGACCTCCGCAGCTCCGGCAAGGATCTCATCGGCAACCACTTGACATTCTTCCTATACATCCATCTTGCCATTTTCACACCCGAATACTGGCCCAGAGGTATCCGTACCAACGGTCACTTGATGCTCAACGGCGAGAAGATGAGCAAGTCGACTGGTAACTTCATGACCCTGCAGGATGTCGCCCGCAAGTTCGGTGCCGATGCCGCCCGTATTGGTCTGGCCGACGCTGGTGATACCAACGGCGACAGCAACTTCGAGGAGGACGTCGCCAACCAGGCCATCCTGCGTCTCCACACTCTTAGGGGTACGTTCGCGCGATCTATTGCTTAGGGGTATACTAATAAGAGTAGAATGGTGCGAGGATGCTGTCAAGAACAAGAGCGAGCTTCGGACGGGCGAATGGAACTTCTTTGACAAGGTCTTCAACAACGAGATGAACGTCATTGCGAAGGAAGCTATCCAGCAATACTGTAAGCACGCCAACGATTTGACGCTGTAGGCCGCGCACTAACGTTCTTCAGCCGACACCTCTTACAAGCTGGCCCTCAAGGCTGCTTTCTACGAGTAAGTCTACAATGCAGCTATTGATGGACGCCACTAACACGAGATCGCAGCTTCAACAACGCCCTCTCTTTCTACCGTGAGAGCAGCGCCTCAGTCAAGATGCACCACGATCTAGTCATCCGTTACATCGAGCTCCAGTGTCTCCTTATCGCTGTCATCGCTCCTCACTGGGCCGAATCCGTGTGGGTCGAGATCCTCGGAAAGGCTACGTCGATCCAGCAGGCTACCTTTCCCGAGATCCCCGAGACCGACGCGGCCCTCACGGCGGCGAGAAAATACATCTCGGTTACGGCGTCCAACGTCAACTCTGCCGAGTCTCTCCAGCTCAAGAAGAAGGCCAAGGGCAAGGAGACGTCGTTCGACCCCAAGAAGCCCAAGAAGCTCACTATCTTCATGAGCGAGAAGTTCCCGCAGTGGCAGCAGGCCTACATCGACCTCCTAAAGGAGATGTGGAACCCCGAGACCAAGTCGGTGGATGACAAGGCCCTCAACGGAAAGATTGCCAAGATGGGCGAGATGAAGAAGGCCATGCCGTTCGTTCAGGGTCTCAAGAGACGCCTCCAGCTGGGCGAGCCCGCGAGCGCGGTCCTCGAGCGCAAGCTGGCATTTGACGAGAAGGCCGTGCTTGTGGACATGATTGACGGTCTCAAGCGCAGTGCCAACCTTGTGGAGGTGAAGATCATTGCAGTGGAGGAGGGCAGCAAGAAGGGCACGGATCTGGTTACCGGGGCCGTGGAGGAGAGCCTGCCGCCCAACGCCGATGGCGCTGTGCCGGGTGCCCCCAACTTTTTGTTTGCCAACGTGGAGTCGTCATGAAGTGCGATGAATAGGGTAAAACAATGTCAAGGCCTGCCCTGACCTGGATGGTGGCATCTACATGTTTGCGTGGCCCTGTTTCATCGGGAAAGAGGAGAAAAAGAACAAGATGAGAGTTAGATATCAATGATTACGAATTTCGTTCATGAATAAGCACGAAGTCGTGCTAGTGTGTCTCAATGAACACCTCTCGGTGGGTGAGAAACGAGACCGGGGCATGCATTCTTAGTGCCGGGCTTGGCGTGGAGGAGCTTGGCCGGCGGTCCGATTCTTTGCGAGCTGGAGCCGGCCTTGGAGAGTTCTCCAGCAAATTGAGCCAGAAGAGCGGAACGGAGAGCACTGCATGTACGCCAGAGAGACATGCGGGCTGCTTGGAGACAGCTGGTGCATTGCGACCTGAAAACAAGGCTTCTGGAGACTTGTGGAAACCAAGGCATGGATGTGTTGCTGGCATGGAGGTGGAGTGCATGGAGGTGGAGTCGAGACTCGAAAGCTGTCAAGACTCGACAGGCCACGGCCATGGCTCATTGTAGTACTTTATGCCCTGCGTGAGAACACTGCATTGGCGGATGAGGTAGTCCGAGTCCCCAGGTCTCCGTTCAGTCTGTCATAGCAGACCAGAGAACAGCGCTGATTCGTGGAAGAAGACAAACATCGTGGCTTGACACGCCGTTGAAAGTTGTACGTACAGAAACATTGACAATGTCTACAGAGAGGTGGCTGGTGGGGCACTTTCGAACTCTGATTGAACGCGGTGAGTCTGGAGAGAGCGTGGCTGGGGGTGAGTGATGCGGTGACGGATGCCCCAAGAATCGCAAAGGAATAAACGGAGAACTGCGTCTGGCGGGGAAGAATGAAGGAATCGACGGCTACTGGACGAGGACGGGCAAAACCTGGCTGGAACCCCTGCTTCTGCACCTTCTTGACCCCGGTCCCTGCCTCCTTCTTTTCCGTCCTATGACCATTCTCCTTTCACCACCACACCTCTCGCCGTCCTGTCTGCTCGCTCCAGTCTCTGGAACCTGGGCATGTTCATCACATCGAATATCGGCTTGACGAAAGCGACCGGACTCGACCTCGATCACCCGAGTTTTGTGTGTGTCGACCCCTGGAGCCGCCTCGTATGGCGCCTGGTCCGGCCTACCTAGTATGATGTGATGGACGAGAAAAACGCAAGATGTCTGCCCTCGGGCCCGAGAGGGGAAGGATTGCCATGCAATGACCCGACCAATCCAAACACAAGGAGGGTAACCGATGCAGCCGCCTGTTGCTTCTTTTTCCCGCACCTTTCCTCACCCTCTTCCTCTTCCTTGCGAGCTGATTCTCCGGCTGTCGCCCTGACTACGACCCTTTCCCCCCCAGCTGCAAAGCAAGTGCTGACCCGCCGTCGGGTATGACGCAACTGAGCACGGCATCAGGCATCGCCGACTTGCTTTACCCCCGTCCGCTCAACGACTGGTCCCTCTGTTGGCCGGGGCCACGGCCGTAATTGGTACCACCATCGACTTTTCCAGGTAAGAATGGCTGCAGTCGGACGGCCGACGGAGTTGGCAGCTTACGCCATTTGATTTGTTTGCTTTGACTCCGTCACCCAACCACGACCATGGGCCGAAATGACGAGATGGTCTCTTGTGGGAGTTTGCAGGTTTGCGGGAACACGGCAGCTTAGCACCGTTGGCAAGCGTCATTCTGGGACTTTTCAGTCGGCCCCTTGGTGAATTCTCGAGCCAGGTACCGACGGCCAGGGCAGGATGTCTGCCCGCATGGGTGAACTTAGATCGTTGCTCAAAGAGCTTGGATCTCGGCTCGGCCTGGGATGCTCGGGGTTCTGGCGCAAACCCGTGGGATACAGCGTCCGTCAGAGCTCTGTCATGGGGATTGCGCTGATGTGTACCGGGCTTGCGAATGAGATGGGATGGCAGCAAGATGAAACAACAAAAACCGAGGTGGTGGGGGAAACACGTCTGCCGTGGCTTGTCATCTCTTCTGCTCTTTTGTTTCGTCGTTGTTGCTGTCGTTGTATCGCATACAGGTGTTTGTAGAGAGGCAGGCAGTGCGATGTGCTAGCTGCTGCAAGTGAGGCCATCCCCAGCCATCTCTCTATGCACAGTTCGACAATAGCCCATCAAAGATCACCACGGGCATCCTACCCAGCCTTCTCTAGTGCCCCTTGCTCTACTGAGCGGTGCCCTTCGGTGAAGCAGCCCACCCGATTCCTCATGTCGATCCCTGTTCGACAAACCACAACCCTGTTTCGCCTCGTTCGGCAGCTTCCACCAGCTTACACCCCTGTCCAACGACCAGCCCAGATCCAGCGTCAACACGCAAGCCAGCGAGAGAACATGATGTTGTCGTTTTGGCTTGGGCTTGGGGTCGGCAAACCGTCGCAGCCTCCAAGGCCGCGTTTCCCTGCTTCACCCAGGCCCTGTATGCTGTAACCCGCCTCACCACAGCTCACCACCCTTTCCCACCCCTGGCGGCCAAGCAACCAACCTTTCGTTTTCCCAACCCCAGTGCCGTCACCGCTACCCCTGGTCGTGATGATGTCGTGCAAAATCGCCATTCTTGGCACCGCTGCTGTCACCGACTCGCACAATGTGCGGCGTACGTGGTGGTACGTCTCGGTTTGCTTGTCACGCAAACCCTCACTCCCGTCTCTCAGTATATATCCCATCTGGTCCCTCTTCCATGCAGAGGCTTTTGATTCTTGTGTCTCACTACTCACAACAAGATCATCAATTCCCACACTCAACTCATCAACAAAAAGAGCCTCAGCTTCCGAGCTAGACCAGTCGCTTCCTTCTCGATACTGATCAATTCTTGCTTCGACCACCTCAACCAAACGCTCTTAAGCCCATCACCTATCAAAATGCGCTCTTTTGCCATCCTCTCCGCTGCCGGCCTTGCTGCCGCCCAGGTCACCTCCATCATCATCACCGACGGCATCACCGCGACCATCACTCTCCCCGTCTTCCCTGAGCCCACCTCCCTCGCCTCTCCGGCCACTACCGTCACCGCCACCGTCCCCGAGACCACCGTGACCGTGTCTCCTGAGCCCACGCCCTCCACCACCGTAACCGTCTCCGCGGGCACCAGCACCGTCCCGGCCGGCTTCACCACCACCACCGCCGTCGTCGTCGACGACCCCCCCGTCACCACCACCATCCCCATTGTCATCCCCACCATCTCCGTGTCAGACCCCGTTGTCACGCTCCCTACCATCACCGAGTCTACTTTTGACCCGGCCACAGTCACCCCCGTCGTCCCCCCCTCCGTCAACAGTAAGCCTTCCCTCCTCCACAGAACATGAGAACAGACAACTAATACGATCCCAGCCACCCTCGCAACTCTCACCCAGACCTACTTCACCTCAACCCCCAACGCCACCACCTCCGGTCCCGTCATCGTGCCCACCGCTGCGGCCGACAAGCTCCAGGGCTCCGTCGTCGGCCTCATCGCCGCCGGTATCGCCAGCTTCTTCCTCCTCTAGAGGACCAAAATCAGGATGGACATTTGTTACGCTTAATGAGAGCGATGGAATTGCTTTTTCGGCATTTTAATGGGAACATGAGAAGCAACGGCTAATTTCAACATGTATGATGGGAGCCACGGCTCGGAGCAATGGCGTTGGACAACTTGCATACAATGATTAATGACCTTAATCACGATATAGCATAATACTGCTACCTAATTCAAACACAAATCAACACCTTCAAATAACTTTGGTCTCAAACAAATAGGGTTGGTTTCTTTCAATGCCTGGTGCACTTTCTGGGTGAATCCTGCCAAGTACTAGATGGAAACTTGCATGTTTAGTCCCTCAAAGCGGAGTCCCTCGCTCCTACGTCTCCCATTCCTTCTTGACGCTCCCAACAACATGTGACCAGCTTGTCCCGCCAGTGACATCTGGAAAGCACGCCCCGGAGTGACAGCGGCGCGGCGCTTGTGCCCAAGGGCGACGTCTCTGGATTAAATTGCCATGTTTCAAGCCGCATCCTCATTTAGACTTGTTTGCGCACCCATCCTCCCCTGCGTCAGAGTCCAATCTCCTCTTCACGACCGGCAAGAAGGGGCTCGGGCGACGGCACGTCACCTACGTGTACCGTAGGACCGAAGCCTAGCATCATGGTGCGAAGAAATCGCCGCAGACAGCGATCCCGAAAAAGTGCCTCCCATGATTTGGACTCGGACGGTCTCCTCGATGGCGCTCCGCGGCAGGCGGTCGAAGGTGGCGATCCTACCGAAGGGACGGCGCGGCCACCCTTTGACGCGGCTTCCCTCGAGTTCGAGTATGTCAAGCTCCTGAGTATGATCTTATGATCTTAATATTCAAGCGGCAACGGGGATCTGGGCAGTGGCGTCCTCGGCGAGCTCGGGGTCTTCTTCGGGGTCCTTAGGGAGATCGTCCTGCGCGCACTTTGTCAGCCACGCACTTTATCGAAGCGCAGAGAACGCGACGCTGAAAACGTACCTTGTCGAAAATAACGCGGATCATGAGGCTGCAGCTGGGACACACGGCAATGTCTTCCTCGTCGCGCAGGTCGGCCAGCGCGATCTGGAACTTGTCGCCGCAGGGGCAGGGGTAGTGGTAGATCTGCATGTCCTCGTCGTAGGTCATGTCCTCGATCTCGATCTCGTCATAAATGGAGATGTTGTCGTCTGACATTGTGGCGGTAACTTCCTCGCGATTGAGATGTGTGTATTGTTTGTACGTCTATGTATTCGACTTTTGAACTGGGATGTGGCGATGGAGTCACAGCTGGGCGCAAGTTCACTGAGAGGGGTGCAGAAAAAAATATAAAAACAAAATAGAAAGGACTCCGCTGGTTTGCCCCGCGGTGTGGCTGGTGACATCTCTTCCCCAGAGTCAAGCCACATCTTACAAAAGAAGGCTTGCGCCTCAGGCAGCCACACCAAGGACCAGATCACATGCCATCGGCATCCGATTCACATGGGAACGGAGACCCAGGCGTCCATTTTCCGGGGTTTGCCAATCACATCTCTTGCCCATGTGGGGTCGTCCTCTCTCCAGGGCGCACTCTGGGGAGCCGAGGGCCAGGAAGCAGCGCTTTCCCCAGGTCCCAGTAAGTGCCAAACAAAGACCCGAGCCCCCAACTCGCACATGTACCTTTGGTCTGCTGAAGGAACCACAAAGGCCGAAGCCTCGTCCGAAGGAACGTGTGACCTACAGTCATGGCCGTTGGCGACATCTTCCCCTTTCTCACCGACGCCGAATAATTCGAGTAATCCCCCATCTCCGCGATAACCAACCGACGAAGCTCAATCGGAGACGAATGCGTTAACCACCCGATCCTTGAAACGGACGGTCCCCCCAGCCGCCGGTGACGTAGCCGCGGCATCTCGTCCACGACAGCCATTCCGCAATAACATCCCCATCCCATCCTCGAATCCCGAATACCTACAACTCCGACGTCCCCAACATCCCCCCACGGGGCGCACGCATCGCTCACGATGGCCGCTCAATCCAAAGTCTCCCTGATCGGGATCCCTTCGAATCGCACTGTTCGCAACCTCGTCCTCCAGCTGACCCAGCTCTACCTCGCCAACCGCTCGCGCATTTCCCGTGCAGTCTGGATCACCCTCTTCGTCGCCCTCGCGAACCGCATCCGCCACGCCATCTCAGAACAGAAGGCCGCGTCGGCGCGCGAGGCTGCCGTCCGCGAGTCCCGCGCCACGGTCGCCGTCTCGGACGAGGATGTCACCAAAAAGCGCAAAAAGGTTGAGCTGAATCGCGAGTTCTTTCGGTCGCTGCTGCGGCTGTTGAAGATCGTCATACCTGGGTGGAGGAGCAAGGAGGCGCGGCTGCTCATCAGCCATTCATTCTTCTTGGTGGTGAGGACGTTGATCAGTCTGAAGGTCGCGGCGATGGACGGTGCCATCGTAAAGAGTTTGGTCAAGGGTAACGGCAGGGAGTTCCTGATGCACATTGTGTGGTGGATGCTGATCGCCATTCCGGCGACGTTTACGAACTCAATGGTTTGTTCCCGCCGTTTCAGGGCGCCGAGTACAATGACACTAACGCGGCGACGCAGCTTTCCTACCACCAAGCCGAGCTGTCGCTCAAGTACCGGACGCGGTTGACGCAGCACATCCACGACAAGTACCTCTCCAAATTGACCTTCTACGGTATCTCCGCCCTCGACGACCGGATAAACAACCCCGACCAGTTGATCGCGGTCGACGTTGCCAAGTTCTCTAATAGCTTGGCTGAGCTCTACAGCAACCTGGCGAAGCCGATTCTGGACATGGTAAGCCCCCTCTGCTTCCGTCTCACGTTCAATTCCTAATAGCCGCAGACTATCTACACACATTCGCTGTCCCGCAGCGTCGGTGGCGAAGGCGTCGTCTCCATGGCGCTCCTTGTCCAGCTCTCCGCCAACGTCATGCGCGCCCTCACACCCCCGTTCGGCAAATACGTCGCCGACGAGGCGCGTCTCGAGGGCGAGTTCCGCTTCCAGCACTCGCGCCTGATCGACCACTCCGAAGAAGTCGCCCTCTACCATGGCCACGAGGCCGAGAAGGACACCCTCGACAAGGGCTACTTCACCCTCATCAAGCACGTCAACTACATTCTCCGCCGCCGCTTCTACCACGGTTTTATGGAGGACTTCGTCATCAAGTACTTCTGGGGCGCCCTCGGCCTGCTTCTCTGCTCCGTGCCCGTCTTCGTCAAGATACCGGGGCACATCTCCATGAACATGGGCGACCGCACAGAGAGCTTCGTCACGAACCGCCGCATGCTGCTCTCCGCGTCCGACGCCTTTGGTCGCATCATGTTCTCGTACCGCGAGATCATGGAGCTGGCGGGTTACACGTCGCGTGTTGACTCCCTCCTTGAAGTCATGAATGATATCCGGGCCGGTCGGTTCCAGAAGAAGCTTGTCTCCAGCTCAGGCACCGAGAACAACGAGGCCGTCCTCAAGGGCCGCGGCACCGTTGTCGAGAGCAAGGACATCGAGTTCATGAACGTGTAAGTGTTAGCCCCAACCCACTTCCTAAAGCGCCCCCAGCTGACACAGGTAGCCCCATCATCTCCCCCAATGGCGACGTCCTCGTCAAGGCCCTCTCCTTCTCCCTCAAGCAGGGCGACCACCTCCTCGTCGTCGGCCCCAACGGCTGCGGCAAGTCGTCCCTCTTCCGCATCCTCGGCGGCCTCTGGCCCGTCTACGGCGGCACCGTCCACAAGCCCCCCTTCACCGACATCTTCTACATCCCGCAGCGGCCCTACCTCTCACGCGGCTCCCTCCGCACGCAAATCACCTACCCGGACTCCCTCCGCCAGATGCGTGCAAAGGGCGTCACCGACGCCGACCTCCTCTCCATCCTCTCCCTCCTCGGCCTCGAGCACCTCCCCGGCCTCTACGACGCTGGCTGGGACGCCGAGGCTGAGTGGCGCGACGTCCTCTCGGGCGGCCTGCAGCAGCGCGTCGCCATGGCCCGCCTCTTCTACCACCGCCCGCGGTACGCCATCCTCGACGAGTGCACGTCCAGCGTCACCCTCGACACGGAAAAGGTCATGTACGACAACGCAAAGGCCCTGGGCATCACCCTCATGACCGTCAGCCACCGCCGCAGCCTGTGGAAGTACCACAGCCGCATCCTCCAGTTCGACGGCCAGGGCAACTACGTCTTCACCAAGCTCGATGCCGACCGCCGCCTCAAGCTCGAGGACGAGAAGGAGGACCTCGAGGTGCTGCTGCGCCAGGTGCCCGAGATCGAGAGGCGCATCGCCGAGCTGACTGCCGCCTAAGAGCAAGGTTGCGACGTGGCGGGGCCTTTTTGTCATGGGACACGATGAGGAAGATGGAGACACGATAGATGCGGCATTTGTGGGGCTCTCAAGGGGAGGGAGGGTTTACTACCAACGGCATGATTTCATGGACTCAGGGATTTTTGCAATTTGTACATATGTAGACCACCACCACAGACAGGATTTGGCGTAGAACCGGCTCGGCAATCGAAAGACTAATGTTACAACTCCCTTTGCGTACCTGATTGCTGCCCATGCTCCTCAGAGCCTGCGCCCCAACCCTCGACATCTATACAGAAAAAAAACAAGAAACCACCCCATCCGGGGCCGAGCCGTCGCATCCTGGTCTTCTCAATCTCTTTCGCATGTCTTCCAATGGAAATCAGGCTACACCGAATTGCTCGCTCAATGCTGCGCAAATGCGGGACATCGAATCTGTTCCTTCCCCGGGTGTTGATGATTCATTCCCATGACATTCCCAACATGCCCTGCCATGCCGATCCACGACCGAGAGAAACGCTGCGGCCTGAGGACTCAATCGAAAAGGTTGTTTGGATGAAAGCAGCAGTTTTCGCTGTGTATGCTGTTGTCGAGTAGTAAGATCCGCTTATGATCCGCCCCGCACTCGTAGCAGAACTCATATTTGCATCTCGAACCTACGATTCGTTCATCCGGGTTAGGCACTCGCTGTTATCCAATTTCCGCTAGATATATGAAACACTATGGCTCGCTACCAGGACTAGACTGGCGGCACGAGACCTCGGCATCGGACGCTATGCGCCCGTTCCCAGGTAGTATAGCAACCCCAGCAGAACTCGTAGCGGCACTTTATGCCTGTGATGATGTTGGCTTTGGGTTTTGCAGAAGCATGGATGCCACGGTACCAGGGACAGGAACGATGTATGATACAGAAAGGACATGGAATATGCTTACAAGTCATATGTGAGCTGTTGCTGGTTGTCAGCATAGGTACCTAACGAAGGCTTTGTGGCAGAAAACTCACCAGCCAGAGTTCTTCTCGATGGCCCAACCGCACCCGGGACACGGCTTCGTCGTCCTGCTTACAGTTACCAGGCTCTGTTCCTCTTCGGCTTTGCGGCGGGCTGCAACCTTTCTTGCCAGGGCTGCCGCCTTACGTGTCCTTTCTCTTTCATTGCGTTCTCTGGCATCGCGCTCGTGTACCTCGGCCTGTTGTTCCGCCATAAGGCCCTGAGCCATGGCACGATCGGCATCTTCCAGCGCTTGTCGGGCTGAATCCAACTCGTCGTACTCCATCTCGATACGCGAACGAAAATTCTCGGGGTCTCGCAATAGCGCGTTGTACTCCTCACACGACAAGTTTTCGTGCCACATGACGTTGTGGGTAAAGCAGGAGCGCTGGCCGCAGTGTAAGCAAGTCACTATGGGTTGGTCTTCGCCCGTGTCGTGAAGCTGACCCGAGCCGCAATTAGCGGTACACCAGATGAACTTGTCAGCTTCGGCCATGGCTGCTCGGAGAGCCAAAGCCTCGTACCTGGCAACCGGTTAGGGAAGAACGCTCATGTTTGGAAGCAATGACCGTGGCTACGTACCGGGCAAAGGTCTCCTCGTCCGCATACTTTTGGATGTCGACGTATTCTAGAAGCTCGCGACACTCGGGACACCGAATTTCTGTCCATAACCTGCTGTTCAAGTCCGACTTGATGGACATTTGCAGGCACTCCAGACAAGCCTCGGGAGGATGCGTACACATAGGCGTGACACTCAGGACGGGGAACGATGATGCGTCTCTTGTTTCGGCACAAATGGGACACTCTCTCGAACCGCCAAGGTCATTAGCTGGAAGTCTCTGACGAGTAACAACAACATCTGTGGTATCTGTCGCCTTGTGGTACCTCTGGCCAAAGCTACTTCCGGTCAGCAAGCACAGAACCGCAGGACCTTTGTGCGAAAAAGTTTGGCAGGCGTCGTTCCCGCAAATATTTCTGCACGGGAGGAGGGGAGAGAGGGACCAGGTGCTCTCGTAGACCACAGGGGGCTGCCTACCTAAAGTCATCAGCTCCAAGATCAGCAGAACGCGATCCGGAGCCTGAGTCCTGACTGCGTAAAAAGGCGACCGTCATGGCCTGCTCCTTTTGCTCGAGGAGGGAAATGTACGGATTGTTTGAGCCCAACGGCGCCAGTTTTGAGTTAGACCTAGGCCTTGCAGATGGTGAATTCAGGGGCGGCGTTGTAGCGGCGGTGCTGGTGCTGCCACCTGTGGTTTGTGGCGAGAAAGGCATGACGTCGAAGTCAGCAAGAATTGACGCCGGCGTGGGGAGGAAATAGCCTCTTTGCAGCGGAGGAGATGAAGAAGAAGCAATTGCCGTCTCTGTCACTGCTGGAGTTATCTTTGGTGCCGGCATGGGAAAGTCGAAGTCGGCCATAATCTCGGCGCTGATGGCGCGGTAGTAGTGGGACCGTCGTGGAGGCTCCTGGGAGGGGGCCGGTAGCCGCTCCTGGTGACTGTTTCTCGCCTGCGTCGTGGACCTTTCCTCTACTCCCATACTCTCCACATCCATAGCCATTGTCCAGTCGTATTGAGGGGGTGCAGCATCAAGTCCATCGTCGCCAAACCCCCCCACCAGGGAGGGGTTGGCACTGGAATGGTAGCTGGGCGGCAGCCCGGTGTTGGAAGGGGCAAACATTCTGGTCAAGGAGACAGAATCGACAGAGGGAACATATCTCGGATGTGAGATGGACACTGCGTTGTTCTCTGATCGTAGGAGGTCGTCCTCGGTTGCAGACCCTGCTTGAGGCGTTGTTATTGTCGTCGGTGCCTTTGATGAAGGGCAGGGAGTGCCGTTGGCAGGGGAGACTTCGAGGTGCAAGTAGGACGTTGCAGGGTTTGTTGTATAACGTAGCTTAAACCTGGCCAGGGACTCTGGTTCGAAGGTGTCAAAATTACGGGATGAGCTAGTTTGGTCCTCATCGGCGTTCGTAGTTGATTGCCTCCCGCTCGTGGACAGCGAGTAGCGAGGAGGAGGATACAGACGGCCGGGGTCCAGACTCTGTCAGTACGCTTCGTCCTTCGATGGACATGTCAAAAGTCACCAGTGACTTCGTGTTTGAGTACTCGAAGCACGGTGAGAAGTGATGGACTCCCGGGGTGTCCCGGCTGGATGCTTGGAGTATTACTCGGACCTTCAACCTTGCATCACCGTCCGAGCATATAACCGATGCATCCAGGCCGAAAGCCAAAGAAGCATACACACAGCAAGCGGAAGATGCAGCGCAGTAGGCAGATGTCGACGCAGATGGATAGTTGGTCTGAAGTTTGAGAGATGTGTTGGTCGGAACTTGGGATGCTATGCTCTCGGTAGTGGACAACGATGTCAGTGTTGTTTGCTTGAAGAAGACGAGGTCACGGCGCTCAAGACATGCTTCTGACCAGAGATTGAGGCGCTGGATCCATCATGCAAAGGGAGACAACGAGGTATGGGACGTGAGAATGCTGCTACGCGGCTTGGCCTGTCTTCCTGCGTGATGCAGTGCCGGATGATAACGGCCAAGGCATGAGGCGACGAACTGCAAGGTCGTCGGATGAGGCTGTATGGGTTCAACATAAACCTTGAAGGCGAGAACGGTCCCAAGTCTACGTCCAAGTGGTTCATGCCATGGAAGGGACACCGCTGCGGGAGGAGGACGGAGCCTTTGGCGAAGGTACGTATCTCGTCATATCCCTCCCTATCTTTACTAGGAAAGTGTGCCCTGTGACACACCTGCATCCTTGCACCAAGTGCCCCACCGATTGCCCGACAGGGGGGACGGCCTGGAAGGATCCACTAGAGCTCGTCGCTGTTACCCGGTCCTTAGCGACCTGAAAGTCTCGCTTGCCTACGCCAGCACTCAAATGGAACCACTGGTGGCTTTGACTTACACCAGCCCAGGCATCTTCATGGAGACAACATACTTTACTGCAGCCATTCATGTAGCGATTCACTCACACCTCTGACACCTCTCACTCCGACTTTGGCCGTCATAGACACATCCAATTCCAAAAGTGCTGGTACTTCGTACTTTGAGAGCCTAGTTCATGGTTCGAGAACGCCTTGGCTGTGGACTGCAAGGATGCAAGTGCGGACTTGCCTCTCCATGGCCTCGTTAGCCCATTTATGCCACATATTCCCTACATAGGGCTGGATTTGAGCCCCCCAAGAAAAGCCTGTTACGTGTTCTTGCCTCTCCATGGCCTCAATACTTGAGATAGAGGAGTCAGATCATCCACGTTTGCCTAGCCTCTCGCCGGGATGAACTCATGACCCCAGTCACACGTTGTCTAGTTTACCAACTCTCTAGGCCCGAGTATTGGACGCACAATGTATCACTAAGTAAGGAACAGCATTCATTAGCCACTAAGATGGAATGAGAAAGCTTGTCTAAGTGAACTCCCAAACATGCCGGTCTACATCGGCTGTCGCTGCTCCACCATACAAGAACGGGCAACACTAGATAATTATCCTGAGTTGCACAGATATCATATCTCAGGTACGTCTGAAAACCCCCACAACTTGAAGCAGCCCCAGGCCAGCACGAAGAATGAAAATCGAACAGTACCAGACTGCGGAGCTCCTAGCTTCCCCAGCGAAAAGTAGCCCACCCGCCTGCCTCCTGTCTCTCACGATCGCTCCTAGCACAATAGAGATGATACAGCAGCGTGCGGTCACCGCTTTCCCGGAACTTGGCCCGCTTGTCTTGTGGGCCCCACGCCACCAGCATCTGCTGTCGCCGCACGATCTGTGGCTCCTTGATTGAGTCGTTGCGGCCAATCTGCCTCATGTAAAGCGCGGGAGTAAGAGTACAGACGTTGAGCATGTGATGGTATAGCTCCATCTTTGAAGGTGGCGGATCCATCTTGGCCAAGTTGACAGCCTTGCGGTTTTGAAGCACGTTCTTGCAGTCAAGGTCATGCAAGCAGTCGAAGAAGTCGGGCGACGTCTCTATCTCACCATTAGGGCTACACAGAATGTATGGATTGATGTCGAAGTAGAAGTGGTTCGTTGACACCAACATCTTTTCGTAGAGTTGCATAGCCGGCTTGATGCAGTGCTCTCCAAAGTTCTTGACGAACCACTCCATCTGGTCTCTCCTACAAAGTATTTTGAAGATGCCAGCGAGCTCGTTCATGAGTTCCCGCGCTTTCTTGTCCCTGCAGTTCATGAACTGTCGAGAGCTCAAGATGGCATTGTAGGCCTCGGCCGTCCATGTTCTAATTGCAAAGAGATCTGCGTCATGTGTCAATATCCTATGCTTGATTGCAAAACGTGCCTCTTACCTCGCTTGGGCTCGACGTGATTCTGCAAAGCCGTCTCCACGAAGCTGAGCACTTCGACACAACTTGCAATGGCGTCGTAAAGCACTTTTTGAAAGATGTTGTCATTGAGGAATCTCATAATGATGGCAACAATGACATCTTCGTCCGTTTCGGGAAACGTGGATCCTTTGACCAAGTCTGGGTACATGTGTATCATCCGCTTCAACCTAAGGGCCTCAGTGGGCTTCCGACGGGCGTTCATCAGGACATCCTCGACACCCTGATCGTAGTCGTCGAGGACAGGATCCATAAACTTGGATACCCAATCGGCGATGCCTTCGACGAGATCGTCATACTCCTGCAGTTCCATTAGAAATGGCCGGCAAAATGTTGCGAGAGGCCAAACTCACGCGTCCGACTTCTTCAGGGGTGAGCTCCTTGCGGTAGGGTTGCAGACTGAAGATGTGAGATTGTGCATCTCTTAGCTGCTCTTTTAAAGTTGAGTTTTCTGTCTTCAGCTGGCTGAGCATTGGGGCCAGCGACTCGGTGTCCATTCCAGTGTCGTTGGCGGCCGAGCTCACGCTCGTCTTGATCTCATCAATTCTCTTTTCCGCACGCTCTGCCTTTTCCTCAGCAATCTCAGCCCGCGCCGTCGTCGACTCGAGTTTGTTTCGCAACTCCTCGATCTCGCGGTGCAGAAGTAGCTCATGGTTGGTGTCGACTCCGTGTCCTCCGTCATTAATTCGAAAGGCGGGGTGGCGGTCATCAGAAGCTTGTCTTGGGAGCGAAGAAACGTCAGCTCCAAGATCGATCAAATCACACTCGACGAAGGAGGGTGAGTCGGCAGCCGAAGTATGGGGCGGAGAGCGATGAGGATGATGAGAGACAGGATAATTGTGAAAACGGGTGGCAACGAGGCCCTTGGGCAGAGCTTGCCTTGGTCCCCTGCTCTGTGTGCCATTTTGCTCTGGAGCTGGTGGCTCGACCTTTGTGAACCCCATCTCGTCAAATTTAGAACTAGCAGTTGGACTGACTTGCTCGGTGATGACATTCACTTGGTTCTTGAGGACTGAGGTATAGGCGAGTCTCATGTTGTCGAGGATGTTTGACGCGACGTCAGTGCCGAGGGGCTTCTTCTCCGGGACGAGTGGTCTGTGACCCTCGCGGTGCTGTGATATGGGGGTTACCAGCTGCCTGAGGTCTTCCATGATGTTGACGGGGGATGCCAGACGGCGGGAGCAACGGAGCGGAGTTTGGACGAGGAAAGCGAGGCCCAAGTCTTTGAATCGAAGAAAGGGGGGAACAGACAGGGGCGTCTGGACGAAATGTACTGTGGTGGGGGTAGAAGATAGCAAGAGTGGAGGCGTACCGCAAGCAGAACCAGAGCCAGAAGGTTCAATACGTGTAGTGAACTTGTTTATGCCATGCTTCGTTGTGTCATAATTTCCGATGCCAATACAAGGACTTTATTCACTTGACCCTGGCCAAGATGCTGCGGGAAATCGAGGCTGGGTCAACTGGACCTCGATGGGCCAGAGGCCAGGCAAGGCCTATAGCAAAACATTCTGGTCAGTCTTTCGATTTCCCATGTCAGTAAAACTCTTTATGGTATAGACTGTCTACGGTAGCGTTGTTGCTGTCGAAGGGTAGCTACAGAGTGCCTTTGCGCCTTTGGGCGTAACGTATGACTTCGCGCTAAAGGCGCGAGGCAGTGACGACAGGTCCGTATCTTTTAGTCTGGTCCTGGTTGGTTCAGGACTTAGAGGGGGGATTGTAGCTGAAAATATCTCTCGAGATCGCTTTTGGGGCAAGGGTTGAAGAGATTGCTTCCATTCTGGTTGCTTGGTTATCATTGACCTGCTTGGCGTGGTCAGACCACGCATAACGTTGCCCTGTTTCTGCTTGGTCTGCCTGGCCGTGACAGTCTGAGCTGTAAAGCTTCCAGTGCTCCCGGGGCTTTTGCATTTGCACTTTAAGAACCATGCGCCCCTGGATGCAGAAACAGCCCGTGCGACCCGCTAGAGAGCACGACTTGGGGGGATGGCGTTCCGTTTGGCGCAACGTGACAACTGCCATAGTATCCGTAAGCGCCCGCCCCGCCCCCCGCAACCTGGAGAACTGGAACGTCGTGGGCCAAGATCGATTTGAAAGGGCATGTTCCTCATTGCTTCTATGCTGGCGTTTGTGCTTGGCTCTATGCGTGATCAGAGGGCCTCAAATGCGTGAGAGTCCCGTGTTTCGCTTGGGCGCAGGTCCCGTCCCGCCGTCACCGGGCGAAAACTAGCGCGTCTCTGCCTTCTCATCACACGGCGTGTATCATTCTGGAACGGTCCGGATGATTTCGCTGGGCTGGGTGCTTGAAGATGGTCACCTGTCACTGTTGGGGTTTGTTGAACATGGCATCTTGCTTTTTCCAGCGTACTTCCCCGTCGTTGAGTGAAAGGCCATGGCGATCCCTCTCGGCCCCACCGAACCGGGGGTACCTAGAGTCTCCAACGTCCGTGGCAGGTGTAAGTAACTCGGGCATCTAGCTAATTACTTGCTGCCATGCCCAGCCAGTGAGTACCTTTCCCTCTTATACCTACTTTCGACTAGCTACATTACCACCAGTAATAAGCGGGCTTCTATTCTGCAATCTACCTTACAATGGAAGCTCAGGTAGATGGAAGTCCACTCGTTCAATAAAGTACGTCCTGTGACCGAGCTTGTCTTCCTTCAAAGAGGTTCGTTCCATAAAGTAGATAAGGTTCAGCCGGTGCCTCTTGCCGCCTTGCACCATCAAACATCTCCACCCGAGCTTCACCCAAGGCTGACTATGCTTGTTGCTTTGATCTGCTGACCTGGCATTGATATCAAGCATTCATTTCTACTGGATGATACGACCCAAATCGCATCCACGTCTCGAACTCGCCTCCTTTCCCTTTCTTTCCTCGCCCTACAAGTTGCCCCTGCTTTGGTGTTGTCTATCGAAACTGCCCTGCCATCCACCGGATTCCACCTCCCGGCGCATCCAGTCAAGTCGAGCATAGCTTTATTCGCCTTCCCAGAACGTGTTCACCCAGAACATTAGCTCCGAAATAGCCTTTTTGTGTGCCTTCGTCTTGCTTTATTGTCTATTTCCCTGCAAGTCTTTAGCCCATATACTCTTGAGCGATACATGGATTTCCGTCTAATTGCTATTTCCTTTCTTTCTGATACCCGTGTCTGATCCTCGCAATACCCAGACGATGTCTCCGCCCTCCAACATGGAAAACTTCGAGAAGCTCTCCATAAGCGAGCGCAGAATTGTTGTCGGCATCGACTTTGGAACCACCTACTCCGGTGTAGCCTGGGCCGAGACACAGCGTCCCGATCGACGGACCGCCATCACTACGTGGCCCATTAGTAAATCTGTTCGCGAAGGCGAATCCTCCGACAAGGTCCCTACCAAGCTCAGATACGCCGGCGATGAGGTTCAATGGGGATTTTCCATTCCCATGACTGCACCTCAGGATGAAGTCGTTGAGTGGTTCAAACTGTAAGTGTCTTCTACTATCACCGGCATGTTGTGCAATCCACTTGAGCCATGCAGTCACTTGCCATAATCTGTAACTTACTTCTTGACTAGTGACCTTGACCCTTCTCTCCAGAGCATGGGTCAAGCAGTATCCTCGGAGGGTAGAGGAGGCCGCAACGTGGACAAGTTGGTGACAGACTACATCTCAGCACTCGGTGACCATTTGAGCTATATCTTGCGAGAGAAGCTTGGAGATCAAGTCGTCAAGACCACTCCTCTCGAGTTTGTTGTAACTGTCCCCGCCATCTGGTCTGACCTCGCCAAGGATAAAACCAAGCAGGCCTGCCAAAAGGCGGCGGGCCTTACGACCGACGCTCCTATTCACCTTGTCTCTGAGCCCGAGGCCGCCGCCATCTACGCGCTCCATGGCCTAGATCCTCACGGTCTCAAGGTCGACGACACAGTCGTTGTTGTGGATGCAGGAGGTGGCACCGTCGACTTGATATCCTACACCATCACGAGTCTGAAGCCTATCCTCGAAGTCCAAGAGGCGGCTCCAGGATCCGGTGCTTTGTGCGGATCAACCTTTCTCAACATGCGCTTTGCCAAGTTTCTCAAGGCAAAGCTTGGTAAGGAGGAGGGTTTCGACGACGAGATCATGGCCGAGGCCATGGAGCAGTTTGAGAAGAAGGTGCGTTCGAACTAATGATACTCTGCTTGACATAGCTCAGTACTAACAATCCGCAGGTCAAGAGACAGTTTACACTCGGCGCCGCTTCGGAGGACACCTACACCATCCCCGTCGGAGGTCTGGCAAACAACAAGGAGCTTGGTATCAGTCGCGGTCGATTCTCTCTGAAGGCGTCTGATCTCCAAACCATCTTCGAACCTGTCGTCCTGGAGTGCATCAAGCTCGTCAAGGACCAGATTACGGCCAGCAATGTCCCAGTCCGTGCCATCCTTCTGGTTGGCGGTTTCGGCGCTTCAAACTACCTCAAGGAGCGTCTGCGCAATGCCATCGACAAGAGTATCCAGATCATGCAGCCCCCCAACGCATGGCAGGCCGTGGTCCAGGGTGCCGTCATGAAGGGTCTGGCGCAAGTGTCACCCGATCGTCTCACACAAGTCAAGGTCCAGAACCGGAAGGCTCGCAAGCATTACGGGACCGAATGGCGTACAAAGTATGACGCCAAGACCCACAAGCACCTGGAACAAAAGCGGCACTGGTGCGGTCTCGACGGTTGTTATAAGGTGTACACCATGGAGTGGTTCATCCAGCGTGGCGACAATGTCTCTGAAAATGAACCTTTTTACACCTCATTCGTTTGGACGGGCTTGGTGAGCCAGGGCCGCATCAAAAAGATCAAGATGGATGTCTACGCCGACCGCACTCCGCGAGCCGCGCCTATCGCTCGCGACGACAACGTTTCCATGCTCGTTCACATAGAGGCCGACGTCAGTCATATCCCGGAGAACATGCTTGCCCGTCGCCAGGGTCTTGATGGGCAATGGTACTACGAGCTGAGCTGCAAGATCGAGGCAGTCTACCTATCTGCATCAACCGCGTATACCTTGCTTTACAACAGTAAGTCACTGCATGTCCTCTGATTTGCAACTCATTACTAACTGGGGCCCAGACCAGCGTTACAGCACTGTGACTGCCGAATACGTCTAAACACCAACAGATATTCGATCATACAAGTCCAGTGAGTAATATAGGGTGCGTGTCTTGGAAATGAGGCCGTGAGGGTGGATTCGAAGACAGAATGGGCAGGTTATACATAATTGACTCTTGTACGCAATATTACGATGCAACATTGAATATCACATGTATTCGTACCTTGCAAGATTGAGTCTATCCATACCCAGTCTTTCATACATCTTTCCCCTACGTCGCACAAAAAATATTTCCCGGGTCTTGTCAAACATCCAGGGAACGGATGTTTCACCCACAAGTCGAAACGGTTGATGTAAGCAACGTAAATCGGTCTCTGCTGCATGATTGTGTTTATGTTAAGCCATCACGTAACCCAGCCACAAGGGATCAAGGGGCCTATGACTAACAATTACAACTTGAGTGAGCTTTCATTCATCGTTACAGTAAAGAGAAGGACGGTTCTTTGTACGTTCTTGCAAGTACTCTGGTTCAACCGTCAGGAATTAGTTGATTCGTTTCCTAATGGCGGATTCAAAGGCGAACCAGATTCCTTTGGTAATAGATTCACAACTTGCGAAGTCCTGGATTGAGGGGAGGTGGGAAACAATTTCACGAAGGGCTTGGACTTATACCAGCACTGAAGGACTCAATTCTGTTCTGGCCAGGATCGCCAACTAATCGTCACCAGCTACAAACGATAGATGTAGTTGGGAACTGCACATAGAATCTCGCCGCTCAGTATGCTCCCTCTCGCTTGGCCCACTTGGGCTGCGGTGCAGGCTCAACCTTCCCAAAGCCAGTCGCGCTGACCATGCCAACCTCCCACTTGAGACCCTCGATCTTGGCGCCACCCTTTTCCATGGCCCAGAGAGTAATGCCGAGGTGGTTGGATCCCTGATAGTTAAGAATGCCTTCAGGTACGGGGAATCGAGTCTGTGGCCCGACATGGTGGACGAACTTGCCATATTGGTAGCCGTTGACAAAGATCTGGGCGCGATAGGCAGACGTCGTGGTATTGGCAAATGTCAGGGACAGAGGGACATCGAAGCCAGTGGGGAGGTTGAGGTCAAAGGTTGTTGAGTAGTAGGCGATGCCGGCCTGCTCGATTCCAGCAGTTGGACCCTTGCTGTCCTCCCAAGATTCGGAGGGAGGCTCGGGCCAGTGATAGCCCTGGCGCTCGATGAACAAGCCGCCTTCGTTAAGGGGACCACGCTCTCTGTCAGCGTAGTCTTCGCCGCCGAGGTTACCGGTGATTTTCCACTTGATGTCGGACTGCTCGTGGCCAGCCAGGTTGTAATTGAGAATGCCGCGGGGGTTTTTCTGCTGCTCCTCGCCGACGACCCAGTTCCCGTTCAGACCCATGTGGTCAACAACAACAGTGAAGACGTACTCGTCGTCCTTGGTCAGCCTGGGCAGGGTGAAGGTGCTGTTGTGGGCAGGGGTAATGGCGTTTCCGACCCAAGAGCCAATGAACTCGTCGTTCAGCCAGATGGATGCGCCGTACGCGTTGCCCCCCTGGGTGGTGATGTTGAACGTTGACTCTGCGCCGTTAGCTTTGAAATGACCGCGATACAGCAGCGAACTAGTGTGGTAGCCGTAGTCGCCGCCGTACAAGCTAGTTGGGGTCTTGAGTGGGTTGGCGGTGTTGTATGTCTCGTTGAGGTCGGCGTCAGTCCAGAGTTTGTCCGAGTAGTCGGACTTGATCTCGGGCAGACTATCGACGTACTTCCAGGTCACCTGACTCAAGCAGGGAAGCTTAATCTCAGGAGTAGTGAAGTCGATGATTGCTGTCACGACTCCGTAGTCATTTTGCTTAAACTCCAGAGCCTTACCGTTAAAGTTCAGGCTCTTGAGAGACGCTGGGGCGCCGCCAACGACTTCAATGGTGGTGGTGCTGTTGACATCGCCGGAAAAACTGAGTGAGTCATCGCCAACTATGACGTTGCGGACAAGGTAGCCGGCCTTGATGATAACGTCGGAGGTGGCGAAGTCGCCGACCTCCGGGGGGACCCAGAAATTGTAGGCCTCGTTGCGGGCTAGGAAGTTGTCAGTTACTTGGCGAGATACTTAATGCTTATTGGTGGCATACTCAGGAGATAGACGTAAAGGTTTCCGTGCACACGAACGACCTTGCGCTCATCCGAGACAGCCCATCCAAGAACAGTGTAGCCGTCTTTTTGCTCAATACTGACATCGGAACCCTCAATAACGTTCTCGTCCGTCACATCCACTTGCTCCCCCTCGACGGCTAGTTCGTGGTGCTCATCGGCACCGCCATAGAGTACAAGAACAGTCTTGTCCTCGTACTTCTTCCTAAGCGGGTGTAAGTAGAGATCTTTGGCCACTTCTTGGCGGGATTACCAACCAAGTGAAGATCTCAGCGGTGGAGTACACTAAGTTCTTGTCAGCAATGGGGTAATCGCTGACATGGATCTTTGAGTCTCTCCTAGTCAAGTACAGGCTGTCGCTGAGCTGGGGCACTTCAAGGTTTCCAAAGCCAACAGTCTCGACCTTGAGCTTGTAGGCCACCGTCTCGAGTGAGTCATATTGGGTGTGTCTGACAGATACGTTAGCTGGTGTCAAAGGGCAAACGATATCATGAACATGCCTTGCGATGTAGAACTTTGTCGAGTTGGTCGTCGCAGGAGTGACCGTTATTGCTTTGTTGTTCGTCCACTCGAGTGAAGAGTTGTATCTATCAGCCTCCAGGTAGGTGGGGGATACGTGGAGGAAGTTGGACTGCAGCTTGGTCTCGCTGTACTTCTCGCGGTTAACGAGACGCTCCTCAGTGATCTGCGCACCGTAGTCGTAGGAGGTATAGCCGTCAGAATGGCCGAGGTTTCCCCAGTTTGTACCGCCCCAAGTCTATTCAGAGTCAGACAGGCGCATAAAGAGGTAAAGATAATGCTGAGCTTACCATGTAGACATTAAAGATAGTAGTGCCAACAGCATAATTGTTCTTGTAAAGAACACGCTCAAACTCGTGGTTAAGAAGTGCTGCGCAGTACTCGAAGCCAGCCCCACCCCACGGCTGGAAGCCACCACCTTGGAACTGGAAGATGTCAGTAAATGCGGTTCTTAGTGATGTGAGCTGTCCATGCCATACCTCAACGATGGTATAGGGGGAAGTTGGCGCAATGCGATTGTTAGTAGCAAGCCAGTCTGTAGGAAGACCGTTCGTGGGCCAAACGGTAGGGTTCCAGCAGTCAAAACCCAGCGGGTAGGCGTCGTGGCCGTAGATGTCGACTTTGGCTGGTGTCAAGGCAGTAATGGCGCCAAGTTGCCAAGCTTCATTGTTGACGTAGGGAACAACGACGCCTTGGCTACGGAACTGGCTGTCGACGTACTTCCAGTAGTCATAGTCTGGGAACGGGTACGGATCGACAGCAGCATTGTACTCGTTCTCCATCTGGAAGAGAATGACGGGACCACCATTGGTGATTTGCGCTCTGGCTATGATGCTGCCGAGAGCGGCTGTATAGCTACTTCTGTCAGTGGAAGTTATTACAGGCGCCCGTCCCTTCCTTACTTGTCACTGGCCTTGAGGTAAGCCTCATCACCACTTCGTAAGGCTCCCTGAACTCGTTGAAGCCAGCCTGGAAGACCACCTCCGCTGACTTCTGCATTGATGTACGGTCCTGGGCGCTGAAAGTCAGGTTAGTTCATTGATCTTGTCAGAGTGGTGGTGGTAAATCTTGCAGCAAAGAGGTATAGACCAGCTCTCTCAGCGGCCTCAAAGAGCGGCTCCAGAGCGAAGATGCCCTCAGCGCGGACTTCTCCCGGCTTAGCCTCGAGCAGGCCCCAGTTCACGTAGAAAGAAACAGAGTTATATCCAGCTGCCTTGATTTTCTGCAGAATGTCGAGCCAGAGGGAGGGGACCGGCAATCTGGTTTCGACCTTTAGCATCTCATCCGATGAGTGCAGCACAAAGCATTGTTCATTACCTAAAGGCGTGAAATTCAGCGCTAAAGATCATTAGTCTCTTGCGGTTGATGAACAAGCTTTTGTCATCCCAAGTGACCTAAATTTGTTAATAAACTCTTCATTACTTCAGGATAAGTCAAGGTTTATGTAGAGAGCTAAATTAACCCCTGATGTTGTTGAGGAAACTCACAATGTCTTGCTGTCTCCCATTCAGAAGCTTCAGGTTTGTTTCAATGGCTCCAGCACTGATCCCGTCAAGCCAAGCGAGAGCCAGTAGGGAGAGAGATTTAAAACGGGATAGTAACATTTTGATCGGAGCGCTGTAGTATGGATAGAGCCCAATTGCAGCGGTACACAGTCTATGAGAGCAGAACGTGAATCATTCTGAGTTTCGAGTAGGTGGAACCATTTTTTATTTGACATGAAAAACACAGATTCGATCTTTCCAAGCGACGGACGGGAATGTCACCATCTCTATCCCCGTCTCCACGTAGCGGCGGTATTATCGGCATTGCTGCCTCTTGACTGGCCAGTAGACAGACATCAGGTACTGCATTGCCTTGATCTAGAATCTCACCTGAGCAAACTTCCCCACTCTCCAACTCCACCTCTGTTTGTCTATCCAAACGGGCCCACGGGGAAAGATATGACATGACGTGCATGAAATGCACCATAATGGTAATTGACCAGCCATGAGAAGAAATGGAGAGCGGCAGAGGCTTGGGAGCTTCACCGCATCTCCAACCAAACCCCCAGTCTCCTTCCCCGCTCGAACAGCCCCGCGTTTGGCAGTTAACCAACCGTTCGTCCCTAGTCTCCCAACCGATCATGGGGTTCCTTGCGGCGCTTACGCCACCTCCAACGGTCCGTATGTCCAGGGAGTCCAGGAACGCATCGAAATTTCCGTCCATACAATGCGGGTAATAGGGCCTCGCGGAAGCGGGAAAACAGGAAGAGCACAGCATGATCTTGCGTTGATCACTCTGCAACTCCAGAGCTGACACATGTAATTTGTTAAACCAGACAAATTTTCCAGACTCGTTGAAAACGCAGCCCCAATCTGGAAGGCAAGAGCCCGGACTCGAGAGGCCAGCGGCTGGTCACAACCAAGAGGCCGCATCAAGGTGAACCAAGGACTAATACACATCAGGCTCATTGCGTCACGGAAAGAAAAGATCAATTTTTCCGTGGTACGGGGAGACAAATCTTGGCTGATTTGTTGATTTGGAGAATAACAACTCAGTCAACCAAGTGGCAATACGTGATCGTTGTAACTGTAGTCTCCCATTATGGCGTTAACCGCACTACAAGTAATTACTGGATTTCATTTTTTGTGTACAAGTTATTGAGAATTCCCGTGCATTTCTAAGGATATCAACCATTATATGCAAAAAAACATTTACAAGACTTATGCCTGCTTGAGGCCCAGCAGCTCCGTAAGTTTAAGCATGCTGACGGTAACCTTGTTGGTGGTGCTAGGAGGCAAGACACCGGCACCCATAATCAGTAGATAGTCGGGGTCCTCCTCCATGATCCGCAAGTTGCGCGTGTAGGCGCTGGCCTCGGGAGAATCGTAGGCCACCCAAGCAGTAGGGTCACCGCCACGACGGTTGACGAAGAGAGGAGCACTATTGCTGCTAACGACAATAGTACCATTGCAGCCGCCCACAGGAGACCAGACAACGTTGGGGCTGTTGATTGGAAAGACACCGCCGTTAGTGCTGTTGATGTAGTAGTCAGGGGCGTCGGCGAACTTGCGAGGGTCCTTGGCGATGCGGTAGTAAATGGGGAATGAGTACGGAGTAATGATGTCGGCACCACCCCACTCGAAAGTATACATGTAGTCGCCGTTGGCCAGCTGAGTGACAAAGGGCATACCGGGACGATCGGTGTATCTGGGGTAGGAGACGTCGACGACGACTTCAGACCAGTTCTTGAGGTCCTTAGTTGTCTGGTGGGAAATTTCCTGCCCGTGCTCAGACGAGCGTTGGTCGGCATAGTACAAGATTAGATCGTCCTCAAAGATACTATAGAGCAGGTTAGCGTGCTTGAACCATAGGCCTGCTGGCCAAAGCACCGTAAACTTACAGGATGAAAGGCTCCCATACGGGAGTCTCCTCGTTGTTAGGGATGGCACGGCCGCCGCGTGCGACGTGGGAGAGAAACTCCCAGGTGCGGCCTTTGTCCTGAGAGGCATACAAGTCGATTTGGGTCTCGCTGAGGTCGGTGGGGATACTGTTACCGGCCAAGAGGATAGTTCCTGCAGGGTAGCCAGCAAAGTCTTGACGAAGCTCGTATAGGAAGGGCTGGTAGCGCAACCCCCAGTTGTTAACCTGATCGTGGGCCTGGCCAACTTCCTCCCAGGTGAGGCCACCGTCGATAGATTCGTAGATAGGGAACCAGACCAGGGGGGGTTCAGGGGAGTAGTTCTCCCAAGTGCCCAGAAGGCGGCCGTCGTCAAGCTGGACGGTACGTGGGTACAGAACGCGGGGGTCCGTGTAGTTATCGGGCGGCTGAAAGATGAGGTTTCGCTCAAAAGTCTCGAGGGCCGAAGCGAGGCCGCAAGAAAGAGCGCCGACTGCGGCAATGAGGGCGGACCGGAGCATCATGTTTCTGTTGACACTCGACGATCTTTGCGGGATGAGATGCGGCTGGAGAACAAAGTCGGAGGAGAGCGTATATTTTGCCCAGACCGAGTCGAAGGTGCCTTTATATGATTGTGTCGGAGAATGTATCCCTCGTTGCCGAAGCCATATCCTTGATTCCAGAGGAGCCATGGACATGGGGTTGGTGACTATTCAAAGATGCGCGATGCAACATGGCCCGAGCTACGAGCTCTGGCTCGGTTACCTCGGTGGCCATGTGGTGATGAACCATGATCTTCTTCCCCACTCGCGCAAATCTTCCAGACTGGAGAGCCTGGAGACACCCGAATGAGAGACAAGCAAGGCCTAGGCTCTACAGGCTGTCGAAAGTGTGAAGCAGAATTGAACTAGGAGCATCGTTGCGCAGGAAAACCTGTGACACTACAGTATGCGCTCCAAACAAACGGCATTCGGTCCAAGATGATGATGAAAGATGCCGGGATTCACGACAAGCTACTGCCGAGACTAAAAAAATAAGATTGGGATTGTGGGAGCCGGGCCAATGTTGTATCGAGGTGCGCCGTGCTGAGTCGCCCATTTCAGTGAACCCCAAGAGTTGTCTGTGGGGTTCGTGCGGGGGAATGGAGTCGAGTATCGGGTACGTGTGGCTGGCAGACCGAGATGCGCACCAATCATACCTGTTGATGATCAGACCGTGAAGTTAACTCTTGGCCTAGTTTGTTTCCTGGTTCACGATATGTATGGGTTGTGAGTTGATGCCAATGAGGTAAGGAGAAGCCATGGTTCGCCAAACTGCTCAATTTCGATAATGCGTCAGACTGGCTCAGTCAACCTGGTCCAGGTTCCGTCTGCTGCATTTGCATCGTGACGAACTCATCTCCTCTTGAGTACCTGAATTTTGAGTTGCACTATTGTAACTAAACGAGGCACGACTTAAGAGAAGTTTACCGTTCGTGGGCTAACATCAGTCGTTGTCCTACTCAACACAATCAACTGAAGCAACATGTTCGTTAGTGATCTGCTGCAGAATGTCGCACAGGTAGCCAAACCAAGGTCGGGCATCATCTTGTTGCGTCAACCGAACTCCTAGATAGATCATTCTGAACGCATCTTTGAGAACGGGGAGCGTGCGAACAAAACTAAATGAATTCATTAGATTTATACTATGGTTGTTGAATGGTATACTAATCTCTATGGGTATCTCATGCTTTCTATCTAGATGTGTAAGCCTCGCAACACGTCGCCAAACCTGATGTCGACACTCCCAATCTATTATTCCGTGTATTTCAATCTTCTCCTCATTCCTTCTTGGGACATTCGGGTTCTCTGTTAATGACCGTCTGTATGAAGTTGTTAATTCTTATGCAGACTGACTATTGACCACAGTCTTGGACCGGTAGTGAGCTTTGGAGAGTGAGTACTCCTCCTTGATAGTCAGAACGTAGAGGAGAGCCAAGATAACAAACGATATCCAGCAGCCCAGGAAAACGTCAATAATCCCGAAGAAATCATAAAGACCGAAGAAAAAGATGACCATGAACCAAGCCGCGCGCACGAGGTACAGTGAGGAGCAGACAACAAGAATCTGGGCAGCCTGGGAAAAGTACGGTTAGTTTTGAGGCGCCAGCCAATCTTGAAGACACAACATACCTTTTGCACAGGGCTGCCACGGGCCTTCATACGGGACTTGGCGGAGTAGACGATGGAACCAATACCACAAAAGACTAAGAGACCCGCGATAACGATGGTGAAGCAACTGGCGACGAGGTACATGATCCGCGCGTTGTCGTCCCAGCTTGGAGAGAGGCTGTTAGCCAGCCAGAGACACCAAGTGACAGTATTGAGGACAGCAAGAAAGCCGGAGACGCCAAGGACCACTATGCGGCCTTTTCGGTAAGCGCTAGAGTCGTCCTGACCCTCGGTTCGGAGCTGTGTCAAAGCGTGGGCCAGGTAGAATAAAGCAAGGAAAATGGCAATAACGGCCCATATCTCAAACATCGAGCTGATGTACCCAAAGGCGAAAGAAGCATCACGTGCCTGGAAAACGAGCCAGCCGTGGATATCATCGTAGTAAGCCGTAAAAATAATTTGCTGGAGTAATCGTAGGATTTGAGCTCTGCAGCGACGTTTTAGTCCACCTGATGGATTAATTGTACGGAGCGACTTACGATCCCCAAAAGCCCGAGGCTATCTTGGTGTAATCGACCCATCGGCGGGTGTTGTCGTGGCTATAACCAGGCCTGCGGAAGAGGAGCCCGAAAATGACAAGTGCAGGGATAGTAACCAGCAGGATAAGAACAATCCGTACGATAAAATAGATTTTGAATGAAAACATCTCGAAAGGTTGTTCTGAGCCTATAACTCTCCTCCTCTTTTCTTCCTATTGCTTTTTTTGAATTGCGTTGCTCTGTTGGTCCGATTTGACGGTTTTTGTACTGCTTTGTGGAATTGTCGGGATATTGATGTTCATGACGTACCTTGAGGGATAGTTAACATCAAACAAGAACTCGGGAGAATAAGTCTTTTAAGTGTTCTCGGGATTGAAACCCACAATGACCCAAAGGTCCTTCTGTTGATAAGTTTTTCACATCAGCAGCTAGACAGGCGACAGGCCTCTTGTGGTTGTGTTGTCCACTCTAGGCTGCCACTGTTCACCTTGGCCGGGCGATGGCTGTGCCGCATAGCGGCAATGTAGAACCGTGGTAACCATTGCCCGCAGCCACCATAGGCCCCTATAACGCTTGATTAGGTAAGGTGCCGTGAACAAGCAAGTGAGAGGAGGCGGTCTGTCCGATCGGCCACATACCCCTGTGGTGCAGCCGCCCGACAATCTCCTCACTAACGAGGAAGAGGGCAATATGCCATTGGATGCAACACATAGCTACGCCCCTCTTTTGTCGCCCTGGGACTGTCAGTGTGGGGGAGGGCATGCAGGGAAAAGCAATGAAATATCTCACATCTCTGAAAGACGGCTTCGTCGGCAATGGATAAAGGGACGGACTTGACTCTACCCTGTGGTACTGACATCGCATGCTGCAATAAGTAATTGAACGGCCGTGAGTACTTCCAGGGCTTCAAGGTCATTGGCCTAAGACCCACGTTGGAGGGCATGATGTGAGTTTGAATAGGTAACTTTGATGGTGGGATATTGCAATTAGTACAAGCGTTAAACATAGGCCGTCCACAGCAAAGCGGCCAACCAACGACACTTTCCTCCGGCACAAACAGGGTCATGTAGCCATTTATCGTCAGACCTTAGCGTTCAATCTTGTCGAACAGCTACACTGTTGGTAGGATCCTGGAGACCATTTCCTCCAGCCTCGGTCTCAGCCAATCACCACTGCATACCCGACGAACTTGCATGAGTGACTGATAAGAAAGTAACGGGCTAAGAGAGTGTTGTGATACTCGTTGATCAAGACATTTCTGTGTCCAATCTCGATACCAGAACGAGAACTGCGCTGTCTGATCAGGTTATAAGAAGGAAATCGCAATTAATGGGCTATTTTATATAGTGGTAGCAGTAAGAAGAGCTCTCGCGTGAAGGTACCTGCCTTTCTTTACGGAGAGCACGTTCGACGCCGACTGTGAGGAGCGCATAGGACTGACCATGTTATTCCGCCAGTTGTCAGGACCTATGGGGTTCTCTCGGAGACTGTCAGGCCCGTCACGGACGAGAACATGGTTATCTTGTCGGTACCGCGCTTGCCTTCGGGCAATAGATTCGACTCGAATAACATGGCGTGTTAGTCTTCCGCAGTCCCGCGTACATGCTCAGAGTGGTAGGCGAAATTGACCTGGAGAATTCTGGCGAAGTGACCGTCCGCCTTAAGGGCGTCACATACTCGCTTTAGAGCTGGCTGTTGCTCAGACAATGTCAAGCTCACAGGACTGTTGTAGCAAGCAACTTGAACTGTGGGCTCCGACTCGAGGTATGGGGCAATAGCGTCGGCTGAAACGTGGACAGCAAGCATGCCCAAGAGCTGTCCTGGATTGTGGGACTGAGAGGCCAAACCGCTGAAGTAAGCAATCTTGATGCCCTCTTCAGGAATCAACAGTCCAGCGACAACCGCTGCAGCGATCTCTTCTGATGAGGGACCAATCACCCTTGAGGCCGAAATGCCCCATTGGCTGATAACTGCCAGCATCGCAATTTGGCGTGCTGTGACTGATAGTTGGGAGAACTCGGGCAATCTCAACGTCTCGGAGATTCCTTTCTCTGTATGTCCCGAAAGAAAGAACCACTTGGGTGCGCGTTCAAGATTTTGAACCGCGATTTCTAGTGACTCGATGACGGACTTTGCCAGTGGAAAGCTGTCGATGTAATCAAGTTTCTGAGGCCATTGCGCTGCATGACCAGTGAAGATGAAGGCAACTCTTGGAGGTTCAGCCTTCTATAACTGTATCCAGGCAGCCAGCCAGTTTAATCAACTTACGATTCGAAACTAGAACAAATGCAAAAGATATATATCGGACCCTGGTGACCGCTGTGGAGGTTTCATACGTCGGCAGCAGGATTGAGCGGGCTCGGGAGAAAGTGGCAATTCACCTTCGATTACGTGCACACCCTGCTGCTAACACTGAGCCTTCTCCCTTGAGACGAACTTTTCGGAACCGCCCGCTGCTGTGCCGCTTTATGCCTGAGGAGAACAGGAGCCACGTCTTAAGGTGGTATATGTGCTTTTGGGTAATGATAATCTCTAGCCGAGTTAAGACGGCAAGGGAATTCGCCAATAAGACAAGGGTGTGTACTACCAGAGACCACATTCGCCCTCCAGAAGGGCCATCAAAATATGTTTACTGCTTGTGGGATTCAGCGCCAAGTTACTTGGCGCTGGGTAGCCAAGACTTGTTCGTATGTCTTGGAGCATGAGAGGGGAGCTATTGAGAGGCCAAGAACAGCGTCAATGGTCTAATTTATCAAATCAAGAGGTCTCCAACCGCTAGCTATGTCGGCTTAGTGAGGATTTTGAAATACTGCAGACGCCCTTGGACCCGAAATCAGCATCCGTGTGAGAAACAATCGCAGCATAGAGAGGCTGAACTATAGGAAACCCGCTGTGCCTCGATGACACGTTTGTATTGTCTACCTGCGGTTTTTTGATAGATGACTCAACGATCGGGTAGGCATCAGCGCCCTTCTCGGCCAGGTAGAAGGTGAACCAAGTTCATCTTGTCATGGCTGCAGACACCTAAGGCGACTATAGCCAGACTAGTAACGTTTGCATGAGGTGGTGGGTTGCGCGGCCCGTTGCAGGAGGCTGCACTAATTACTACCCCCAGCTTCATCAGATCGATGTTTCTATGCCCCTCAGAAAGTAGCTGTCTGCGGGGATCTTAAGCGAGTGCGAACATGGTGCAGTTGAAAAACAAACAGTCTTGGCCTTTTGTCTTCATCTTGGCTACCAAAGTTCTTAACGAGCACAGCCAAACAACAACTTTCTCTCGTTGTCAAAACAACACCACTCGCCGGTGAGTTCGGGGTCACAGAGTCCCGTTTCTTTGCGAGCCTCAATAGATCCGATTTCCATCGTCTGCGGTATTCTGTCATCAAGTAACGAAGAACTCATCACCTGCTTTCTCCAACTTTCTCAGAGTCGGGGGACGAGGTGAAAACGCTTGCCATGGCGGAGGTTCCAGAAGACTGGAGCGTCTGGCTGTTTGAGCCGTCGCTACCAACGGCCATTGTTGCGACCGTTGTGTACGCATTAGCAACCATCTGGATCACCTACTTGACTTGCTTCAGGTACCGGGCGTGGTTCTTTGTATGTGTACCTATTGGCGGTTTCTGTCAAGTTACTGGCTATGCGATGAGGTCCTACTCAACACGTGATCACCAGAACATTGTGAGTTGCTGGGGCCCTGAATTGATGAAGTTTTTCTCAAGATGACCTGCGCTTCTGTCATTTTGCCACTCATATAGCTAATTCGATACACCGCTCTTCTCTAGGGCATCTTCGCGTCCAGCACTTCCCACATCGTTCTCGCCCCTATCTTCATTGCCGCTGGAAACTATATCCTGATCGGGCGGCTGATCCGTGCTGTTCTACCTCCGACGCACCATAGAATCTTTAAACTGCCTGCCCGGCTCTTGACAAAGATTTATGTCGCTATTGATATTATCTGCATGTGCGTGCAGTCCTCTGGGTCATCATTAGCTAGTGGGGTTGGCTGGACAGGTCGGCTTGCTGGCATTGGAATTAAGATCCTGCTCGCTGGACTGTCTCTCCAAATTTTGGGCTTCTCGACATATTTGTGCATCTTGATGCGTTTCCACTTCTTATCTCGAACGATGGCTATATCTCAAGCACCGGCCGGCTGGCTAAAGGTCCTCAAGGCTGTTTACATCTCCAGTTTCTTGATTTTGGTAAGTTTTACGTATCCTCTTCACTATAGATACTCAAAAACGTTCCCTACCGCCTCTAGCAAGTAAGTAGCGGAGTGCAAAACCGATCGCTGATGAATATGGTGAAAGGTCCGTTGTATATTTCGAATGGTCGAGTTTGCGGAGGGTCAAGAAGGATATAGCTTACAACATGAGTGGATGTTTTGGGTCTTTGAAGGTCTACTCATGATAATAGCCCTTGCGATCTTCTGCATTTGGCACCCGAGTGAGTATCTGGGCAGTGCTGGCGCATCGGAGAACCGAGTCTCCAGTTTATTAAGGCAAGCAACAAACACCATCAACCAATAGACCAAGACAACGAACTAGACAATATACGGCGAAAGTCTAAAACCTTGAAGATAATGGAATGTGGAAAGACGTCGTCAATAAATTGGGTTAGACAAATTGATAAAATAAAAGACGGGAGAGAACACAGGAGAGACCATGCAGATTCGAGACCCATCTCCAAGGCAATCTCACGTGGCAAGCCCGTCGGTGATAGCAGAAATTGTGGTAAGCTCAATGTTTTAATGGTAGTACCTACCGTCTCTTTTCCATCCAGAGTTCCCAATGTCTGGGGTCAGAAGCACAGTTCTTGAAAGCCGCTTATTTTGTTGGTTCAGTCGTTGAAAGTCCAGATTTTGCATCATACTATGAGAGCGTGAGGTCATGATTTTCCTCCAATTGCTCCAAGGCTGCTCCAAACAATGAGGAGATCTGTGCGAGTGATTACGGTGTGGGCCCAGACGTGTTCATCGAGATAGTGTCAAAGATTTTCTCTCTGCATGGCCATGTATGGACATCGGCAAGGTTACCAAGCTGTCTATGAATATAGCGCATGATGTTTCGAATAAGCCGTAAACCTATCAAGTTCAACTTGGAGAACTTACCCGCATGAACGTTTGGTTTCCCTTCTTCTTTTATTGAGAAAAGAAGCTAGCCTTTGAAATGTTATGGAGCTGCTTAGAAAAAATTGGCTTAAAGGCAAGTTTCTTCGTATGTTCAGGTAGCCGCAGACTAGCTAAAACCTAGGTAATGCTAGAAAAACTCTTGTACAGACTGGAGGTCAGCTGTTTCGGATAAGGCGACTTCTTTTACCCTTCGAGATGTTCTTTCATCAGTTACCTTGATAATTTGAGGGGATGTGAACATTCGTGGCTGATCAAGGTTTACTTCGAGGCTGCTCGACAACGAGCAGAGAAAGCTTTTTGTCAAACCCGAGCAGCTCGTAGACTCGGCTCTTATTCAATACATCTCGACTAAGTTTTTGTGAACCAGTACTAGAAGCCGCTAATGAAGGGACTTATCGGCGAACCCATCATCAACACGTGGTCCATACATCTGCGCCCGTTGAGCTAGTAGTTAGTCTGGTGGGTACCAGACTCAAGGTATCCACCACATCCAACGTCAGCACTACGAACTTATATATCAGACTTCAGAGAAAGGCAAGATATAGTCACTGGTTGAGCAATACAAGATATAGACACGAAGTAAAAGACACCAACTAGCAAACTCAAAACAAGTTATTGATCTGCTTGAAGTATCCTATCAAGTGACTGGTGAGGTACAGTGAGGACCCTATGGTATCCAACCGGAGCACAGTGTGCCTTGGGAAAAGCCTCTAGAAGCATTATACAATTATATAAATATATCTAGAATTGGGTATCAAGATATAAGTTTTTACTAAATTTACATTATTTAACTTATATAAGAATACTTTCATGTATTTAGATTTCTTTTTAAAGACCTATTATAGCTTATATACTACTTTCTCAAAAGAGCCTTGGAGAGAAAAAATGTCTTAGTAGCAGGACAGTGTTAGCCCTACTAGATTTATCACTGTAATCCACTATACTCTAAGACCTTAAAGATCCTTCTTGTTTAATACAGTATAAGTATATATCTAGCTGTTTAAAAAAAAAAGAATATTAGATAATATTATTTATACTTTGTTCTTACTTACTGTATTCTTTAACCATTTTTAAGAGTTAGCAAAGGGCCTATTTATACTTATAGAAAGTATGGGTTCTAGGTGTACACTGTGGTCTGTTCGAATACTTTTGGGTCCTTACTGTAATGATAAGGGCAAGCATCGATCGATGGAATACATATCATGCAGGGCGACTCTGTGGAAAAGAAGAGAACGTTAGAGAATCCGTTGTCGATTTGTCTTCAAGTACTTCTAATCAAGTATAGTCAATTGGCTAACGTTTTCTCTCCATTCAAGTTTGAATGCACGAAGCCAAAGCCGTATGGCAATCGACGTGAAGCTGCGAAAACAATCAGTGTGCTAGGAGGCATGTCATTAATGGAACTAAATGGGTGGAACAAAATGAGGAAGGTAAGTGTGTCCGGAGATTAACATTATATCTGCTACAAATACTTGTGCTTTTCCATCGATTGTGGCGAGATACCATGCGGGACACGGTCAGTGAAGCTTGCGAAATTTCCTCGCCCATCCAATGATGAACTGAAATCTGTAGTACTTCTGTTTCCCATTCGTCTGGACTGTGCTAGAGGTACCGGCAGTCTGTATCGTTAGCGTACGTGAAACCTAGCGCTCTTGTCGTGTACGGATTGAAATGCAGAGTAGAAATGGGTTCTTTCATGGGACAGCTCTTTTCTGGCGTCTTGCCGCAGTCAATGGGATGCGCAGCATACTTGCAACATATTAACGACCAGTAATTCAGCCCACCTGCGGGACAACTGCAATCCCCCCACCACCAACTTTGCTTCTTCTCCGACCAATCATTAACAGCTCTAGCCTTTTTATATTGTTTTCCCCCAGTTACATGAATTCTACATTGCCTTCAATTCCGATATCACCAAATTCATTCAACTCTGGCTGGTCAGCCACCTCCTTCAGGTAGTCGATCATCCAGTGATCGTATGTAATATATACGGCTTCTCCTGCGAGTGCCATACAAGGGACCTTGGTAATATTGGGAAGCTTCGGACTAGGCTGTTTTTCTCGGTTGTTTACATTTCCGGAGACCTAGCGTGTTGTCGCTCAGGGACTTGATTGGGGTATTGAGTTCCGTGGAGATTGAAACGGCAGGCTCATAGTCAACAGGTATGTGGATAAGGCACTAAGGATTGACGACACTACTAGCGAGGCCGTGGCCATTGGCACGCAACTGAATAGTATTAGAAGTTCAAAGTTCATATTGCTTACCAAATGTTTGCGGACAGTCGTTGGATATACCAATGGTGAATTTGGAGCCTAGAGTGTGAGAGATCAGGTAAGACTGAGCACCCAATGAGAAGGGAGTATCATCTCGCATCCTGCGACGCGCGGAGAGCCAAGTCCTGCGAAACTAGCTATTTGTGTACTAGTCAAAGCTTTCAGGAGTTGATCGAGGAAAGTATAGCCGCACATACTCATTCCGGGCCATTGAGTGTGTAGTTGAGATTGAGGGTATGTGCTGTAGCCTTTTGCAGTGGTGAAGTCCATCAACCAATGCCGTGGACATGACCATCGCCATGGCGAAATTTCCCAAATTGCTGGCAGTGTAACCTTCGCATCGATGAGATATACTGGGCACCCTTGTCTAAGGAAGTAGGTTGCCCATCCGGGCCGGTTACCAGGCATGCTCAGCCATGTGGTTCCCGAAACAACGCTGCCGTGGATGAAGATCAGTGGGGTTGGCCGACGTCTGATGACTGGAGTGAGCTTCTCGACATAAAGCTTGCCGATGATGATGTTGCCTGATGCGCTTTGACGTGTGCAAAGTTTCCGTAGAACTACATTAAAACTTAAGTCGCTCAGGCCTGTGCAGCTACATCGGCAGTTGAGTTCACAACAAGTGCCCCAAGAGCGAGCACAAGCGCAATGAGTGCTCTAAGCTGGACTATGATGTAATCTTGATGCGTAGATGTTGAACAGCGAACACATGCCGAATGATGAGCTACAGGCGTGCAGTCTTTCTCATCAGACTTGTTGCTCAACAAATTGTGGCCAATGAACCGATATTACAGAGAAGCGAGATGTGCTTTAAGAGGGCTTTTTATGGGCTTCGCCCCTGTAGCTTGCGTTTATCTGGTCTCTGATGCTATGAAGTTGACCCTTAGAACTGTGTTGCGATCATGCCAGCGTCGAATGTGCTTCTTGCCTTCTTTATAAGGTTGAGGCCTGACTATGACTCGCGATCGCATCAGCATTTCATTCCAACTGCCCGCTTAGGGAGAACCTTAACCGTGCGCCTAGTCTAATCGGAGTATAGTATAACGAGCCGCTAAAATAGCAGCATTCCCCCGACTATGTCCATGCCGCTCCGAAATCCTTCTCAATATAATAACGAACCTTCTTACCCATGATCCTGGGCCTACTTGTCACATGGGGGAGAACCCGCGAAAGACATCGATCGAGAAATACAACTGACAACCAGGCGAAATCAGCCTGGGTTAAGCGCTATGCTGCTTCAGATTTATACAATAATATGATCAGCCTGAACGATCTCGTTTAAAGCATACTAGCCTTCCATTGTGGGTTTCTCCCTCTCGAGTCGAGTTTCTTTCGAAGACTCCCGCTCGTCATGTCCAACACAACAAAGTCCGCAAAGATCGGGAAACCGCCAAATAATGTAAGAGACTACAACATCATCAGGGGCATATATCGACAGTATGGCATCACGACTCTGGATCCAAGTTTGGGATATGTGTTTGCTGCAAAGGAGCCAAAGAATGCCGTCCACGAGTCCAAGCAGCCCGCCATAATTGCCGGCATGGTCATTGTTATGCTTGCCATCATTGTTCCGACGGCAGCAAGACTTTGGGTCCGAGAACGAGGGGCTCATACCAAGCTTGGATGAGATGACTGGGTGCTATGCGCAGGAGCCGTACGTAGAAGACAGGCCCTTCATCATGCTCATGGCTCAAATAGGCTGACAATCTTTTGTTTCAGACCATGGCAATAGTATATCCGACTCTCCAGATACTGGTCGTTGTCGACGCTGGAGGAGGTACACATACTTGGGAAAATACCTACAACGACTACCAATTCTACTCGTATTACTTAACAATTTGTCGATTGCTTTACTACCCCACTGTTGGCATCATCAAGATCTCGATCACCCTCTTTATTCGTCGAATCGTTGATACGGCGTACAGGACATGGAGAATTGTGGCCGACATTTTTCTTGGGGCTCTCGTTGCTTACGTTGTGCTCGCTGTGTTTTGGAGTATCTTCATCTGCAATCCACCCCGCGCTGTCTGGGACAGGGAGTTCGCAGGCAGCTTAACAGAACAGGCGACTTGTGGAGACCAGTTCTTGAGCGCGAAGATCCTCAGCATTATTCATGTGGTTCAGAGTGTTCTCCTCCTGGCAACGCCCATCGTTATTTTGTGGAGAATTCGCATTGACCGGGGAAAGAAGATCCGGCTCTTCATCATATGGGCTGCAGGTGGCCTCACGGTTACAGGCGGCCTCCTGCAACAAATCCAACCTTTCAAATCGCCGGATATCTTCTGGGAATACACCATCATACTCAGATGGACAGTTCTAGATATAGCTATGGGTACTGTGACTGCGTCCTTGCCGGTGTTAGATTCGGCAATCATGGTATCATGGCGGACGGCTAAGTCCACACTTGGCCTCTCAAATCGGGAGAGAGACAACAGTAGAGAGACAAATGGAACAAAGCCTGAGACGATTGGTTCAGGGCCACGAAAGGCGTACATCAGCTCTGCTGAGAATATCATTAGAGAAGGCGGTGGTATCGAGATGGATGTTATGCGGCAAAACAACCCTTACGAAAATGGCAACGCTCATTCGATTCCGGATACCGCAGGGCATGATGAGCGATATAAACTTAACACCATTGTATGAATAATCTACATAAATGATAGAGTATGTAATATGATCATAGGGCTCCACATTCCACGCATTGCTCATGCTTTTCTCTACCACCAAAAGTTAAGCTCAGCTGAACAAATATACTGGGGTAAAAATATACTGGGGTACAAATATCCTCGTGGAGTTACAGCCGATGAAGCTTCACAAGACGGTATACCTAATGACCTATGGACCAACCAAGGTTGACTCATTTGAGCCTTATTTTCCTTTGGGAAGCAATACCTCGGAAGGCATTTAAAAAGCCTAAGAATGGACAATCGGTTCTCAGCTTTAATGTACTGAAGTGGGCTAATCGTTAGTCATTAACGTACCGCTTACTTAGTGACAAGTTCCTCCGTCTGATGATCAGCCAGTGGCCCATGAAATATTTCACTTCGAAAAACAACGTCCGGCCGATTCGGCCTCTCTTGTTCGCAACCACAACCGTTCAAGTACAGTTGACCTTACGCTGGACCAAAAGTCTGAGCTGGGAGCAGATGCCCAGGAGTCTGCACTTACTGGGACTTTGTTAGCTGGCTCAATGACCCGTGAGTCTGTAAGGTAGTAGGCCTCATCCTAAGCGACAGATTACGAACGCAAAGTATACATAAGGGGAGACTTGAAGACCCATGAGTATTTAGCCACCAATGGCATTATACTCTGACCTGTTTGCCTACAGCAGGTTGCCATGAGCGGAGGTTCTTCGGCGCGTTTCTCAGACGCAATTTCTCACTAAAGTGAGTATTTACGAGACTATGACCTATCATCCTAAATGGGAGAAAAATGAGAAGTTTCCCTTGATCGGGCCTTCTCTTCGATTCTGAAATTGGTCGTGACTATGCATCACTTCCCTATGCCCTGCAAGCTTGACAGATCATCTGACCCGCAGGACGGGATGGCAACTCGATCCAGGAGACTCCGCACAACTCCGCCTCAGGTGTGGGTTGTGGTGTCGTCGAACACTCTCAGAGCGTTGGTTTTCTTAGTAGCACATGCAGCTGTGACAGATCGGACACTATGTGTAAGACCACGGACCATGAGGTTGGCGCATGGCATGTATTCAGGTGGCGGCCATACAACGGCCCTATTAACCCCGCGCAGGTTGCCAGTTGGAGTTACGACAGCCGGCACTAACAGAACTTACCACCCCACAACGGCCTGCATGTCATTTAGAGATTTCCCGGACTGCCTGGATGAGTTTAGATCCGGGGAAACATGCACGGGTAGGACCGCCTCGGTTGGGGGTACTTCGGCGCTGCTTGTTCTGATGCTGGTTGGCCTGCTAGCTGTGTGATTAAACGATCGAAGGAAGATTGTCAAAATTGGCATCACAATACCAAGTGATCTGGCGATAAGTTGTGCCTCTGAGCAATATAAAAGCAGTACGGTTTCTCTTTGTAGCATGATGAGGGACATCACACGATAGGTATTTCAGTCCTCGTCTTTCTAGTAACATCTATTAGTCCGCAACTACTATTCGAGTTTTTCCAAATGAGGCCAATCATAAGTCTGGCTATTGCTGGTCTCATAGACGATGTTTACGGACATGGCTACTTGACTACTCCCTCTAGTCGCACAAGACAAGGCGCCGAGGTAAGAGTACCTAGGGGAAATTCTTCCCGGTGATATTAGACTAAAAGTACGAAGGCAGGTTTAGACTCTTGCCCAGAGTGCACGATTCGAGAGCCCGTCTCCGCCTGGCCGGATGTCACCGCTGCTACCGTTGGTCGAAGCGGTCCCTGCGGCTACAACGCCCGGGTAAGTGTGGATTACAACCAACCCTCGAGCAACTGGGCAACTCTCCTGTTGTGACTTATACACGTGGCCAGACGGTCGATGTGCAGTGGTGCGTGGACAACAACGGCGATCACGGCGGCATGTTCAGTTACCGCATTTGCCAGGATCAGGCCCTTGTTGACAAGTTTATCACCCCGGGTTATCTACCCACAGAGGCAGAGAAGCAGGCTGCCGAGGACTGCTTTCAACACGGCACCTTGAATTGCAACGATGTTTCGGGCCAAAGCTGTGACTACAATCCCGACTGTTCCACGGGAGAGGCCTGCTGGAGGAACGATTGGTTTACCTGCAATGCGTTCCAAGCGAGCAGCCGCCGCGCGTGCCAGGGTGTTGACAACGCTCCTCTGGGATCTTGCTACACCTCTATCGCGGGTGGTTACACTGTCACCAAGAAGATTAAGATTCCTGACTACGTCTCAAACCACACATTGCTATCATTCCGCTGGAACTCGTTCCAAACGGGACAGATTTACCTCACTTGCGCTGACATCGCCATCGGCGGCGGTGGCGGAAGTAGTCCACCGGCTTCAACGCGCACTAACACCGCCACAGCGACGGCGACCAGTGGTGCATGCGCTATTGCCAGCAACGTGGCCGTGACGTTCAATGAAATTGTCAAGACGAATCCGGGCCAGACAATCAAGATTGCGGGCTCGATTGCAGCATTCGGCAACTGGAATGCGGCGTCGGCTTCGGAGCTTTCGGCAGCACAATATACAAGCACCAACAATCTGTGGACCTACACAGTGTCGCTGCCAGCAGGAACAACGTTCCAGTACAAATTTATCAACGTGGCGTCGGACGGCACGGTGATGTGGGAAAGTGATCCCAATAGGTCGTATACGGTGCCGCGCAGCTGTTCGGCTGCTGTAACAGTCAGCAGCAGCTGGAAATGACGGGGCATATCCAAACAAGGGTTTGGCGTACGGCCTCCTTGATTTCTTGTGTAGAATTATTTCGAGGTCTGTTTTGTGGCGGAACCGTGTAGATGTCGTGTAATGGAGACTTGTAAACGCTCGAATGTCAAGTAATAGTATTTCAGTTGAGGGAGCCTACTATCACTGCAAAACAACGAGGCGGAGTTGCAGCTTGCAACAATCACGTTGATGTGAGACGTGTCTGAAGCAAACAACGCTTATAGGTCCCATCAGCTATCATGCTCTTGCTAGTCTTAATCCTCATGTGGCGCTGCACCGCTTTGGTGCTCAGCCTCTTAGCTCTCTCCAGGGGTAGAACAGAATGGCCAGCGCGTTCTGCCTCGCTTGAAGCCAAACGAACTCCACAAATACTGGGCGCTTCGGGGCGGTGGTTGCCTGGCTGCAAGCATTGACAGGGACATTGGTTTCGAATTGCTGTTCCGCGAAATCCTTCACGAGGCCTCAGTGGACCGAAGGATCTCACCTCCATTCCAGTTGGTATGGGCGGCGGTAACTCTCGTGAATCCTCGACAATAACAACTTTCAATAGGTAATCATGATACTTTATTGCCACAGATCGGCGTATGAGCAATACGGTCAATCACGGTAGCCTCAATCATTACGAGACCATGGACGGCTCTTCTGCCTCGCGAGGCCCCAGGACCCATCCACTTTAGTGCTTACTCTTCTCCAGTCTTTTGACGTTCTCATTTGGCAACTGTTCGTGATTGGGCTCAATGAGTGTAGGCAGCAACATGCTGTCTCCAAGAGAACACCAAACATAATCAATTCCGCAACCGTGCAGACCAGGAAACTGTGAACATGGGTGAGTCATAGCCACAAGATTTGGTCTGGACCCCGCGCTGAGGCAGCCGCCGTGGGGGAACCTAAGATGCCTAGCGCTTTGTTCGCATGTAGGTTGTAATGCGAGTACCGGCATAGAGTCGATACATTTGCTCGCAGTTATGTCGTGGGCTGTGAAGGGAGATAAATATACAACCAACATCCAGTCCAGAATGAATTTTGACCTAGTTCATTAGCATCATCCCCAATTTCGTCCAGCCAAGGTCAATACAATGGCACCCTCAACCACAACAGCGGAGGCTTTGGGCCTCACCATGGTCGACGACACGACCAAGGAGACCAAACCCCCCAGAAAAGAGACAACAAACGGCACAATCAACACAGATCCTGAGGAAACGATTGACGATGCCACGAACGGCGAGATGAAGGAAAACGGCGAGGAGAAGCAAGAACCTAAAAAGCCTCTCGCTCCCTTCGGCTCAATCGCATCAACCAAGAATATCTACAAGTCGCCAAAGGACAGCGATGGAAATTGGACGTGGGTTGACAAGTACCCCGAAGACGTCCAGGACGCAGCCGAGAATGAAGAGACAGAGCAGTACGCCGTCGTCGTGCGCAATGTCAAGAGCAACGATAGCCGCAAGAAGCTTGAAGCAGACTCCATTGTCATCCAGAGTCCCTGGTTAAAGAAGGCGCTCGTTGAGATTCTGGATGGCTACACTGGCGTTGCTTGTGAGCTGGAGCGCCTTGAATTCGACGCACCGTTCCGCCCTTTTGTGCACCGCTGGACGGAGTTCCGCAAGTACCTGAACAAGAAAGACCTGGATGAGACCGTTAAAGAGCATCTCACGATTCTGCACGATATTTTACAGTACGAAATTGGCAACATCATTAAGGCGTTTGAGGACTACGTCACCAAGGGCGTCATCACTTTCGAGCATCTCTGGATGATTTTTCAACCAGGCGCCATCGTCCTCTCCGCCCATAAGGGGCCTCAGTCGGCCTTTGAACTCGAGGAGACAGAATACATGGAGAACCAGTGCGGCAAGTTCCTTCAGCTACGCGCTGATTGCGTCGATTATGGCGGCAAGAACTTTGGCCGTCATCGGGAGAAGCTCAACATCCCTGAGTTCCTTGGTACGAAGAAAATCACAGGTCTCAGCGCCTATCCCTGGGCTTTCCACCCCGAGAAGGATAAATTCCGTGCGGCTCTGGTGCATCGGGGCAAGATCTTTGAGGAGCTCGCCGGTCACCATTACAAGCAATATTCCGGTACCGCCATCACATGGGACCGTGAAGGCAACGAAGTACCTATACAGGTCGAGGGTCGTGTAGTGATTGACATCAACTCTTTCAACCGCTTCAGTCCCTACTATAACACCCGCTACTTGAGTGACTGGACGGCCAAGGACATGGAAGCGTTGTCCGTGTGGAAACGTCAGCATGGCACTGGAAAGGACGGCAACCTCAAATTGACCCCGTACCATCAAATGCTTGCACGTTCCCGAACTCGTGGCTATTCGCTCAAGCTGAAGAAATGGTTGGATTTTTTTGTCGAACAGGTGACTGAAATTGACTGGAATAGCAACGCCTTTGACAAGCTTGTGCTGCCCGAAGACCAAAAAGAGCTTATCCTCGCTTTTTCTGAGTCGCAATTAGATGGCTCTACCTTTGATGATGTTATCTCCGGCAAGGGCAAGGGTATCATTTGTCTGCTCTCTGGCCCCCCTGGCGTCGGCAAGACATTGACGGCAGAGGCCGTGGCTGAGAATTTGCGCGTGCCTCTACACACTCTGAGCTCCGGTGATCTGGGTTCCGAACCGTGGGAAGTCGAGAACGGTCTCTCCCGGATCCTTGAGTTGGTTGCACGGTGGAATGCCATCCTTCTTCTCGATGAATGCGATGTTTTCCTCGAGGCGCGCTCGACGCATGATCTCGAGCGAAACAAGGTCGTCTCTATCTTCTTGCGGACGCTTGAGTACTATGAGGGCATCCTCTTCATGACAACCAACCGCGTTGACAACATCGACCTGGCCTTTCAGTCTCGAATCCACGTTTCTCTTGAGTACCCCGACTTGACTCCCCAATCACGCCGCCAGATCTGGCACAACTTTCTGCAGGGTGCGACCCTTAAGAGCGAGGTCTCAAATGAGGACATCACGGAGCTGGCCGAGTTGCAGCTTAACGGTCGCCAAATCAAAAATATCCTCAAGACAGCGCAGTTGCTTGCTGCGAGGAAGAAGAGTGCATTGAAGCGAAGCTTCATTGATGTTGTTCTCAACATTGAAAAGAGGCGTCCTGGCGGTGAGGCTTCCTAGTGAATATTCTGCGGCGTAATCATCTAGAGCTTGCAGGTCTTCTAGAGCTTTGGAGTGAAATTGCGACGCTGATGGACAACATTCAAGCGGGTTTGGGATGATATGAGGAACCCATGGCGGATACATGAATTGATGTTTAAACCCCAGATTATTGTAATCTCGCAGCTTTGAGTTCTATATACCTCATCAAAGGATTTGTAGACTATGCTGTTGATCCCTTGCCAAAGACTGGTTTGAGCTACAGACCCTTGCGCTTCGCGCCATCGTGCCATCTTTAGCCCATGTATAATATTCGAAAGTATTATCTCTTCGCACTTAGGAACCGAATTCTTGCAAAACCTGTTGAATAAGTCGTCCAGTCCAGGTCTCTTCCGAGGCTCTCCAAAAACATCAATTGCAAAAAAGTCAACTTTGGATGTGAGTTTAGTGGTTCGTTAGGTTAAATTTTCAAAGATTGATTGCTCAGAGGCTAAGCACAGAGGTTGACCGCTAATGTTTTTCAAAATATCTTGCCCCAAACTGTTTGACTCTCGACACATTGCCAAATCGGCAGGGAAATAAACTACCTGGTAAACTGCCTGGTTTGCTGCAGTTTCATTCTGTGCACCCATATCTGGTGTCTGGTGCCCCATTCAGCAGCTCAAGTCATGATGGAACACATTTGTAAATGCGGCGGGGTGACAAAACAATGCGGTGGAGCTTGACCTTCAATGAAGACGCATTTATTACGACACTCCAGCCACAGGTTAAATATTACAAGCACCAAGTAATCAGCACTCAGCAAAATTGGATGCCTTTTCAACTGAAACCCAATCTCTGTAGGGCTTAGTCTGTGCATCTAGATCCAAGCCCGGCCAGGGCGCTCCGGTACGAACATGAGCGCGTCATCGAGCGTCCACATCAAGATGGGATCATCGACGAGACAGTCACATATGATGATTCATAGGTGCTCAACCACATCCCTTATAAGCAATCAGCAGCAAGCAAATGTATGTTGCCGAGGGCGGCTTGAGAGGAGTGACAGTGGCATGAAATCATTCGACATACACGTCACCCAATGAACTGCAAACGAGTTGTAGTCCGTGCAGTGAGCCGCACTAGGCTTTCAGATTTATGTTACCCCAGATCCTCGTTCATCGCCTTACAAAGTCTACCACCTACCAAAAGCTCCCGTCAATACAACACTACCAGACCTTTACAAACACCTGCAATCATGGACGCTGTTAAGGTTAGTGCAGTGTGTTTTGGAGTGAAACTGCGGGCTCATTGAAAATCAAAACAGAACACCATTGCCGAGAACTTTGGCGGACCGGCCTCAAAGTTGGGGACTCACCAATTCACCCTAGAGGAATGTCCCGACTTGACCGGCAAGGTTGCCGTTGTTACTGGCGGTAGCGAAGGCATTGGATACGGTGTCACTTACACCCTTCTCAAAAAGAACATTGCCAAGGTCTATATTCTTTCCATCTCCAAGGAGGTCGTCGATGGTGCCAAGGATGCCATTTCCAAAGACCTTGGCGCCGAAAAAGCAGGCCGCACAAAATGGTTTGAGTGTGATATGGGAGATTGGAAGCGTGTCAAGGAAATTGCTGAGCAGATCAAGAATGATGCAGACAGGCTTGACATTGTGGTCAACAACGCTGGCAGGGGTATCATGACATACCAGCTCACGGATTACGGTGTTGACCGCCACATGGCCGTTAATCACATGGGTCACGTCATTCTCACCTCGCACTTGCTGCCGGTCATCAAGAAGACGGCGGAGAAGGGCGACATCGTGAGAATTGCCAACCAGGCTAGCAATGCGCATCAAGCGGCACCTAGTGATTGCAAATTCGAGAGTCTTGAAGAACTCAACCAGGATCTGGGTCCCAACGGACAATACGGTCGCAGCAAGCTCGCGGGTATTCTTTATGCACGGTACTTCAACCGCAAGGTCACTCAGAATGGACATCCCAATGTTTTGATGAACGCGACGCACCCCGGTTTCGTGAGCACGAAGATGAGTAAGGAGGATATCTTCGAGCCGTGAGTCAATAATTCCCATCCCTTTGTATAACACTGGATTTCTAACACCTGTAGATACCCTCTTGGGGGTTACGCTATGGCCGTTGGCATGGAGCCTTTCAAAAAGTCACAGTGGGAAGGTGCCGTTTCGATGGTTTATGCTGTCACGACGACCACGGAGTCGGGCCAATATATCTGCCCACCCGCAGTTCCTGAGCCAGGAAGCAAGCTCGCACAAGATGACGCACTTGCTGACCAGCTCATGGAGTTGACACGCCAGATCATCACAGAGAAGACTAAGAGCCAGTCCGTTGATGAGGGATGCCCCATGGACGATCTAGTCCTGCATTAAGCAGCATAGCCGTGGTACAACATGTCAGCAACTCTTTCAATATATTTAATTACCATCTAAATATATGCCTTGTTAGATGTAAACGTTTGCTACTTGTGAAACAATGATCCTTCTTTACGCCTTTGATTAACATCACCTTCCAAACCGAAGCCACATCGAATCTCGCCGGGTGACCAGACCATGCTTTGTCGGGGGTATCTTTCTCCTACTTCCAAGCCATCGCCGATGTTTTGGTTAATTACACCGTAGCCAAGTTTCAGCTTCTTTACGCCCTCCGGCACATCGCCTCGGTCCCTATCCGGACCCTCCCAGTGCACCTTATCCAGTGCCGGCCCGCGTGTTGCCGCCACGACACTAGAGAAGCGCGTGTTTCTGAGAACCCCGCCATTTTCCCTGACGGCAAGAGCACCAAGCGCGACCCCAGAGGTCGCCAAAATAATGGCAATAGCGTAAACGATCCAAAGGTCCCGCGCATGATAGCTATACATGTTGGCTATCCGCGATCGCTGGCACGGGTATTCGTATGCAGAGTGGTTGTGCTGGTCGCCGCCTAAAATCAGGCCCCCTGTGTTTTCGTTCGTATGCGCGGCCCAGACTACGGGAAGGAACTGGGGGGTCGAGAAGATGGAGAGAATTAGGTCTTCGTAGAATTCTTGCACCATGTCCTGGAGGTTGAATACTGGAAAGTAGTTATTTCTGGGATCCAGCAGTTTGGTCTGGATAGCGTCTGTGTTTGCCATTGGGTTGGCGGACTGCTTGTCCACCTGTATGGTGCCGTTGAGGAACTTGCGAAGCATGAAACCCAAGGAGTGATAGGAGGCAATGCGTCGATATCTTTCGACGTCTTGAGGGAGAATGTAGTTCTCCTTCGGAATTGCGGTTACATTGTCCGCCGTACCGTCGTCAGCATCCAGCCCGGGGACGAAGGTCGTGTTGATAATGGGTGCTAGAAACTTATGCTTTTTCATGTATGCCGACTGCGTGGTGTCGGTGTAGTTGAACACAGCGGTGTACTCTGTTTCGTAGTGCTCGCATGCAAATATCTTGGGGACGTAATTCATATTTTCGTCGCCCTCCTTTCTAGACGGAGGGTGCTCGGCGTCCGGCAGCACAACGTGGCCTATCCAGATGACCGGTTCCGTACGGAGAGCCCCCATGTGTTCCGGATAGGGCGGGTCCATCTTTGGGATGCCTCCAATCTCGACTTCTTTCATCTGCGTGGTAGAGTATTCCCCTCCGCTTGTAAAGGCATAGTAAGCAAACGTTCCTTCGGGAAGGAGGATATCGGTTCCGAAGGGTGGCTTCGCCTCGCCGGATTGTTGCGTCAAGTTCGCCGGTTTCGAACCGATGCCTCTAGCTTGTTCGCTGCATTTGTAACCCGGTGCCGTGAAATCAATCTCAAAGGTGCAGTTCCATCCTTTTTTGCACACCTCTGTTGAAGCATTCCTCCGGGCGACGACTTCTTGGAGGAAAGCGCCGAGGGTTGCAGTTTGTTGAAAATTGGGGCTCGGTCCTGTGTAGTAGTCAAACCAACCTTCTGGTTCAGAGTCCGCGGGCTTGGTTGAGTTCCAGATAGATAGCGGCATCTCATATCGGCCATCTATCTTAATGGGCTCCCGCCACTGGTGAGTGTCCTCCTTTGCAAAGTTGAGGCTGCGAACACTAGGGCAAGTAGTGTTTTCTACAACTGTTCTAGGTTCTACGAGAAGCGTATTTGAAGTCAAGATAACGACCAGCGGAGAAAGCCTAAATACCCGCGTGAGTATACCGTCACGAAGAAGATAGTCAATGAAGAGAAACTCACCAGACAAACAGGGCCAAAGCAGCTGCTGCCTTGGCACCTTTTAAAAACTCCCAAGAAAGTAACGCGATGAAGTTCTCCGTCGCAGCAAACATCGAGTCCAGAGCAGTAATGGTCATGAACCTGGACCTCACCGTTGTCCAGATACGTTGTTGAAATGCTGATATCACAGCAGCTCCCAAGCTGGCCTTCGCCGCAAAGGCGAGAACTGTCCCATAACGCAGCATGCGCACCTGATCATCCGCAGGGTTACCATCTAGGAAGTGGTAGAATACGTGATGTCCGATGGCGCAAATGATGCCGAGAACAAGCCAGAGATACATGTTCCATGATGCGTGCCAGCTCCAGTGAGACTTTCTCATGCGAAATAACTTACTCCTTTCATCGGCCGGGCCCAGGTAATTCGCCGCGGCATATGGAGGGGGTTGAGTTTGCTGCTGATGCCGACGCTGCTGCTGCTGCTGCTGTGCATCCGGAGAAGCGGAAGAGTACCCACCATACGCCGAATCTTGGGCATTCTGAAGTAGGCCGGCCTGCGCATCGTGGCGTTGATCGTTGTGGTGATTGTACATGGTATCTCCCGCCGCCTCGTCGGGCGACATGGAGCCTCGGCCACGAAATACAGGATCAGCGCCGTGGTGCGCCGATCCGCTAAGCGAGCTCAGGTCGATGCCATGGGCGTCCATCGGGCTGGTTATCGTCTGCGTTGTCGTCTCCGTCGTCTCCGTAACATGTACGGTCGGGCCGAGTTTCTTGGACGCCAGCGCTGAAGAGAGAGGCACTGGTTTGCGAGGGATGGAGGTTGAGCGAGAATGCCATCCCAGCGGTGAAGGGGATACCATGGATGTTGCTTCCGAAGCCACTGGAGATACCACTGATATGGGTGGATTTGAGCTAGGGGAGGATGCGCTAGTCTGCTGACGTGGGTGGAACATGCCGAGCGCCAACGTCATGTTTGGCGGTGTTTAGCTAGATGATCGGCTGGAATGTTGCTTTTGCTTGATGGCCTCAGCGAGACGACAGGATACCTACGCAAATGCCCTTGCATGTGCCACCAGGCAACCACATTCAGCAAGGTTTGCAAAGGTTCCGCACGAGTAGTATCTGTACCCGGATGAGAGCAAGGACCAAGGCCCCTCGTGTAGCTGTGTCTGACTTTTTGCTGGAGATGTGTTTGAAGCGCTACGGGATCTATTTGCGGTGCCGAGGGTGAAGCGGCACGCGACGGCGTGGACGCGGGATGGAGTTGCTATTACTCTTGATCTTCCGTTTGGTGTTCCTATCGCCTCTTGCTTTCCCCGCCGTGAAACAAGTTCGCCCTGTCTTCTCGTGCCGGAGTGTCCCACTAAAGCGGGCGGCGGTGTGGCTGTGTTATCTCGGTGTTGGGTACGCTACCTGCATCGAAGCGTCGATTGGCGTGCGGGCAGGAAATGGAGGCGGAACCAGAGTTTTTCTTGCAGAAGTGCTGACACGATCCAGTTGAATTTTGGGGACCGGTGGAGTATTGTGTACACAGGGCTGGATATTCGAGAAAAGTAAGCAAATCCAGCAGGTTCATCAAACCCTTGTCAGCGTCTAGCCCCTTTTTCCACACTGTCGGTAGCAAAATCCCATTCTGGATCTGGCTGACACCAACAACTCACTAGGGCATGCCAATTGGAGGCACAGCAGGTATTCTGATTGAAGGTCTGCCTCTTGATTATCTTGTATTCGTTCCAGGAGCCAATGGGGTGGCGCCGTTGGACAACGCAGGTGAAGGATTATCCTTACCATATCTAGACCTATTAATGCTAATGCGGGTGAGAAATACCGACAACGCGGCTGTTGGTCCTAAAGGGGTTCTTTCCGATCCCGCTACGACGGAGCCAAATCCGGAACCAGGAACCAAGAACCGACATACGATGCATTCGGAAGTCTCACAGCTGACTATCACGTCGAACTATCAAACTCTTCGTTTCAAATGTCGACTATCTTGGAGCCGATTAAACCAGTATCTCTGGCAGTGAGACGCCCAGTTTGGAGACACAACCGGGATAACTTGACATGGGGCTTACAAAGTTATCACACTTCGTAGGAAGCCATCAGCGGCTTTTACTCTTTATCGCCATCGGACGAAGCTTCATACACGTCTAACAACAAAGGTAGTATGTTAGCGAGAAACAGAATTAGACACTCTCCTTCTGTTCTCATGTTGTATCCCCCTCTGTCTCTGTTGGGCTATGCATCCCGCCCAGGATTCTTGACCTGGCTGCTGGTTGACCCTATCCATCAAGTGCAAGTTTGCTTGTCACTAGACACGGGTCGTCGCGTGGCCTTAGTGTTACAAATGTGTCAAAGTGCCTTCTTATTGACGCTACGGCAAGCGTACTGATATCCAGGCAGATACTAAAGGTGACACTACGAGATGCGATCAAGGTCTGGTCGGAGGTTGAGAAACTGACTAGTGATGGCGTGTGCTTTTCTCCAGCCACTCGAACAACTAGTCCGTTCGCAATCGTTCGTTGTGCAGTGTCAGCAGTAGGACATGGTAGCGACTACCAATCGGCGTCGATTTCCTGACTAACTTTCTCGCGGATTGCCGAACATACATGGCAGTCCTAGGCTGCAACACTATTAGGGTTCATCTTTGGAACAGGATCTGATTTGCTTAGCCATGGACGTCTGGAGGACAAAGGTGCTTTCCCCGCACCGTAGCGGAGTAGTTATATATATACCTAGGACAAAATTAAGAGCAAGGACCTTCAGTTTGTCAATTTTCAGACGATGATTTGTTGATCTTGGAGAGTGTCATCCGTCCAAATGCATGACAGCCGTAGAAGGCGCATCTCCTGCAATCATGTTCCGCGATGCCGATGCCCCTGTGGCAGGGTTGTTTGACTCTTTCTACCGATCCATACCGACTTCTGGAGCATCCTTATTAGTGCTTTTGGTTGTTGTGTGGTATCTAAAGTCGTGGTACAGGTTGCGACACTTTCCTGGCCCCTTCCTCAACTCCGTCTCAATCGCACCCATGAACTTTATGACCCTCGGTGGGAAGCTGAGTTTCAGGTTGAAAGATTTGGGGGATATATATGGTAACGATAAGTAATGCTACGTTTTCATATTCTATAGTCTCACAGCCGTTTGTCCAGGCCCTTTGATACGCGTTGGTCCAAACGAGGTCTTGTTCGGTGACGCCGACAGCTACCGCATCATCTATGCGGTTCGTTCGGACTTCACAAAGGGCCCTTGGTATGCCCTGTCCAAGTTTGTTCCGGATCAGCACAGCTTGTTCTCACTGCGAGACGACGCAAAACGGAAAGACTTGAAGGCCAAGTTGAGTCCAGCAATCCGCATGACCATGCTCAGTCTCTTCAACACGCCAGCAGCCTTGAGCTATCTCCGTCACGAAATGACCACCGGACTTGCTAAGGGACTCATTAGTTCCCCAAGCCGCGATGCAGAGGCTCGCCGGCTTCCTTACCTACAGGCGGTGATTAAAGAAGGGCTGCACATGTATCCACCAACTACGGGTCTCAACTACAAGCAAGTCGCCAAGAGAGGTACCGAACTTTGTGGAAAGTTTCTGCCAGAGGGGACCCAGCTGGGTGTTAATATACAGAAGTTAATGCGATCGAAGGAGACTTTCGGACCAGACGCGGACATTTTCAGACCGGAGCGCTGGCTGGAGGCTGTTAAGAATGAGGAGCGCTTAAGAGAAATGACCGCTGTGGTTGACCTGGCTTTCGGCCATGGCCGATTCCAGTGCCTCGGGAAGACAATTGCGAACATGGAGTTGAATAAGATATTTGTCGAGGTGAGTGGACGATATTTTGGCAAATTAGTCTTGATTTGGCCATTGTTAACCATCACAATCTTGCAGCTGCTGCGAAGATTCGATTTTGCAGTCGTTACTCCACAGAAGCCTCTTGTTTTGTACGATGCCGCATTTTGGGTGACAACTGATTTTTGGTTGCGTGTGACCGAGAGACAAGAACAGCCGAGTGGATCAAAATGACGGAGCACTAGTACAGATTTAAGAACGTTCTCATGACAGCATATTGAACTCGAGCCTGCCTGCTACGCCAAACAAACCGGCATGGTTTAGGGGTAGACTGGGCTGAGATGGCCATGATGATGTCAAGAGGATTCTAAGAAGTTTGCTACTTGAAGCCTACTGCGGGACCAGGTGTCCGGAGACTGTCGAACGATGTATGGAATGGAAATCTGAAGTTTCAAGAGACGTTGAAGAACCCTCGATGTAGAGTTGGGAATAAGCATTCAGTTCTTAACATAGATGAACTTTGGCACTAATCGACGTTGAACTAGACGCGACTGATGTTCGATTGTCATTGTCGACAGATAATAGTTTCACTTACATGCGTAGTTTGCTGCTCCAATCATAACCTCAAGAAAGCTACCTCCACCTGTTCTATTCGAAAGAACTTCTCAGTCCTACTCGTATGAGATGACCAAAGCTGGCAGAGCATATTGCTGATAGTTGTGGGTTGTAAAACAGTCTAATGAATAAAACAAACAACATTTAGTTCACTTCAACTTGCCACACAACAGTCATCAGGCCAACAGTCCAACAGTCCAACAGTCCAACAATTCGGCACATGCCTTATTTCTTGTGTCACTACGGTAGGTTCAACAAATGGGTCTTTATTTGTACCCTGAACGGGTCCAATGCAATAGCAAACCAAACACCAAAAACTCACCAGATCTTGCCTGACTGAAATTTCCTAAATTGCAAAAAGATTCGTGTCAATCGCTGACGGGAATTGAGCCCGACGTGGGGGTCGAACCCACAACCTTGAGATTAAGAGTCTCACGCTCTACCGATTGAGCTAGCCGGGCAGATGAGATATCTGCCTTGGGTCGTTGAATAAGAGAATCGAGGGAAGTGTCTAATACTTGGGACGCTTGCAAAGTTTTCACATTGTTGTGGACTGGATCCTCATTAAACCCCACTATCAATCCGAGTCGGGGTTGCTTCACTCCAATTGCCGAGGTGGACTCTTCCGGGTTTGAGCCGTGGGCAAGCGGCGGCTTTCGAGTTTTAGACAATCGTTTACCGGCTGTGGTGGGTCTGAGCAAGCGTCTTTTGCTCCACATTCAACCCATTAGAATGGCTATGCTTGTATTTGGGGTATTGTTTCCCAGCTGCGCTGAAGGCCGAGAGTCCGCAAAGGGACTTAAGGCAATGACCAAATCTAAGTTTACCATCTAAACTGGCAACTGGGAAACATTCATTCAACAATGAGGCTCTCAAGATCTCTCTGTCGCTTCTCAATCATTACAGCGGAGATTGCTTTGTCCCGACATACTTGGAATGAGAGTGTTGAGTAATAACAATTGCAATGTAAATGGCAGGAATAAAGTCTATTATACCGAGAAGAGCACTTGTCACAGTGGACATTGGGCCAGAAACCTCTCAAAACGACGAAGTCTTCGGGAATCTTCCATGCATGTGATGGTCACGCTCTATTGATAAGAACATCTTTTACTTGGCAAGAAGCATGCAATCATATCCGAGACTTATCAGAGGTCTGGCTAGTCTTTAGTAGGGAAGCATTCTGGGATCTTTGCGAACGGTTTACTGCAATACCTATTGTCTGTTTGTGCTCATGCCAATGGGTCATACGGCAGCGCTCGGAGACAGACCCCAATGAAGTAAATCATAACGGGACGGAATACCTCGTCTTACGGATGATGCTGGGAACCAAAAGTTCTGTGCCAGCAACTCGTCATCTGTGCGTGCGTTAGTGTGCGTGTGTATGTGCGCGTGAACGAAAGGTTTGAGTAGTGTCACATCACTAATCCTTCCAGGCAAGTGAGATTAAACAGCAAACAACAGAGTTCGGCTTCGGACTCGGCTTGGATTTATGTTGGTGCACCTGGACCTACCGTTACAATGTGGCTTTCGCAGTGTGAAAGATTACTTCATGAATGCGGGGGTTTAAGGCGATGCTGGCGTCCCCGCGCCCATATCCAGGCTGACCTCACCAATGTGCCATTAGCTTATCCATGATAAATCAAGCTACCCCGCCAACACTGCTTGGCATAATACGTTCCTTAGTACTAAAAAGGCAGGTCGATCACCTTCCAAGCAGCTAAGCTTGCTAACCCACGCCGTCTGACTGCGTGTTCCTCTTATATTCCCATCCCGCGGGTTGGGGAAGAAGCTTGGAATGCCTACGAAACTGGCTAGTTTACCCCCAAACTGCCAATCTCTTGAGGCAAAGATGACGAAGTGCACTGCTTTGTTTTGTTGTCAGCGACGCAAGCCTACATATTGGCAGGTATTGGCAGACAGCTGGGTCAGCTCCAGTCTCCATACCGCCAAGAGAATTGCGGAGAGCCCTTGTGCAATGGCATCACCCGGTTTGCCCACGGTCAAGATTGTAGAGGGACGATCAGCGTGCGCGGTTTCTACCAGGCTAGCAGATGCGCAGGCGGCAGCTATTAAAACAATGGTAGCTGGTCTCTCTCGCTCGTTTTTTGGAAGTTATAATATCGAATGACCCTCGAAGACGGCTGCTGAGTCATATCGTCAATTTGGTCCCATTTCATCAATCATGCGTGTTCAGCTCTCTCTTGCCCTAACTTTCGCGGCGCTCGTCTTGGCCTGTCAACGAGACCTTCTCCTCGAACGTCGACACACGCACCGCAAACCCATCACCAAACGCGCCGACGACCAATGGCCTCCGGTGCTGTCGGAGGAAGAAACGATTTTGGTTAATGCGTTCGATAATGTCACCATTGACGAGTGGTCTGACTACTATGGTCACCAGGTCAAGCTCGCCGGTCTCGGTAGGGAGGCTGCGCAATGGACGGCGGACCAGTGGACCAAAAACGGGTTTGACGCACACCTCAATGAGTACCACGTTTATTTGAGCTATCCCGTTCACGCGTCTCTGGATATCACGTACGCCAATGGCACGACCGAAGAAGTCAGACTAGACGAGGACGTTCTGGAGGAGGACGATGTGACAGGAAGGGAGGACAACCAGCCCACGTTCCATGGATACTCAGCTTCAGGTAACGTGACAGGAGAATACATCTATGTCGGGTCAGTATTGTACAAGTTCTTGCCGTACACCACATGGAGTTAACGGAAGCTCGAAGACGTGGATCGCAAGCCGATTTTGATCGCCTGGTTGAGCTCGGGGTCGAGCTTCAAGGCAAAATTGCGCTCGCCAGATACGGTGGACTCTTCCGAGGCTTGAAGGTAAAAAATGCGCAGGATCATGGGATGATTGGTGCTGTTATCTTCACCGACCCCGGTGATGATGGAAACCAGACCGTGGCAAGGGGCTATGAGGCCTACCCCAGTATGTCTCCGTTGCCCTACCCCCAGTATAGGCCCTTATGACTGCTGACCATGGAATGTCTAGATGGCCCAGCTAGACACCCTAGCGCGGTTCAAAAGGGTTCGGTACTGTTTCTCTCTACTCACCCAGGTGACCCTACGACTCCTGGCTACCCTTCCCACGAAGGCGCCGACCGAGCCGATATTTCTTCAGTCACTCCCAAGATTCCCTCCATACCCATTTCCTATGCGTCTGCCGAGCCTTTGTTGCAGGCCCTGGATGGGTTTGGTGTTTCAGCGGAGGAGGTTAACCGAACAATCTGGGCGGGTGCGCTAAACTCCAACTACAGCTCTGGCCCTGCTCCTGGTGTTACCTTGCACCTGGACAACTTGATGGAGGGCAAGATTACACCTATTTGGAATGTTATAGGTCACCTTAACGGCACCAATTCTGATGAGACAATCGTCATTGGGAATCATCGTGACACCTGGATGATTGGAGGCAATGGAGACCCAAACTCTGGTTCTGCGATTCTCGTTGAGTTTGCCAAAGCTATTAATGCTCTTGTCTCTAAGGGCTGGAAGCCGCGGAGAAATATGTGAGTCTCACGCCATTGTTGTTAAATTCCGATAATCTCTAACAGAGACCCAGCGTACTTGCCTCATGGGATGCTGAGGAATACGGTCTTGTTGGTAGTACGGAATGGGTTGAAGATAACGTTGACTGGCTCACTGACACAGCCGTGGCATATCTTAACATTGATGTAGCGGTCTCCGGTCCCCGACCAAATCTTGCCACCACTCCTGAGCTACAAACTATTGGTACGGAGCTTTTCAAAAAAGTTATCCACCCCAACTTTGGCGGTTTCAATATCAGTCTATATGATGCTTGGGAGGAAGCCTCTGGCGGTATCGTTGAGGCCCTTGGCAGTGGCAGTGACTACACTGGCTTTTTGCACCGTGGCATCAGCTCGGTAAGTCAACCAGAAATTGTTATAAAATAAACAATCAAGATTGTTACTAAAACTCTACAGCTTGACGTAGGCTCTGGAGGCGGCGCGACTGATCCTATATGGCATTACCATAGCAACTACGACAGCTACCATTGGATGGCCAACTTCGGCGATCCGGGGTTTCTCGTCCACTCCGCCATCGGCCAGTACCTTGCTCTCCTTGGTTTCCACTTGGCTGACGACGACATCTTGCCCCTTGACTTACCCAACTATGCCACCGAGCTGCATGCCTATCTGAAGGATCTAACTGAGTACGCTGAGTTGGAGGGCGCGAAGATTGATCTCTCAGAGTTATCTGACGCCATTGATATCTTTGCGACACGTGCCGACGAGGTCAAGGCACTGGAGATTCTCGCTGTCACTACGAACGACACGGATTTGATTACGGTTGTCAACCACAAATACCGCGACTTCCAAAGAGGCTTTATCAGCCAAGGTGGTCTTCCTGATAGGGAGTTTTACAAGCACGTTGTGACTGCTCCTGGTCTGGATACCGGTAAGCGCTGATATGTTGCATCTCGGAGCCATCACTGACTGCTGTCTACTCTCTACAGGCTATGCCGCTGTCCTGTTCCCCGGTATCACAGAGGGCATCCAGTATGGCGACGGCAATCTGACGATTGCGGAAGAGTGGGTATCCAAGACAGCGCGTGGAATCCTACGGGCTGCTGAGATCATTAAGACTTAATGTGAAGATGTTGAACAAATCTGATGACTTTCTTTCTCTTTGGTGGGGCGGTGGGAGTCGGGCGTATGCGGTGGTTTGTTGCAAACGATAGTGGGCGCGAGCATGCCCCGAACATTTAATAGAGGTCCTATCCAGTATTGATGCGCAGAAGCGTAGAGCCAGCATGTAATACCCTCCTTTCGAAGTATTAATACGATCATCTGCCGGAATGGAACCAATAATGAATATTTGCAAACGTTTGCGACACAATCGGTGTTGTGAATATAGTATCCAAGGGTGATACCTGACGCCATCCTAGAAACTAATTGATAGGGCGCGAATATTTATCTGAATTGAACCGGAAACGTCGTTGGCGTGAGTTTTCTGACTTCTGCCTTGAGAGAAACTAAGGACAAAACGGCTGAACAGTACCGTTGTGATTCATATCGCACTCATGTATAGAACACGGTTATGTACCTGATGAGTACTATCAAAAAGCGTTTTCACACCAAACAAGTTATTTTTATTCATTACGCGTCTTTTAACCCGGTATTGGGTCGGCTCACTTCATAACAGTCTGAAGAATATCCGCCTCGCTGTCGATTGTTTCAAGCTGTTGATGACGGACAGGTTTATTTAGGTGTGACTTCCAAGTGAGCACATATTCAGGGAACTGCCGAATCCCTCATTTTTCCCTTAACACTTTTTTATCACTAGCTAGACTTAGGTGACGTCGCGATGACAAACACGTAATTAGTGACTTCAAGCTAATTACCGCAAAGTTTGCTGGCGAATCTAACGAAGCCGAATTCTCTTATTTTGAACTAGAAACAGAAACGCAGAACACAAGTTGACTACATGCTGTAGTGCTACCGGCATACGTAATACGCGGCGCGTCATTGGATCAAATAACTTCAGGATCTAGGTGTTGCGCCACAGGTCACTAACACCTCTAAACCAAATACAAAGCGGCTTGTTGTGCTTTGACCAGGTTGTGTCTTCCCATGTGATGACACCAACTATTCCTGCCGGTTAGGTGTTCCAGCTGACATGAAACGCACATGGCGCGGGTAGTAGCTGTAATTGCGATATTGAAAATTGTTGGAATAGAGATTCGCACGCATTCGTACGTATCCAAGCGGTAATGCCACCTGTACATTAGTCAGCAGGATCCAGCCTATATAAGGGCTAGAGCTACCAGATATCTAGGACTTAGAACATTATCGGCAACTAATACAGTAACGGTCAACCCCCTATTATCGTGTGCCTCCAGCAGCGCGCGAGCTATTCCGACAAAAAAAAAATCAATGAGACCCCCAAGAGCAATCTCAAGATACACGATCAAACCCCTTTCTGTTGTGCCCGCTCCTACGACGCATACATCCTTTTCGCAATGGGTACGAGGTCTGACCGTGTAGCATGTGGTGGTATTGACATGTGCTACAAAGCATCTCGGCTAATTACAGGGTATCATTTTCGCAACTCAAAAAGTCTTTATACCGACAATCATCAGTTGAGGATGATCCTCCTGTGCGACTGAAAGAAAAGAGTAAATCAAGGGAAGCTTACTGAAAAACCCTAGAGAATCGGCTGACGGGTGAAAGACACCCTGAGAGATTGTGACTCAATTGCTTTTGGAGACTAAACAAAAAGTTGCACTGGATGTGTTTCCGAACGGTGAGCGCGCTGTCGAGTCGCCAACGAACCTTCGTTATGACTCGGCAGCCGGGTCCATCAATATGACTCGGCGAAATTTCACGAATCACCGGGCGACGGAGAATTTCATCAGTCTTACAGTTTTCCCCATTAGTATCGGGCCGATCTCCCGAATTTCTACAGCAAGAGCTCCCCACGGAGATCCAGGGCAGACAACGAGCCTTGACAGCGGCGGAAGAGAGGTAGCCGAATAAACACCGTAACTTGGCCGAGTTTGGGCCAGAGGCGCCAGGACTGCGCAGTAGCTCGTCCGAATGGCCCAAGACGGCCATCAGATGACGACTTGCCATCTGTTATATAATAGTTTGTTCCTGGAGTGCTTTGATGGCCGATTAGGGTCCACTTATGTCCGGTGGTGTTCCGTCCGGCCCGGCACCTAAGCCTCTTTGGGAGTTTCTGTTACCAAATATGACGTGGGCCTCCCCGGCCAACGCCCGAACAAACAGTCAGCCGGCCGCTGTTGTTCCCATATCTCCGCGGCAGCTGTGGTTGTTAAAGGTAAAGCGAGATCCCGCATCTCGTGGCGAGTGAGTTGAGGCTCGAGACGGATGAATCACCAAGACTGTGTTGTTGCTGCCACCCCATGTCTCTTGCGTCTCCCATCATACGTCACTAGCGTGTTCGTGAGATGCTATCACCTTTTTGTTAGTGTGTGGCTCGTACCTCCTGCCCTCTAGCTTCAATTGTCTTTTATAAGGCTCATTCATCGGTCTTTGTTCGGCAACTACTACTCATAAGGAGAAGGGTCCTCCCTGGTGTTCCATCAACCATTTGATGCGCTAGAGCAGAGGAGCCGAAATTGCCCTTTAATACTTTTGCATATGTTGATTTGCGAAAGGGCAGCCTCCTGTTCCCCCTGACATTCCTGGCTTCGGTCCCCCAGATTAGCAAGTCTTCCCCGGACTTGGCGCGTCGACGATCGGCTGCATGATGCTGCGCTGCAACCCAAGAGAATGGAGCTTCGATATTGATCGATTCCTTAATCCTTTCATCCCAGCTCCGCCGTGGAAGCACCTTCCATATCCCATCGCATACTGTTTCGGCTTCCGCAAGTCACAGCCCCAAAATGTCGGCAACCTCGTTCCCATCTTCTGGGCCTGCATTGGCGTTTTCTGCGGCGTCGCCGCCGTCGCCGCCATCTCTCGACAGATACCGATATTCAAGGAGCATGGTGCGCCCATAATAGTGGGTAGTTTTGTAAGTTGAGTCCTCTTATTACAATTCGATACGATTCCCACACCTCTCCTACACCGAGATTGTTACGGAAGACACCGTCAGGGGCCAGCCTCGGACCTCACCCCCCGACCCGTTTCATACCTTGCATGTGACGACACACCGCTTCCACACCGGCACCATACCGACCGGGACGTTCTCTGTGGCTGACTCGTTTTCTCCTTCCGATGCAGGGCGCAGCCGCCGTCTTAGAGTTCTACTCCATCGAGTCGCCCCTCGCTCAGCCCCGCAACTCAGTCTTCGGCCAAGTTCTCGCTGCCATAATAGGGGTAGCAATCTGCAAGCTGCTTCAGCTGAGTCCGCATTTCGAGTCCGTACGCTGGCTGGGAGGAGCCTTGTCATGCGCCTTGGCAACAACCGTAATGGCACTGACGAAGACGGTCCATCCCCCTGCTGGTGCGACAGCGCTCCTGGCCGTCGTCGATGATGGAGTCGTACGCCTGGGATGGATCTTGGTCCCCATCGTTGCGCTTGGATGTGTCATCATGCTCGTAGTCGCATTAATTGTCAACAATATTCAACGGCGCTTCCCGCAATATTGGTGGTCGCCTGAGAACGTTCGGATTCACCGTGTACCCTGGAGACGACGTGGAGGCGACGTGGAGAGCAAAGGGGATGCCACTTCCGACAAAGTTAAGGCACGGAGCAGAAGCGGTTCTACAGTGAGGGAAGACATGGCTTTAATCATGAGGCCTGGGGAGGTAATAGTTCCAGAACACATGCATATCACGCCGGAGGAGAAGTTGTTCTTGGAGGAATTGAGTAACAGGCTATAGGTTGCTTGCCTCAACAGTCTGTGTATAATGAAGCTATCAAAAAGACATTTCGTATTTTGTTCGAAGCCCGCTCTTTCTGAATCCCCTTTCCATTCTATGTTCATATACCAGTGTTCCAACTGATGTTTCGTCATAAACTGTAACCGAAAGTTGTGTTCTTTCCTAGGAAAGTCACGTTTCTTCATGTTTTCAGGATTCTTATTCCTGTCATACGCTGGAAAATCATTACCATCAAAGTTGTCATTAGCCTCATCCACCTCTCCTCATTATCGCGTGTCGTTTCTGTCGTAGGATCATGTTGTCTGTTTTTCAACCCTGCTTGGCGGACTTCGTGCGAGCCAAACGCAGCTCCTCAAGCTTTGCAGGGTTCTTAGTAGGGTCGTTCTCCGGGTCACCGTCGGCGCCCGGGTTTGCCATCTCGTACTCCAAAATCTTGATGAACTTATAGAAAACGACGGCGATCAAAGTACCAAAAAAGGGCCCAACCCCTGAAACAAAGATTAGCTTCCAGCTACAGCATTAAACTTTTGAAGGGTGATGAACTTACAGTAGATCCAGTGTTCCTGGTCGAAAGTTGCAGTGATGACGCAGGGTCCAAAGCTTCGGGCCGGGTTGAGCGAGCCACCTGTAAACTGAACACCCACCAGCTCTGCAATGAACAGAGTCAGACCAATGCCAACAGGAGCAATGAAGGTAGCCCTGTGCTTTTCTTTGGCGAGCATGAAAATAGTGAAGACAAGTTCGGCTGTAAGGATAGCCTCGATGAAAACACCCTGCACTAGTGTGGCTCCGCCTCCCAGTGTCGTACGGACGTTAAAGTTCTCTGGGAACAAGAACCTCACAATGAGCGATGCAAGCATACCCCCCAAAATTTGGGCAATGAACAAGTAAGCTGCACGGGGTGGGGTGATAGCCTTGACGAGAAGCATGCCAAGCGTGACGGCTGGGTTGAACAGACCACCACTGATGCGAAAAAAGACCCAGACATTGACCATGAGAGAAAACCCGAAGATGATAGAAATGTAGAGCAGGGTGCCGGTATTGAAACCAGTGGAGGCACCAGTCGTAGAGTTGCTGTCAGCTGGGTTGTTGGAGTTGTTGACAGCCGACTTGATGTTGGCGACCTCGGTTCCAGCAAAGGCAAAGAATAAAAACATCGTTGTGCCAACAAGCTCACCAAGAGCAGCGACAAAGTGATTCTTCAGGTCCGAGTTCATCCACTGGGTGAGGGGTAGACGCATGACCTGCGCCTTTTCTTCCCTAGATAAGTTGTGCCAGTCGATCCGGGCTTGGTCGCCGTTAGTGCTGCGGACGGCAACACCGCTACGGGGGTAGCCCGCCATTTCTTCGTCGTACATTCTGCGAGAGGGAGGTCTTCCACCGTAATCACCGGGCTCGTAGGACCGAGTCTCTTCGTAGTAGTCCTTGGTCTCCGTCTGGGGGTCGTAGCTGAAGTAAGGTTGAGGACGGTTGAGGTGTGCACGAGGTGGGCGGGTACGAGGTGCACGGCCGCCACTATAATCTGGATGGCGGTCGTTGGTTCCCCAGTATCGATCGGTCTCAGAATCGTCGTCGTAGTCTCCGAAGCGGCCACCGTCTCTCATGGGACGGTTGGATTTGGTTGAGGCGCCAGTAGGTAGAGGATCGTCAACGGATTCTCTCCCACCGCGACCTGTATTCGTATTGGTGCGACGGACTGATCTTGAACCTCCTCTTGACGGCTGCTGAGAATGTGAGACCAATCTGGGAGACTGTATTGGGTTCTCTTCGTCCGAGAAGGCGTTGGTATCGACTGCTGTTGCTGGAGATACTGGAGACGGTTCACCCTCAGGGGCCTTCAAGTTTCCTGTCTGCTGAGCTGACATGATTCGTTCGAAGTCGGGTGTCAAGCACAGAGACGAGGAAGGGAGTATTATAGATTGAGGGGGGACCTGAACTCTTAAGTCGGCCGTCTTGAAGGACAAGCGCTTGTAGGTGTTTGTGTAAGAGTCGTTCTTGTAGTTGAGTATTCAAACAGCCTTGATGTTTGGAGCGCACCGTTGGTACTCCGAAGGTGCCCGAAGGCATAATATACCTTCCTTCTCAAACTCAAATGGATGCCCAACCAGCCTCTCACTAGCTCGACGTCACCGCATCTTCGGTCGGTTAGGCCTTGATCCCCTCCGTCTGATCAGCCACCGACTTAGTTTCGACAAGGACAGCGGGGATGTTGTATTGCGGAAGTGGAAATGGTGGGATGGAGGGTTCGACAAGGTACCGTTGAGCCTCCTTGTCGTCTGCCCGCCTCGGACCCGCGGGGGTCGCTGAGATAACGGCTGTGAGTGGTCGGCAAGCCGGCGATGGCGGAGCGAGTTCCCCATGGATCATCCCAGGGTTGATCTCATGCAACCGAGTCTTGTAGTCGGGTCTGGCTCGTCTAAGGTCCCGGCGACGGCGAGCGTTGTGGGAGAAACTGGACCCAAGATCCTGGGTGTGTGACGTCAAGATCGGACTGGTCGCGATGGGATCACATCAACCCATGTGTGCAGGGACTGAGAGACAGGGTGAAACGAGCCCCAATTTTGAGGCAAATGAGGCATTGCGGCGTCTGTGTGGTTGGGATTGGACTCATTGACCAAATGTTAATACTACTAGACTGCCAGGATCATCGCCGTATAACCTTAGGAGACCCAGGCCACTAATGCGCCATCTTTTGACACGTCGACTACAATATCCTTGTATGACAGCTTCACGATGGCGCCCTTTCTTGTGAGATCCCAGATAGATCGGGAGACGCTAACTGACACTCCTGAACACCCATTAACAACTCCAGATATGACTGAGGGTCGTCTCCAATTTTGGGCAGCCTGGCGTTGCTGAAAAAGAATAATGACGAACTTGGGACAGTGGCTTATCACCGGCCATCGACAAGATTGAACTGAATCATGAAAGCTGGAAGGTGGAAAGGATGTTTAACGCTGATGGTTTGGAGCGTCGCAATGCCCCACCACCATTTGCCTTTTCGGCTGGCCTCTGACCCTTGATGCAGATGATCGGCCAACTCTAAGGAAAGGTCCGAGGGAGAGATTGCGCGATACTGACCTTGGCACTGTCATTTCGAAATAGGCAGTGTTTGCACGAAAAAATGAGGCAGACAATTGAGACATAGTCAGAAAAGCCGATGTTGGTGTGGCTCGGATGAGATGCACACTGGATGGAGTCAAAAACCTGGGACGGGCCTTGGCTTTGGAAGTGTATTCCCCTCTCCTCGTGAACATATCTCTGTTGGGCCAGCTCCTTTTTGCACGCGTTTGTTCTTCACTTAGTGGGATGCAAGGTTCTGAAGACCGAGGAAGCCAAAGTTCACAGCTTCAGTTGCTAGGTTCAGGACCAGAGGCAAAGTGACTCTGTGAACACGACTGAGCGTCAATTTTCTGGTGAAAGTTATGGGTTGCTAAGATCAATCATCGCACCGTGCCACACAACTGAGAAATCACGTCTCCTGTTTTCATTACGTTTGAATTTACTGGTTCAAGCTGGAAACCAATTCATTCCGGTCATTTTCGGAAAGTAGGGAAGCAAGAGAACAGGGTGTTTATCGACATAGAGGTGGGAAGCTCATCAAAAGTCTACACGAGTTGACCAGCATACCATGCAGCCAGCCCTCTCACCGCAACAGAGAAAAGCACACATATCCTAGCTGAAGGCAATGCCATGTGAAAGGACTCTGTTTAAAAAAACTCATGACCAAAAGTAAGAAAGCTGCGAAATCGGATTTGTACTAAGTCCAGTGTCACACCAATCCACGTCGAATTCAGATGCCCTTGCGTAAACACTTGTGGTATTCTTCATACGTGAATCCCCTCCATCTCTCACAAGACCCATAGTATCATATGTCCATGGATAGGCATAATTTGCTAATAAGGATTTGACACTGCTGTCCCCGGAGGCCAGAGGCCTGGATATGCGAGCGCCAAGAAGCAAAACGGGCGCGTCAGCCCCTATCCCCATTGTTCTCAACACGCTCGGAGACAGGATGAAAGGACCAACAAGGGTTATCATGATGGAACTTACAAAGCGGTGAGTAAACCACCGGAGTAGCCTCCGATGAATGTTGGCAATCTGTATAAGCTGTAGGAATCCCTTCATTGTTTGATCCACAGCAGTCGGCCATGTGACTTAAGCCAAGTCAGTTTATTGCAGATGACTGCAGGTGCTCCGCCATGGCCACGACATACATCCTCCTGCAACAAAGTGGGAACACTGGTGGCAGGAAGACTGTATCGGGTGGCAGGTAATCATCGCTCTAAGCTTGTGGACATCCCACCTCCTTGACAATCAGTGGTCAGTCTTGATTTGAAATTCTATCCAGTAGCTTGCGTTGACTCGAGATGATGTGGCTGGTCTCACGAGCCACGAGGTTGAGGCGAGCAGTAACAGCCTTTAGAGTCAAAACGGGCTACCTCGGGTCCTTGAGAATTCCCTAAAGTGGAGGATGATCTGCATTTTCACGAGCGAGGTTACCAGGGTATCCTCTTTTTGGGCAAAGGAGCAGTTGAGCTAAGTCGGGTTGACTGGTCACACGGATTGGGAAAGGCAGGTCGTGATTAGCCACTCTGCTTGAAAGTTGGCATACCCTTGCTCAGCTCCGATGACATGGACTTGGAATCCTTGGCTAACATTCCAACCACTCCATAGCTCGACACCTCGCCCGAGACCCTGGCCTAGTTCGGAGGGTCTAAATATGGGCGGTTACTAAAATTCAAACGGCTGGTTTAGACCGCCATTTTGGAGTTGTTGAAAGATGTTCTGGAACAAATTAACGGGCCCTAGGGTATTCACGATTCTGACTGTCGAACACGTTCACCTGCATCGGGAGGTTGGGTTGTCAGTCTTGATGGGTCGAACAAAGGTTTCGGGAATATTCCGGCAGGTGGGAAAAGAGGGGATGGTTGATCTCCCTCCCTTATTCAGGGGTAAGTGGCAACGTCAGCTTTGCCATTGGCTGTTCACCTCGAGGTCAGTGCAGTCCGAAAAAGATCCGGTGAAACGGTTTGTGCGATGTTGAGGTTAGAGCAGAAGGGGTGTATGTTCATTCCATCAGGTACGCGTAGACCTTGAGATTAGGCCGTGAATACCGAAACACGGGCTCGGACTTGGTGGCTCATGCTCACAATAGCTTCCAAGCTTTAGGAAAAGGAGTTCCGGCATCGAACATCTGATCTTTAAAACGTATCAGACAGAATTAACGACGCCAGCCAACTCTGCTGCCCTTCAAACACATGAAATCAAGACCGTCTGCGACAGGATGATAACGCAGCTCCAGATATCTTGGCTTTCTTACCTTTATTCTTAAACGCAACGGAATTGGAAATTCAAGGCGCTGTCCTATTTCCGATGAAAAGTCCAAAAAGCGGGCGAAACGAATTAATAAAGCAACCCTGTTTCTCTGATAGTTATCCTGATCCCCAAAGAAACTGTTACGATTGGCGCCTTATGAAGAAAGCAGCCATCACCAAAATCAATCTAAACAGGGACCGTAAAGGCAATCTGCAGCCTACTAAAAAACTCTGGATTTTTAACACAATGCTAAGATTTGCTGTACACCCTTTTTGAAGCGGATGTACAAAGCAGAGGAGAAAAGCACCCTCGAGCAATGTCGCTGGTCACTTTTGATAACTAAAACCAACGATTTGAGATGAAGCCAGAATGCGTGCAATCAAAGATTTCCCTAGCAGTTAACAACAAAGCGGCGGACACTGAAACTCAAATGTATACGACGTAATCGTATGCTCGTACGTATAGTTCAGCTTATTTCAGATTGAGCCAAATACGCTTAAGTCTTGTTACTCTTGGGGCCCGTGGTGCCTCAGCTCGGGTCCTACAGTGGCAGGCTTTGACAGCCTGCCAGTGAATTTTGAGTGCGTCCAGGAGAAAGGGCCACACACACCACAGCTATGGATGAAGTTTCTGTCGATGGTCTGAAATGCGGCTCAAAATGCTTGTTAGTGGCTGATTAGGGCAAGTCTTCACTCGGAGTAATCGTTCCCGCTAAACATCAATATGGCTACACGGCCAATACTGGAATCCACATAGGTAGCATGCAAAGTCTATAGTATGAGTTTGAAAGACGAACAATATTAGCTTTTCCTCTGCTCCGTGTATGCGGCACATGTGAAGCAAAAAGGATTTATAGGCACTGTTTTAGACGACGAGCTCAGATGAGATGTAGCCATCGTCGTTTTGTTTAGCTCATCCGTACGAGAGGACCGCTATCGTGGGGCTCAGCCATCCTTTGACCTAGGAAAAGCTTAAGGAAAGAGTGTCCTCAGAGACTCTAATAAGTTTGGTAAACCACCAATGTAGCCCCATAATCCAATCGACAGAGTCATCATGTTTTGCCATGTCTCAGCGGAGCTCCGCGGAGAGTTGGGTGAATCATCAGTGAGACGCGCCCACATCCAAATGTTTACACTGGATCATACTCTCATGTTCATTGTTTTGTTTCCGGCTCTAAGCCATACCTTTTTTTTATTCTGTGGGTCATGGCCGTTGATCAGAACGTTGAGGCACTCTCATCTACCGGTAGTCCACCTGTGTGTTCTCCATACCGGACGCGATTAAGCCCGGGAAGAAGCGGGGACAATGTAACCCCCGGAGTATCTGGGTTTCCTGGTTGCCAACGTTGTCTCACGTCGCCAACCCCCCCCCCTTCCCCAGCGGTCTCTCATCCGTGTCATTGGGGTGACTAATTCTGGCAATTTTCCTCCAACAATAATTTTTCCGCACGACGCCCTTGAACTGGGGGTGGGTGTGACGATCCAAACCTCCCAAGAACTGAATTATTTGCTAGTCCAATAAACGTGCAGCATCCCTTGCTTTGTGTGCCGGCCCTGGAAACCTGCGTTGATCCAAATGATAGGCTCTGTGAAGTTCACGCGATGATAGGGAAGTCGTTATTTCATTCGAGGGAATTCAAAAGTGCCGGCATCTCCACCTGAGAAAGTAGGTCAGAGGCCGTGGAATGATTTGGATTGAAGGACAACGCTACATTGCCAAGATAATAATATGCTGTACTTACGAGTTAGTGTTGCTCTGTCTTGGCCGGCATTTTTCAATAGAAACTGTGGAGTATGCTAGATGCAAGATATATCACTACATCTCTTAGTTCGCTTGGGATTCGCATATAATATCTGATTGTCATCCACCAGTTCAAATGATGGCTTATGCTTACCCAAGAATGCTTCACAAGTGATATCGTGAATTTCTTCTTTCTCGTGTATACTCTTGATATTATTATCCTCCGTTACTTCTCAGTTCTCATGAAGTCCAACTCCGTTGTGTCTTGGGCCTTAGTGGTGGTCGCCGTACTAGCCTCGCCAACACCGATTTCCCAGGAGAGCGACATCTTGAACAAACGAGCAGCCATCACAGATGCCGCAAATATAGGCTATGCTACTCAAAACGGCGGGTGGGTGAATACATTCTGTGTTCCTTGTCAGATATTCCAAGATTAAGTTGTTGTGATTAGTACCACAGGTGGTGCTGGGGGTACCACTACGACTGTTGCAAACCTTGCCCAACTTTCCGCCGCTGCAAACGCATCCGACCCTAGAATCGTCATAATCCAGGGTAATATTGTCGGCAAGGCCAAGGTGCAAGTTGGCTCCGACAAGACCATCATTGGAAAGACTGGCAGCTGTCAGTTGCCTCTTGTATTTTATGCCATGCGTACATAGCTAACAAACAAACCTGCAGCTCTTGAAGGCATAGGTCTCACCATTCTGGGACAGAAAAATGTCATTATACGCAACATGAAAATCAGCAAGGTCGAAGCGAATTTTGGTGATGCGATAACCATTCAGCTTTCCAAGAACGTCTGGGTCGACCACTGTGACCTATCAGCTACCCGCAACGGCGACAAGGACTTTTACGACGGACTGACTGACCTTTCTCACGCTGCTGATTGGGTCACTATCTCCCACACCTACTTCCACGACCACTCTAAGGGCTCTCTTGTGGGCCACTCTGACAACAATGCAGCTGAGGATACTGGAACTTTGCGCGTAACCTATGCCAACAACCACTTCTACAACGTCCGCAGCCGTGGCCCCCTCTTGAGATTTGGAACAGCTCATGTTTACAACCAGTACTACAACACCATGGATACTGGTTTGAACACTCGTATGGGTGCTCAGGCTCTCATCCAGAGCTCTGTTTTTGAAAATGTTGGCAAAAAAGCTATCTTTAGCGAGTCTAGTAAAGAAACCGGGTACGTTACGTCTATCTGTCTAGTATTCTTTGATTACCTACCGGAAGACTAACACTAGGTAATGTAGTTACGCCGTTGCCATTGACGTTGTTCTCGGAGGCCAGAGTGCAAACACTGCACCGGCCGGCAAGCTCACATCCAGCAGCCCTCCTTATGCCTACTCCCTTCTGGGATCTGCCAACGTAAAAGCAGCCGTCACGAAGGAAGCGGGACAGACGCTAAGCTTCTGATTGAAAAAAGCTTGCTAGACCAGCGCTCACCGAGGCGCCACGAACGCCGGCTCCCAACTGGTGGGTTCTACGCGTAACATATTATTCTGGTGTGTGTGTTTGGGCTATTTAGAGAAGACTTCAGTGTAAACCGTATTGAAAGAATGTCCTTGCTATATCTTTGCTGATCTTGCATGATGATACCATGGGAAAGCTTGAAGGGAGACAAATGATATTGTTCATTTGCAAAGAGATAGGCCAAAGGAATTTAGGCTTAGCACAAAAGGATCTCTTAAGTGCATTTTTACATATTCTCAATGCGCCTTTCTTAGCTCATTTTTTCCTCAAGGACGAATCATGGTTCACCGACAGCCTCCAGGCTTTATCACACTCCTTCAGTATCATGATTGAAAGTTCATCGATTTGGCCCCAGACATGTGGATGCTTGGGAAACATTCGATGTGTGTGATATTACTTTCTGAATGGTCAACAAATTGAACGTCTAGGACAAGGGTATGATACATTGTTAATCACTCTAAAGGCAAGAGGAAAATGTTTGATTCGTATTTCGTCAGTCCTTCATGTCCTACATGCCACGCTAACCATAATAGCCCTTTACTATCACAACATGAGAACAACATAGTCATGAGCTTTCTTTGACGATTTGATCAGAACAAATCCGCAGCGCCAGCACTCAGCTCATCAAAAGTTTTACGGACAGTATCCGTAGTTCTCGCAGCAATGTACTTAATCTCATCGCTGGTGCTTGTGTAAGCAGGCGCAAGAAGAATGTGGTCACCTAGAACCCATCTTTTGTCCCAGTTCCGGGGTAGAGACTTATTCCAAACTCATTGACTCCCACGAGGTGAATTTTGTTAGCAATATCCGCTGACCGTGGGAATGGCTCTTTCGTCGCTTTATTACGGACGAACTCAATCTGAAACGCGGATTAATCAAACTATAGATATCTGCAAAGGATTTTCTCGACTTACTCCCAGAAGAGACCCTTTCCTCTGATGTTGCCGACAAAGGGATGATCGCTCAAATGCTTCAGCAAAAGGTTTTCAAGGAGAGCTCCCTGCTTTCGAACGTTTGAAACGAGTTCCTCTTCTCGAATGATACGCTGCACCTCTAATGCTGCAGCACACCCAACTGGATGGCCTTGGTAGGTGTGTCCGTGAGAGAAAGAGCTTCGCCCCTGTTAGCGTTATCTTTACATAGTCAAAGTGCAGTGAAAACATACCCGGTACCATATCTAAGAGCGTTTGCTACGCGGTGGTTGATTAACATGCCAGCCATCGGCGCGTATCCGCCTCCAAGTCCTTTTGCGACAGTCTGGATATCGGGAATAACGTCTTCCTGCTGCCATGCGTGCAGCGTACCCGAGCGACCCATACCAGACATAACCTCTGTGAAGATGTTAGTGGCTTGCTTGAATAGGAATGTTCTGTGTTTAGCCAGGCTCTAACCATCCAAGATGAGAAGCGCGCCGTATTTGTCGCAAACCCTTTTCATTGCTCTGAAGTACCCAGGGACAGCTGGAACACATCCCAAAGTCTGCATTTCGCAGTCAGCATAAGCACTCTCGGCTATCTTATTATGGTAGGACTTACTGCGCCAACAACGGGCTCAGCGACAAATGCGCATACTGTGTCTGGTCCCAGCTCTTGAAATTTGCAGTCCAGTTCATCCGCTAGTTGCGTAACGTACTCTTCGATAGTCTGACCCTCCATCATTCCACGGTATGGGTTACAAGCTGAGACTTTAGCGATGTTAGGCAACAAAAGGTCCAAAAAGAGGCTCCGCCTAGCTACATGGCCACTCATCGAAAGTGAACCAAGTGTCGTGCCATGATACGAGCCTTGCCTAGCAATGAAATTGACACGTTTGGGCTGTTGAGGAGATAACTCCATGTAGTATTGCCGCGCCATTTTCATGGCAGACTCCATAGCTTCAGATCCTGTGGCCAATTTTTAGCGGGTTTCATTGGAATGACAAACTTTTATCCTGTATCTTACCAGAACACATGAAATAGGCTTTCGACATGGCACCCCCAGTGCCCTGGATCAACTCAGCCGCCAACTGCTCTCCAACCTCGTGACCAAAGAACATGGAATTGCAGTAAGCAAACTTGTCAATTTGCTTGACCATCGCTCGTTTGACTCGCTCATTGTTCGAGCCTATGCAGGCCACGGCAGCACCACATGTTGTGTCAAGGATAGTTCGGCCGTCGGAAAAAGTCAAATGCTTGCCATTTGCCGAGACGACTTGTGGCGGTGCACTCTGCAGTGAGCGATGAAGAACAGCACTAATAGTAGGAGCTGTTTTGGTTGGTTCAACCGCGGATTTGTTTGCAGGGGCAACTTTCGATAGGGCCTTGACGACCCTGTTGGAGGCAGTAGCCATTTCAGCGCAACGTTTTGGCGAGTTTGACGGGCTGTAGGACTAAAGATCCAGAGTTAAGCGGTTACAATGAGGGGTTAAGTGTTTAAAACGTCTACTTCTAGGTAGCTAGCCTTGAGGATCAGATAGCGTTGGTATCATGTGGGTTCATGGCGCGCCGCGGGTTCCCGCACGGCGTATCTGGCGTATCGTATCTGGGTTGCGTCAAGGCGGGGTAGGTTCTTTGCCCCATCCCATCTTTAGACATGCAATTGAATCATTGGGTAAACACAGCGGCCACAAACCGGGTTTGGGCACGCAATTTAGACTATTATCGATGCTCAATTAGGAAAGTTTAGCTCCTTGCGCTGCATAGAGTTGAACGGAACTTCGATAGCATTGCCGCAGAATAATTATGTCAAAAGAAGATGCTCTCCTGTCTCATCTAAGATATTTGTCCAGTCTACCCGGTTTTCATCCGCTGCCCGTTTCCTTTGCCACAAATCCTCTAGAATAGTCAAAGAGCGTGCGATATTCTGAAATTGACGCTTTTGCAGCGTCATCTGCAAGCGGATGCGGACAGCATCCGTGTGCTCGTGCTCCGTAGCCTCACCACCGGCTAGGAAGAGTGGAAAAAGTATTGCTGACTCGGTATGAGACCCAATGGGAATATCAGAGACGTGCCTTAGGATGTTTGACACCTGTGTACGTATCTTTGTTGGGAGGATGTCCCATCTCGTCGCAATGTACTCCATCTCCTTGCAATCACCCTCGGAAATGAGGCGATCCCGGATTAGTCGATACAGGATTATCAGCACTGCGCTTCTAAAAGCGTATGCCAAAGCAGCAAGTTCTGGGGCAGCATCGTGGCGGCACTGCCAGTGCTGCAACTCTTGCTCGACTTCTGTACATGTAGCGTGGAAAATTGCCGTCCTCTGCGCCGTTTCCACAGTGGTAAATTCTGGTCCAGGTCTTGTCTCTTCATGAAGACTGCTGAGTGTTGCAACATGACGCAGTAGGTCCGTGGCAACGCCCAGATATGTATCAACGACGTCTGTGATGCCGTCCAGATAACTGCAGTCAAGCAAGGGCCGCCTCCGTAGAGTGACACTACCAATCATGTCATGATATGCAAAATTTCGGAGAATCCACTGTCCCTCGGAACTCTTTTTGAAAACTTCTGGGCCACGCAGCACAACGCCCGCGGTTGTGTTAGCCACAGCCGACTCGATCAGTAGCTTGGCTCCATTGAGATGAACAGACCATCCATGGTTGTCGCCTACGCAAACTTCTCCTACGACAAAAGCAAGACAAGTTGCTGCTTTTGTCTCATACCATGTAATCTGCTGCTGGGGCGCACTGAGCGCCGTTGCGAGATTATTGATGGCCGTTGAGTGAGCCTTAAGGGCAGAGACTCTGTAAGATTCGTTTGAAAGAGATAGATGTCCAGAAGCGAATGCTACTAGTGCGTCATAGAGCACAGTCGACTCCATAGCCATAGGAAGAAAAGCTTAAGGATTTTGTCAGTGAGAGATTAAGGTATGTGAGTCAAACCAAGATGGTGAATCCTTAGCTGGAACCAAGACTCACCCGATAAAAATGAATTGAACTGTTCACTTGCTGTTAAGTAATGGCACAACACTGTGATGTAATATCTCATGACTTGGCGCTTTTGAGGGAGTTCGGCATGATCCCCTGTGGGCGTTGGTGAATACAGTGGGAAACAATATGATAGCTCTTGCCGATTGTCAGTTGTTGATGTCGGCTGAGACTGTTTGGTGGGTTGCTTTTGGTCCACCCAGCTTGTTGGCACAACGTCGCGAGTTGACGACCGGACGCACTTCAGGTTCAGGCGAGCACAAGTACCACAGATTGGAAAGGTGTTTTCCACACATTTCTTCCGTCTAAGTCGCAAGATGTCAGGTTGGCATGTTAACAGGGTGGCAGTGGCTGTGCCGGATGCTTACCGGTATCGGCAAGTCAAACAACCTGTTTTATCGTGCTTTGAGCCCTTTCGACGTCGGGTTTCCGATTGTGTAAATGAAGCCATGAAAGGTTCGGTTCGATCCTCCATGGAACATGCACAAGCGACCTGTGACCGATGATATCTAGCGCGTTGGGCGTAACTGGTGACACAGGCGACGCGTGGGGATCTTGTTGTCAAGAGGAAAAAGAGGGACCTGATGGCGGTCCAGGCACGATGAGTGGACTACATGGAGAGATAACGGAATTTCCCAGACAATTCTTTACTGGGGCATTCGCCCTTTTTGCTCTAGCACCATGCAGATTGAGTCGGTAACAATCCTTTCCCCGCAAAAACGGAGGCAAGGCCGTCATCGGGCTCTCGGTTTTTTTCCACTGCCCTCCAGAGTCACTTTCACAAGATAAACCGTTATCTGACAGGAGATCCCTTATCATCAGGACCGGATTTCGTTGTCTCGGCTGCTGAGTAACGTAGAACAGCTTATCGCACAGCATCTCCTTTTCATGACTCGAGTACTAGTAACGGCTGAATTGCGGGAAAATTGTCCAATCGATGACGATTTTGTTTGGACACCAAGTGTATTGGTTTATGACTCAAAACATAGAATAGACTACTTCATCAACAATGCCCCAGTTCACATAACTCGCACCCTGATTTCTAACCACACATGCCCGTGTTGTCGTTCAGGATCGTCTTCCACTGTCCTCAATCATTGTCACGTGTGACGTACCTTTATACTCTTGGTGCAGCTTCTCTTGGACATCATGCCTGATTTTTTCGTCTTCAGTAGGGTATGCGCGCTTGAACATCGTCCATAGGGAGTGCGCGAGCAAATCGTCCATGGATTCAATGCTGCGGCCCTTGAGCTCTGGAAGGCAGAAGAAGACAAAAATCGCACCGATATATGTCATGGCGGCGAAGAAGAGGAAGGTGCCGTACTTCATTGTCGAGAGCATGTGAGGAGTCGCGGAAGTTATGCCATAGTTGACAATCCAGTTCGTGAAGAGGCAGCAGGACATACAGACCGACCGAATCCGAGAAGAAAAATCTCAGCAGCAACGACATAAGGAGCGACGGAGTGGCCAAAGGACTAGCCGAAGGCGTAAAGATAGATCCTGGATAACGGGTTTAGCATTGCGGCCACAAGACCTACACGAAAGAACAACGAGGACCTTGACTTACATGATAATGCCTACGATACCACCGGGGGTGGTTCCGCTACCCAGCTCAACATCAGAGAAGCAGAGAAAGAGACCGATGTAAAGCATCGATGTTGCCTGGATAGTGGCACCAATGATGAGTGGAAGCCGACGGCCGACTCGATCGACAATGAAGTACAAGTAGATTATGGTCGTCGCCAGCTTGACCATGCCGTAAACTCCAGTTGTCAAAAGTGAGCTGGAGCCCTCGGGAACTCCAATCATGGCGAAGATCTTGTGTCTAAATTAGTCGACAATCACGCAAATTTTGAGAAGATAGACTTGCGGTAGGAGCAAAGTAGTTCAACGAATCTGTACACGTGAGTTTGTGAAACAGAAAGAGCATTACGGCGAGAAAAAGTCGTCGGCGGTTGCTCGCATTGGTGACAATGTCTTTGACGACAACAATGTAGCCGTACCCTATAAAAGTCAGAGATAATGGCTCGTAAAGAAGCCCATCGGCGTGAACTACCCTTTGCTATTTTCTGCTCGGCTTCAGACTGAGCCAGGATCTCCATGTACTCTTGACGAACATAGGGGTGGTCTGCAGGCAAACCCCTAAGCTTGCATAGGTTTTTCAAGCCCTGTTCTTGTTTGCCTTTCGAGATAAGAGCACGCGGAGTCTCGAGGACAACTTAAGAGCAACTTGTCAATGCTGAAATCCTAGTATGGATTTTTAGCGTATACCTACACCAGATGAGGGCAAATAAGAAGAAACCAGGGATCAACTGGATGCCAAGGGCCAATTGCCAAGCCTTGTTGTCGTTGAGATCCTTCTCTGGCCACAGACTGACCGCGTCTGTATCTGAGAGTTAATGCTTGAACACTCCAATGATCAAAAGTAGTGACAGTTGAAGAGTACAGGTAATCTATAATTTGTCCAGAAGGCAAGAGCTAGTGCCAGTATGATCATCAGGTTGTATGATGTAGTGAGAGAGCCTCTAACCGACTTTGGGGAATTTTCGGCGAGGTACTGTGGCGCAAGCTGTGAGAGTCGCTGATTAGCAAACGAAAAAATGGCTTGATTTGCTTTGTACTCGCCATCGAAGTCGCTCCAATGGCTACGTCCGCCAGAAGTCGCCCAGTGTAAAGAACGTTAAGGTTGGGAACTTCTTGCATCGAACAACCAACCAGGAAGAGACCTGCCATCACGGTTACGGCCTTCTTTCTGCCCAGGGAGTCAGACAGCGGGGCTACCAGTAAAGCGCCTGCAGTTCCACCGGCCGCCACTACAGTTGCGATGGTTAGCGATGCAGCACACAAAACGTAGGATACAATTCTTCTCACACATTGCCGCTATGTTTCCTTCTAAACAAGTTGTTAGTATTGTAGCAAATCCTTCAAGCTATGGCGACTCCTACCTCTTGTGTCTGCTTCAGCCTTACTGATGGTGTCAAAACCGAAGGCTTTCCGAAACGATGGAAACGTCATGATGCCTCCAATGTTCCGTTCCCCTGATCAAACCCGTAGGAGTATCCGGCAAAAGCTATTGTTATACCTAGAAGGAGTAATTTCGAGTTAAAAATTTCTTTAGGGTCCTTCTTCCATTCAGGAGAGGCTTAAAGTGAAGTCCCTCCGCCCATTTTTCATGAGACTCTCACCGAATCAACTGGCGTCGTAGATTGAAAGTTCAGATTGTCAGGTCAGAGGGTCTACCAACAGTCCTAGGATCCTAGGGATTATATCAGAAGGTCTCTGACCGTATCATGTATCCGTATGAACTGACTCGATCCTCGTGTGACAGGCCCTAGCAATCCCCATGGAGAAGGATTCAAGAACCGAACTACCCCGCATAACCCACAGCATAGCTCGACCCATAGCTGCATAAGGAAACCATGAGGATCAGTCAATTCTCTTCTCGGAGAGAAGACCGTAGTCGTGAAGCACCATCAAGTTGTGTTTCAATATTGTTTGTCAATAGTTGATCGCCTAGTTCTAGCATGTAACTTCCCGGATTCAGGACCCACATCAATATTTTGCATGCGTTCTACCCGCAGAGGCTAAGCAGAACTAGGAAACTCGGAGAGCAAACCTAGCTGGAAACTTTCAGACGCGATTACAATACGGGACTTGGCCAGGACTACCCGTTATTCGATGAGAGCGGGGCCGGAGATCATGCCGGTTGGTGCTGGCTGACTAGGAAGTTGGAAAGTGGGTAACGGTAGATGAGGGGCAAAATATTGCGGAGTGTCGTCCAACTTACTACATAGGATCAAAACGTGATTGATTCCCTTCAAATGTTACTTGTGAGGAAATCGTACTCAATTTTCCTCAGTCTCAGCTGCTGCTGCATCGGCCTACCAACTTGGAATACATGTTGTTTCTCGTCCCTCGGCCCTCGAGCCAACGACTAAGGAACTTCTTTGACATGTCTCAAACTCTCTACACCGCTGCCATCCCTGCGGCAACAGTACAGTCCCACGCCTCCAATCTTCTCCAAGTCCCCGATTCGAGTCTGCTTTGCGCCTGGTTCGGAGGCTCTCAAGAAGGCCTTCCAGACATTAGCATTTGGCTATCTCGTAAGGAGCCTGACTCAAACGGCTGGTCCACACCGCAAAGGATCTCGTCCGACGCCAATCGCAGCTGTCAGAACCCAGTTCTTTTCCGAGTACCAAGAACCGGAAAAATATGGCTATTCCACACCTCTCAAGATGCTGGCAACCAAGATGGTTCATTTATCATGGCTCGTACATCAAGCGACAAAGGCATCACTTGGTCAGAGCCACGGTTTCCCTTTAAAGATATTACTGGCGTTTTTGTGCGTCAACCTCTTGTAGTTCTTGGGGACGGGACCTGGGTTCTTCCCGTTTTTCGTTGCCGGTCAACACCTGGCCAGAGATGGATTGGCAACAATGACATTTCGGCTGTCTTTTACTCCCGAGATGAAGGCGCAACATGGACAGAGAGCGTGGTTCCTGATAGTTTTGGTTGTGTCCATATGAACATCGTTTCACCAGAAAAAGAGGGTCGTGAGTACGTCGCGTTCTTCCGCAGTCGTTGGGCAGACAACATTTACCGTTCTACCTCCTCTGATGGGCTAGATTGGGCCCTCCCAAGCCAATCTCTCTACCCAACCCTAACAGTGGTATATGTGCTGCTCGTCTATCGTCGGGAACCATTATCATTGTGTTCAATAAGTCTGCGGCTGAGCCCGACATGACAAAGAGAGAAGGACTCTACGATGACATTACACCGGAAGATGACAAGCGGCCAACCCAGGATTCTGTCAACGGGAATAGTGCCATTTGGGGAACCCTCGGAAAACATTGACCGTTGCAATCTCTAGCAACGATGGTCTTACGTGGAAGGAGAGAGTGGTTGAAGAAGGACATGGCTATTGCATGACGAACAATTCTATTGAAAAGACTAATCGAGAGTTGAGTTACCCGAGCATCGTAGTTGAGGAAGATGCGTCTCTACCAGTGGCACATGTTGCTTTCACTTTCCACCGCCAGTATATTAAGTACGTTAAGATAGAAAATGTGCAGAAATGGGTGGGCGGTGCTTAAACTGAGAAGCAAAGGTATGAAATATCTTGCTGCTATGTAAATAGATGGGCGGTGATTGATGTGCGTTTGCTTGAACTACTTACAATCACACTGCATTATAATAAGTCTTGGAACTGAAGTACATAGCCCGGCTTCATTTAGTCCCTTTGTTGGAACTGAAATGCCATCGAGATTCTCACAAGAAGCAACTAACAGAAATCATGCGAGATGTTGGAATAACAGCACCAGCTGGTTGTACGACACGCACGACTCAGGGACACACATCATGGCAGAGGGCACAGACTAGATATTCGGCCCTCGGTTATCCATTGAGGGGATCAAAAGTATATTTATGCTGAACTGACTTAGGGACGTATGAGATCATACATCTTGTATACGAATGCTAAGTCTTGTAGTTAGGAAGATAATTACGGAAAATTTATCTTTGGTTTACCTCAACTTTTAACCCTTGTACGATCGTACAAACGGGCTCTCTCAGGAAGAGAGAATCCATTCAACACGAGACATATTTTTGAATGGACGCTGCCAAGTTTTAAGAATGGAAAACTGGCACATTGTGCTCTGTTTAGCTTAACCTCAAAATGGGTCTAGTTTTTCCATAGTCTTTGCTTCTCGGTGGCATCAGGCACACCTAGGGTCTCCAATGCCCACTTCTTCATTGTGTCGTCCAGCGGCAAATATGGCCGCCTCATTTCCCAAGAGGACTCATCGGCAATTCCTATATGGCGACCAAAGAAGTACCAAGTGCCGTATATCGTAAGAGCTATGCCTTTCTTGCATGCCCATTCCGCGTTGGCCACATCCCCCTGAAGCTTCAAGGCCATTTCCGTTTTCCCAGCCTTCCAAAAATCGTATACGGCTGATGTGGAACCAGGAAAGATATTGCCCATCCCCGTTACGCAACCACTTCCTCCTGCTTATAGTGTTGGGAGGAGGTAGTCACTGCTACCGCCAAAGACACCAAACTGCTCATGTGTGAACTTGCTCGTCAATCGGATCACCTTGCCGACATTGCCACATGTCAGCTTTACAGCTACGATGTTGTGGTGTGACGCCAGAGCGCTCAGTTGGTCTGAATCCAGATCCACGCCAGAGGTCACTCCAGGGAAGTTGTAGATGACGATTGGGATGGGCGAATGGTCGGCGACGTCCCGGAAGTAGCCCAATATTGCGTCATTGGAAAGTGCCTTGGGCCAATAGCTAGGCGGCAGCAAAAGTGCAAAGTTTGCGCCAGCAGCCGCTGCGTCTTTGGCGTTGAGAATGGCTTTGCGCGTTGATTGGGCAGACATGCCGGCAACGATTGGATAATATGGCTTTCCGAGGTCTTTGACTGAACGGGCTGCGGTTTCGATTATGGCTTTACGCTCATACGGTGTGAGAAGGCAAAGTTCACCGTGAGTCCCCATATAGACAAGGCCATGCACGCCGGCGTTGATTAGCACCTGACACTGCTTTTACATGGCATTATGGTCGACGGGCTGTAACGGGTCGTCGGCCTGATAGATTGTGACGACTGGGGTGTAAACCCCCGCTGGGAGTGGCTTCGTTTTGGGGGCGATTGTGCTGGAGGGCATAATTAGAGGGTTCGAAAGATTGAGAACGTCGCTGTTATTTGATTCAGGGTCACAAAGCTGAAATCTCCCGATTTGCGCAAACGGTCAATTTGGACCAAAACTGGTAGGTGTTAAAGTCAGGTCTTCAATATAACAATAATACAACGAATCCGAAAATGCGGAGACTAATGCGGAAAGCTCTTCGGCCGAATTGCGTCTTAGGGCCCCACCCAATCGCGCTCCGATGATGGAAAGAACTCAGCCCCCTCCTGGGTGAGTAACATCGGCTACTAGCGTTATCTTTGTTTGACATTTGTGGTCGAGGGAATGTATCATTGTGTAGGGTGGTTCAATTCTTGTCAATGTATCATGGTCCACATCGGCGGGAATGCCGATACGTGGGAGACGTGCATGCGGAGTTGACATTGGATGGAGGCGATCTCCGAAACACTACCTAGTGTGCCGCGATTAGGAAGATGCCGAGGCAGCAGAGCTCAGACAGAAGAAACAGAGGGTTAGTAGGGCTTGAAAATGGCTGCCTAAGTTATTTCACACCAACACCGACAGTGTATTGTGCCAAATAAGCTGCTCGTTTCGCCTTGTTCCCTCGCAGCCGGTGTTCACGGACGAAACACTGAGACATTTTGGGACCCAGGAAAGAGCGAGGAGTGCAACTACAACACTAGATCACAATGGAAACCAAGACGCATGACGCGGGGAGAGCCACTATCAGTTTGACAGACCTAAGCAAACACAATACAGAAGCAGACTGTTGGATCGCAGTGCACTCAAAAGTTTGGAATATCACTGACTTTATCAGTGAACATCCAGGAGGTCCATCCGGTTAGTAAACCCAATCTCAAATCCGTCACATTGAACACATTGTTTAATCCAGATACCCTGTCAGTCCTACTTGACTACGCCGGCTCAAATGCCACGAGATCTTCGACAAGGTCCATGTGCCTGATATACTCGAGAAGCTACCTGACGAGAAGTTTATTGGAATTCTCGATGAGGCTAATCTAGATGCTTTAGCACCCGCACTACAACTAGCTAATAGCAATGGGATATCCAGTGCAGGGACTGCGCAGACATCCTTCTCGCCTGCGCAAGAAGAGATGCCTATATTACCGCCACTTCTGTCCATCATTGGAGCGCCAGATCTCGAGCTTGTTGCTTCTTAAGTACTTACAGCAAAGATATGGGCCTTTTACTCTTCTGCTGCTACTGACCTCATGACGCACAAAAACGACAAAAGGCTGATCAGGCGCATCATGATTCGGCCGAGGATCCTCAGAAACCTGTCTCATATCGATATGAAAACAAAACTTCTAGGGTTTGAAAGCTCTGCCCCTTTCTTCATCTCACCTGCAGCCATGGCGAAGCTAGTACATCCCGACGGTGAATTGGCTTTGAGTCGTGGGGCGGCAAATGAAGGTATCATTCAATGTGTAAGTATGCACGTGGCGCACTTACCAGTCACTGAACTGATCATCAACTCTTTAGATCTCGAGCAATGCATCTTATACTCTAAAATCAATCGTCTCAGCTGCCCCGCGCACGCATCCCTTCTTTTTCCAGCTTTACATTAACTCCGAACGGCATAAAACAATAGAAATCCTTCGTTCAGCCCGCTTACTCGGCATCAAGGCCGTTTTTGTAACTGTGGATGCGCCTGTTCCTGGAAAACGAGAGGGAGATGAGCGTGTGGCACAAACAGGCACGATTCGGGCTGCCATTAGCGGCGCCGAGAGTAGTAAGGACAAAAAGGGTAATGGACTCGGGCGTTTAATGGCTCAGTACATTGACAAGTCAATTACATGGATGGACCTCACGTGGATCAGAGAGGCGAGCGGCGTTCCTATCGTGCTCAAAGGAGTTCAAACTGCAGACGATGTCAGGTTAGCAGTTGAGTATGGTGTCGATGGAGTGCTACTGAGCAACCACGGTGGACGATCTTTGGATGGGTATGTTCTCGAGCAAGGCTATTCCGACATTAAATCGCTAACAAGGACATCAATTTCAGCTCGCAAGCCTCTATTCTAGTTCTTCTTGAACTCCAAGAGCAATGCCCCGATATCTTCGACAAGTTGGAAGTTTATATCGATGGTGGCTTCGAGCGTGGTTCCGATATTTTGAAGGCCATTGCACTCGGTGCCACGGCTGTAGGTGTGGGAAGACCACTTTTATACTCCCTAATGTACGGGCAGGATGGTGTAGAGCATCTTTCACAGAGTAAGTCCTTCCGGCTAAGAGTCGTAGATAGCAACTTGATGACAAGGGTCTCACTGCTGGTAGTCTTCAAGGACGAACTAGAAACCTCGATGAGACTTTGCGGTATTACAGGCCTCAGACAGGCTACGCCTGCAATGGTGAACACTCTGGATGTTGACCACTTGGTAGTTTCGGAGCAACGGTCAAGACAGAAGCTGCGCTCGAGAACACGGCGGGCAAAGCTTTGATGCTCCAGGATCGATGGAATGCCCTCCTACCTCATTTCTCAAGATCCGTTCGGCGTATCACAGTGGATGGTCATAGTTTAGATAGTAAACTACGAACGTCTCCTTAATTTGCTTCGTACAATTTCAAACATGAGACTAGCTACTGACCGTGTTGTTGAGGATAAGAGTCAATTCTTGTGACCTTGATGAGTTTTTACAGGCCCCTTCAAAAAATGGTACAATGTTTCAATTTGAAATATTGAATGTTCACAAGAAACGTCCGCTGTAATCTGGAATTCGATGATTAGTATACATGGAGGAGAGAGGACTTCCTCCTTAGGTATTTATCGGTTTCCATTGTGACGCCGATTGATCAACTATCATGCTCCCAAGGTCTTAGCAAACGCCTCAACAGCTTCTAAAATCGGGCCATCTGGTTCCAAGCCCAGGCTATACGCCCTGCTGACATCGAACCGAGCCGCCCAAGTATTTATAATGGCCAAAATTGCGGGGTCCCTCTTCTCCTCGACCTGCGCTAGTGCCTCCTTGCCACCAATTCTTTCTACTGCGTCGAGGATCTCCTGGACCGTGACCGTGATACCTGGAAGATTGACGACCCTTGAGTCTCCAAACTTCTCCTTCGGTACGTCCTTGATCGTTACCAGGTTCTTCACAACCGTTGCGGGGCTGCAAACCCAGATCTCTAGATCGCGGCTGACGGGTAAGATGTTTTTGATGCCCTTGAGAGACTCGCGGACGATGCCGGAAGCGAAGCTAGATGCTGCAGCGGAAGGAGCACCAGGCCTGACTGTCACTGTTGGGAGGCGTACAATTCGGCCGTCGATAAGACCGCGTCGTGAGTAGTCCTCCACTAATAACTCAATGATGAGCTTCTCGGTGCCATACGACGTTTTCGGCTTCGGCACCGTCTCGCTCTCGATGACCGGTTGACGGGGGCCGTAAACTGCGCATGAGCTAGTGAACACGACGGTGGTTCCAGGATGTTCTTTGCGAAGATGATCAAGAACGGTTCGGACTGAGTCAAGGTTGACCTTGAGACCTAGGTCAAGGTTGGCTTCCGCTCCGCCAGACATGAGCCCATGCAGTAGGTACACTGCGTCGAATTGCTTTGAAAGCAAGGATCTCACCGCTTCCGGATCGGTGAGATCAGCCTTGAGTGAGTTGATCTTATTGCTCTCCCCCGCTACGTCGGCTGGAATTGAGGGCTCAAAGACATCCGTGACGGTCAGGGTCGTAGAAGGATTGGCTTTAACGAGGGCGCTGACGAGGGCCTGGCCGACGAAGCCAGCCGCGCCTGTGACAAGAATCTCGTTGGACATTATTGCGTTCTTGTTTAAAATCTTCTCGATATTGTTTTGCTGATAGGTGCTAGATTAACAGATTTCGATGTATACCACGCGTTTCTGGCAAGATGGTCGCGATCATGCACCCTCGGCTCTAACTGTCCGACTTCGCTGTGTCCCTCCATATCTAAATGAGGGGCACCGGCCTGGACGGATTACGTCTTCAGGCTTCTCCTCATCCTTCCTGTGAGTTACCGAACGTAACCGGCCACCAACGATCGGATATGCAGCCACTCTCGAGTATTGAATCCGTTGGTCGGACTAGTGGCCGATGCAGCGCATCCAAATTAGGGATCGGTGAGAATGCCGATGGCCCACATTTCCAAATCGGTGTGGTTGCTTCCCCGCACCGTACTCGGGGCCATCACGCAGCCGGCGGTAACCGGACTGGACAATGATCCCTGATGGAGGAGATGAGACCATGGAGCTAGGTGACGTGAAGTGATATTGGAAGACAAAAACAACAAATATACTGTGCGAAATCTTTGAGAATCAACAATAAGTATCGTTACTCCAAGTGGCTTCTTCTACTTCGATACTCAGTGAAATAGCATCCACAACATCTTCAAGATGGAATACACAAGGTTAGTCTTGTGAAACTGGTTTACTAATTGATTCAACGCAATGTTGTGAGCCAAGAACATGTCCTTCGCTCCAAGCTGCTGATTCTTTTGTCTTCAACCATTAGTGGTCTCTTGATTGCTAATAGAAACACTGGCCTTAAGATTTCGAAGATCATTTTGGGATGCATGACCTTTGGTTCGTCTAAATGGGAAGGCTCACCGTGGGTTCTAGGTGAGGAAGAGGGGCTGCACTTACTCAAGACGGCATATGAAAATGGCATCAACACCTGGGACACGGCTGATACGTACTCGAACGGTCAATCAGAGGTCATCATTGGCAAGGCACTGAAGGAGTTCAACATCCCACGGCAGAAGGTTGTGATCTTCTCCAAGATCTTTAACCCAGTCATGGATGATGAATCAAGGCCTTCCAGCGTCAACGATGGTCCACTGGTCAACCAGATGGGTTTAAGCAGAAAGCATGTCTTTCATGCCGTGGACAAGTGCCTGGAGCGGCTCGGGACAGATTATGTCGGTAAATTATAATGCTCTGTCATTCAACGTGATGATACTGACCACGTTTATTACAGATGTCCTTCAGATCCACCGCCTCGACCGAGAAACTCCACCGGAAGAAATCGTGCGAGCCCTCCACGACGTCGTACAGTCTGGAAAAGTCCGCTACATCGGAGCGTCATCCATGTATACGTGGGAGTTTGCTCGGCTGCAGTACGTTGCTCGTTCAAACGGTTGGACGGAGTTCATCTCAATGCAGCCGTTCTACAACTTGCTTTACCGTGAGGAAGAACGAGAGATGCTACCCTTCTGCCGCGCAACTGGAGTTGGGGTGATTCCATGGTCGCCGATTGCACACGGTCTGCTCGCAAAGCATCTCTCCAGAGAGAATGAAGAGGGCGTATCGCTGCGAAGCCAAACGGATAAGAAGACGCAAGTATGGTTTGCCGACGCTAATCTTGAAATTGTCAACCGTGTGGAAGAGATTGCAAAGAGAAAGGGTGTCAGCATGGCTTTAGTCTCAACAGCGTGGGTTTTGCAACAGGGATGCTGGCCCATTGTCGGTTTGACCTCGGAGAATAGAATCAAAGAGACGATAGGGGCGTTGAAGGTCAAGTTGACTGATGAAGAATGTCGATATTTGGAAAGTGAATACCGACCAAGAAATATCCAGGGCATGTGATCTCAGCTAAAGGTAATAGAATTCGTCAGATACATTATCAATGCCTGGGTGGTTACTAAGTGCTATCCAAAGTGTGTGTCGAGACAGACACATTAGATGATGATCATGTGTTTGAGATTGTGATTTGATAGTCAACATAGTTTAAATCTCGACCCGAGACAGTCTGGTTTTCGGTGTTCAGTGATGACACATCAAACTGAAAGACCGGAGACAGTCCAAAGCTGTAGCTGTTGTGAAGGTTGCTTTCAGCCGCTCTCCGTATCGCATATCCTGAAAGCATCCAGCTCATGTCGCTGAGCCAATACGAAGCGACGCACATAGGCGAAGATAGTCACGGTTTACCCTACGATCAAACATAGATTTTTCGGTGAGTCCGCGGAACTCTGACCTGCAAACACCATACAGGTTGTTTGCCTGAGGGTCATGAAGCGCAGCGACCGTCAAAGTTGCCGCTGTCAAAACAAGGCTTTTGCGTCTCAGCTCATCCAACTGAGGGTATTTGCACCCAACACCATACATGAAAGCATCCAGACGGTCTCGGTAAACACAGAATAAACGGTCAGCGTCCTCTCGTCGCAAGGCACCTCTCGCAATAAAACTATGCTGAGCAGGGCTCTAATGGCCTTCTGGGGCGTCCGGTGACCTTAGAGCTCTCAGTTTGGTTAGGGCGTAGAGTGAATAAACTGGCACATGAGGTAGATTTTCATCTCCAGACGATATTTTGGGCGAGTTGTCGCAAGATGAAACCGTAGTTGTCCCGCCCAGACTTTCCCAGGTGGTATTCATTCTCGTTAGCACTCTGTGTAGAACGGTTTGGGTGTGATGGAGACTCCGAGGACTTTTGTAGTGCTGAACTTTGAAGTGCTGCTGGCTCCGGTAAGCCAATCTTCTTGTTAACCTCTTTGAGAATATTGTGAAGATTCTCAATGTCTTGGAGAATAGCCTGATTGTGCCTGCAAGAGAATCAGTTTATTTGCCCACCTCGATTTTGAAGCTTGCTCTCACAGAGTTTTTTCGTCAATGATACTTTGCAAGTTCTTGCCCAAGACGCAAGCCAAGCTTCGCTCAACACATCGACGACACGGTGGACCGCTTTCGTCCATAATACATTTGATCTGAAAATATCGCTTAGCCACCCACAATGGCTGTGTCTCTAGAGATGAAGATGGAGACAATGATAGTGACACACTTTATGTTTGCGGCACGCCGCACACGCCTTGATTTCTTCGAGATATTTGCGGGAAAGATTGTTCGCCATTTCCAGTAATCATCAACTACGGCTTATAATCAATATGATGCGCGGTAAAAACAGCTGCATAGCCAGCATCTTACCGTCATGAACTCGATGCCTTCAGTGGCATCTGACCAGCTGCGTTTCGTCATGATTTAGATTAGGTAGTTGCTTGGTATAAATCCCGTTGTACAGTGAGGCGCTGATGATGGCTAAAACTAAGGGTTTAGGTTCTTGAAGTTGAGCGTAGGATGTGGAAGAGGAGAAGTTCGGTTGCCCAGACGAGATGACCTGCGTCAGTCGACCGGGTGGTCGGCATTGGGTGTGGAGAAGGGACAGGGACCAGGTCCTTTCAAGGCGGGAAGTCACCCGCGGCGGGTCAGAAGCGGTTGGAGGCCTGTTACCCCGCTTCCCCCTCGTGAGACGTTGTCTTTTGATTAAATCATATTTAGTGTAATCAGTGATAGCCTTTGTATGTACTCATGGGCTACCTCCCTAAGACCACAGCGGATCCTAGAATATCTTCACATTGCCCAGTTGTGCATAGAAGGCAAACTAGACTCGCTTAACCTGTATCAAACATGGCATGGTCAAGAAATTACGATACGGAAAATATGAGCGTGTACCTGCTAAGAATGACATACCTAAGCAAGAGAGGTGAATTCTTTCTTCTTGATAAGAATCGGTCACAACCTATTTGGTAGCACCCAATGAGGACATGCAAAAAATGCTTGGAATTCTATCGATCTCAATTCAATCAATTTGTAAGTTTGCATCCAAAAATAAGAGACCGAAGTTCTAACTCAATTAGTAGAACGACACAAGGTTCGTCACCATCTTGAGACCCTGCCAAGCTTAGCTTTCCACAAATACTAGATGTCGAGCCGGACCTCCCGGTAAAGCTTACTTGCTTTTAAAAAAGTCCATGATTGAAAACAATGTCGTTGACAGTGACAATAGACTAGCGTTGCACCTGATTTCTGCGTTTCAAGTCAGTCTCGGCGCTGGATTGGAGGCAGTGGTGCATATGCAATGTATTAAACAAAGGATTTTACTCATGTAGTATTGGAACTGTTATTAGAACGAAAAAAGAGTGTTCCTACCTTATAAGCAGTCTGGTTCACTGCGGAAATTGACTTACCACAGCAGTTAAACCGGAGACTATGCGCGATCTGAGCTGTATCTTCACATCACCAACCTTTGATACAACCATGTACAGCAGCGATGTGACGATAGCATTTCTTCAGGTATTTGGGGCGGACCTATTCTCTTCTATGACGTATCTTCCTTAGGCACACGATGAGAGACGATGGTTAGTAAGCTTCTTCAGAGTCTCAACCAGGTTCTCGTAGGGGATGACTCGCCATATAGGGTATGTCTATGCCTTCAGCTAGGAGTAAGGTCGAGTTTCTGTCGAACTAACAAAGCGACCTCTCACGATTGTGAAAGGAAACCTTTAAGAGGGTTCGAGAAATTCAACAATCTTTGAGGGGTTAAAACGTATTTCCAATCAGGACATAACCTTTGGACAGTAGCAAATCCTGGTAGACTGTAGTTCACGTATCACACAAGAGAGTGCAAGGGTCATTTCGCAGCTCCAATTGTTAACGTGCACTTGATTGGACATACCTCAACTCGCTCGAACAGTGGCAATAGCCAGATGAACCTTTCCAATTTGTTCTCATCGTTGTGGAAAAATCATTGTGCTGATGCTGGTTGGACCCTCCGTCCGGAACAGGGGTGGTGGTATCGCCAATGCGTTGCATGAAGGGGGACTGGGAAATCCAACTAGCAAGAAATAAAATCCAGCACTTCCCTGTTGCAGAAAGCTTAAGACAACAAAGCGACGCGTCCTCCAAAAGCCTCGTTTATTAACGTTGCCAATCCACAAGTCCCTTGGCTCTTCAGTATTTTAGTTATCAATGTGTCCATGTCTCATAGGTGACTTATGTCGCACCGGCCCTACAACTTCCTGGTCCAACCCATCGTAACCTTACACCACCGGCTTTTTGGCACAATATAAACCGTGAGAATGTTCCTACTCGCCCTCTTTGCAACCTTGGTTGTCATACCACGAGTTCTCGCCGCGCCCTCGTCAGAGCGTCCATGCGGAAATTCGACCGCAAAGCAGAGTCACCGTAGCCTTCTGTACGTAACAAACTGGGGGATTTATGGCGCAGGATATAACCCGGATAATATACCGGTGAAGGATGTTTCCCATGTACTCTACGCATTCGCGGATATCCAACCAAACGGTACTGTGTAAGCACTTACCATTTGCCTGTACTGGAGAGCGCTGACTTACCCTTGTGAAGGGCTTCCTCTGATCCATGGGCAGACATAGGAAAGCCATTCGACAACGACAGCATTAAAGAGCCCAGTCACAATGCGTACGGGCTGGTCAAGCAGCTGTACATCAAGAAAATGGCCAACCGCAACATGAAGGTTGTCCTATCCATCGGCGGATACAATTGGTCCCCAAAGTTTCTGGCAGTTGCCGCCAGCGATACTTGTAGAGCCAATTTCGTCTCTTCTGTTGTCAAGCTGGTAGCCGACTGGGTAAGATTATCGTCTTTTAGACAGGGGTAGGCTTAGTTATTCTAGCTAACATTGGTATGGAAGGGTGTGGATGGCGTGGACCTCGATTGGGAATATCCTAATACTATGGAGACGAACACTAATTGTGTAAAGATGCTTACCGAACTCCGCCAAGGCTTGGATGACTACTCTGCAAAGTACACTAATGGATATCACTTTACACTGAGCTTTCCAGCGCCAGCTGGGCCGCAAAACTACCGGGCATTTGACTTTAAGGCGATGGACAAGTCTCTCGACTTTTGGTCGTTAATGGCCTTCGATTTCATAGGTCCCTGGGAGAATACCACTGGCCACCAGTCTAATGTCTATCGTAGCAGGCCAAATCCTCTAAGCACGAAAGCCAGCATCGAACGAGCAATTGACGACTATGTCAAAGAAGGCATATCACCTGGGAAGATCAATCTTGGCATGCCACTGTCCGGGCGGGCGTTCAGCAACACTCAAGGCCTTGGGAAGCCATATTACGGCCAACCCAACGGCAATCGTGGCCAGCCTGGTATCTGGCTTTATAAAGGTCTTCCTCGACCGGGAGCCAAGGTTTACTGGGACAACGTGGCCAAGGCAACATATTCATACGACAACGCCACTCTACAGCTGGTGTCGTTCGATAACATGAAGAGTGCGAAGTACAAGCAGGAGTATATCAAGAAGAAAAAACTTGGAGGTGCCATGTTCTGGGAGGCTACAGGCGACAAACCAGGTCATCAAAGCATCGTTCACAGTATGGCAACTAGTATGGGAACGCTTGAGAAATCAAAGAATTTGCTCTCCTATCCGATTTCTCAGTACAAAAATATTCGCAATGGAATGATGAGTAACATTACTTCGTTTTCAGAGACAAAACGGAGTGCTTAGGATCTGGCTGTTAATGCAATATGGTCATTCTGCGACTGTTGCCAAGACTGTTGCCAAGACAATGAATAACTGCACCCTTTTGTTTACATTAATATATAGTTATGCTATAATGCTGGCGTCTCTAAATTTTTTGAACGCCTCAAGCCAGCCGTCAACTGGATTCCTTTCTTCTGTGAATCCTAGTGACCGCAGTCTCTCCAAACTCAGTTGTCGATCAAATGATAACCAATATCCTACGCTATCAAGTTGGTTGCTTCCGCCACCGACACCAGCATTCACTGCCTTGTCAAGACCCTGCTCCATGAACAGGTGTTTGTGCTTGTCAACATACTTGCCAGGCTTTAGTATGTTGTCGTTTCCCGTAGGTCCCACGCCTTTTAGTCCGAACCAATGCGCGATCGCCGGCCAGATCTCGCTGAACTTGGTTGGCTGCGCACTGTCTGCCATGTTAATGATTTTGGCATCGCACGTTTCACCGTTCAATGAAGCGTAAATAGCAATACGGCCAAGAATGTGGGAGGATACGGGAGTGAAGAGACTGTTATAGCCACTTTCGTTTCCTGGAAACGGAACCTCGATAGGGAGGTCACATTTCCCGCCAGGTCCCCGATTGTAGGCATAGAGCGAAAGGTATTGCGCCCAGTGAAGGGCAAGAGAGAATCCTGAACCGTTTGGCGTGAAGCCAATGACTGCATCAGGGCACAATTCTGACCATGTCCATGACTTGCCTTCGCTTGCCTTGGCAAGAATCTTCCTGAACCACGGGTACGCGACTGTTTTGGCATAATCTTCGGGGAGGCTGTCTGCCATTGACTCATTGAGTGGTGCCTCAAAGGTTCCTCCCGGTACATAGATCCCGTATCCCTATACGTATAAGCCAAGCATTCTGAGATTCCACAACGGATGGGCAACTCACTCTCGTCCCTCCGGGGTAGACAAAAGATTTAAGGTTAGGTGACAGTAACGTGATCGAGTCGACGACTCTCTGCAGTATGCCGCAGTTGGTTTCGCATTCTCGGATGTGATCATCAGTTACCTGATTAAAGACTATGCGTAGCATCCAATATTAGTTACAGGAAACCAGCAAAAGGTAGGGCTTCATACCGAAATAGAAAACATGGGTAACATCTTTGATTCCCTGGACTTTGTCTTCCAGCTGTCTCGTCAGATCTTGTGCGGTGCCATAAAGTTTCACTCCAGACACGATCTGCAAAAACGGTCGATTCGTTGAATCTTCTGGCCAAAAGAACTCCGGTTCGGGCAAAGGACGGTTGATGACAGCTGTGACCTGATCAAAGGAACCTTCGGCGGGGTAGTTGGAGAGCAGCTGCTCGACCGTGGCCCAACCAAGTAGACCTGCGGCCCCAAAGACGATGGCGTGTTTACGTTCAGACATGCTTTTTAGGAAGCCAACGGATTAGGTCTGCAAGTACAAACCCAGGAATGCGGAACTTATGTCTTTATATACCGGTTGTTTCGAAGCCATCAGTTGCGAAAGGCCTCCTCAACTTACATGCATCTTCTCGGATCATGAAACCCAAAGGATCCACGATGGCCAATGGACGTCAGCGTTTGTACTGAGCCACTATGACTCATAGCGGAGATGCAGCACCTGGTGCATCCTAATGCCGCTAATGACGCCCTAAGCCTCGAGCCTACCCCCCTTAATGCACTAGATTGGTGGCAATTGATGCAAGCCACTTTGACGGCTTGCCGATGACTCTCTGCCCACAAACAAAGGTTCGGCCATAGGTTCAGCGATGAATCTCTCCATACTTTGAGGAAGATGTGTTGAAATTGTGTGAAAATCCAGACTTTGTTTGTTTTCAAAATATACGATGACAATTTCTGTCTATCTCTAGAGCCGCATTTCAAGTTGAACCACACACACTTGTCTAGCAATCATTCTTGCGCAAAGCATCCGTTCCCTCAACCAGTACCACAGTAATCAGCGTACTGCTTCGAACTCGACTCAGGGTTTCCCCACCACTGTCGTCATTTTAGTTAGTCGCTTCAACTCAAAAATCGCCTCGTCAAATCACTCACCGTAGGGAAGGGAACCTCCTTTCCAGAGCCGCCAGCGACAGCAAAAGTCAGAATAAACATCATAACCTTAGCACCGGCATCAAGACCACCGCCGACTATATAGTTGTATTTGCCGAACCAGGCAGGGTGGCGCAGACGCATGTACCATTGAGACCACAATCCGGTCGCAACTTCAGAACATATCACAGACGTCGTACCTGACGTCGTCTCAGAGGCATTGTGGAAGATGACGGGAGTGACCAGCTTGCATACTTCCCAACCGTAAATCGGTTTGCACTTGCGAGAAACAAGCCAGAGGGCGATGGGGAAGACAGCTCCGATGACAACAGACAGTGGAATCCTACCAACGGTTAGTAATATGACACAAACTTCTTGATAGGTAGACTTGCCAACCATATCCATTCTCTCCGAAGCCGTAAACGTATTTAGCAAGAGACCAGGTTACAGCAGTGGTGTGCAGAGACTGAATTTTGCGCCCGCTCCACTGAATACCTGTCAGCAGAAGCACAGTACACCTAAATAAATTGACTTGGAGCAGTTCAAGGCTTACAACTTGGTTTCCGATGGGGTCAAGAAGGATCTCTCGCCGGTTCACAACAATTGTATCCATAATAACGTAGTTTAGAGCAGTTCCAAACAGGCTGCCCCATGTCTGAAGAAGAAACATTGTCCTCCAGGGAATCTTGAGATATTGAGCCATTTTGAGATCGGTGGATAAAAACACCGAGAGCACTGTGACCTCATGGCTAAACATTGAGAAATAGAGGTTCGCCACCGGCTTGCCGGGCTGAAGGACACCGCACAACATCTTGGAGAGGTTGTTGGTCGCAACACTAGTTCCAAGCAAACTGTATAAGCAGAGCGAAAAAGGCGCAACGATACAACCAAGGAGCTAATTCAGGTCGTTAGTATTATCACATTTCACGTGTAGGCGAGCTCACAATGGCGCAGACGTAAGCCCACGCGTCGAGCGTGGTATGGCCCTTGATCACTGCACCGAGACCGCTGAAGAAGCCAATGAGAAGAATAGCGATATACCACCACATTGGAACATCTTTATACTTCTCCTTCATGATCTTAAAGTGAGGATCTGTCTCCTCCTTCTTCCAGGCTTGCTTCAGTGACTTCTTGATACTACTCCAATTAGCCAAGCTCTATTAGAGGGTTCCTCTTCGGTTGTTCTTACAGAGGCCCATAGAAGAGCGAGATGTGGGTGAGCAGCGCGCCGATGGCTGCCATGGCTGCCACATTCGCCCAAACGTTGGATGCTGTTAGCCGTGGGAGGCCATGTACCTCCAGCGCTTCGGTGTCCAAAACCGCGTTCTGGCCAAAGACGGCAGTTTGATTGTACACCTTTCCAGTCTTGCCATCGAACATGGCAGTTGACATAAAAGGAAGTTTCTTCGCGCCCCAAGCTCCGCCGTAGTAGAGACTAAAACACATGATGTAAGAAAGAACTATGCCCGCCCAAGAGTTGGCTTGTTGCAGAAGCGGAAGGGACATGTAACGCGACGTAATGTACTGCCAATCCAGAGAGAAATTGAGGATCCCTTGGCCTTCGTTGGAGGATATTCCGCCAAAGATGGTCATTAGTACTTTCCTGGTTGACGGCTCTGCCTTCATCGAAGCGAGACACGGGATCGAGATGCCGTTGAGCCAGGGCCAGATGTAGGACGCAACGGGTTCCCAGATGAACATACCAATGGAAGTGAATTCAAACATGCGCAGTCTGTCTTTGTTGTTTCCTTGAGGCTCGCGGTGAAGAGTTTGATAGATGGAGATCATGGGAAGGCATTGCCACCATACCATCTCACTCGCTATCGCATGTTAAGGCTCTCTGCATACGTAGGAAGGCTTGGCTTCGGTTTGCACTTACGATGTACCAGGATAGATCTTAAAATACCTACAAGCCCATACCCAAAGATAGACGCAGAAAATACAGTCAAGATTGCGGTCGCAGCGTCAGTGTTTCGATTGTAGAAGCTGCCATTTGGTCAGTGCCACATCGCAACTTCTTCGTTGAGTTGCACTAACAGTCGCTCTGCGCCAAAGACCTGGACAACAGCCGCACCATTACCACTGGAGGTCGACAGAATCGAGGCAACAGCATGTTCTTTCAGCCCGAAATGCCCGGGATTGATGAAGTGAACAACTGGCCCGAGCCATTTCGCTTGCGACGGAATGAATCTTTCGACCTGGTGACGGCGGGGAAGTACGACCGACCAAGTCACACCAATCACATATGCTATTAAGCATAGAAAGCTGTTGATCAACACTTATCAGCCTTTCTTGGTTTTACTTTGGGAAAAGAGAACCGCAACTTACACGGAAGCAAAAGAGACATCAACTGGCCTATAGAAATAACTAGACCAGTAAGTACACATCACATTCGGAATGCGCATTTGAAACAAACATTTGGTTGATGCAAGCCGCGAGAGCGGTAAGTCCTTTCCGACTGTCAGCGTTAAGTCCAACTCCGGCATAAATTGACAGGGCTTCAAGGTGTCTGCTTACCAGAGCCGATGATGAATGATCGAAACGTACAAGAGGCGTCGCCATCATCCTGTGTGCTTACAACGTATCTCGCGACATCGTTGCCTAAGTTTTCTGGGTTAGCTTTTTTGACTTATCAATCGAAGCTCGAAGCTGTTTGCTACCGTCTCGAACTATCACACCACCATTCACAAGCTTTCTCTCATCTTCAGAGCCGTTTCGTTCAAGATCGTTTGGTTTGTCACGGTCGTCCAACTTGTCATCTTTCAAGACCTGTGACACGTCCGATTTGGAAGCGCCAAGGCCTCGGCTGACCACTGCAGGCAACGGGATATCTGCGTCTACTTCTGATGGGAAAAACCACTGTAAGATCTTTAGAGCCTGCCATCTCGGCCATACGATTCTGTCGAAGTCAAGACGACCGCGTTTCCGTTGACGTCGAAAATCTTCGTGGAGACTGCCAGATTCCACATATGGCTCAGTCACTGATATCTCCCATGCAAGCTATATATAAATGCACGTTGTTTCGGGCCCGCATTACTCCTTTATCACGTCAACCGTCAACAGGTCGTCTTTGTCTCAAATCCGATGGAGGCCCGCGACTTTAACGCAGCCAAGATTGTAGTGCCGGCAAGGTCATGGATGTACTCACATGTTAGTCCGTCTCTGTTCGCGAGAATTAGCCCGAATTCGAGTATTTGCAAAGTTCTTGTCGGGCTGTTGCCGACGCGAAACTGAGTCGCTGGGGTCTTGACTAGGGGTTACTCTTGACTTTGTTCACAAGTCTCTAAATGGCGTAAGATTTGCCTTGCCAGTCGCCATCTCATTCTGGCCCACAAAACCGGATCCGGTTCTGACTTTTTCGGGATGAGCATCTCTTGGTGGCATGCCAAGACATGCTCAGAAGTTTGTTGAGAAACGGAGTAGAGAAAACAGCGGGTGATGGCGAGGATGCGGCATAGCTGTTGTTTTCCAACTACCAGGAACGAAAGACATAATGACAAGTGAAGTCTATAGTCATTGAGCTGAGAGTCCAAGGCAGGTGGATGACTGCAGAGGCTTGGCCGAAGGTAAACATGAGATCGTGGCATCGATAAAAAGCATTTCGTGATACTTCTCGACCAAGCTGAATTTCAGACAATTAGCAATGTTCTCTCTCAGTCGGCAATGAATTTCAATTGCCTTCTTTGTAGTTTTTGTCTTAATTACTCTGTTAAGAAATATCACCGCAACTCGCATGGACCAGCCGGTAGTCTGCTACAGAAGCCCCACTGTCAAGGGACTTTACAACATTACGATCCGATATCGGCTAGAGAACTCGGGTCTTTCTGCGAAGATTGAATAAGCTTGTACTCTAGACAACTGGCATCCACAGCACTGTTGTAGGCATCCAAGCTAATGAGATGCAGACAGTATTGATGACCTGCCCCAAACAGGCTATGTCCCTCGAGCTTTACCATCACATATAACAGATACATGAACTTCTGGGAAACTAAAAGTGTAAGAAAAAGACGGCTTGTTGGTAGGTTGCACAAGGACAACAGTCATTGCTTCGATCGGCATGGTTCTAGAAGCACCGTTAGCCGGGGTTTGTTAGATGAGATGAAGGTTTGAATGACGTGTATTACTTTAGGAAATTTTTGGATTAAACCAACGTCTTCAACTGAAACTTCAATTCACAGGAAGTTCATATCAAGCATGTCGGCCTGTGCCAGAATTTTGTTACAGTGTTCTGTTTACTGTGAAAAAGGCTCGCGAATAAATTATTGCGTTTCTGACGCTCCTAGGACAGACTTTCGCAGCCTTAGGAGCGTTCTCAGTTTACTGAAATAATAATCTCACAATGTGAAACGTTTGTATCTGGACGCAACTCCACAGAAGCATGTTAGAGATGACTTCATATCATTGGCCATCAGATTTGTAGTAGCCAAGCGCTGTTTATTTCGAGCTTTTAGTTCGATATGCAGCTGAAGCCCCTCAAACAGATCTTGAACTTCTTAGACCCGTAAATGACGGGCTGCACCGGATGGGGCCGTTCAACAACCCCTGTCATTACACCTGACGAAAGCCGATTTCCTGGTGCGTGGAAAATACTGGTTATGTAGGCTTAGCAGCCAAGGGCTATGTCACTAAATCAAAGGATCATCAATCAAGCGGAATTTCCCTGACGAGGCTCATTGAAACAACCTTCGGTTAATGTCAGATCATCGGTTGCCTACTTTCTTAACACTGTTAATGGATACCTAGAGTGAACGCTCTGCCAACCTTACTCTGCTGACTGAAAGCTGAATCAGAAATTTCCGACGTGATTGGTCATAGCGGTTTTGCGACTGCCCGTAACATCCCAGCGCATTTCACAACCGTCTTTCTGATTTGTGGCTTTCCGGAGATTTGATGGCTTCTGCGGATAACCCACGTGGGCTGTTGCATTTATCTGACTAGCACCGACTTCTAACGAGGCAACCAACAGAGGGTAACAATTTCTTGGGCGAACAGCAGCACCAGTCGAAGATCCAAAATAATCACTCAGCATGTGCTGACTCTTTGTTCCGCTTGCCGAAACTATGCCCTGACCGTGATTTCCTTGGTTTTTGCCTGGGTATATTCGACAAAAGTAAGATCCAGGGCCTAGGGTCTCCACTCATTTCCATTGTATCCGCAAGGAGTGTGACCACTCATCAGAGCAACGGTGAGATTTCGTCCAATAGTGCGTCGTATTTCTTTAGGATGTGGGCTCGATATATTGCCGAATCGACGTGTGATCCCAAAGTTTAGAGTGTATCTTCTGCCGTAATACCACCCTACAATGCCAGCACGAGGGTAAACCCCTCATCTTATCGGCGCCACTCATAATAGCTGTAGGGAGAAGATTGCTTTGAACCGGATTCCTGGATTCTTCCTTCCTTTTTTCATTTCTCATTCTGCAAGCTCTAGTCATCGTCGACTGAGGATCATGAGTAGTCCACCCACGCATGAGGCCTCCGCCACGGTGCGGCCCGCAGTGGCGCCATCTGCTGCTGAGGAAGTTCCACAAGTAGCTACCGAGTCACAGCCCTCGGCTCAGGACACCCAAGAGGAGGTCATCGAAGCGGCACCCCAGGAAGTAAGTGCTTTCGGCCTCCACCGATGGCTTCTCCTAGCGCGAATTTACTAGATTTTACTAGATAGACCGATCTAGAATGAGGTGACGAATGCTAATATGGGAATCCAGCAGGAAGAAAATGAGGGCGATGATGCCGATTCCGCTCTTGGCGACGAGTGAGCCGCTGAATGCCACTTCGCTGATATGACAGCAGCAACTGACTGCATTATGAAGTTCGAACTCTACTGCATCAGTTACCTCCAGCATTCTGCAGTACCGCACAATCAAAGGTCGCACATTCCATAGTGAGCGTCATGATACCACATACTTTACCCCCAACGATGATCAACAAAGCGAGTCTGTTGATATCACGTAAGATTACGCCAGGCGAAAGTCTCTGCGATGAATAGTACATTAAGGCCCCCACAGGCACCACTATCTCCAAATTTTGTTGGATGGCAAGCTTTTTTTGGCACCAATCAAGGAGAATGCAGAGGTAGATTCAGCCGTTGAAGATAAGATTGATACACTGGACTAATAGCTTTATACAGAAAGTACTGGATGTCGGTACCGGGACTGGTAAGCCCACTAAGACGTTACATGCACCTTTGATCTGTAAACTGACGTGTGCGCAGGTATATGGGCCATGTGAGAGCTAGCGCTAAAACAAGAGATGGGACAATACTTACACGACTATAGGGACTTTGCCGACGAGCACCCCAGCACTACCGTGATTGGGACAGATCTCTCGCCCATTCAACCCGCCTGGGTGCCTCCCAATGTCCACTTCGAAATCGACGACTGTCAACAACCCTGGACATGGTCGCCCAACACCTTCGACTTCGTCCACATGCGCTACCTATTTGGTGCAATCATAGACTGGACGGCGCTCTTTAAGGAAGCGTACAGAGTCTGCAAGCCTGGCGGCTGGGTTCAGTCCGGCGAGGCCGAGTGTGAGTTGCGCAGTGATGACGACACTATCCCTCCTGATAGTGCGATGGCGACATTATGGTGGAAGCTATATCTCGAGGGCGGTGCTAAGCTCGGTCGGCCTTTTGATGTGCTCTCGAGGGGACTGCAAAGGAAGGGCATGGAGGAGGCCGGTTTTGTCGACATTGTTGAAAGGGACTTCAAGGTGCGTTACAAATTAATGCGGGGAGAGCAGAGTCATTTGCAAGCCCTTGTACTAATATACGCTGGCATAGTTGCCTATGGGCGGCTGGGCTGCGGACCCGAAGCTAGCAGATGTTGGACGATACGTACAACTGACCATGGAAAACGACATTGAGGGTGAGCCTCCTTTAGTCTCCCTCTCTCTCTCACTCTTTCTCTCTCGCTCCCTCTCTGTGCTTAATTACAACTGATCAATTTCAAGGATACACGCTCCTGATGTGGAACAACATTCTCAACTGGCCCAAGGATGAATACCAGATCTTCTTGATGTCATTGCGCAAGGAGCTGCGTTCGAGGAAAATCCACAGTTATATGACGGTTAAATATGTTTATGGAAGAAAGCCAGAGGATTCTACTCCATAGCACGGGAATTTCGCGTGGGCTTCATAGTCCATTTCCATACGTCGGCTGCGGCATATTTGTTTCGGGTTCGAAATTGACAATAATTTGAGTCACTTCGTGTCTTTTTTTCTGTCTTGTTTCCCTTTCACTGTTTCCAGAATCAAACAAGGAAAGTCTCGTGAGTGATAACTACCTGCTTGGCCGTACGGGATTGGGAGGATCTACTATGTGGCGGCGTGTGACAAATGGCAATCTTTTATTGATAGCTACGATATTCACACCAAAATCACACATTCGTTGAGATGTCTCATTGTTTCTAGACCTTCTGACCTAATGAATTTGCTTTGCTATGGAAGATGAAGGACTGTCTTCTGCATATGGACATATCTTGTAGTTCCCATGGGTCTGTTATGTTTGTTGTTAAACAAACAGTTCTGGACTGGAGTTGATGTCAAACTCTTGCAGCTTTCGTATTCGCTAAAGCTTCTGTAAAGCTCATATGCATATAGACCTTTGTTCCCTTTTTCAACATAGCAGTCTTGCCGCAGGCATTTGATTCTTTACTGGCCCATTGAGCGCACTTCCTAGTTTCTCTTATCTCTGCCGCTACCATAATATACCTCTGCTATCTTCACGAAAACGAATAGAGGCTGAGGCCGAATCTACTGGTCATACTACTAGTAGCTTACAGGACTATGGCACCACTATCAGAACCATCAGATGATTACATCTTCCAGCATTATTAATGGATTCAGGGCCGCTTTGAGACCTGGCCCGATCTTCGCTCCTTCGATCTCAAATACCATGTATTCTAAGAATCCAAGAATGCCGCACCCTATCTGATAGTCAGGGGCCACGGAGAGGACAGAGAAAAAAGCAGTTGATTGACTAATAGCTAAATAAGCAGACATTCACATTGGCGGTTTCAGAGGGTAGTAGCATTTTTTTCAATGCTCTATTGACTTTCTATGGACCGTGAGGAGTGGAGACTACCTGGGATCCGTACTCGATCTACGACAAACACCCTACCAGAAGAACCAACATGGGTGTATGATATCTGGGTTGAGTAAAATGTTGATACGAAGGTGAATCTGCGGCGCTCATTTCTCTGGAATCATTTATTGTAACAGGCTCCTAAACGGAAAATACTGGGTGTCATAGATTAAAGCAACTTTTGGAATTCAGAATTCAGAATTTAAGGTCGTGGGAAGGCATGGCAATTCGGTTTGGGACCTTTGTCTAACTGTTTTGTGGCTAGACTTCTCTCGCACTAGTTATAGAATGTATAGTGTTTATATCGCTATATCGGGGTTATAAGTGGTAATTTGGTACACATTCAATTAGGCCAAGCTGGCTCCATTATGCAATAAGGCAGCTCCCCACTTCACCCACCTACAAAACTCTGACGGCGCTTTGGTATTTCACCATTCTTCTTCCTTCCCCATCACCAACGTTTTTCTGCATTGTTACTTCCCTCCGTCAGACACAGCGCGGACGACGGCAGATGAGTTTTGCTTGCAAGACCATGTAGTTGCTCTCGTGTGCACCATGGGCGCAATCCACCTCTACCTCGTCCGCCATGGCGAGTCCGTCGACAACGTCGCGAATCTATAGTACGCGCATCCCACCTCGCATCAGCTTGGGCCTGGGGGCTTCCTCGGCCCTATGAAGACTCCTCTAACTGGCTTGCTTGTGTACTCGCAGTGCAGGATCTCGCGACGCGCCGTTGACGACTCATGGTGTCCTGCAAGCCAGGCGCCTGGGTACTCACCTCGCGACGCGAACCGCGTCGGCCTCGGCCAGCATCACGCACATCTTCACTTCCAACCTCCAACGCGCTCATCGCACTGCCGCGGCGGTTCGTGATGCCGTCGCTGCCTCGCATCCCTCCAACACGTCGGTGCTACACGGCTTGCAACCGTTGTCGTCCAGGGCGAGAGGGATCGAGGTTGTGCAGCTTCCCGAACTCCGGGAAAAGCACTTTGGCACAGGCGAGGGGCAGAGGTTCGGCACTCGCTCGCGCTCTGGCTCTGGAAGACCAAGACATGACGGTGCCGAGACCCATGATGCCATGCGTATGCGTATCGAGCGGTTTTTTGACAATTACCTCAGTCCCATCTTCGCCTGCGTAGATGCGGAGTCAGGAGATGGTGTTGAGAGCATTGTTGTTGTTGCTCACGGTATCATCCTGGGCGTATTGGCGAGGGTTCTCCATGCCCCTGGGAACTTTGCTCTGGTGTCCGCTCAAGAGGACCAGTTGCAAATGTCGTGGAGCAACTCAGGTTACGTCGAGATGCACATCATGACCACGCCAGCTCCTGCGATCGCATGGAAAGATGCGGCGCTGACTGCCAAATGGCCCGGTCTATCGCTCAAGATTGTGGCGGTCAACTGCACCGAACACCTCAAGGGGCTCAAGAAGACCCGTGGTGGCATCGGAAGCGCAAAGTTCGACGAGAAGCAGAGGCAGCTTAGTTCGTACTTCGCGACTACGTCTAAGAAGCGCAAACACGAGACCTGAGCGGCACTGTTCCCAGCCCGAAGCCTGCATTGTGTCGGGATTGTCTACTACTGCCCCTGCACTGTGTTCAACGTGTTCACAACGTGAATCGTGGCTCTTGCGGCCTCGTGTTATGCCAGGGCCACTAGTTTTGGTGTGCCCTGTACTGTTCCAAAGGTATGTTCAGTCAACTTTCATATTCTCCACACCAGCTTTCCATGATGAGGCAAGAATATTCACAGACCTGTACCGAAACAATACATGTGGAAACAACTTCGTCCAACCGCTGTCTGACAAAAAGCTCAACTCTGTCACTTATTTCTTCCTAAGTTTGACCCATTGAGCATTGGCTAATCTGCCGAAGAGTAGCAATGCAGGATCCGGAACCCGATGAATTGTCGCCACAAACTATCAACTCCTGATGAGAGTGCTGGAGGGTTCGAACCCCTCTGTCCTGCGTCCAGTTAGGGACAGTACTCACCAGTCACCTCGGCGGCTCTCTTGAGACCTGAGTCTCGGAGTGTAAAACGAAAACTCTCGCAGGATTATACTACCGTTGGCTGGGCCGGGTTGGTGTCCTTGTGAGCATTCTTTGCAGGAAATAATATAGCATAATGGTTTGCCGGTTTAGGCAGGTGTCTCAATAGACTTCGTTAGCCATGATCGCGTCTCGTTCACTGACGGCAGTGGCTTCATCTACACATTTGTGAATATCCCGACTACCACAGAGTGAAACGCCGTTTACCCATCCATCCTATAAACACACCTGCATCTTATCCTTATCCATGCATCGTGACTCATGTATCAATACGCCGGGGTACTACACGTCTGTACTCCACTCATCCCGTCCGGTAAACACCTTGTAAATCCTCTTGCTCACGGCCTTGCCGACTGCTCTATCCGAGAAGCCGCCGTCCTTGTTTGTACTCTTCCGGCAGTTCTCCAGACACAGTGGTCCGCGTTCCTCGAATGCCTTCACCAACTCGGTCACTGTCCCAAATTCGGAAACGATGCCGTAAGCGACAGGCTGCGTGACGCGAACGATCTCCTGCAGCATCCGAACATACGTATCCTTGACATCTTCGCCGGTGCGGACCTGGCCCGTCTCCATGCAGAAGCCAGCGCCGGCCGCGTTGGTCGCCTCCCGCTGCTTGCGGTACGGCACTGTCGAGATGTGTTGGGTGAAGATAGCCACCCACTGCGCCGTCTCGATAGAGGCATTCGTATGGTGTATCAGTACGTCATGCATCACCTGCAGCTGGAGCAAGGCGTCCTCGATAGAGTCCTCGTCAATGTACTCCTGCGGCTGCTGATTCTTCCGCCACCGCGGTTGGGCATTCGTCGAGGCATCGTCAACAGCGTTGTCCCCCTGATTTCGCACAGCAGAGGCGAACTGTCTGTTGCGGACGTTGCGGTTCTTCCTCATCCAAGGATTGAGGCCTTCGATGAGGTAGATAAGCTGCTCCCGCGGGAAATGGCGCTTCATTTTCAGCACATGGGCCTCAAGATCGCTTCCTTCAGGGCCGAGGGCTTTAGTCACGAAGTCGTTTGCGGCAACGATGACAAGAGCGAACTTGTCGGGCTCGACTCGCATGGAGATCGGTTCCCAGTGCCCCAGCTCCTTGTTAAATCTGCTGGCGACCTTTCTTCTCCACTTGACAACATTGCCCACCGGACTTTCCCATGTGTTGTGCTGAACATCAAGGTCCTTCAGCAATGTCTGTATCTGCAGCATAACGGCGGCGGGTAAGCTCTCCGGGAGATCTGCAATCATTTCTGGCGTTGACACTTTCTTGTCGGTCCTGATTTTGTTGACCTCTGCCAAAGCAGCAGCACGCTCCTTTTCCCTGGCCTTCTGTTCCTTAGCCACCTCCTTCTCTTGCTTTTTGCGTTCTTTCTCCCGTTCTCGCTCTGCCACTTTCGCTTCCTTCTCTCTCGCCTTATCATCGATTGATTTCTTAGTTGTGGTTCGGGCAGATGTCAACTTGGTGGCGGTTTTCGATGATCCCCTGGAGACGGTTCGGGAGCCTGTGGTCCTGGTATCTAGTCGGGCTTTGAGTTTTGTGACGTCAAAATTTTCAAGGTCCGGAAACTCCTCTTCAGAATCGATTTCGAGATTGCAGGTTGCAGGCTCGGAGTCGCTGAGATCAATTACTGCGCTGACCGCCTTCGTAAGAGTCCTCCGTGTCGGCGGTGAGCTATCGAACGGGTTGCTCCTCAGTTTAAGTTCAGGCGCAGAGCTGGAGATAGGATCCCAAATAGCCTTCCGTTTTGGTGAAACGGCTTTCCGTTTCCCCTTTGATAGAGTTATGCCGGTTATATCGGAATCTAAGGACTTCATTGTCCCTGATGTTGCCCTTTTTGGTGAACTGGCGAACGGATCATCAACGTCGTCGTCTAAAAGTATCGTACATGGTTGCACCGCTGTTTTCAACGGAGCGTGGGGCGAGCTTGCAAAGGGGTCGTCGGAGCTCAAGTCGTAGTCTATACGGGTGGCGGAAACGGTTGTAGCTCTTTTAGGGCCCCGTCCATTTGGTAGGGGTTGGGCTGAAGGTGGTAACCCAGTGAATGGACCGTCGGATTCCAGCCTTTCGTTATCCGTTATCGCAGCCATCGCTGGTTGAGAGGCAAATCCCGGTGAACTGGAAAACTCGATTGGATCTCTCAGAGTGTGAACTCTCCGTAAACCTCCTGGTGGTTGAACAGGGGCGAGCCCCAGCTGCTCCGTGAGAAAAAGTGAACGATCGAGGAATCTACTACTTCCGCTCCGAGAGGGTGACAGTCTTGTTCTCTTGCTGTCATTTGGTTCGTTATTTAAGCCATCGCTAATCGGTAGACTACTCTCAAGGTCGACAGTTGTATCGAAGTCGTCCGAATTGAAGTATACGGGCGTATCTATGGGAGCTTGTTCGTCTCGTGGTCGTTTTGCTCCTGATACTGGTCTAGGGAAGTATGTCGCTTTCGCTGTCTCGAATCGTAGTACGGGTTGTGGAACCAAGTCGGGCGAGTCGGCAGTTAAGTCAAATACATCGTCATCGTCATAGGTCGGCACCGTCGTAGTAGCTTTGACTGCCGGTAGTGCAGAACCAGATGGTGGGGGTTTCGTTTGATCGGGAGAAGGCCCGATGGAGGGGCTGGAGAGAAGACTAATGACTTCGGCAGGCATCGTTTCGTTCAGTACCTGCAGATCGAACAAATAGTGGAGAGAAGCCTGGGCACGCGACGATGCCTACGACACGGCGAATTGCATTATTGGCGACATGCGTTGCTCGATGTCATGATCGCAAAATCACAACTCCAGAGTCGCGTCTCCCAATTGTGCATGTGGGGCACCGGTGTAGTCGGCCAAGTTGGCGCCGATGGTTCTAGCGCGAAACACTCACGTCCGTCACGTGGCTCCAAGTTATCTGTGATGAGTCAGCAAAGAAAGCTTTCCTGGCGCTCCCAGGTAGCCGAGCATCAAGCATTACTGAAGCGACGCAACGACCACCACGAGCTTCCCACAAGGCATCCTTACTGCAAACCATGCTCTCCTACCCAGCTTTTGTTTGGTTACGTGTTCTTTTTTGTTCACCGACTGGGGTCTGATCATGCTTCGAAGCAACATCTAACCCCCGCTTCCTCTACGAACTAATGAGCGATGAAGCCCTGTTCTTCCAACAGCCCTCTATCCAACTTACAACTTGCTTGTGACCGTATGACTGAACGCCTTGATGATCCGAAATACTATCACCACCAACTTTTTTTTTTTTTGAATTTTCCAGACTTTCGTCCGCGCGCAAACTAGTCAACCTTCAGTGAATCCTATCAACAATTGAATTGGTTCCCCCTTAGTATCGAGGCTCACGTACAAGTCATCACAGTTTGCAAAAGGCGCGAGTCTCGCTATGTCGTTCCTACCAGCACTTTCGATCGCGAACTGATCCGCTTGCGGCGAGACGAGATATCGATAGGACGATCGCCTCGCAGGCTGACCTGCTTTGAGAGTTGGACGTTGAGCCCGCTTCAAGGAAGGCTATAAACAACGGCACAGCTGTGTCCATCGACCACCCCGGATCATGACTCTTGAATATGCCGTGCTTGCCATTCCACAAGCAGCACACGCTTCTTTGAGCTCCATGGCTTGGCCGTTGTCACAGTTATTCGGGCGAACTCGGGCCAAGTTGCCTTGAACCCAAGGTGGCGGCTGTGTTCCAACGTCCATTCGAAACAGTAGGATGCAGCGAGAAACCGTCTCATTTGAAGGGTACACTATTACGCACGGTTGGTCATGTTCGGAGAAAGCTGCCGTAGAAGTCGAGATGGGTGGTCGAGCGCTAGGGGTTCAGATGCGTGCCAAAGCGGTGCAACACGCCACCCGGATGATGGCAACCTCAACCTTACCGTCGTATGGAAGAAGGATTTTGTTGAAACAACCCGTTGGCAAGTGATGACAAAGAGGCATGGGTTTGACAAGCGAGGTGCACAAACTGCAAGCTGACAAAACACACGATTTCAATGCATTGAGTGCGATAGTACGTAATGCGTAGGTTAATGTGTTCGCTTAGATCAAGTACCACATCGCGTTGACAACGCTCAAGAGCTGCGATGACCCTCGGCTACCTAGACTCGAATGCTTGAGCCACCTTGTGCTAGCCAGCTACTCATGTTCTGACAGCAATAAAACCATTCGCTAAGAATGTCACGGCAACGACGCCCTCCAAGCTTCCACCTCGCTATTTCCTCTGCAAAAACGCCCGAGAGCCCGTTATCATCCCCAGTTTCGCGCGAAAGCTCAAAGCTACTGTCCTTTTCTGCTGGCGAACTTACAGTGTTCAACCTTGCTCCTGAGTCGCACCCGGTGGCATCGTCGCGTTTAAGGTCAACACATTGTTCTGCTGCTCTCCATGATATCATTTTCGGACACTGACATACCAGATGTCACATCCGCGCGTTCGGTCGCAGGTGGGTGATGAGTACACAATACGTCGCCGGTAGTCGTCTACGGTGCAAGCCAACAACACCACATACATCGAACCCAGCCGCCGGCGGAACACCTTCCTCCGAGTCGTCTTCTTGGGCATTTGCTGGTGCCAAAACATACGTGGTGCATTCTCTGCACCCTTCGGCCTCTGAGAAACCCGCGGCAAGTCATTACTCGTAATTAAGCGGGCCGTAGTGGCTAGCTGAATCACATTGCTGAATCTTCCTATACTCTAACAGTCATTGTAGTTAAGATGCCATCACTTAGAAAAAGTTATATTATGATGGATCCCCCTTACGATAGCGATGCAGTTGGCCGAACTGACCAGATTCAGACATCTAAGGTGCACGTACCGGTCAACGTTTCTTTCGTAGGCCGCCATGATTGACTAGCAACAGGCCCTTACGTGTCATTATCAAGTCCCACGGGTCAAGTGCGTAGAATTAGAAAGCGTGTTTTAAGTAAGCTTGCTGGATTGCGGGAAAATACCGATGCCTTCCTCTGGTATTGAATTAACTCCTTCAGTCCAGTCCGTCGGCTTATGTATTTGGATGTCTTTGAATAGACTAGCAAAAACTACTATATCGCCCTTCAAGACTACCACAGGCCGTGGATCAGAGAAGTTGACGTTGCGGCTGAAGTCATCCATTGCGACGTCTCATACCGGCTGGTTAGTGATTGACTCGTAGACCTCGTACACACCCTCAAAATCCAGGGGTAAGTCAAGGTCGTTGTAAAGTGTGTAATAGCCAGCAGCTTCACAGACCCGGCCGACCTGATAGCGCATATCTGGAAACCGCCAAGCGAGCTCACGTTTGGCTCATTCTCTTCTGGGATAGCATCAGATGCAGCAAAGCTCGAAATTGAGTGCTGACATGGCCGTGGTTGGTGGTGCCAGTTTCGATAGGTTCTGCCCACCTCTTGTAAAGTAGAAACATTGTTTTATCATGACTTGGATCGTCTTCAAACCCTTCGGGCCGTTCCCGGAGAACACGTAAGTCAAATATCTGGGCACCAGGCTCTTTTTATGTAGACACACCTGATAAAAAAGCCTGCCAAATGTAGAGAACGGTGGCAAACTCCATGAAGTTCATTATATTATGCCCTAGAACGCCTTTGACATCGAACAAGAAATTTGCAGTTTCTCTAATCAAGATGGGTCTTCCCAACTGTCCTATAGAGAGTTTTGCTAGCGCATTCAGCTATCGCACGTTGGCGATGCGTAACGCAACAGGTTCAGGAGGAAACCCACCGCCGTGGTACCGAGGGCATACCATCATTATACATGGCGGCGCCGGAGTAACCCGAGGACTCGGCGTAACCCGCTCAAGGTTCCGTTGTCTCAAAGTTGAATTCACTCCTAAATTAGATTAAATCCCAACATGAAAGCCATTAGGGAGAGCCGGAGCAAGGTTTTACGTTACAAAAAGTTATTCTTGGCGTATGCCGAGGACACGCTGCTGTTGACTAATCATAGTGCTCGAATACATCATGACCAGAACACCGAAACCCATCAACTGTTGTTGGTAGCCAGCTCACGCGCCACGCGTTTAGGTTTGGACGGGTTTATTTTGTTGGCGAGGCAGGGTCCGATAGTCTGAAGAAGTCGTCTCAATCACCTCCCCGAGATTTAGATAATCGTCTTCCAACATCTGGCTAGAACAAATATTGGATGGACTCAGCTGAGGTCTGATGCACCCTCTTCTACGAGCGTCATACCTCCTAAAAACAATGGACATTCGGCTGGTAACCAGGCCTCCCTTGAAATGTGCTCGAAAATCGGGCGGACATGTCCCCAGGAAATGCAATTGACTCGAGACTCGTTGGCAAGAAGTCTTGGCAAGTTGGTTCAAACCAGGTCACCGGTCATAATACACCCGACTAGAGAGCTGGATATGCCTCAGAGTAGATTAGCACTTGGGAGGAAACAAGACTAAGCCACGGTGAATTTTCGACCTGCATGTTTCTTCGTTGTCTGAGTGGCTGTCATCGAAGACGAGTCATGAGGACTGACAGCGACGCTTGAAGGTGCTGGACAATGCACGCCATACGGCGAAACTTCCGATATCTAACCCGTACATTGTTTCAAACACCGAGAGACCGAAATCTTATTTCGGTCCATCAAACTAGGGACGAAGCGTATCTGCTTTATAGGACGGTATGAACCATACAATCGCCGCCACAGCCTATAGTCTGTTTTGATACATCCACTTCTCTAAGCATTCGTTTTGTGTCCAATGGCTTCAAACTCAACAGGGCCCAAGACTCTTGGCCGCCCACGCAATTGCTAGAACGTCAGGTCTTTATATAGCGCCGTCTGGGAGCCGAGAGCGAACGTATTGACCGACCCATTACGGTCCACGACCCTACAAAACACAGTGTCACGCAGAGAGATAAGGGAACAAAGACCCGACACAACCCCACGCTTCCCGAACGGCACGACCCGCGGGGGGTCGCGCATCTGAGCCTATCCCTCGCGAGACCCACGCAGCCTCCATCAGTGAGACCCAGAGCGAAGGGGCTATGGCGGACACAATCAAGGGCGCTGTCAACCTCTCGCGGTCCGAGGCGATGGCCATCGCGGCCCTCGCGACGGCGGGCATTTACAACGCGGTCGAGATCTATATCCTCATCTTCACCACCTTTCGCCAGCGTCGCGGCCGCTACTTCTGGAGCATGATTGTCGCCAACAGCGGCATCTTCGTCCATGCCATCGTCTCGTTGATACGCTACCTCTCCCACAACGGCACCGTCGTCCCCGGCGCGTTCGCAGTGCTCGCCTGGTGCGCCATGGTCACGGGCCAGTCTGTCGTGCTGTGGTCGCGGCTGCACCTCGTCTTGTACAGCCGGAACGCGATCCGGACGGTGCTTGCCGTGATTGTCACGAACGCTTGCGCGCTGCATGTCCCCATGGCGGTGTTGTGGGTGTTATGCTGGGCCACGCCGGTGCAGGAGCAGGCGGCGTGGCTCAGGCGGTATGGGGTGTACGAGAAGGTGTCGATTGTGATCTTCACGCTGCAGGAGACATTTCTCACGGGCATCTTTGCGCGGCAGGGCTTCTACAACCTGAAGCCGCTGTTTGCGTTCAAGACAAGGGCGGCAAGGCTGGTATCGTGGTACCTCTTGAGCCTCTTCGTCCTCGTCTTTCTGTTGGATGTTGGGCTTGTTGCCCTGGAATACACAAACAACTTTGTCTTTCAGACCACCAGCAAACCGTTGGTCTACAGCATCAAGCTGAAGGTCGAGTTCACCGTGCTCAACAAACTGCTCGCGTTCACTAAGATGAACTCGTGCGACTGTCACCACCTCGACGACACACCAGGCGGCTACTCAAAGGCACTCATGACGACGGATACTACCGCTACAGCAAAAGGGTTGACGCCGCCCCAGAGAGCGACGCAGGGTAGCGGGTCAGTGGCAGTACCGGAAATGGAGCGACCAGACCACATCTTCGATGGGTCGTTCGTGGAAGAAAGGAGGGAGCAACATCTCAGTTGAAAATAGCATGTTTGGCCAATAACAGCCAAAGCAGCAGCGGATTAGATACCCCTTCATTGGCTATGTGGCTACTTAGAAATCAAAGCAAATCGATGCGACTGTCTAACAAACCCTTGCCTTTCCCCTGGCATTCTACCAGCAAAGTGGCGTATCGACTTGTGAAACGTCATCCTAATGGATGGTATCACCGAGGGTCATGAAGATGGGCAAGTTTCGCGATATTTGACTCGAAGCTGACGACTCGATACCTTATTAGAGTTGAAGTTTGTGTCATTGAACCGTAGCTTTTCCAAGTCCCTACGACCGAAAGAGGAAACACCGATCAGGGCACACCCCTGATGTCCCCAGATGTCCCGCAGTGGAAGTTTGTTTCTTGGAATTGGGTAGTCAGAGGAGATGAGGGGAAATGGTTCTCGGAATTCAACATCGCATCCGAAGCTTGACATACCAGAAGCCTGGGCCGCTCCCTGAACATTGTCCTGACTGATGGCAACACGTTAAAACGGTTGACACGAGTAGCGGCCGCCGAAATGTCTCTTGCTCGGAGATGTCAAGTCATTAGTCACCGTGAGGCTGGACTTGGGATCTGATCCAATGTTTCCATCCGTATAGGGATCCCAACTCGTCAAATCTTACTTGGTTCTAGCTGTATCTGGAAATGACACTACCTAGGAACAACCCTATCGAACGTCCTTTGGGTGAATTCCCGGCCCCAAACCCGCACGCTGAATACTCGCATTCCGCGACTGAAGATACATCCTGGTAGACATTACGAACCAACATGTCTTGGCAAACCCTTTCAGGGGGGGTTGCTAGAGGAAGACAGCTGCTGCTGAATAGTGGCAGGATCTAAGTAACCTCGTCTACCCTGGCCGAATCACTGATGGGGCCCGAACCTTACTGCGTATTCAGAACACTTCAAGAACCCTGCTTGCGATGGGAACTCCCGAGGCCTTATTATTCGCATAGTGGAGGCTCGCTGTCGAGAAACACACTCAAGATTGGTCAGGACTATGGATCATCCGGCGACACCCACGAAGTAGAGGATCTGAACCATACCTTGACGAAATCCCTTTCCTTCACTGCGCAGAACGTCTAAGTGTTAAGGCTTATTGCTCCGATGTGGATGGGGCTGGAAAGTTCGTGTGGGTTCATCGAGCGCTTACCGCATTTTCACGCTTCAGACACGGCGGTCTCACCGAACCTACGAAGCCTCTGGATTGTTAGCTTCTGGTCTATTGGTAACAAAAACCGCTTTGATTGACTGTTTGGTCTAATCCTAATATTTAGACATCCAACTTTTAGAAATACTAGTAGAGTACCCTTGATGTTGTAAAGTCGTTCTTGAAGCCACGAACTCTCAATGTTTCACAGAAACAGAACAGGGTAGCATTTCGGACGTCGCACCCAGTTCATATTCCCAGAGTGATATGCTCTGGTGTCCAATTAGACTTAGGCATTGGTTAAGTAAGCAGTGAACATGGTCCAGCGCATGCTGCCTTCTCACAAGAACCTGTTGATAGTCATGCTAGTTGACTGGGAAGAATGCAAGTTAGAATATTCGCATGTCCTTCATCCTAAGCTCACGTGTACGAGTCGCCCACACATAGACCCATGAAGATGCCGAAGACGAAGCAACCCCCTCTAACAGAGAACTAGATTGTTAAATGATTCAGGACAAGTCACAAAGAAAGAAAACTTGAGACGACAGTGCATTCTTTTCCCTTCCCCAGTATCTGCTCCAACTGATTCGACCCCACCAGGTTACGGTTGGTGTAATTAATACCCCCAATGTAACAGCATCAGAGAAGGTTGTACTGAAAGGGGCGTCAGCAGGTCAACTTCTTGATCGCATCAAACAGTGGAAACACGCCAGGCACATGGCATTTTGCAGTATGCCTGTCGCGTTATGGTTACACCGAGATGTTGCTTCCATATCGGGTGGCGACTATTGGGCCGTATGAGTGACGGTTCGATGCTGCCTTCAAAAAGACGGTTGAATGCATTATCGTCTCGGGCGGATTGCGTTAGTCGCGTGCGTTCACTCCTCCATAGCCGCTGTCGATGTGTTGCCGTCCTTGGCATGCCGTGTCATGCCAAAGGGCTCAGGTAGATAACCGAGAAGGGGGCACTTTGCAGGCAAGAGCAAGCCCCCCGGGTAAGCGCTTCCTAAATTTGTTTTCCCCCTACAGTCTCGCTATGCTTATTCTTGATACTGGTGTATCGAGCCGAGGAAGTCCAGCTTTGCGATCCCACAAAAGCGGTTCTGCTACCAACCTTTGGGTCAATCCGGCGAGAGTGGCCCTGCTACGGACAAGACGAGGGACGGCCTTCGGCGATCCTTTGAAAGCAGCCACCGATGGCTTTCACATCAATGGAGTCCCAGAATAACTGCGCCATTGCATGAGCGTATTGACCTAAGGCGGGCGATGCATTGTGAAACAGCTTTCGGAGTTGCGTATACGGAAAGTACGTTAAAAACGGCGGGGCGATGGTGACGAGACAATGGCGGCAAGCCCCCATGACCCTGCATGTCGCGCACGCACTTGAATCTAAGTAAAGGCTGCGCCGGTCGCTACTGATCGCCCTGTTAGCAATTAGCAGTTAGATGCATCGGCGGATGGCTTATGCCGGAGCCAGAGGGAGACCAGTCCGTTCGATTTCGCTGGGAACATGCAAGATTTGAACCTCACGGACGTTGGATTTCTCAGCGTGCTGGAAATTTAGGCCTCTTCTATATCGTCTTTCGTGGACGGCATGAAACAATGAAGCGATTTGTCAAGTTGACCTTGCAGGCGGATGCGTTCTTGTGAATTTGTTAATGCTGAGACGGTGATTGGAGCGCCGGCTTGGGGTGCTACACTTCCGTGGCGCAAAAAGGTTTTGAATAAGCGATACCTGAAGACGTATTATATCTCTAAAATAGGGATGAACGCTGTCAGAGCGTGTTCGTATGGATTTGGTCAAACAAACTCATCGCAAAGATTGGAAGATGAAGCCTACCCGTTGTTGAGGATCCTACGGAGATCCTACGATCCGACGATGAAGACGACAACCAAGTGTGCATCGAGTAATGTGCGCGCGGCTCTTCCTAGAACCGTTTTCGAACGCCAGGCCAGTGGCAGTTCGAAAGAGTGATCGACATGCAAAATGGGCAATGGGACTATCAATGCCTTGGATTACCGAAACCCGGAGGCGGTAATCGAGAGAAACAATCATTCAAGGAATCCCGCTCACTGCAATGGTTGTTGGCTGTCTCCAAGTTTTCGAACCCGACGTCGCCGGCTCTCAGACCTCTTGCAGGAAGAAGATGGGTGGGTGATGTGATACGCACGATACGTTAGGATTGGCGCAAGACTGGGAACCCCTATTCTTTGCGTATTACCCTGGGAAGGATCGTAAGAGACGCGTGCGCACGGTGGATGGCGGGCGATTGTTCCTAGTCGCGCCGCCGCACGGGGCCGCGAAATTTTTTATTTTATTTCATCTTGTGAGGGTTGAATGCGAGCTTGTCAGGCCTTGAGAGGCGACGTGGTGTCAGTGTTACTCAGGGTAGACAAGGACGATAGGACGAGGGAGCCGGCGGGTCGAAATGGCACGGTGATACAACACACAAGGTTTGAAGTGGTATTGGCGGGAATGTCGATCAGTGCCTCAAGACGGGGATTTCAACTGCCCGGATCCGGCCTATTCAACCTTAACTTTTTGGGGAAGGGGGTTTGTTGTCGCAGACAACAATTATATAAGAGAAGACCAGGCAAGACCATGTACGCAGTCCTTCATGAGCATTGGGAGTCGAGATGCCAGGAATCCAAACAGCAACGCTGGTTGCGAAATGGATCGAGACTATGTCATCAGCCTGTTCGGGACGCTGGCCCGCGTCCTAGGGCACCGTCCCGTGGCGTCGGTTAGCTAGGTGGCAGAGAAAGAAGAGTATCCGAGCTCGGCTGGAGGGTAACAAGTGGCCGTCGTCGATGTCATCGCTTTGCCTTGGGCACCTGCAAGCTCTGCTTTGAACCGCGTGATGACCTAGCTGAGTGATGTGCTCAGGGCAGCTCGGCTCCCTTGCGGCCTCAGGCGGTCGATTGGCGTCGTCTTGGATGCGTTCAAACAAAGTGTTGGACAAACTGGGACGAAGCGGGAAGGACAGCTGGTGGCTAGCTGTCATGCCTCGGAAACCGGTGAGGCTAGCTGGGGCTGACTGGTCCCTGGAGGAAGATAGATATGGTGACGGTGATGCTAAGATGGGCCTTGGTTAAAAGGGGGCTTCTTGCCGGCGCTCGCGGGGTGGATTGGACGGGGCCCCATTGGCCGTGCAGTATCTGAAAATATCCGTCCGTTGATGATGGTGATGTGCCGCGGCGGGGTGAGAGTGGACGTTCTTGCACGGCATCGAGCACAGATGGACCGCTAAGACATGCGTCTTCTGGAATCGTCCAACCCTCTCAGGTGTGGCACTGGCTTCTGCGTCTGCGTCTGCGTCTGCGTCTGCATCTAGCGTCACTGCAAGACCCTTGAATGGTGGCGAGATACGCGTGGGAGCGAGTAAACGGAATGTTGCTATTGTTGGTGTAGAAACTTGTCAATCGAGCTTGCGCAAGCAACTGCAGGTGGACGAGGCGGGCGATATCGTGAATCCGGCGCGATGCCTAGTCTCCTTGTCATCTTCGCTCCGACAGGCGATAACTTCTCGACGTTAGATCCTTTTTTCTACCCCTTTTCTTTTTTCTCCTTTTCCTAGCGTTGCATTGACTGGCGGCCTCGATTGATATCCTTCAATCGTCGGCGTCGTCGTCCTCGGCCTGTAAACGGGCACTGAGTAATTGGGATTGATAGGAGGAGACCCCGACTCCACCGGAGAGCTATGCTTCCCTGTAAAGAAGAGACGGAAGAGATGAAAAAAAAAAAAAAAGGGAGGGGGGGGGGGCTAGACGACAAGGCGCCCAGAAGAAGTGCCGATACAGGGATGAGGAGTGTTATTTTGTCGTTTCACGGCAAGCTGGTGGTCTTTTGCGTGGCAGTTGTCACTGCAACGGTTCTGGTCAACAAGCAAAGCAAACAACATCCAGGAACCCACACAGCAGCAGTCTTGACAGTGGGTGGAACGCTGGAATCGGCTGCCGCTTTCTGGGGGCGCGGGTCCCTGCGTCCAAATGTGGAGGAACATGTATTCGAGTAGGACCTGCCTGGCTGACACACTGGGTAGGTACCTCGGTACCTCAGCAGCAGTCGGTCTTGGATCCATGGATCATGTTGACGTTGGCTTTTGCCACAATTTTCCCAAGCCTGTCTACCTATTCCACCCCACGTGATGTGTACACGTGTACGTATCTATGCCTTGCAGGCAGGTGGGTACCTAATCGGGGGTTGGTTCCTGCCTCGAGACTGCCTCGACGGCCCCTGCTCGCCTCGTCCGGGTCCCGCGGTGGAATTGGTGGTTTGGTGTGCTTTCCTGACTGCCTGCATTGCTGCCCTGACCTTCTTTGGTGTGGCGTAGCATGGTGTGGTGTGTCAAATGGCAGTTGCGCTCTTGCAGCAGCTCCTGCTCTCTTTCCTCGACCGGCACAACAAGGATGAGGGCATCTCAGGACCAGTGTAGACTAGTGTCTCCCTCGGCGGCCCCGCCCATTGCAGGTCTAAGAGCTGGGGACCAATAGCTTGGCTTCACGGTTCTTGCGCTCAGTCGGGTGGCCCCACCCTTCTCTTATGTTCCTCCTCTTGCAATAATCTCTGCATTCTTGATGGTCTGGTTCCTCGACTGGAGAAGATAGAGACCATACCAAACAACGTGACGCTCATGACATGGACAGCACTCGATCTGCTCTCACCTTCGAGAGGACTGCCACCAGTGTCTGCCTGGCGACATGCATGTACTGCTGGTGGCCGGTTGAAAAAAAAAAAGTCCGAAATCAAGCAGTCACATCGCGCACTCTCTCCCCCCAGTGTTCCGTGTCCATCACCGTCCAGCAAGCGTGGCATCCCATCCACACCCCTGTCCTGGACCCTGTATCGCTAAGTGAGGACCGGACCCTCGGCCGTTGTCTCTCATCTATTGTCCTGATGCAATAGTACTGTAGGTTACGCTGATAACTGGATGGCGGGCAGCGACGGGAACCTGCTGAATGGGGATCGGGGTGGAATTGGACCGGATGTCTGAAAGTACGTGTGTATGTGTGTGTAAACAGCATTAGTTGAAATACGCGTTCGATGCACATTGCCCGGGAGCATTCGATGCTGCGCTGCTTCCGACCAGTTATTTCCTGGGTGTCGTCTGCATTTGGGTTGGACTTCTGGGCCTTCTTCCCTCAAGCTCCCATCTCCCACCCCCAAGTACATTCCACGCCGGAAGTGGCTGAGAAGGTACCTCGGGCGCGCGTCTCATTCCGTAGCTGTCGTTCTTTCCTCTTCGTCCCCTTTCCCCCCCTTACCAGATATCCATTCCTTCATCCTTTCCTCTCCGTCCACGGGCATAAGTATTCATCTCCTTCTTCCTTCCTCCCAGCCAGCTGTCCACATTATCTGGTCGCATATCGCGACTCAGCGCCCAGTAGCCCAATTCTGCCACGGCGATCGACCGGGAATTAATTCGTACTCGTCCTGATTCAGACCCAGAAGCAGCAGTCAGAAAGGAGTCCCACCCATCTGCTCCCATTCCCGAATCGGCCCAGGAGACATCCAACAGCGAGAACGGGCGCATCCGTCACATCTCGCGTCACCCAATCACAACCAATCGCCAACGCGCTCCTAATTTGCGACACATCCACCCACGCCCCTGGTCCACCGTCCACCACCACCACCGCCACGACTCCTCGACCCTTGGGCCAGTCGCTTGTCAAGTGTGTCGACCTCTTCGAAATAAACACGACCAGCGGCTGGGTTCCCCTGTTCCCCCCCTACGCCAGTGGACAGTCTAGCCAGTCCAGTCCATCTGCCACAAGGACAGGACGCCGGCACACAGAACAGCACGGTGCAACGCTGCGAACCCCCAATCCGCCTTGTTCACGCTTGCTGTGGTCCTCGCCTCCACACACCTCTCTTGTTCAGGTCCGCAACAAAACAGTTCACCATCCCAGGCCACCCTTTCCCTGCGACTATCGTCAACAATCCAGCGCCGAGCCAAGCAACGCCAGAATCGCCAACGCATTGCACCGCAACGCAACCAAGCAGCCGTGGGTGAGGCTTTCTGCTCCTCTCTCGTGTTTATCTGTCTTCAATCCACCGAACGATACCTTATGACGCTTGCGTCTCTCCACTTCCGCCGAGCTGCTGCGTCTGCTGGGCTGCTGCTGTCGTGGTGAAGGGGGAAGGAAAAAAAAAAACACAAGGAGTCATATTTTCTCCTTCATATCCACACACGAAGCATAACGAATAGTGCATGGGAATCGACACTCCCGCTCCTGGGACTCTCCACGCACGTAAACCCGCCCCCCGTCGATTCCATCACTCATTTTTGAGACATTGGCACATCCGCACCAAAGACTGAACAGTGCTTCACATACCCGATTATACAGGGTTCGGGCCTGGGGGTTTGGACTGCACGTTATCAACAACCCCCCGTCCGTCCTGCCGTTTGCATTGCGCGATTGGCATTGCACAAGGAGGAACGCATTCCTCCCGCGGACCCGACCCGAATCGTCTCTCCGCTATTTCCCTCTCCCACCATGGCCAGCTCCCCGCCAGCCTCTCCTGGGAATCATCTGCCCCAAAGACCGATGAGCGCAATGGTGCGACCGACGCCGCGAAGCAATAGCCGCTTGAGCATGACGAGCAAACATGGCGGTGGAAGCAAAGCCTCTGATGAAGATTCCCGAACGGCTGTCAAAGTCGGTAAGTCGAAGTACCCTCGACGTCAGGTCGCTTATCCCGGGCGCCGCGACAACTCCCCTCTTCTCGATAATCGGACATCGCACCACTAACCACACCTTTGCTTTTTAACCAGCCGTGCGCGTTCGACCGCCTCTCAACCCGAACGACCCTGGCTACGAGCTGATCCCTCAGCGTTTCCAGCGATCCATGGTTCAAGTCACGTCCAATACGAGCTTAGCAATCGACTCGCCGCAAGGAAGGAAGCTGTTCGTCTTTGACCGCGTCTTCGGTTCCGACGTCGACCAAGAGGGCATCTGGGAATACCTTAATGATTGCGTTTCTGCATTCATCCAGGGCTATAATGTTTCGCTTTTGGCGTACGGCCAGTCAGGAGCCGGAAAGTCGTACACAATGGGCACTTCGGGCCCCAGCGAGCAGGGTGACGTTGAAATGATGGGTAGGTTACGCTGCGTTCTCCCGCTCAGTATCTGTGCGGACGAGTATGGTTTTGGACAGGCTCGTAGGCTGACAATCAAACCTCTAGGTGTCATCCCCAGAGCGGCGACGGCTTTGTTCGAAAAGCTCGATGGAACGAAGAGACAAGCAAATCGCGGCTCGATGTCTCAACTTAGAACACCACACCGATATTCTGCGCAAGGAACCCAATCGCCGGCCGAGAAGAACTGGTCCTTGAAAGCGACCTACCTCGAAATCTACAACGAGCAGCTGCGCGACCTATTGGTTCCGGACCATGTTCCTCAGCATGAGCGTGGCGCCGTCACAATCCGTGAAGATGTAAAGGGCAACATCATCCTGACTGGGCTGCGACAAGTCGAGATCAATTCAGTGGACGACCTTATGAATGCATTGGAATTTGGCTCGACCCTGCGACAGACAGATGCCACGGCTATCAACGCTAGGTCTTCCCGGTCACACGCCGTCTTCAGTCTCAACTTGGTGCAGCGGAAGAGCGGACTGCAAGGCTCAAATGGGGCCGACAAGCGCTTCTCTGTGCCCATCGAAGCTATGACGGGATCGGAGACCTGGGTCACCACAGATAGCAAGCTCCATTTCGTCGATCTGGCAGGCAGCGAACGGCTTAAAAATACTGGCGCGCAAGGCGACCGTGCCAAGGAAGGCATTTCTATCAACGCCGGCCTGGCTGCTCTCGGAAAGGTCATCTCACAACTATCGTCGCGACAAGCCGGATCCCACGTCTCGTACCGTGACTCCAAGCTGACTCGTCTGCTGCAAGACTCGCTGGGTGGAAATGCCATCACTTATATGATTGCCTGCGTGACGCCGGCAGAGTTCCATCTGAGCGAAACACTAAACACCGTCCAATATGCGCAGAGGGCCCGAGCCATCCAGAGCAAGCCCCGGATCCAGCAGGTGGAGGAAGGTGACAAACAGGCCATTATCGATCGTCTGAAGGCGGAGGTTGCATTCCTTCGGGAACAAGTCCGCAGCGCGGAGCGAGGAGGGGGTGAGCGGCGTCTTGCCTCCACTGGCGAGCGGTCCGAGCGGCACAATGAGCGGGAGAACGAGCTACAAAACCAGCTCCTAGACGTCCAGGAAAATTACACGACCCTTAGCCAACGCCACGCGAAGCTTATCGCTGAGATGGCCAAGGCCCGTGACAACGAGGCGGCCGAGAACGACCAGCACGAAGAGTCGATGGGCGACACTGCAACGGAGCGACTTAACCGTTCAAACTCCTTCGCCGCGGCAGTCGAACAGGTCGTGCTCGAATACGAGAAGACAATTCAGACACTCGAACAATCGCTGTCTAGCACCCGCGGAACGCTTGCCAATACCGAAGCGAGCTTGCTGGAGAAGGAGACCAAGTGCACCTACGTTGAAACTATCAACACTCAACTGCAGGCGCGGTTGCAGAAGCTCATGGATCGCGAGGCGAGCACTGAAAACTATCTTCACGACTTGGAGAACAAGCTAGACGGTCACACCTCCGGAGAAGAGAAAAACGCGACCATCATCATGGAGCTGCGCAAGGAGATTTCGCGGGTCAGGGAGAATGAGGCATCCTGCGAAGACTACATTTCCACCCTGGAAGAGCGACTCGCCGAAGCAGACCAGGATGCTGAGCTGATGCAGCGTGAGATTGACCGACTGGAGCAGGTGATTGAGCGCCAGCGTAGTCTCGGAAAGTTGGATTCTCTTCTTCATGAATTGGACCACATTCAGGGAGACAGCAAGGTGCCTGAACCCACCATGGAGACTTCCAACGGAGTCGTACGATCTAATATCGACCACGGCCGAACCCAGTCACAATCGCGAATCAGCCGGATGAGCCAAAACGATGTCATCCCAGAAAACGTGGAAGGAGAGGCGGCAGCGACAGCCGAGGCTACCCACTCTGCACATGTCGCTAAGCAGAGCGGAAGTGACATGAACGTTGAGACGCCCGATGCCAAGGAGCAGAACCTCCAGGCCGACAGGAACGATTACCCGCCACAGAGTCCTGCTCAATCCAAATTCGTCCAAGACAAATTGGAGAACGTTACGCAGGAGCTTATCGACTTGCGTGTCGAGCACGAAACCACCGTCAACGAGTACGACTTGCTGCACTCCAAATACGAGGAGGCCTTGCGCACCTTGGCAGAACTCCAGGACGCTGTTGATGAGTCCCGCCACCCTGAACGCAAAGTACGAGACTCTTTGATGTCCGTCACTTCCCCGAACCAGACCAGACCCCCTTCGTTCTTCTCCGATGCCAGGTCTAGTGGCCTGAAGGACGGCGGCCAATTCTCGTCTCGCTCCCTTTCTTCCGAGCTGTCGTCTGCGCTGGAATCGCCCGCCATGATTGACTCAACTGATGCCGAAACGGCGGCTACTGTCAAGCCCGACTCTGACTTCGAGCCCGCGTCAACCGAGAACCTCATGCACCAGGATCTTCTGGTCACGGAAGTCGAGAGGTTCAGGGTCCTTGCCGCCGAGAAGGAAGGCGCAGAGAAAGAGCTCGCCGAGAGATATACTCAGCTAGAACAGAAGCACCACGAGGCTCTTGACATGCTTGAGGAGCTCAAGACCGAAGTTGCACAGGCGAAGGCGATGGAGGCATCTTCGCCAAGGACCAACCAGCCTGTTATCCGCCGCAAGTCTAGCCAGAACGTCATGATCATTGACCGCGCCCACCGATCCTTTGCCTCGCTTCGTAACATCGCAGCGGAGAACTTCGAAGGCCAGCCTGATGTCATGCAGAACTTCGAGCTGAATCTGAACGCTGCCATGCACGAGTTGCACGCTCGATCCGAGCGTATACAGGAGCTTGAGGCTGACATTGCTTCGGCTAAGAAAGAGATGGAGACCAAGATGGCCATCATTTCTGGTCTCACTCGGGAGAGATCTAGCTTACAGGCTTCTCCGATGGACATGTCAATGGTCTCTAATCTGAAGAATCAGCTTGAGGCGAACGAGAAGCAGATGGCGGAGATGAGGGAAGCTCACGAAGCTAGCGAGAAGAAGCTGATGGCTGAGCTCGAGAGCCTGCGTGCGTCGGTCAGAGAGACACCTGCGGAAGACGCTGCTGCCCGCTCTGCACCGGAGGCCACAACAGAAAGTGCCACCGAGACTATTGCCGCGACTGCCGCCGCCGTTGCTGTTGCTGACATACCGGTAGCATCCACTCAGGCGATCGGTGCCGGACCCAAGGCTGCGCAGGCGACTGCAGACAACGACAAGAAGATGACGGAGCTTCAAGCTGAACTCACCACATGGGAAGCAAAGCACCAGACCGCTCTTGATACCTTGCAGGAGACAGAGACCAAGATGAAGAAGAATATTGAGGAGCTTGAATCCGAAATCGCGGCATTGAACGCCAGAGCGGCCGAGCAGTCTTCTTCACACAGCCTCGAGGAGGTCAAGAGCATAGAAGAGAGACACGAGACGCTCCTAAAGTCTCTTCGTGAAGAGATTGATGAGTACAAGCTGGCTATCAACACCAATGCTAGCAAGGTGTCCGATCTGGAGGCTGCCCACGCCGCCGCCAAGACGGAGTTGGAAGAGGCCATCAGGGCTCGCGACCTTCACGAGACTCAAGCCAAGACGCAGCAGAGCCTCATTACTAATCTTGAGAACCAGATTGCGGCTCACGAGCAGGCGCTCAAGACCCACCAAGATGGCATGAAACTGCTACAGGAGAACCACGCCAAGGAACTGGAGGAGATGAAGCAGATGGAGCAGAAGGGATATGAAGAGCAAGTCGCCGTCCTACTCAACGAGCATGCGGAGAACGTCAGAGCCCTTGAGGGCGAGCTCAACGATGCCCGAGAAGACCTCCTGAAGGTCGCTACCCAGGTAGCATTTGCCCTTGGTCTGGACGTCAGTATCGAAAAGATCACTGAGCGCATTGACGATCTGATTGCCGACCAGAAGGCGCTTGGCGAGGAGCAGAAGAAATCTAGCGAGGTTGAGAAGCAGGTTGTTGAGTTGTCAACCATTAACGAAAACCTTCTCAGGGAGCTCGAGCAAGCCAAGTCTACCTTGACGGATCTTTTAAGTGCCGAAGGCGAAGCTACAAAGAGCTCCGCCCCTCTGCCTGACCAGCTGTCTGCCATTCGCAAAAAGATTTCGGACCTGGAGAGTCGGAACAAGAAGAACTCCCGCCTTGTAGAGGAGCTCGAAGACCAACTTCAAAGCAACTTTGACGAAGTTCAAATGACCAACAACCGTCTCTCAACATTGCAGACGGAGCGCAACCAACAGATCGAAGAAGCCCAGGCCGCCAAATACAAAGCCGAAAATGAACTCGACTCGCTCAGAGCCGAATACGCAGCCCTTCAGGTAAGTATTGCCGAGGACACGAGACCACCGAGAAGCCGGGACGCTAACGTATCACAGGCTAAGATCGACGAGGCTTCGGGTTCTGGCCAGGTTCAACGGTCGAACTCTGTCAACTCGCCGCTTCGCAAGAGTGCTTCTGTGTCCTCGCTTCCCTCGCCGCCGCCGGCTATTCCCTTGCCTCCGCTGCCAGGGGCCGGAAATAATACTTCTGGTCCCAACGGAGCTGTGCCAAACACTCCCACCCAGGGCGGCCGACCTGGCAGCAAGGACAACATGGGCTCAGTCAATCAGATACAGGAGGATCAAGAGGCTCGCATTCGCACCATCGAGAAACACCTCCAGGCCGAGAAGCAACTTACTCAAACTCTGGAGGAGGCTCTTACGGACCTCGAGCGTCAATCCAACAAGGTCAAGGCCGACAGCGACGCTTGGCGCAAGCGCTGCACGGAGCTGGAAGCCGAGATCAAGGAACTCAAGGATCGCCCTGCACCTACGCCGCAGCCCGACAACCGCTGGAGCTTGCATGCCGTCGAAGAGGAGCGTAAGAAGCGCCAGGCTGCCGAGGCGCAACAGCGTCTTCTCGAGGAGCGCATGAACGCTTTGTCCAAGAAGAAGAAGAAGGGGTCCCTCAACTGCTTCTAGTTGAGGCCTTTTTGCCGGAGCTTCGTATCTCGGAAGGGCCGCGTTCGATCAGACTCATCCGCTTTGCAATATCCGAATTGCAACGGATTATTTTTATCATCGCGAGGGGTGGTTCTTCCTTCTTTTTCTTGACTTTTTCTTTGTTTTGCTTTTCTCTTGCTCTTACCACTACCCCCTTTCGCAATTTGTGTGTTCTTGCATTTGCGACATGTTTATGCTACCGAAGATGATTCCCCTTACGCATGGCGAAACCCACAAAATGGGCAGGAGTTTCTTACACTGGTGGCTCGCGCGTGCGTTGTTCTGCTGGCGGGATTTGACGTTGAACTATTTTTTCTCAATACCACGATGCAACTTTGCTCATGCGACATGCACCAGTCTTCACTTCACTTCTTTTTGTTTTATCCTAATTATTTTCTCATACATAAGACTTTCTACGAATAACAAGGCCAACGTCGTGCTTAATAAATGGCACGAGGGAAGGGATGGTGGGAGTCCAGTGATAGCTGGGGTGGCCGGGCGGAAGCTTCTCAAGCACGTTCGTTGGGGTGCACCCCTGAGCATGTGACACGACACGAGGACACGCCATTTACCTTGGTTAATGCTAGTTACGTGCCCATCGGATGTGGCCGGTTGAATACAAGACAGCTTGGATGTTCGATTCCCTTTTCGTTTCTGATGCTGTTTGATTTCGTGTTGGTGGTTGTCAAAGGTGTCTTATTAGGCCCTGGCCGATTGTAGTTGTATAAGCCGTCGCTTCATGTGCCTCGTCCTCCAAAAATGGTCACTGTCCATTGGCCTCCTCGGAGGGAAGGACCTCGGGAAACCAGCCATAGGTTTTGAAGTCCACCTGGAATTCGCCCATGGCAGCCTGCGAGACCTCGACATCCTCGGCCTCGAGGGCGGCGGCTTGGCTGCGAGCGCCGGAGGGCTGAGAGCTGTGAGAGCGGGGGCTTAGTTCGGCGCATAGCTATAGGGCTGCGGGGTTCGGTCACAGGAGGGGGGGACGAGGACGGCGAGCGAACAACATTGATCATGAACGTGGAAATGGGGGGACAACGGGGCGTGCGTACCGCGGCGAGATTGTGCCTTTTGCATTGATGACGCGCTGCCACGGGACGGTTTCGTTGTTGAACCGCGACGTCGGGTCGGTGGGTAGGTGTTTGAGGCAGATTCCCACCTGGCGGGGCCGTTCGGCTGGGACGTTCGGACCGAGGCCCGTGTCAGCCTTGACTTCTCCTCTGCAGGAGGAGAAAGACGCACGGGATGGTGCTTGGGATGGATCGGAGGTGTGGTGGAGCGTGGGGGATGGGCGACGGGACGGCGGGAGCAAATGGAGGTGAGGCGGAGGGAAGGGAGGGGCGGACTCACGGGTGCCGATGAGCTTTGCGATGTGGCCGTAGGTCGTCACCCTGCCGAAGGGGATCTCTTGAACGGCGGTGTAGACGGCGTGGAAGAAGGCTTCGGCCTCGTCAGTGCGGGGCATCTTGGCCGGGGGGTTAGCTTCGAGGGCCGGAAGGGAATGGTTGATGATGTTGATGATGATGTCTCGTTGAGCGTGATGAGTAAGTAAGTCATCGCTAACATTTGCTCTGCTATTAGCCTAGAGATCGCGTGATATGATTGGTCAGCAGCCCTCATCCACCAAAGCTCACGTTGTGAGGAGTACGTAGATGGCTGATAGATATGTGAATAACTTTTGGATTAGATGCTGTGTATCTCTCATATTGACTTCATTCTTCCTGTTTCTTCCGCAATTGATGCAGCTCTTTGTTCATCATCATGCCTCCTGATTCTATAGATGATAGCAGCAAGAGGACTGCGAGGCAGAGACTGGTAGATCCAGGTATGCCTAGCATACTGCATATTGGCAACCAGTCAAAATGAGAAACAACCAGTCTTCAGCTGCTGCTCAGCCTGATAGCAGTCTGCCTTACCCCGTTCCAAGAGCACCAAGATGGTTCCCTCTCTCCCATCATACTGTGGCTTCTTTCTCTCGCTTTCACTCGCTTACCTTAGCTACTTGAATCTATCCGCTGAACTTTGTTGTGAAGCATCGAGTCTGCCCCGAGTGCGGAAAATATCTCTCTCCCTAAATCGCCTGTCGTGTCCGACCAAGTCGGCTTCGACTTTCAGGCCGATGTCGTGAACACGGCTTCAATGGGACACGTGCTCACGGGACGGCTCCTCAAGGCTCTCAGCGATGGAGGGGTGAACACGTACGCCCTCTGGTCCGCCGTTCATTTTGGAAAGTTGTTACCGGTCCGGAAGTCTCTCCAGAACTCCGTCTATTTCCACATTGCCTCGAAAAAAAGCTACCGATCTGTTCTTTCGAAAGCCCTAAGCTTCGGGTGGGGTCACTCGGCGCCAGTTGCGGATCTGGCTCGTACGGTGGCCGGCACCAAAGCAATCGTCCTCGTCGGTGCGCTCGCAACAGACTGTCAGGCTTTTGCGGCTGCAAAATGCTTCTCGGAGCTAATGTCCATCTACGGGCTCGAGGCCGACATGCTCCCGAGTGTTGACGTGCTCAAAGGGCTGATCAATTACTTAAGTCCGTTCGTCCAAGATTTGGGGTTTCCCAAGGTCGTCCAACACATAACAAATGTGTCCGAATGGGTGATCAGATCTAGAGACCAGTCATCAGATAAAGAAAATGTTGAAAGAACAGAACGGCAGATTCAGCAATTGAAAAGCTTGGGCAGCCCAGATGCCCTCGCTCGCGCCATCAAACAGCTCATTCATACCTCACAGAATGGGCAGAGTGACTATATGATGCTCACCATGCGTGGGTCTTGGCTTCCAGCGTTTGCAAGTCACGTAATTGGGATGTCTATCGAGTTACAACTCCAGGAAACAACTATCTGGGCGAGCGGGGGCGATCGAGGAAGCATTATATTTCAACTTGATCCTCATATGAAAGGTTCTTTGGGACACTCAGTTTCGAGAACAGGCGGAATCATCTTGGAATCGACACCCGATAATGAAGAGAACCGGATCTCTTCAATATCAGTCGACTATCTGCTTGCTGGGGCTCTCGATGCCCAATTTCTCAGGAGGCCAGAGCTTGACGCCACTGTTGCGACATCTATCAAGGCGGCGATACACCGTCTATCGGTTTATTTTTATGAGACAGTCGTTTCAAGAATGGAATGGTGCCATAAGAGCAAACCCCATTCCTTGAATGGCCCGTTCAAGGGAATGCCTTCCTTGGTGGAAATTCTTACCCTCATGGGCATCAGTGTTGATCAAACTGCTGAACCGGAGCTCATGCAGCCTGGACGTCGTATTATGTTCACATTACCGCAACGCGTGAAAGACATTTCATATGATAGTACGTTTCAGAAAAAACACGAGGCGGTAATTCTAGGGCTCAATGCACTCAATCAACAGAACCGGGACACTTTGGAATACCGGTGTCACACTCGTCATACCACGCCAAGCAAGCATGAGAACAACTACAATCATATTAAATTATATGACAGGGATTGTTTATGTAAAGCAGTTGGGCAACTTATCTTTGGCTTTGCGACAACGGCGCTGGCTTTGATGTTCTGCACGTTTGACAGAAGTCAAATGAGGGTACAGAAGCAAATCGTTGTAGGAAATGAAGTTACACCATGGAGCAAAAGACTCATCTCAAAGAGTGGGAATCCGACATCCGGCGTCCTTCTCGACCACCTTGCAATGCTTATTTGCGACGACTATTCGACCGACTGGACTCGCAGCACTGATGTACGAGACAAGCACATTGAAGGAATTTATGTCCTTGGATTATCTGGACAACATTACACGATCTACTACGCTGCTATAATGAAAGACGAGTGTTATGATGACCTCGGAAGGATGCTCGACATCCAGTCTGGCAGAGTGTCGGCGAACGGCGCATTTCGTAACGTCAATGTGGAGGGACATTATCCTCGAACTGAGCGAGCCTTGGGTCAAATCAATAGGTATATCGAACCTGTTCGGCTTGCTGTTGGGACTTTCTGGGAGCCTCATTATCGGCCTCCAGCAACTAGTATCAACTTGGCCATTACACTCGATGAGAAGTTCATTTTTGTCTGACTGACACTAAAAATCAACAATAGCAACTCAGTGACGGTGCCTCTAGAACGCTGTATTGACCAATTAATTTCTGATTGGGCAGATCCTCACTGCCAGCACTCGATTTCGAGACCATACGAATTGCAGGGAGACCGAGATGTTGTTGTCAGCGGATTCCAGGTTGTGAGGCTTAACCAGCGGGCCTCTGGGGAGATATTGGTTTATGCCTTGTGAGGCAGAAAGCTCGAGCAGCTTCTTCTTTGTGGGTTGATGATAGAGCAACTGGTAAGATGTAAGGGTGGTCAAAGTGGGAAATGGATACGAAGCTTAGACGTGCTTCAGGTGAAGGCCTGCTTGAAGTGTTGTCATCGTCTGGCACGTCAACGTCAGTCTGATTATCTTCCTTGTGTCGTGATAGGTGGGTGAGAGGCGGCCAATCTCGCAAGTTGTTTTCTTCTGTAGTCGACTTTTTATGTGATAAGGTTGGTGCATTTCGAAGTGTGTTGTCTTTTCTGTTTTCCATTCTATTTCTCAGCTTTGTGACTTACTCAGTCAGCTTTAACTGCTGTCCGACACGAAAGCCATACTCGGGTTTGCAGGAATGGGGCTCACGTAGTCAAGATGCTGGGAAACCTCGACCTCGGTTGAGAGCAACACGTGGGCGGGCCCCTTAATCATGATCGGCCACTTAGATGCGCCTGACACCTCCGAAGTCGCATCACGACTAAAAGACTTGGACTGATGGCCCCCCCGCGTTTTCGACTTCGTTCCGGATCCACCACCCACTCATGCGGGGGTGGGGGATGCAGCTTGTACGCTGCAATGCGTTGGGGAACTTGCACTCTCACTCCAACAACCCATTTGCACTTTTGAGTTATCAAACACTAATTAGAGCATTCCATAATAACCTTTCAAAATCTCAACGCCGTGCTTTTCAACATGGATGCCTTCGTCAAGTCTCGGGAAACCCGACCTCAGTTGCTTCAGAGTCTCTTGGCAGCTCTTCCGCCGCTGGACCCCTCTCTCGAAGAGTTCCGCGACGCCGCAACTCTCCCCGATGGCTACAAGATCGACCTCCAGATCGTCCGGCCGCGTGGTGTCAATGAAAGTAACGGAGGGCGGCCTTTGATACTGCTGTGGCCCGGTGGAGGTTTCATCGTCGCCGGTGTCGAGCCCACGACTCGCCCTGCCCGGGAGTGCGCGCTTGAGTTCGGTGCGGTCGTCGTCAACGCTACCTACCGTCTGGCTCCCGAAAATAAGTTTCCACGATCTGTAAAGAATGCTTACGAGACGGCTGTTTGGCTTTCGAAGAATGCCGGCCGGTATGGCGCGGACATTAGCAAGGGCTGGGTGGTTGGTGGTTTCTCGGCAGGAGGCAACATTGCTTCGGTCGTCAGCCAGCGGTCAGCAGTGGAGGGCTTGGGGATCACCGGCACTTTCTTGGGCATCCCGCTCGTGATGGTCAAGGAAATCGTTCCTGAGAAGTATGCGGCAGAGTGGGTTTCTCGGGAGGAGAACGCCACCTGGAACCCGGCGTTTACCACCACAATCATCGAAGATGTACAGAGAGGCCTGGAACCGGACATCAAGTCGCCGTGGTACTCGCCTCTCAACGACCCCGAGGCGATACCAAAGTGCCCCAAGACCTACATCCAGGTTGGGGACCGGGATCCGCTGAGGGACGATGGTTTGATCTATGCAAAGATATTGAAGGACAACGGGGTTGAGGCAAGAGTTGATAATTACCCGAACTGGGGACATCAGGGTTGGTCCATTTTTGCTCCCGCCGACACACCTGCGGATTTGGGCCCCAACACGATGAAGGGACTGAGATGGCTTATGGGTAGGGAGTAGACTTCAGAAGGTGGTTGATAGAAGCTTGATATCGCACATTAGGTTCATCGCCTTGTTGAAGCTCATGTTGGGTGGCCTGTGTTAATGTGGTGCCTGTGAAGATACCTATGAGTGCTGACAGCGCTTCCAAACCAAACCATTGTTATTCCAATGAATATACGAAAGTGACTATGGCCACTGGAACGAAAATTTTAGTACGAATGCAACGCTTTCTCACTCATGATCACGGCAACCGGCATAAACTGACTTTGGGTTTCACTCAGACTCACGCCTGTATACGGATAAGCGCCCAGGGCCTCACTCTCCGCGCGACAGATTGTTCACAATGGCATGCACCAAAGTTGCTTCATATGTGTAACTTGAATAGGGTATCGTAGTTGTATTTGCCCAACTCCACGCTAAGCGTAATTGATGTCCTGTTACCACGTTCAAAGGCAATCAAGTTCAAACCAGCTGGTGGCAAAAGGAGATGCATTAAGTCTGTGTAGGATCCAGTGGCCTTGACATTGTCTCCCGTTCCACTCCCTCGCGCTGTCATTTCCTGTGTAAACTTCCCACCAAACGACATGCTCTTACGGCATGGCCAACCATGTACCGCCCATGAAGATCAGAGCGGCCGCGCAGCAAACAATGATGTGCACCGAAGTGTCGAGGGGCGCCGCGGGCGGGATGTTGGAGAACTGAAGCACGGTCCGAATCGTGAAGTTGTTGGCAGCCTCTTGGATAGCGAGGGCGGTCAGGTTTCCGCAAGCCTCGTTGAGAGCCCTGTCCATGATGAGGGAGGGCAGCTTGGCGATGGCGGTGTCGAGAACCTCGGCGTTGAATTGGTTGCCGTTGGGCGAGGCCACGAAGAAGGTCGCACGGTAGGTGCTGTTGGCGCCAACGGTAGAGAGGTTGGCGATGCGGGAGTACTCGCCGCACGACACAATGGTCGACTGGGTGGTCGGCGTAGTCTGGCGGACGACGACGGCCGGGCCGGGGGCCTCGATTGCCCCGGCGAAAGCGCCGTTGGCGAAGACGGAGACCGCCAAGAGGATCTGAGCGAAGACGAAGTTGTGCATCTTGTCGTCTTGTCTTTCTTGCTCAATGTACTGCTACTCAGATGCGTGTCGAGTTTGAGAGTGTGATCAAACAGTTGTTGACAATGGTAGACAGGGGTGTATGTGAGTTGGAAACGAGCGGACTGACAGAAACCACCCGACAAAAAAAACGACACTCAAAAGTTAAAAAGTGGCCGGCCACTGAGAAGTGAAAGAATGTGCGCAAAAAGGAGGGAGGCAGGGAAAAAACTGGTTGCGTCAGGAAAAAGAGGGAGAGTGGCAGCAGACACTAAAAAGCGAGGGAACAAGGAAGCTTACGTTGTTATATGCACCATGGTTGAGGAGACGGGGTAGTTCTTGTCAGTGCAAGGGGCTGAAGCGTCTGAGACGAGATGACACATTTTGGACCTCAGATCAGACGGCCTGATGGCCTTGAGCGAGGTTACACTGCTGAGACTTGGGACGCCATGGCTGGACTTCCAGTTGTTTGGGACGCTGACAACTCTCAACTGCGTGTTTGAAGGGCCGAGAATTGTCTCTTGTTCTTTCCATTGAACTCAGACATTGACTGAGTTTACCCACGCTCTTGTTGAGGTGTGCATCTCCAGCTACAGAAACGGAGGCGCCGAGCTCTTCGAGATCGCCAGCGCCAGAGTGTCTCATATTTCTCCTCGAAGCACAGACCAATCAACAACACCAACAAGTGGTCCGGCAGTGGCCCCCTCCTGTTTGATCCTCCTCTGTCACGACGGTCGATGTTTTTGGTCACCACTAGCATGACAAGCCCATGGAATCGGACCAGTCAGAAAGGAACTCGGCTTGAGAGTGCCGAACTGTAAGCGCCGTGCTTGGTCGTTCTCCTTTATGCTTTCCTTCACTTGCCGTGTCATCCCCTTGGCAGACCATGATTGGCAGCTGGCCGGGGTGGCTAGGGCCACAGCTAATCGGGCGCTCTTCTCGGTATCGAAAGGGGAAAAAAGAAGCCAAAAAAACCGGTGTCGTCAAGTCTCATTATCATTAATCGTATGGAGTGCAGATGCACGCCACGAGTGTCAACGCCTACAATGTGGATGATGTCCCGTGCCCGCGGCGGCGGTTCTAGACCGCATGTCCCGAATCCACGGCAAACGCCTGCCGAACAAATCCGGAATCCCGTAATCCTTAACCTGCCCGCATCGCTGCGTCTACTGCCCTCGCAGCCCTCGATCCTTTGCCCCCCGGCACTGGTTTCTGCATCTTCCCGCCGAGGCCCCCTAGGCTCAGCGGCTTAGGCTCAACGGGCACGATGCCGCACTTGATGCTTATGCTGGCAAAGAAGCCGCCCACTGGTCGCAACTCGTCCTGGAACACGGCAACGTTAGAGAACGCCGTGCATCTCTCCCCGCGGAACAGTTTCGCCTCGCACCCGTCCGCCTTGTTGCCCATAAATATCCCGCACTGCGCTGTCCCGGGCAGGTTGTAGCATTGTCCATCCTTTGTCGTAAATACTGGCTCAGTCGACGCGTTGCTCGGCAATGCCATGTTCACGAATGAAGATCCGCGACACGTCTTGACGCCTGGAGAGCTCGGGAACAGCGTCACCGTTATAGGAATCGGAGGCTTGTTCTCTTGCGCCGGCGGCAACGTCACGTTGGGTTGGGTGACGTCGACCTGGTCAGCCGTCGCGATCGGTTTTGGAGGGGCTGGCGGAGACGGTGGTGGATCTACGCGATCCATGACTTGCGGGATCGCGAGGACGGTCGAAGCGAGCCAGGCCGCCACGAATGAGGCTCGTAGTATTGGATTTGACGATAGTCGCATGTTCTTGCCTGTGACTGATATGATGGCTACGGAAGTTGTAGAGACAGAAATCTGCACCAACTTGGCGCCGGCGCTCGAACTTTTGTCCAGAAGATCAGCAACGTTAAGACGATGTCACCATGGACGCCAAGCTGCATCACCCGCGTTTCAGGGCGACTCCCCTATCGCAAATGCACGGTTACAGTCTTGAAACACTGGGCAAAAAAGGCTTCACAACAAGAATGCAACTCAGTTGAAGAGGAAAGATGCACTTAATGATTGAATTATAAGATTTACCGAGGTTTGCCATCCACTCAGCCTACCTCACGACCGGCATATGCAACAACAACAACACTCTGGTATCAGTATCTATGTCTCGAAGTACAACCGCTCTGCGCCCGTATCTTCGCTCATGTATCGTGACAAACAATCTTTTGATCAAGCACTCTTCAGGACCGAGTTCGCAGGCGATGCCTGACCCTCGTTCTTGCTCTCGGCGTTTAGAATAGCACTCTCCACAGCCGCGGCAACGTCGATGTGAAAGAACGGCCTGTTCATCCCCTGGACGGCGGCAAGCTTGCCATCGCCACGACCCGCAACCTGCGCGGCGCCATCATTGATGCCTTTACCCGGGGAGATGACATCCTCCTCCTCGTCCCGGCTGCGCTGCGCGACGATGTGGGGAGTGTGGTTAGAGCCAGAGTCGACGGGTGCGAAGCTGTAAATAGGCTTCCATCGGCCGAAGTTGCTCTCGTCCTTGACCGAGGGGAAGCCGAAGCCGGCAGCGGCAAGGGCGCGACGGGTCCAGCGGTTGTTGACGTTGGCAAAATGCCACTCAACAACCTCGGGTTCGGCATAGTGGTCTAGTTGATTGCGGACGTCGATGAGACCCTGAATGGATGTGACGTCAATGTTGTTGACCGCCGAGCAGTCAAGGATCACGGCGCGGACGATGGGGCGGTTATCGTCCATGTCGATCTTAGCACCACGACGCGGGCCGGGATCGTTCCAAGGACGGTCCTGCAGGATCGGTGTCAGTAACTGGGCAATTATGGATGTGATGAGCGAATGTGACTTACACCAAGCTTCTCGTAGCGGTCGAGGATCGTCCGACGGGCGTGTTTCTGAACGTACTCTACCAGACGGTCCATGTAGTGTGCCTGGTTCGTGTAGTTGAAGCCCTCGCCAAAGCGGTAAACAAAAACACCGGGGTAGGGGGTCTGGACGTCAATGTTGGGGTTGGAGCCATCGTCCTTCGAGAGGGGAATGTAGGCTTCACGGGAGGGAATCTCAATGGACTCGCCCTTTTCGTTGAACGGAACACCCTTGCCAGCGGTATCCTTTGTGGCGCGATAGACCTTGACACGGCCGAGGAAGTGACCCTTGGCTTTGGCAAGGCGAACCAGGAGAAGCGCGGCAGAAGCACACATGGTGAGATAGATGCCGTTCTCGATGTTGGTGAAGATGGTGAGGAGAACACCAGCGAAGAAGATGAAGACTTCGAGAGGAGAGACCTCCCAGAATTGGTATACAACCTTGGGCGGTGTAATGAGATCACCGACGGCGTGGATAATCAGACCAGCAAGTGTGGACATCGGAATGTAGAAGAAGACCGACGTCAGGGCGTACAAAGCCAGGAGAACAATGACGGCAGTGAAGATACCGGCCAGAGGAGTACGGACGCCGGCTTTAGACTTGATCGCAGTTCGGGAGAAAGACCCAGTGGCAGGGTACGCACCGAGGAAGGGCCCGAATAAGTTCGTGAAGCCAACGGCGACCAGTTCCTGCGAAGGGTTGATTACATAGTTGTTGACCCTACCGAAAGACTTGGATATGGCAATGTGCTCAATAATGAGAACAATGATGGTGACCGGCAGATCGGGCGCGATAGCTGAAAGGAGCTCGGTGTCGATCTTGGGGGCTCCGGTGTGCTGGAAACCGCTGGGGACTTTGCCCAGAATCTTGAACTTGGCCTTCTTGGCGTCCCAGTTGACGTGGCGGTTGACGAGCCAACTGATCAGGACGTAGAGGAGAATGACAAAGGCCATGCGGAGAGTCGACATGAAGAACCAGAACTTCTTCCTCTGAGGCTGGCGGTTCGACATGATGTTGCAGAACGTGCGGATGGCGTACAGCAGGAACAGAGCAGTAAGACCCATGGCCGCGTCGAGTCTGGCAGTTGGTAAAGCCTTGAGAAGGTCGATGATCACCTCATAGGTAGGGTTGCGGGTGTTGACGCCCTGCAAGCCAAGGAGGGCCGGAATCTGGCCGGCCGCAATGCTGATCGCGGCGCCGGTCATGAAAGAGGTGATGGCCACGAGCGGGATGAACTCGACGATCCAGCCCAGCCGTACCAGACCAATGAACAGCAGGACGGAGCCAGCGATGACAGCCAATGCCTGGGCAATCTGAGGACCTTCATATTGCGGGTGAGTGTCCCTCACGCGCAAAACGATGTTGCCGACGAGCTGGGACATGACGGCCACGGTTCCGATGGTGATGTCCTTGGATGTTGCGAACGCCCAGTACAGGAGGAAACCAACGAATGAGGTGTAGAGACCGTACTCGGGAGTCAGTTGGGCCAGGATTGCATAAGCCATGCCCTGGGGAATTACCACAAAACCGACCGTGACACCTTCACAGTACCTGTCAGCCACACCTTCTCTGGGCGCATCTAACAGTGGACAAACAAGGTGCCATCACGAGGGTTTCACCACGCGAGCTCCAAAAGATGTTTGACGGAGGAAAGAAACGTACCGGCAATTATATCTCCAAGAAGCCATGTGGCATTGTAATGGAAGATCCAGGACCAGAAGGGGAACAGGCTCTTGATGTAAGCGACCGCGCCGTGAACCGTTGGTCTGTGGGCATAGAGGAATTCTGCGACGGTAGGCTCTTCCTCCTCATACTGCTCAACGGATCGGAAGGAAGCGGCGGCGGACTGGACGGCCTCGGTAGGCTCATTTCGGTATCGGGCGTCGACGTCAATGCCGAGGCCCTTGGCCAGGGTTCTTCCGACGTTGTTCGGCATGACGGGCGTCTTTAGGACGGTCTCCCGGGGAAATATTCTTGCTTCAGAAGATCGATCCGGGATGTCACAGAGATACTGGACTCGGCGTGGGAACGACAATTGAGAAGAAGGGTCGACGGGGACAAAAGACCACAAAGGGAGGCTGGCGTATTATCCAGAGGAGATGCTGCCTGGCCGGAAGACGGACGACATAAGAGACGACGGACGGGGCCGGGCAGGGAACCTTATATGCGGTAACAAGACGAGAATCGTGATGATGCTATGCCCTCTTGGGAGCAAAGCTTGGCCGCGTCGCCAAGAAGCATGGCTTCGGATCGTCCAGGCCTCGCCAAGGGCTCGATTGGAGCCCTGTTGGTGTTGCACTCCCACATGCCGCCTGGGGGGGGGGTATGTGAGTGAAAGCCATTTTCTGACGACATTATCAATCTTGATGGCGTCGCATGGGGACGACACCTTCCCTTCACCTGTTTTCTTGGAGAGATTGGCTTCGAGCCTGGCCAACGCCTTCATTTGGGACTCTACCCAGCTCATTGGGATCGCCCATATTTTGGCGTAGTATTTCCAAGGTGTGGTGTCCCATTCTCGGGAGACTAGGCAAAGCCGGGAGGGGATGGCGGGGTGGACACGACTCTCTACATCTTGGGCCGAGCTAATAGGGGTCTTGTTCTGTCGGCAGAAAGCGTATCTGACGACTTGTGTACTTCTGCAAGTAGATACGTACCGGGATATGCTTGTGGAATGTCAATATTCTAGAGCACCACTTCCTCTTTCGCTCTCGACTCGACTGTCTTGGTTGCCACAGGCTAATTGGCTGGATGTAGTGTAATTCGTTGCTCCCTCGCGCAGGCCGGGATACTGACTCTCGGTGGGCGTGGGGGAAGCGGGATAGAGTTGTCAAAAGAGCATTTTCGCCGTCCAATTCAGCGCGCGCTGGGCTGACCTTGATTCGGCATGTGCCATGTGCAGCTAGCTACTGCGCAGCTAACACGCACAGAATACACACAGACTAGGAGCCTGGTGGTACACATACGGCATGCCAAACCAGACTGTCTCTGACTTTGCCTCTTCAACCCTCGTGAGGCCAAGACCAACTCTCATGATCAGTCTGTGGCGCCTTCAGCTTCTCTACCATCGGCTAGGATGGATGGGCGAGCAAGACGGGCTGCTTGGGAGAGGGCCGGACTAACCGTGTTCCAGACCGAGAAAGATAAATCGCGGGATGTCTTGGACGTTGGAAAGGTCGGATAGCGTCCAGACGGCTGAGAGAAGTCTACCAAAGCTCACTTCTCCGCGGAGTGCGGCGCAACTATGTTCATCTGCCTGGCACATTGGCTACATCCGTACAACAACACCCACATATTGGCTTTTTTTGTGCACGCTTTTTCTGCTTTGCGCTCAACGTACTGGGGCAAAGGCCCTCCCATTAAGCTTAAATGCCAGACGGTTTGTCGGTTACTGCTGTCAAGTTCATCCGCGATGCCGTGTCCAGCATAGTCAGTGTCCTGTGTGACCCAGATGTCCTGCCGAAGACCCGAGATGGGGAAATCGACAATGTCACTGCGCGCTGACTTTTACCACCACCTTTCCCTTCCTCTGCTCCCCGCCTCCAGTGCAACATCCACTCACTCTACTGCAAAATACTAGCAGGGAGGCAAGATTAGCTTCCCAAAAGCCACATTGGAGGCCGGTCTCTGTATCGTTTAATTCTTTAGGCCCTTCCCGGGCTGGAAGAATGAGGCGAGGGGAGCAGATACTGGGGAGGATGCATGGGGCGTGGTGTTGGAGAAAAAAGAACGGGGCTCGGGAAGCATATTGGACGATGGTGTTGAGCACGCCATCCTTGGCGTAAATGAGACCAGCGTTTAAGGATCCTCCCGATTCCAAAGGGCTCACCCACCCGCGCCAAACAAACAAATCCAGAGGCCCCCAAAACCCCCGAACTCGAACCCTTCGGCGCCCATGTCTCTTTTTGGAGACGGCGACTTGCCAATTTCGACAGATTCCCATGCATCCCGCCCTCCTCTACCGGAAGCTCGCTATTGGCGTGGTCTCAATGTAAGGTTTTTGCAATCTCTCTCCCTCTTCTCTCAGAGTCCCAGCATACCGCCATCCCCGTCCCTCCACGAAGTTGTGCGCCCGCGCCCAGGCGTCCTAGCCTTCTCTCCGTGGAAGTCAGAAGGCTTGAGCCGTGAGCTTGTTGTTGCTTGTTCGGTCTCGGCATCGCGGGAAGACGCCCAGCTAGCCAGCCAAGACGTTAAGGATGAAATCTCTTCACAGGCACGATCAAACAAAGGTTAGATGGCTGCTCTTGGTATTCTCGGCCTCTCCACAAACAGAAAGTTGTCACACGATGTGAGAGGGGGTAGCAGAGGCAAAAATGGAGGAACATGGATGCTCCAGTTTGGCGTGTGCAAGTTTTCCATGGTCAAAATTTCTTGGACCCCGTCACTCTGAGTTAATGAGAAGCATCAAATCACCTGCCAGGGTTGTCAATTAAGCCAAGAAGAAACTTTGGGACTATTACGAGAATGTATCGAGGCATCAATTACGGAGCGTGGGATGCCATGTCACTTTTCTGTCCCAGCTGAACGGGAAGCTCTGCTTTAGACATGCATACTGGCTGGCGAAAGTGCTTTAGACTGGCGCCCAAACGAAACACAACCTGCTCAAGCATGCCAATGGAAGCAGCCGCTCTCATCCAGTCCATCAGCGCCATGCGGATGGGATGTGTGTGCATGGGTCCCCTGGCAAGAACCTGTGATGGTCGATCATATGGCGGACCTAGTTGTGGAAGCTCTTCGCCCGCGTTGTCTACAGCTGAGAGTCACGGCGACATTACCGCAAAGCTAGGGAGCGTCAATCGTGACGGAAGTGGCCCAGAACGCAATAGATCGTCGTGATAACTCATCGCGAATCAGACGACCATCAAAGAGCACAACGAGTAGGTTAAGCTGGAAGAAATGTCGCCATATGCTTGGGTGTTGAGCCTTCGGCTAGCTCTGTCCCGGAGATGCGATATCTTTGCGCCTCGCCCTTACATGTGTCATCTCGATCAGGGGTGTTGGCTGAACAGACCAGCAGCATGGGACAGGGAGAAGGGACTCATGGGCCGAGAAATGAGACTGCGAGGATGATTTCTTCAAATGTCTGTACGGCCGCATGCATGCACACTCCCACGGGCGGCTAACTCACACCCCCAGTTCTCAATCCACATCCCGGGACTGTGTCAGATATCACAGCAAGAGATGACTGCTGGTGAGATGTCGCGGTGAGTCAATTTTGCTCAAAGCCGCCATCGATAATGATCGAGGAACAAACAACCCTCGATCTCAACTACTTCCGCGGACTCTTTGAGTGTTGACGAAACTATGACCTGTGAGGGCTACGGGATCGCCGTAGCACTTAGCAATGCTTCATCCTCTAAATTCCTAAGAGAGAGCTCGGCGTCTGTCAGCATGTGTATCAGCATCTCGTCACAGAGATGGGAAAGAGGCAAAGGAGCCCTTACGCTACTGGTCGGTGCCGAGAGTGAGTTCCGTGTCTGGAGGCACATGCAAGCACTAAAGGCAAACACCCCTAGATAGAAGTCCCACGGTTCTGGTCCTGACGACTGCATTCTGCACGGGCTAGACAAGCAAAGAAGCCACTTGCTTGGCTGCACAATTCTAGAGTGCTGCACCAGTCCTCTGTGTACTCTCGGGGGCGACTGTCGGCGTTGCTTAAATACGCCAAGAGACCGCCATGGTCCATCGGCAAGCACGTCATCGCCAGTCGAGCGAATGAAACCCAGTCCCTGTTATTTCAGTGCGAAGTGGTCCAAAAAAGTGTCAGAAATGCTCTGGTAACAGCCCGTGATGGAAGAAACACCGTATGACAAGTTTGTGCAAACTTGTGGTCACAGTTTCGGGGTCAACATCCAGACGCTTGTTGAAGAGGCACCGGACGTCGCCCGTGTCTGCCGTTCTTGGCGGACCGGTCCGAGACCGGTCGCCGTGGACGGCATCGGGAAGACCTCGGTCTCCGAACGACCATTTCCCTCTCTTTATCCATTTCCACTTCCCGCTGACGGTAATTTCTCTGCAGGAGGGTTGCAAGTTGATTAGCAGCAACGGAAAAACAATTACCCAGGTACCTTCTGCTGATGTTGGAGAATTCACATATCGTAGCAACATTCGAGAATTACTGGAGTAATGACCATGGCCTTGAGACTACAGAGCCTCCATATCGATATCGACGTAGGCAGAACAAACACAGATGGGTTTACTCTCGATCCCGCCCGGGTTTCTGAGGCTGCAAGAAGTCACCCTTGCGTAGCACGAATCGCCAGCTATTACACATGTCAGAGATGGCACTGACAATGCAACTATGCACATATTCGAGACAGTCAAAGTCGAACCTAGCGATCGCCAGTATCGCAATTATTACAACGCAATTATTCAGGGCTCTCATCGAAAGAGCCTGAACTCGACAAATGTCAATGTTCACAGACGGACATGCCAGTTCTCCAAGCATGACCCCCCTTACTTGGATTAGTCAGAGGACCTTACGCAACTCGATCGTGGGCCATGTGAACTTTAGCAAAGGAGGACTGGAAGTTGGCGGTATGTCGATTTCGAATCTCAAATCTCAAAAGACAAAAACGCAGTGTGCCGCACGCTTGATATTGAGAATGTGATGGTAGACCGTAAATGGCATCTGTATTTCGATAAATAACCGAAAGACAGGAAGGGTGAGCAGTTGACATTAGTCATTTTCTTAGAATTTACGAGCTGCATCATTACTTGCTACTAAAATACGGGGAACCCAGGCTTCCAAGAACACGAAACTGCTGCAATTCCGAATGTGGCAATACCAGGTCGTCCCAAGAGCCCATCAATACTGCCTTCAGCTTTTTTGAACAATTTTGGCACCGTCTTGTCTGGAACGATGTTTAAAAACCTTTGGATCCACGTGTTTTCCAGCTGATCAGCTAACAGCATGCAAAGGGCTGCGTTCTTGCGTTGGGAGCAGTTAGACGAGGTCGTAATGATAGTTGACATTCGTCGCACAAATACTGACGTTAGCCTCTTGCAACTCAACGGTTTTCCCAGACAGCAAACCGAGCACTGTGAGTTCGCCGGCGTCCGCCTTAACATTCCTGCCCAGACATCAAAAGTGCTAGCCTTGGCAGAAAATCTTTCGTTCGAAAAAGTATCGGCAAGCTGGCTTTAGCTCCTGACAACACTGACTAGAGGATCAAAACGAAGGCAGCTGCTCTTGTTGGTTCTGCCCTGACCGCGACGGACTGTACTATTCTAGCGAGTCCGTCGGTGACTCTCTCCAGAGTCTAGAGAGCCGTCGAAGTCAGTGATTTGGTCCATTTCACCGGCATCGTAAGGCAAGAGATCGAGAGGATGGTCGATACTCTGGAAACTTCGTCCAATCATATTCCCGTTCCCCTTGCCGGGGATGCGCCGTCATCGCACTAGGCGAGCTAAAGGAGGCTAGCAAAGTGCTAAAGTCTGAGTTGGCGGGATTTGCAAATGCGATCGGTGCGGCGATTGCATGAGCCAATGCCGTCGTTGATGTCGATGGAATCTAGATCGACCCAAAAAGCTCTGAAGGAGACGCAGAATGCTGAGGCTGAGGCCGTTGCTGCATATTCGGTTCCTTCGGCCGTTTAGATGTTTTGTGTGAATATGATCCTCTGCTTTGAGGAACTTCATACTTGAGAAGGAATCACGAGCTGACAGATATAGTTCATTGCCTCGTGTTTACATTAGGCCGGTTAGTTTCATGATGGGACTCTACCTGCTGCTCAAATTTTCAAGGCGAACCAAGTCCAAATAAGACAGGAGGTTCTCGTTTTGACTTGCAGACCTGTCGTAGAAAACCGCTTGCGGTACATTAGCGAGACTGCCCTGGACTGGAATAGCATCGATTCCTACACTCTTGCTACTGACGGTGGATGTTCCTCATGCTCCCAACAAAACATACTTCGTGAGAACCCTCGACAGAGTTTTTGTGTTAAAATCATCAACCCTTATAATATGTCAGATGATGTTATTGTTGGCTTGAAATGCTACGCGGGTTTCCAATCGTGGCCATCGAGGAGAAGTCCGCCGATAAGATACAGTAGGCGCCGCAAGAGATGTAGTCATTATATACTACACGGAACACCCACTATACACATGATTTCCGTCGAGATTGGTGGTGCCAACGGTTTGCAAAGCATGATGTTTGGCTACAATCCCAACAAAAACGTTCCTGCCATCGTCTACGATTGAATGGGCCGTGCATGTCTCCAAAAGTAGTAAACGACGCCAGTGGTCTTTAGTAAGCGGACTCTTATCCAGACATCCGTAATCATGGACGATGGCAACGCCAGCTGTGAAAACTTCCAGGACGTCGTGTATAGCTTTGACCAATAACACGGGCGCAAAAATGTGAAGGCGAGCTTAAATTTTGGCGACTCTGCCTTGATCAGCAACTGGCCCTGACCTGGCTAAACAGGATGTCAACGGCATGATCAAACATGTTCTACTTCAAGAAGCCAACCGTTTCAAAACGCATTGGAAAGTTCGGACAACATTGTTGCAAAGACTGAATCGGCACAGCCATGTACAAATTCGGCTACATTCCACTCTCAGGGCGTGGTGCCGGTAGCTGACGCCGCCCTCAGTACTCCCTACACAAGTGGTAGTTTCCCAAATCCAAAGACCCTCACTGACTGGTGATTAGCTTCAGGGGCATTCTGCCTTTCCCTTGGCTTTAGTCTTAGCTCGGGTAAGATTTATCGTTGATATATGCGTCGAGGGCCACAAGCATGTTCACAAGCATGTAACATCGAACTCAGCCGTCGTTCATCTTATTTCCGCGTCTCACACGTTCTATAAAGAGCTTCTCGAACACGTAATACGACAACGAACACCGGGAGAAAGACTGTCATGCTCGCAAATAACGAAGCGGTGGCCTTCAACTACACCTCAGGGACAAAAGTATCCTGACGCGGGAGAAACGAAGAAACAAAACATCCCGAAGTCAAAGAACGGATGAGCGTTTCTGGTTTGAAACAGTCGGGTTTGCGAATACAAGTCTGCATCCGCCCTATGGTTCATGATTTTGCAACAGCTGCTTGCTTGACGGTGCTATGACCGCGGTCCAAGCGGGCGTTCGATCAATGCGACTGGAGAAGAGCATATTCGATTGCCGCGTATAAACTCGGCTGGTGGGTGCATCACGGAAGTATCGAAATCAATGCAACCAAGACAGGAAGCAGAGTTTTTACCATCCCTGGAAAAAGCATTCCTCTGAGGTTGGGATTGCAATAAGCGATGGCGGTTTGCCATACGCCATGATGTCTAATGACCGCCTCATATCAGCCTGCAGGACGTTCTCAGGAGAGCTCGGAGGAAACTTTGCTGGGACTTGAGACCAATTTTAGCTTTGATGTTTCGTCACGTGCTTGCTGCAAAAGCCGTTTAATACATGTAGGGGAAGTGACGAGGAAAAGTTTGTAAGATTTGATGAGGCCTTGGAATCTTTCATCAATTGATACTGTTCAACAAAATCACGATGTGGGAAGAGTTGTGGTCGATTCACGGCCTTTTGGCTGTCTTCCGCTGGTTCCTTATGCCAGAAACCCATCTGCCATCGCTACAGCATGCAGCTTCACATGCCGTGCATGCCGCCTCGAATTGGGTGTCTGGCTCTTCGGTCCCCGACTTGACAAACTCGGCCTCAGTGCTCGCAGATGATGATTTCGACGCCTTGCAGTATGTTGATCCTCTTATCGGTTCAACAAACGGGGGCAATGTGTTCGTTGGCGCAACATTACCATATGGAATGGCCAAGGCCTCTGCGGATACAAACAGCAGTTCCAATCAAGGTGGCTTCACTTTAGATGGAAGCCCGGTTACTGGCTTTTCAACAATGCACGACTCCGGCACTGGCGGACAACCATCGCTGGGCAACTTCCCGCTGTTTGCATATACGACCTGCCCAAGCGGAGTGATCAACTGGTGCACATTTCCGAAGAAGTCGAGGGCGAAATATGGTTACTTTGACCAAAAGGATGTGATCGCAAAGCCAGGATTGTTCAACATTACACTGAGAACCGGCATCAGAGTTGAGATGACAACGACGGAGCGGGCGTCCCTCATCAGGTTTAACTTCCCACAAGCAGGACAGCCTCTTATCCTGCAAGACCTTTCTGATCTGGGCGATACGCGACAGGATAACGCCTCGATCAGCGTAAACAGCAAAACTGGACGGATTACGGGACATGCGCGCTTCCAACCAAGTTTCGGCACTGGCACTTACGTCTTGTACTTTTGTACTGACTTCCAAGGTGCCGAGATTCTCGATAACGGAATCTTTGCAGACAGCCGTGCCAGCACTGAAGTGAAGAACATGACCATCTCAAGATCAATCAACGGATATCCCTTACCAGGAGGGGCCTTTGTGCGGTTTAAGTCTGCCGGCCAGCCCATCACCGCACGCGTTGCTACCAGTTTCATCAGCGAAAAGCGGGCCTGTTCTCATGCCGAGAGTGAGATTCCCGACTACAACTTCGAGCGAGTCTCGGGGGAGGCGAAAGCTATCTGGCGTAGGAAGCTCAGCCCCATTAAGGTCAATACAGACAGAGTCAACGAATCATTCGCGCGAAACTTCTATAGTGGTGTGTATAGGACCATGGTCAACCCGCAGAATTATACAGGAGAGAATCCACTGTGGGACAGCAGCGAACCGTACTGGGACTCATTCTACTGTCTGTGGGATTCCTTCCGCTCCCAAATTCCGTTCCTGGTCATCATTGATCCAACTTCAGTCGCTGAGATGGTCAGATCTCTTATCGACACATATGCCAACCTGGGATGGCTGCCAGATTGTCGGATGAGTTTGTGCAAAGGGCTTACTCAGGGCGGGTCAAACGCAGACAACGTATTGGCAGACGCCTATATCAAGAACATCACCGATGGCATTGACTGGGATCTGGGCTACGAAGCTGTCCTGAAAGATGCAGAGGAGGAACCATTTGACTGGAGTGTCAATGGCCGCGGAGGTATGGATAGTTGGAAAAGGCTCGGCTACATTCCTGTCCAGGATTTCGACGTCAAGGGCTTTGGAACACTCACTCGAAGTGTTTCTCGGACGCTGGAATACAGCTACAATGATTTTTGCGTCGCGCAAATGGCCGACAAGATGGGACGAGGGTCAGACCGAGACAAGTACCTTGCGTCGAGCAGTAATTGGCGAAATCTGTACAAACAGGATCAGAAATCTGCATTTTTCAACGGAACAGACACCGGCTTCAGGGGTTTTTTCGAGCCCAAATTCCTCAACCAAACCTGGGCATACCAAAACCCATTGAATTGTAGCAATTTGGATGGAAACAGTGTCTGTTCTTTGCAGAACAATGGACCTGAAACGTTCGAGAGCAGCCTCTGGGAGTATGGATTGTAAGTTTCCTGCTTCTTTTCTTTTACCAAGTTTTGTGTTGACTAACCCTGTCAGCTTCGTTCCTCATGATCAGGCAACGCTGATTAACACATATGGTGGCCCGAATGCATTTGTTCGCAGACTCAACTTTCTGCATGATCAGAACATTACCTACATCGGCAACGAACCGGCATTTCTCACGGTTTTCCAGTATCATTACGCCGGCCGTCCAGCCCTTTCAGCGAGGAGGGCTCATTCTTATATCCCTTCATTTTTCTCACCTGAGCCTGCGGGTCTGCCAGGGAACGATGATAGCGGCGCTATGGGCTCTTTCTTGGCTTTCTCTATGATGGGCCTATTTCCGAACCCTGGACAGGATGTATATTTGATCATTCCTCCGTTCTTCGAAAGCATCGAAGTTACGCATCCGCAAACGGGAAGGACGGCGAGGGTCCGCAACATCAACTTTGACCCGACATACCGAAACATCTACATCCAGAGCGCAACTCTGAATGGCGAGCCTTACAGGAAGAACTGGGTTGATCACAAGTTTTTTACCGAAGGCCAGCAACTTGTGCTGACTCTCGGTCGACGAGAGAGTGATTGGGGCACGAGAGTGCGGGATTTACCGCCAAGCCTCGGAGAGTACCGGGGGTTCAACAGGACATTCCCCTCAAATCGCACGAGAATAGTAGATACAACGTACAAGGGTGACTTTGGGAATCAGGGACAGGATTTGGAAGGGTAGATTTGGTGACAGAACTTTACCATAGGAGAAGCGGATATTATGGAGGACGCGTTTCTTTTCACAAGTTGGATGGCTTCTTTTGCATGAGCGGGAAAGTGATGGCAGCGATCGACCTAATATATGGCATCTACAACACGTCTACCATCCACATCAAACATGCTGACCTCGTGACATTTCGAACTCCTTAATCTTGTAGTGCACACCCGTACTCGGGATCTCTGCATCAGCCATTCGCAAACTCGTTTTCGATCCATTCTAGGGAACTTGCCATGTCAAGACCGCGAGCGCCAGAGCTTCAATGTATCAAACTAGTATGTCTTGATTCTATGCCCAGTTCAGTGCCTTCTGGGCAAACACGTCGCTCCTAGTAGTCGGGATGTCGTCGAAAAGTGATGCTTTAATCAGAGCTATTCCTGGGAAAGGCTTTGCTATGGTTTTGACTGGACTGTATCATGTGTTGAGCGAGAGTGTATACAAAATTGAAAATAATCTCACCTCCCACAGTTCCGACAGAAAAAACGCTATCAACATTCGTCAGTTTGCTTTGGCCAAAAGGCCTAAATATAACCATTACTCACATGCACAGTGTTTCCAGAATCAGTGTTGTGGTCCAGATACTCTGTCAGGGTTTTCTGCTTATCCTCAATATCCCACTGGCCGTCTTCGACAAAGAAATTCATGGAAAAGGCTGTTAGATGTGAGCGCGACAAACTGAGGACAGATAAGTTTTGCCGTTACTTACGACCGCCGGCACGCTTGCAGTTTGCGCTGGAAGCAAGAATAACTCAGTTATCGCAAATTTCAACTTGTTGGAATACGCTCGTACCAATGGCAAACGACAACTTTCTCCGGCTTCTTACTGAGAGTAACTTTAATTAAGCCGCAATTGCAGTGTCCTTGGTAGGATGCCATTGTGAATAATCCAGCAGGATTCGGTGCAAATTCAGCGACTGGTTTCTGTGGAGTTTGCCTCAAAGAAGCGTGCATGAAAGAGAGATGGTGTAGAAGTGAGATGAGTTGGGGTTTGCTTCTTTCTTTCAAAGAATAGGCCTCACCCCTTGAATGATGATGTGTTGAGGACACGTTAGTGGATCACATCAATTCGTCGAACATGCAAAAGGCTAAAATTGCTCCCGGTTTCCAAGGAATCTGAATTCCTTGTTCCGAAGGGAGGAAATCTTGACCCATAGTTCCGAGTGAGACATGTGGGGAGAGGGGTATGTCTAGGCCTTGGCGGGGTAGGAAGATGGAAGCACTCTCTAGACCTTTCATGCTCCCCTTGGGCATCATCTGATGTCTAGATCTCAAGTTGATAGGTTGAGGCCAGGATGCATGAAAGCTTGCGATTCCATAGTGAAAAACTGCATTCTCATGTGCGTTACTAAGTGTCGCCCATCAGCTATGACGATGAACATATCATCATTACGTCCAGTCGCTCCACTTAGAACCCTTCCAGTACACCGCTCCGTCGTGCTCGAATTGCGGTCCTTCAGCCTCAACAATATGTCCAAGCTCGCAGTGATCGAATTTCACACGCGTCTGCAGATTGTAGAAATCATCAAAGCGAGGCACAAGAGCGTCGTGCAGACTGCCAACATTTCCGGAAGGGTGCAAAGCGTGCCACGGCCGAGAGCATGTAGTACCCTTACAGGACTTGAGTACGAACAGGAGCGAGTCTAGGCGGGGGAGAACCTTCTTCAGAGGGTAGCCGAGGATGGTTGTATTCGCAGCCAGGGCAGCTTCATCAGCGTGCAAGAGATTGTGCAGCTGGCCAGGATCGGTCTGAATAGATGACAAATTAGAATCTAATGTCGTTAACGTACGCAGCTAGACTTACAGTCATGTCGTAAAGCTCATGCTCGTTCGTGCACCACACTGAGTAGTAAAGGTTATAGCCTTCGCCAACTACGCGCAAGGCCTTGTAAGTGTTGTTGAAAATGCGCTTCGTGTCATCTCCGTTGAATCCAAACTTGCTCTCAGTGATGGCCCAGCCCCAGTACTCCACATTGACATGTTCGCGGGTAAGTGGGGACTCGTTGAGCTCCTTCTCGGAGAGAGGAATCGGAGCACCGTCTAAATCAGCTCTCATTGGGGCACCCACAAGTGACAGGATGGTAGGAACGAGATCGACGTGGGCCGTAACGGCTTCGGTAATGCCACCTTTTGGAACACCCGGGCCGCGGACGATGAGAGGGATGTTGATGTCCTCCTCGTATCCACATTCTTTACCGGGCTGCAGTCGGTGTTGGCTAATGTGGTAGCCATTGTCGGTCGTGTAGAAGATGTAAGTGTTGTCTAGGATCCCATGTTTCTCCAATTTGTCAACTAGTCGGTCGACCAATTCGTCAACGGCTTGTAACGCACGCAGACGGCCCTGGTAGTGCTTGTCGTTGTACTCCACATTTTCATCCGTCAGCTTAGGCTGGCGGCGAATCCAGTCGGCGCCTGATGGTTTATCGGGGTTAAAGTTCTCCGTCCTCGGAACCTTTGCATCTTTGAACAAGTGCTCATGCCTCTTCGCTGCTAGCGGGAAGTTGACTCTGAACTTATCGTCGGATACGGGGACATCTTCATCGGGACCCTTGACGGGGAAAAGGATGCTGGAGTTGACGTTGCTGTGGGGAGCAATAGGTGCGATGCCCAGAAAGAAAGGCTTACCCGCCTCGACCGCGTCGTCCAGAAAACCGTACGCCTTATTTGCGACTAAGTCCGTAGAGTACTCGCCCAAGTAGTTTACTGGTTCCTCACGATTGCGCTGGAACGTGGCATTGTAGTAGTCGTACGTGTTGGGATCAAGAAGAAAATCCTGGAATAAGTAAGAAAAGAACACTGAGAACATGCTAGACACACGTGACTTGTTTTGCTTACAGAAGAATTCCAGCCCTTCAGATGAGGGTCGTTGTAATTCCAGATGGTGTGGGCATTGAACATCTTGCCCGTGTAGAACGTGTTGTACCCAGCATCCTGCAGCCAGATAGGCAGGTAGTTTTCATTGTGACCATTCTTGACAAAGATAGGAAATCCGCCTACAACATATAGTTAGCTGCACTTGTTGGACCTATAGCATCCGTAGCTGGCTGAGATTGACACTTACCATAGGGTGGGTTAAGATCTGTAACATTTGTATTGTGAGCCAATTTGCCCGTCCACAAACTTGCGCGAGACGGACAGCACACTGCCGTCGTACAGTAATGTTTTTTGTAAAGAGTTCCTTGCTCAATCAGTTGTTTCTTGATGAGAGGAATGTGCTCCAAAGACTTCATGTGAAGATCTTGATCGTCAGTCAAGATGAAGACGATATTCGGTCGGGAAGATGACGACACATAATCCTGCCCAGAGCCGACGAGGGGACTCTGGGCATCATCTGCAGCCGCAGAGTTGCCAGAAAAAAGCAGAGCCGCAAGCGCCAGTGTTGATGATTTAAGATGCATGTTGGAGGCGCTCAGTTGACCGGCTTTAAACCCAATCTAGCTTCATGTGAATAGAAGTCGTTCCTTTTTTTTAATTTGAATTTTAAATGCGTAGTTCCTTACATAATCTGCGAGTTTCCGCTTTCTGTTAGTCAAAATGACTCGCTGGGTGGAAGATGATGCTGTCGTTGGCAAGTTCCAATGACGTGCTCCAGCCCCAGTATCGCAACAATCCAAATATCCACACCTAACCGACAGCGGAGGAACCGTGCAGTGACAACATCAACAGGCGCTGCAATTAGGTGCAATGCTCAAAGCTATATAAGATCAGTGATAAATTTACTCAGGCCGGAGCTCTTGGCAACACCAGTATTGCCGTCAATACAGTATCTTCGCACTTAAAGCGGCTCCAAGGCTCTTTGACCACTGATAGGCTCAACTTCCGTGTCCTTAACTAATTTCCTCCAAGCCCTCAACCTCCTCTGATCAACCCAGTTCCCATGAACCTGTGCCTTAACTTGAAAAGGCAGTTGGATGACAGCAATCGGCTTTTCAAATTGTTTAGTGTCCAGCGCGACGATCTCGTTTCTGTTTGCCGCTCTTCGCTCTGCCATGGCCATCACCCACTCATCTCCTTCCGGCGCATCATCGCTTCTTGAAATGAAGATTGGTTCCTGGCAGAAAGACTCTGCCCCGGCATAAAAATATCTCGTTTCCTTAGTTGCTGCGCCGTACATCGCAAGACCATTGAGACCGTTCACAATGGTATGACCATTGTCATTCTGCTGCTTGTGGATATAAACGCTGGCCCATACGAAGTTGTATGGCTTCGAAAGGAATCGCTCGTCAATTCGTGGGAATTCTGCGGTAATATCCAGTATCATCTCTGGATTATGGACTTTGCTAAGTGTTGGGCGGGTCAGGTCGAAGGTCCAGCGAACATAGTCAGCATTCGAATCTCGGGCTGGGTACTTTCCGTCATTCGTTGGGAAGAATGGGAATCCGTTGTCGTGAACAGGTGTCGTCTCCATGAAGAGTGTTGCACCATCCTCGCTCTCCCATGCACCGCCTGTATGGATGAGCATGCAGTTCTTCTAAGAATAGATTCGATTCTCGTCTGTATGCCAACCTGAAGGCAGCCTAGTTGTGCTTCGCCGCGGAACGACGATGAAGGTCGCAGGAAGCTCGTAGTCCCAAGCCCAATGATGTCCGCCCTTCTTCATTCTCTCAACATTAGCCTCAAAGGGCCGAAGAACCAAGATAATCCAGTTTGGTGTAATTGCACAGTCGTATATCGGTATACACCACGGCGATTGAATCCACTATTCGTCATGCTTAACGCCCTGGCCGTCAAGTGAGTAGATGACGATGTCCAGTGATGCAAGCCCGTTTGCCTCATACCCAAATACCACTAATTCGTTGGCATGCGGGTCGATTTTGGGATGAGACGTAAATGTCTTGGCCTTAATCTGCCCGAATGGGTCGTGTTTGATGGTATTCAATGTGCGAGGGTCCAAAGAGTAAGGGAGCCCTCCTTTCTTTAGAGCAAGAAATTGGTCGGCCCAGAGAACAACCTTAGTGTTTGCTGTCGAATCCACCGCAGCGCGTACACACGGGTGATGCGTAAATGGATTACGATAGAGCCCAAAGAGGGCTTGTTGGCCTTTCGTTCCAGTTTGTAACGCTCTGTCTCCACGTATCGCATTTTCATGTCGACTCTCCCGTCCTTGATACGGAATGCTGAGATATTGCCGTCCCCATCGAGGGGCACGTTTCCTGGGTGTGGCGGCACGAAGGGATCCGTCATAACTCTGTAAAAAGTTCCGTCAACTACGCTGGGAATTTCGCCCAATACTACGAGGTCTCCTATCTCCCCCTCGAGACGACATGGTAGATTAGATCAGGCGGGGTCGGATGCCTCTGACCATGTTGTGGTCAACCCATAGTTGGATGAGGTCTTGGACAAGGTGGCGGCCTTGGAATTCTCGTCGGTGTAGGTGGGAGCCATTGTCGAAGGAAACTAGTTCTTTAGAAGCAGCTCTTTCCACTTCTTGTTGACTTATGGTGTTAAGCCCCCCAGGTAGAATTATCTCTGTTGCCTGGACTTACACCGGATTGTGTCGTTGAACGGTTATTTCAGTAGCTTGCCAATAAAAAACCTCACAACTCGGGCCTGTGGAAGAACGCAACTACCGAGATACGGCGTGCACCCTTGGCCAGTGATGATAAAGTTCAACCATTAAGCTCTCGTGGCTAGCCCGGGAGCAATTCATCACTATTGCTCAAAAATCCCCGCATCGAGGGCAGCCGCCTCTGCATCTACTCATGTTATGGGACCCCTGAGCGGACAATGCCTCTTTCCGAGGCCGCTCAAAAGTCAAAGATGGCAACGCTTCTCGCAAAATCAATCATGGAAGCATTCTTTTCCCTTTCGTCCAAGCAGCAGATCAGGAATTATTCCATGATGTCTCGTGGTCTGCTGACCGTTCGAGCATATTCAATTCGGCCTGAAACCCCCCACATAGCACTAGCTTGGCCCCCTGTCCAGATATCACTCCTTTCCCATACCGCTGACTAAGAGGCTACCATACATTTTACCATCTCAGAGCGGCTGTTTTATCGATTGGTGGTCCCAATCTCTAGGCTATCATAAGGTTTTCATCGTTACTACTTTGGGCATAATTATGTCGGTCAATGAACCTGCGTCGGCGCAGTGCTAAGTACTGAGGTCTGTGCAACGACGTCTCTGGCAGAAGTGGAAGTGTAAGGCGGTGATAATGTGGGTTTTTTTTTTTTGCATTTCTTTTTTTCTGACTCTTGTGTAAATTTCTGCTATATTCAAAGATTTACTGCTGTCACGTCGCGACGTAGAGTCGTCGCCGGCTCCGTATCCTCAAAATTGAACATCTTCAGCCGTTACGACAATGCATCACAGTCGTGCTCTAACCACAAAGCATGATCACTACGGTTTTCTGAATCGTGTAGTGATTGAGCTTCGATCTTTTCTTCTGACTAGGGAGTCATCTGACGTCCGGTCAACCATGCTATACTGCAAATAGCTTCCCATTCTCACAGATTATCGGGTGATATCATATCTCGGTTTATGTTGCACGAGACAAGTGGATTGTTTGGCCGTTGCAATAGAAGCGTCGCTGACGTGGCTATCGGATCGACGTCATATAGTATTTGAGGCTCGAGACGCCGAAGGATAGGTGAGGACATCGCAGCACTAACACTTCCTCACTGAGGTTATTAGTTCATACTGAGGCACAGACTGCAAGAGAAGAAGCCCATAAAAGAAGCTCAGGGGGCGAGGTTGGAACTCACTTCAGATCCAGTCTGTAGTTCATCCAGGGAGTCTTCTAGGCTTCTCAATAGCGCTTTCAGCTAGTACCTCGCTCGTTCGCTTGCTGCGAGGCACTGATCCCCCCTACGACTCCAGCTATGATACCGCCAACGATGAGAATCGCCATGGCCAAGACGAATATCCAGTATCTCCGTATCCATGATATTTGGTGCTGTGCAGTCATCGGCTCAGTTGAAATTGGAATCGTGAGGTATGTGCCGGAGGATCTGTTGACTTCGCGGTTCGATCTCAACTCCGGTGCCGATAGTTCTCGTTCTTTTCCGTCCTCAAGAGCTGAATAGTTTACAATCTGCTGATCTGACCACTCTGCAGGTGCCATTTGAGTGTCAAGCCGACCCTTGAAGTCCAGGGAATGATTCAGCGAAATCTTGAAGGTTGACAACAAACGCTGGTGCTCTCCTCAGAAAGATCTTCCAGGCTTTGTAGTTTCATGTGCAGAAAAAGAGGAAATGCTGGAGGATGGAAAGAATTGCACATGGGTTGCACACAGGTCGCACGTGGTGCCACGTGTAGGCGTGCCGCATATTTCAAGAAGCGTAGCTTCCAGCTGTCTCCTTGCACGAACTCAGCGCCAATGCGTCTTGTTGGGTATGTCTCGGCTAAGACGGAGACGTTCGTGTCTGACAAGAAGCGTGGGAAGGACATAAGACAAGGCTCTGGCACACTGGCTAGTGGCCAATCAGTCGTGCCAATTTCAGTTGCAATAGCTCGAGTAAAAGGCATACAAACAAGGAGCACTATCCTTAGACGGGTTAGCGAGGTGACAGAAAGGCTCCAGCCAGTAAGCCACCTACAGCCAAGAGAAAAGCAAGTAATGGTTATCCTGCTTTACAGATGAGTCGATCGATATACTTCATTCTCGATCCAAAGCAATTTCTTCAGGACTTTCAACAAGCAGGTCTTGAAATGCTGAACATTTCCCCCATTACGATGTTCATCTATAACTGAGCCCGAATAAGCTTGGGGAGCAGATTTTGTTCTGTGGCTCAAGAGATGGTGGTCGCAGCTCGTTCTCAGAGTCCGCATGTCTCGAAATTATTATCAGATGTCTCAGCCCTGATTCACTGGCACTTGTCGCTCGCGTGGTGCTCAGACTAGCGTTGTCTGCAAAAGCAATTATGAGCAACAACTCGTACCACTCTGGGACACAGTCTGACAACTCCCTTCCAAATTAATCGGGAAATCCGAGTCCTGGAATTGCCGATCTATCAAGGTACCGAGGAATAGGTGTTCTGGGTGTCGAAGATGTTGAGGCTTTGCGTCAGACATGATGTTTCTGGAGATTGAATTGGCCCAGTGCATGTGACTTCGGATACTCCGAGAGATTAGGTTGCTCTTTCTTCTAGGAACTGGCTTCTATTAAAGCTGTTCAGATCATTCGTTGCTTAAGACAATGGTAAACAATTTTGAGCCGTGAAAGCCATGATTACTTACCAAGAGACTCAGTGTCAGAAGCTACTATCTGGAATACTCCCCAACGACTACCTACTCGGGCCCAACAGCAGAAGGCTCCTCCATTGCTCATTATACCAGTGGCTTCGAAAGTAGTGCTGTCATCTGGCTAGGTTATACTATTGATAATTGGCCTCGATTAGTTGAATTAATGCCTTATTCGGTTCCGAAGCCCATTTATCAGTATTAGTAAAGTGGAGATTAGCCACGAATGCTTATGCTTATGTTTCGAGAAGAGCAGTGAAGAAGCGAGCATGAAGACTTGTTTGCTTGGAGGCCTAAATCAATGACATCCTGATTTTGTTGGTTACTATCTGAGAGAGCTGCCTAGTCTAGTCAGCCCAGTACGCCCAGTGAGCGTCGTTGCAACTTTGCTGACGTATGGGCTCTTGGCAAACGAAGTAGTTATCCACTTAGCAACAAAAAAAAACAGATCCAGCAAAGAGCTTTTTGCTTATCGATGATGCGGATACTACCTGGTTTTGTACCCATCACGCCTGGCGCAAGTTATCACACGACCATCTCATCCAGCCGTTGCAGGGCGGCTAGACGCCGACAACTCAGCAACGAGGATCTACAGGGTCCATCGCCTGCTTTGAGACCATCTCTTCGCATCGTCGCCGACAGCCCGACAGGAATTGCCTGATGCGGGGTCGGCACGAACAGCTTGGAGATGTCGTAGTCTGGACTTTTGGTCACGCAATCGCCGGCAACAGGGGTTTATCTGGACAAGGACCCGATGCACCACCGTAATCTCTCCACGGATGCCTTCCCCCGCCACACGGTCGTTAACCTGAGTGCACCACCGCGCTCTCTGCCGCTGTTCATGATTGGAAGCTGGAGCTGTTAAGCGGCGAAAACCTGGCTTACGGGTGACGCTTGGTGGGTTCTGCCCAGACTTTGGCGTCCTTGGATTATCGGATCGTGCGCGGGATACTAATGGTGGTGCAAATATTTGAAAATCGCGACATCGAAAAATCACTTCATGCGGAAAGGATTCGTCCAACTTTTCCCGACGACCTGAGTCGTCTCAATGGTCGCCTTTAGCTAATGCGGCATGGCTGGTCGTTTATATAAACTTAGCCGGCCATGGCTAGTTTATACCTTATTTTCTGATGAGGGCATGTCGACTGGGGTTCCTTTCTTGCTAACCAGATCACCCCCCGCCCGTTGATCTCCGCGACCAGCCTTTGAAATTTTTCTTTGACAACAACGAGAAACAATGGGTGAGGCCGCGTCGGTGTCGTCTTCGACGCCACAAGCGGTAATAGTTAGAGAAGAGCCCATCAACTACGGACCTCCCGAAGAAGGTATATTCAAGCACGTCGCCAAGATCATTCCGTACTTTCGCGATCCTCGCAATGTTCTTGTGTTCAAGCTGGATGTCATGCTGCTAGCGTGGATGTTCCTGGCAGGCATCATGAAAGAAATGGACCAGTCTGCCACAACGCAAGCCTACGTCTCAGGAATGAGAGAATCACTCAACCTCTACGGCAACGAATTGGTAGAGTTCAACACATTCTTTTCGATTGGATATGCCCTTGGTTTGGTTCCTGGTCAATTGATCCAAACACGATTTCGGCCATCGATATTCCTCCCTCTCTGTGAGATGAGTTGGGGTTTGTTAGTTCTCTTGTAAGTAATTCAACTTCCTCGACATTCGCACTGAAGGAAGACAACTGACGAACCCCCGCAGCACTTACAAAGCACCGAATGCACAAACCATCTTCGGGCTGCGGTTTTTCCTCGGTCTCTTCTCCTCCGCCTTCTGGCCTAGCGTCGTCGCCCTCATCTTCAATTGGTATACGCCCGCTGAGCTCGCCGTCCGAGTCGCCTGCTTCACCGTCTGCGATGTTGCTGGTGCCATGTTCCTGGGTGCGTTGCAAGCTGCCCTCTTCCGCGACATGAACGGTGTTCACGGTTACGCCGGCTGGCAGTGGCTCTTCATCATTGCTGGTACCGTTACGGTCGGCCAGGGCTTGATAGCATTCGTTACCGTTCCCGACTCCCCGTCCAACACCCGTGCCATTTACCTTACCGAGAACGAGAAGCGCCTGGCTCGCGAGCGCATGGGCAACTCCGGCGTCAACACCTCCAAGCGCATTTCAGCATCTGTCCTCCGAAAGAAGCTCCGCAAGCTCATTGTCCACCCCGTCACCTACTTCTTCCTCTTCTCCTTTGCCTTCAGCGCCTGGGCCCATCGTGCCAACTCGTACTTTGTGCTCTACCTTGAGAGCATCAAGGACTCGGCGGGCAACCGGGTTTACGATACCTACCACGTCAACATTTTGCCGTTGGGCGGTTACGCCCTGCAGATTGTGACTAACGTGGGTCTCAACTGGCTCTCCGACTGGAAGCAATGGCGTTGGCAGATAAGCATCTTTTCTGCCGCAGCCCACGGCATCTGCTTGGCTGTCCTGTGTGGCTGGCCTTCCGACCACAAGGTAATCCTTGCCTTTTACTTTCTCACATACGCGACCAATGCCGGCAGCCCCTCGCTTATGGCATGGATGGCCGAGATCCTCCGAAAGGAGCCCGAAGCCCGTTCTATCATTGTTGCCATGACCGTAACCACCGTCTATGTCGGCCACGCCACGATTCCCCTGGGAGCGTTCCGTGTTGCCGATGCTCCCCGATACCCCATTGGCTTTCCTCTCACGACGTCTTTTACCGTGGCCACGATCCTGGTTCAGTTTGGCATGCTGTGGTGGCATAGACGGCATCCTGAGATGGCTGAGTATGGCTATGAGCCCGCCATCAACGTGCATGAATCATCAGACGAGGAGAACCCCAAGCTGGCCAACACCGAGACCGCGGGCAGCGGACCTGACCCCAAGACAACCCAGCTTACAGGCACAAGGGAACTGTAGGCCCGGTTGGAAGTAGAGTGGTCAAATAGGAGAATTGTAGAATCATAAGTTGCAAACATGAACTATTCTGGTTTTATCGTATGGTAACATAGAAGAGACTTAACTCTTTGGAACCTCAACGTACAGCCCCAAAGCAAGCCAAGACGTTTGACTCCCATCCGCTACTTCTCAGTTGTAAATTATTGCATCTAATTATTGAGAAACGGACAAGCACCCGATATGGTCAATTTCGACTTATTGAAAAACTTTCCAGCACTGTTTCCCACACACTCATGACAAGTTCAGCCATGCCACTTGAGGTCTATGCAAAGTTTAGATCTGGCAACTACTTCCTCCATTTCCAAACCCCATTCAAACGCATCTCTCCGCTGTACCATTATCCCTTTGCATCCCGGATAAATTCCTGCCAGACTGGTGCACCTAGTACTAGAAATGAGAGCGCTTCTGTTCCGCCTTATAGCAAGAAGGTCACAGTCAGAGCGTCTTCTTCAATTGAAATATTACATCCTCAAAAACAGCTTTTAATTTTCAACCCTCGCCGCTTCAGAGCGAACAATAGTCGGGACCTCTTCTTCGAGGCTCTTCTCCTGCGGCTTCCAGCCGAGAACCTTCCGAGCTCGCACAGCCACGCCACGGGAGTTCATCCCCCAGCTGGCCGCCTCGAACCCCGCGGGCGACTTGACAGCCTCGTCGAAAGACAGCTCTCGAATCTCGGGGGCGGCGTCCTTGAAGAGGCCTTGCTTGTGGGCTTCCTGGCCAATGGTTTGAGACAAGTCGCCCCAGATATGCTCCCCGTTCTCGGTGAAGAAGTAGCCGTGAGCCCCCCAGAGCTCGGCGTCGTCCTTGCGGGCCGGGTCCAGGGCCGCTTCCACGAGAAGCTCGAAAACCTTGCTGAGGTCGTAGACGTGGACGTTGTTCCATCGGGAAAGGCCCTTGCCGATGCGAGGGCAGTACTTCTGCTTCAGGATGAAGTATGCAAGCTCATAGACCTGCCGGCCACGGCCGGAGATGGGGCCACGACCCTCGCCGTAGATTGTTGGCGGGCAGACAATCGCAGTCTTGACTGAGTCGGCGTGCTCCCTGCCAGTGTTGAGGACGATTTCGTCCACGTTGCGGTGAAAGGCGGCGGCTGGCAGGCTGACGAGCTCTTCGACGCCCTCATAGTCGTTGAACACCTTGTCGTCCAGCTCCCCAAATACCTTCTTCACTTCGGAATCGAAGTACGTCAGGATTCCGGTACCGCCGGTGTGCAGCCAGAATCCAGGACGGGAAGCAGAGTGGCCTTGCACGAGGCCCTTGGAAATGGCGGTTGCGGCGCCGGCGTGGTCAGAGGAGTCGGCGGTGTCTAAGATGCGTGTAAGAACGTGCGCAGAATGTGACAGAGAACAGCCACTCACGTATGACAATATCGGCCCACGAAGATTCGCGCTCTAGTGTCTCGGAGTCGTCGAGGCCCCCAAGAACGATCCGGACGGTGGGATACTTCTCGACGACTTTCTTTCCCTTGTCATCTGAACGGACCAGGAGCGCATACTCGAAATCGGGATGCTTCTTGTATAGTTGGTGGAGAGCATCACCTCCAATGTAGCCGGTGGCGCCTGTGAGGAAGATTTTGACAGTCATTCTGATTAGTTGTTCAGATGATGAGGAAAGGATCAAAAGTCTGAACTGAGATTAATTAGATGAAGCTTTCAGAGTTGCTTTCATTATTCATCTACTTTTGTTGCACCTTGGAGGGGTAAAACGTTCTATGACGTAAGATGCTTGTGTGATGATGAGAAATCGCCTGTTTACGATGGAGAACAACGTCCGGCTCGGTCGGGTAATCGTTTAGCCCCCACTCGTAGAAACTCCTCAATCTATGTCTCTGTTGTCTCCACCGAGTTACTCTTTAACCATACTAGTCTTATTCTATTCGACTATGGAACTCTCTAGTTTGTCAAAATGGAATTTGCAAACAGAGCTGGCTGTTGATCACTCGGACCCGTGTGCTAGGTATCTTGTTATATCTGTTTGCATCGTTTGTCATGTCTTTCCGATATGCGCGCCAAGGGGCTTTCTGAGAATGCATAAAGCCACGTTATCGTACATGGTCATAATGCTTGAGATTGGTGTCCAGTAGTGTGAAATTAAGAACTATAGTTACCGTAGATCGCTGGAATCTGACAAGCGGCTCGTTGTCAGTTAATTATGTGTTCACATTCTTTTTGACTAGGCCCAATGTGATGCCAGTTCATTGAATCAAGCTGTTGACGGCATGGTCCTCATCTGACGTCGACTCCCACATACCGTTAGATTACTCGGTTGCTGATGGCAGCCAAACTTGTAACATGTGAGCATTACCATGATACTTGCGAACCACGGAGTTAGAAAGACAACTTGCGCTTTGAACAAGAAGGCAAAAGACACACCGTCACAAAATTCTTACAGTCGATACCACTAGTACGATTAGGCGTATGAGAAGAAGTCACAGAGCAAAGGGCTTCTCAAGTAAAACCCGACTCATGATAAGAAATAGGTCATGCCTAAAAAGTCTAGTCAGACTGTAAAGATCAGAGTCTCTTAACTTGAGTGAACCGAAAACCGGAACGCAGTCTGCTACTAGTTAATTATGCAAGTTTTGGATAACTCGGGGACCGCATGAAGCCACGACATGGTCACGAATACAACGAATGGTGGTGGGAGAACCGCATCTCGTCAATGGATCGAAGTCTTCGAGCCTACTGAGTATGATTTGAAAAACTGACCTGAGGCGCATCGCCATGATTTGGAACTTAATGTCTGCAGTCCACAGTAACGTCTTTTTGATCATCTCTGTGTATCTGCTCGTCCATACTGGCAATGGTCTCAACGGCTTAGACCTTGATAGGGCGCCAGGGGCTATCCCGTTAAGGTTGGCCAGTTGGAGGACATATACAGCTCGGAGACGCTGAGCAACTGTCTGTTGGTTTTTCGATCTGGCTGGGGTAGCGAAGACAATGTTGACGGCCGAGCTCACATCGCTCTTGAAAGGTGACCAGAACAATGGCTGTTGGAGTTCCATATGCTTAGGTCTGGTATCGTCCATTACGGCGCCACCTTGGCAACCACTAAGCAGGAAACGCAGAGCGTTTTCATTCAATGTCCGACGATCAATCCTCAAGAGCTTGCATGCCTCGACAGTAGCCGCATGGAACACGAAGGACCGACAAGGAGTCCAGCAGAAGGCCAACATGTGTAGGTCCAGAACAAGCGGTGAAGGCCTCAGAGACCATCACCAGCAAGACGCACCCAAGAACCACATCACACAGAATTCGCAACTATGCCCTGCCATCGTGTTATATTGGCCCTCGCACCGAGGCAGCCCTATGACACGTCGACTTACTTAGACACAAAATCGTCACTTGTCGTCGGGGCCCTATGTTGGGGCGTTGGCTCGCTACGTGCACGTGACACCTTAACCGGTCTGCAGAATACGTCTTGATATTGTATTCAACACTCATTCTCGCTACTGTTGGTATGCTTTGAGCCAACGCTTAGTATCAGCTGCGCCACAAATTCTCATTGCCCCTAAATTTCGCTGTGGAGCAGTCGAACCCTCAAAACATCATATTACCACCAGACCCGAATGCTTGGTCGGGCGGCAGTAAGGAGCGGGGACGAAAATACTGCTAATATCATTTCACATAGATTACGGGCTTGTAGACAAACATCCCATCCAAGACATCTAGCAGTCGCAGCGTCGAGTCCAGTGACAGGTCTTGTTTGCAGCGTCTGGTCCAGATCTCATCAAGCATACGAAGGACGCACCGTTCCCCTTGATCAAGCGACGGCCCCTTGTGTCCGCTCCATCCGCTTCGATACCTCATAATTCCCATGGGTTTACCGCGCAGCTCGCCCTGGTGACACGCGTCTGTAGAAAACGGACGAGGCGTTGTCGTGTCCGGGGACTTAGGGGGCTCGGGCGGTGCGGGCACCGCCGAGTGGGTCCGCCGGCGAGGGCAGCACGAAATGAGCCGGAGGGAGCCTGTGGACGGTGGGGCCGCGGAATACGCAATTGAAAATTTCTCGCTTCGCTCTGGACTATTTTGGGCCGAGAAAAGAAATCGCGGCGGTGTCTCCCAGTCCGGTCCTCCTGGGTCCCATCGACGAGGTTGAGTTGACTGCCCACTTACCGTTGACGCTCTTCTCGTATCATGAACTGCGCTGGATAGCATCGAGACACGCGGGTGGAGAATAACGAACCAAGGCCACATTTGAGGCTGAAGCTCGAGCGTCTAGCATCCAGACCGTGGCCATTGCACAAGGGACTGGTGACGATTCAATTTCTTTGAGCTGCTTTAGCGTCGAGCAGCCACGAGAGCTCGGATGGGGCCTTGATGCAGTGGCTAGAATTAGATGGCCGAGCTAGGCCCCGAAAGCATCCTGTTGCCTGCCTACTGCACGCCTGATGTCAGCCCTAGTGATGGACGTTGTTTGCCTGGGTCGCCAGGTTAGGAGCGTCGTGAAAGACAAGGATATGCACTCGTTGACGATCAGAGAAATCGGGCATGTTACGTCGTCCATTTGCCTTGTATTGAACACAAATCACCGTAGCGAAGCGGCTCGATGTCGATGATGATGGTGATGGCGGCGGAAGAGACGACCTGGGATCCAGATAAACGGTCACGCGCAACGGAAGAGAAGCCGGCTGCCGTCGCACTGTCCCACGGCTCCAAGCATTGGGTGCATTCGTGGAAAGATCGCTCGATCCCACGCACAGTGGGACCACCGTCCACCAACGTCCCCATCAAAGAGACGGCGGTCAAGCTTTTTCTTGGGTTGTCGAGCGCCGAGGAAAAGCCAGTCAGCGGCTTGAACGGGCCAAACTGTGGAAACTGTGGGTGGAAAAGTGGTGAGCCAATGGCCGGGGAAAAAACCCACTTGACGGAAGCTATGGTGTCCCAAAATGGCACTGGGGCCTTTGGTCTTGTTCGCGTTCCATTTCCAAGTTCCCACTTTGCCAAGGAAGCTTCGCCACCACAGGGCCCAACACATCAACAGGCTTCGAGAAAAGGCCAGGGAGGATATGGAGACACGGGCAATCTAACTGTGTTTTCCTGGGATCGAGACAACGAGTCAGCCCGGTAGCGAGGGAACTCGGTACATTCCTCTCGGTATGGGGTACCTGGTCCAATTTCCTTGTACGCCGGCTCTTGTGAGAATTTGCTGGTCGGGTCAATTACGGCTACGGAGGTATACGCAACACGGGGTACGGAGGACTTACGCGGTATTACATACCAACCTGCGCGAGAGGACGCCAGAGGACGGATACCTGAGTGGCTGTGTGCCAAGGTGAGATTGGTGTGGTCAAATGCAGGGGAAGTGGGCTCTTGGCACCACCATTGGAAAAAGTCAAAGAGAAACATTTCGTTCATCATGAAATGTGACGAGTGTGCCAGTGCGTGAGTGAACTGAATCAATCTGGCTGGTCCACGAGAAACATGGGATGGCAACCCCGCGGGCGGCATGTGGGATGCACACAGCGGCAGGCAGATCCATGCCATGCCGTCCGAACGAAACCCGCATGTCGGGAAAATGTTGCTGTGTTGTGTGACGTGCCTCCCGGCTTCGTGCCAGCGGTCTCCCGGTGGTGCGTCGTCTTCAGGTAGTCCAGTCTCCAGGTTTCGACGAGGTAGTCAAACTGCCGACCGTCTGACGCTAACAGCCGCACGCGACTAACCCTACGAGGCGCGCACCGATGCAGAGGTTATTAGGTATCCCAGAAGCCATCCGCCCAGCCCGAAGTGGCAGAGCTGGGGACGGGAAAGCGGTTGTTTGTCTGAAGTTCTGTGACCCCCGTACTTCCCAATCCGAACCCTCGCGCGGAGCAGTGAACGACACCCGAAGACCGCGCAGCGAGCGAGTGCACGAGCGAGCCAGCGAGAGAATGCGTGACTGAGTGCAGGTGGTAATGCAGCAGCGCATGTGTGGCCGCCGCTTCAGTTTCAGACATTGGATGCCAGTCACTCCAACTCCCGATTATTAAGGGGACTCCGCCAAGACCCAGTCTGATGTCGGTGGTGATGACTGCAAATGTGCTGGCGAAATGAGAGAAGAAATGAGCTCACCCAAGTGAAATGTCGCCTCCTCTCGCCTCACTCACCGCCAAGACCCGGACGAGGGCGCGCCAGGCTCGCGGGAGAGAAGCCTGAAAGCAGAAGGATCGTCGCGTCGCTGTCCCCATAGAATATGATCGATTCGTGTTTCTGCGCCCTGTACGTAGGCCGGCCTGGCCATTGGGGGACTCTAGGCGTGGAGGGCTCACAGACGGCGGTGCCCTGGGGCGTCACGATGCTCGCCTGTAACGTTTCTCAGGGGCACAAGTCGAGCGTGTGTGAGCGCTAAGAGAACGTTATCTGTGCAGTTGGCCAGCATGCACTGCATCGCTGTGAATAACCAGTGTAAGATGCTCCCCGAGAAAGGCATCCCAGTCATTACGGTACGTGTACACTAGGTACATTCACTCGCCGACGGGACGGAGTCCAGAGTGACCCGGCAATGGCAAGGTCGGGCCAAGAAATGAGACGCCGGCGAATCGATCTCGATCAGGCACGGAAGGGAAAGGGAAAGCTGGATCTCTGAAGCAATGCTGTCAACGGCCTTGGCCCATTGGAGCCCCTCTCTGGAGCTGCGTCTTCCAATCAGCGGCTGAGCTGCTATTTTCTGCATCCTTTGGCCCCCTTGGTCATGCTGCTGGATGTCGACAGAAACAAGAACCCACAGCTCCAGAAGGGGGGAACCAAGCGATCAACTTGGGCGCCTCCACGTGTCGACGGCGGTTCGCATGGCCCAAAGCTGGCGAGCCCAGCTCAGCCGAGTGGGCAGAGGAGCAGAAGCACTGGAGGAAACCAGATGCAGGTCAGCGCTCAGTTGTGTAGGTCGTGTACGATGTACAGAGTAGTATACCGACACACAGTGCAGGATTCGTCCGTATTCGAGTCGACGTGCTTCTTCTGCATCGGCCCAACTGGGCTCAGGGGGAAGCCAAGCAAGTCTGGGTGAGTGCAGTATGGATGACAGCGACGGACATTGGGCAGATGGCCATGTCAGACATAAACCGCCCCTTGGCACGCGATTTCCTTGCTGCTACGAGGACCCCGTTTGGGAATCAACGCGGCATGGCGGCGGTCGAATATCTCAACGCACGCAGAGAACGAAGCTGCGAGAGTGTTGCAGTGGTTCACAGCGCTGGCGCAAGACGGCGAAGAGGCAGCAAAGCAACTGGCGCGAGTGAATGAGTGTGAGTATGAATTGCAACCACGAAGTAGGGTGGAGCCGCATGGCCCCTGTTTCAGCTCCGCCCCCCTGCTCTCCCGCCGGTTTTCACTGGCTTTCCCTCTAGCCTTCGAGATGTGGCTCCTTCCCCGGGGCTGGCCGCTCCTATTCTTGTTGTACCTGGGTAGTGTACAGGTAGGTACTCCTGCCCCTGCCCACCATCATCCATGCCCCATCGCTCCTTCCCTTGGGACTGACAACCTTTGGACACCGGCCGGGGCAGGAAGACGAGGAAACACGAGCCTTCCATTGGCCGATGACGCCTCTGCACTGGCCGTTTGACGATCTAGCAGCGGGAAGGTCTCACCCAAAGGGGAAAGGCGGCAAGGGGTGCATTTGTCGCCTGCAGGAGCGATGCTGATGAGGACGGGCGGGAAGGAGAAGGGGTGGGTATGGGTGTGTGTCTGGGTGGCTCGTATTGTGGTGTGTGGTGGCAGTTGCACTCTTGGGCGATGAGGGACCGAAAAAAAAGTCGAGAGCAAAAATCAACAGGAGACACGCGACGGTGACATATTTCTCCTCGCCTCTCTGATACACATTCTCTCTCCTCCTTTTTACTTTTGGACTTCTCCGAGTTTTCTTTCTCTCCTTCTCATCCTATCTATTCAATCTCGTCCCATCTCTCTCGTCCTTCGTCCTTCCTTCCTTCATCGTCTGTTTCCTGAACATCCATCTACAGTAAAAACCACTCGCGCTCACTCACTGATTCACTCACTCGCCCACACCACACTCCCGGCGGCACCACACCACCAGCAGCTCCCTGGACGAACCTTCCACACCATCACCGAGTTTAGCTTAACTCCCGTCACATCCCAACCTCAAGCCAGGTCACCCCTCCTTCGCTGGACATCCTCCCATTCCAGCTCCTACCCCTTCACACACGACTTGCGCACCACGCTTCATATATCCAAGACTCCCGCCCGAGACCTCTCACGTTCTCTGCGACTTATCCCTCACTCGCTATCGTTGTTGATTGATGGGCAGGATCCATCTATAGTCGACACGCACAAAGGACCGTCACTACCCGAGGTCCTTTTTTATTTACCCTCTCCCTCTCCCTCACCCTGATTATGCCCCAGCTCACGAACTCGGCCCACGAAGTTCCAGTAATCAATACACAAGTCCACGACTCCGGCAACACTCCCTACATCATGGCCGAAGAAGGCGGTCACCACGTCCCGACGGGCGGCAACAACCACAACCCAGCCAGCGACAACCAGCAAAAGCAGGCCCCCGAGTTCACCATCAAGCCCCGCATGGACAACTTCAACGCCGAGGAGATCCGCGAGGCCATGTCGCCCACCGGCCCTATGACCCCGAATCCCTTCAGCCGCAAGAACACGAGCATCGACATTGATGACTACTTCACTGGCCCTCGCGACATCCTCAAGCACTCCAAATGGCCCCTCTTCATGCAGATGCACGGCAGCATCCTGCCCAAGATGATTGTCCCCTTGATCTGGATGTCTCTCTGGTCCGCCGCCATTACCTGTATCGACAAGTTCCGCACCAACATGGGTGTCGACTCTGTTTTGTTGACCGTCCTGGGTTTCGTCGTCGGTCTGGGTCTCTCGTTCCGCAGTTCCACCGCCTACGAGCGTTACGCCGAGGGTCGCCGCTACTGGGCCCAGCTTATTCTTGCGACCCAAAGTCTTGGTCGCGTCTTCTGGATCCACGGTGCCGAAGCCCAGGACGTCGATCCGAGGCAGTCGCTCCTCCGCAAGGTTGGCTCCATGAACCTCCTCTTGGCTTTTGCCGTCTCCCTCAAGCACAAGCTTCGATTCGAGCCCTATACCGCGTACGAGGATCTCGAGCACCTGGTCGCCCATCTGCAGACGTTTGCCCAGGAGGCAACCGCGGCCGAGCCTGAGAAGATGGCCCTCAAGAAGAAGAACTTCTTTAAGGAGACTGGCGAGTACCTCGGCGTCTCCTTCGCCGCCAGCAACCCCCGCAAGTCCATCAAGAAGGCCTCCCGCCCCCTCGGTAACCTGCCCCTCGAGATCCTCAACCACATCTCCTGCATCGTCGACAAGATGGTGGAAGATGGCCAGCTCAAGGTCCCCATGCAGCAGACCCTGGCCTACAACAACGTAGCCCTCCTCAACGACATCATGACGGGTACCGAGCGTGTCCTGACCACTCCTCTCCCCATTGCATACACTATCGCCATCAGCCAAATCACTTGGGTCTACGTCATGCTGCTTCCCTTCCAGCTGATTGACAAGCTCGACTGGATCACCATTCCCGCCACCGTCGCTGCCGCCTATATCATTCTCGGCATCCTGTTCATCGGTCGCGAGATTGAGAACCCCTTTGGCGAAGACGTCAACGACTTGCCTTTGGAAGCTTACTGCGAGCAAATCGCCTCGGAACTCGACATCATTGCTTCCTTTGAGAAGCGCGACCCATACCGGTTCATGGAGTCTTCTCGCAACTTGCCCCTGTTCCCCGCCAGCATGGCTCCCTACCACATCTGGATGGGCCGCTCCGAAGAGCGCGTTCGCGACGCCATCAAGTCCAAGCACAATACTGTCTTCGAGTTCCGTAAGAAGGTTATTCTCGAGAAGGCAGCGTCGAGGGCCGGCCACTCGGGGGAAAAGACAAGCAGCGAGGCCACGACCACGATCAACGGCGATCACAACGTATAAAAGATGCTGTGGCTTTTGTTTTTCGTTTTTTTCTACCTCTCTTCGACCCCTTGCTGCATATTTCAGCCGGATGAGAAATGGGTTTAGCGATTTGCTTGAGGAGCATTCAAAGGCACGGAAAATTCATGCATGCCCCGACAGGCGGCTTTGGCACTGGTACGGTTCGGATTTTCTTTTCACTGTAATTACCTGGAAAACAAGGACAGGTGTGTTTTTTTGAGCGCGGCATTGCATCTCATGGCATGAGATATTAAAGACATACTCTACGACGGGTAGAAATCCAAATTGAATGGGAGACATTTCAAAACATGACGCCAGTCTGGTGACCGAGAGCACTGTAATCCGACTGTCTGACCTCGCCATGAAAAAGACATTTTCGTGAACCCTCGCAACCAAGCACTACACCCCTTGCAAAAACAACTGACCCGGCCATCTGCTTCAAATATAAAATGGCGTTGGTGATCCAGCTTGACCCGGTCTGATTGTTAAAGAGTCTGGGCATCGTCAAGAACCATGATCGGGGACCCGGCGCGGGCCGCCCTCCGTGAAGCGGGGCCATCGGTAGTGTGGTCGCTGGCGCTCGTGTGTGTGTGTGTGTGTGTGGAGATTTCCTCGGGCCTTGAACGACAGGGGTATGGCGAGGACCTCAGACAGGCGGAGACTCCAACGCATAATGCGTACGAGTCTGGGTTACATCCAAACCGAAACAAGGGGTTCAATGGCGAGAGCATTTCACCAGCACGTTGTGGCCAGGTCGTTCTAGACCTTTGATAAATGGGACTGAATTGTAGGACGGAGCGTGGTGACAAACTGTGGGCCGTCTCAGCCGTTTCCTCCCCGCAAACTGGATATCGGGTCTGTTTAGATGGAGGCTCTTGCGGCTGATCGCTGAACTTGAGGCACCGGAACTGAGGATGGAACAGGACGGAGACCTCCGCAGTTCTTTTGCGCCAAATTCTCGGAACCTTTCCCTATAATTTATTTACCGTCTTCGAAAAACGGTGGATGTCTGCCAGTCGCCCAACCAAACCCCGAAGGTCTTTGGTATCGATGCTCACGACCTGATTTGAGAATATGGTTGCGAACAAAGTAATCTTGTCTGGTTCAGCGGTACGTACGGTTGGACATTGTCGCCGACGGTTCCTGGAAGCCACAAACCATAGGCTAGTTTGCACTCTGCGGAGCTCTGTGGAACCGTGTTTTGCCTCGGACTGATCGGGTACCGTCTGCCATTCCTTTCGTGCCGGTCATGACGCACAGTGCTTAAAGCGCGACGTAGAATCGAACCTTCCATGCCTCTTCCCGTCAGGCGGTACGCATAAAGAGTCTTCCTGGGGCTTCCGCAACGTTGACCACCGGGTGTTGGACTGTTCCCACAGCTAGCCGTCTTCGACACTCAGCCAGTCCTTATCCTGAGAGGACCTGAGAAATTCTTGATATACACTGACCGCCTAGGCCTGTTCGGTGGGCGTTCCCGTCCTCGCCGAAATTGTGGGGTCTTGCAGCCATTTCTGGGACTTGTCCTGATACCGCATTTGACCCAGGGGCCAGGGCACACTACGACTTACCAATTGGACTGCTCCCGGACTTCTGCTTCGGAGCATACGCGCGATTTCCTTTGCAACGGAATCCTGGAGAGCCCGGGCCGCGTATTGTATGAAGTTCATTCTACCTTTCCGTTCCAGCATCCGGGCCTTGGTTACTTCGGGGGCTCTGGTTTGGTTCTTGATTTTCAGACATTAGCGCTGAGTTGGCGCAGTGCCTGAATACTCGTCAGAAGCAGACCCGCCTCACTTTATCGATTTTCGGTGCGGGAATAGGGTGCGACATTTGAGAACGTGCTTTAAGGAGGGCGAGAATAGGGCTGCCAAGAACCAAGGACTTACATGGCCATGGAATCAGTCCGCGTGCAGGGAGACCCGATGATGCGTTGCCCGCCTGCCGTTATAATCTTTGAGAAGAAAAGCTCGACCGTCCATGCTTGTTGCCTACCCCCCTGTCCTTCTGCAACAACTTGGTGGCCTTCTTAGCCGCGCACTCACTTTGTGTGATTCTCTACAATCAGTGTTCTCAGGCTCAGTCATTATCTTGTTCGGGGCAGCCACAGTTGCGATAGGCGCGAAATGTATTACAGTCTAGGCGCAATTTCTAGCAATGAGTGAATACGATGCTTTAATAGGGCAACGTGACTTTTGTTCAAGGCTTAAAATGTGTTTGCTTATAGGTAAGTAATGGACCTGACTCAAACTCAACAACTCGTTCAGAGGTTTGGTGTCTTTACTGTTCGCCTCGGGAGTAGGCGGGTATGTCCGACCCATCGCAAGGTGCGGAACGAGGAAGGACCTCGGTATGCGAGTGAAAAAGCAAATGTCGGCGACCAAAGAACGTACCGGGCATCTGTGTGGAATCAGTTTCCTGCTCAGAAAAAAGTCAGACCTTAACTTCGGGAGTATGGGCGACTCGCTTGGGATAAGGCTCTACAGCACTGCCTTGTTTTCTCCAAGTCCTGCCACGGTCGTGTGTAGAAGCCCTTGGCGGTTTGTTGTCGTATATTCTGAGCGGGTAGATATGACAGATGTACGAGGCAATAAATTCGTCTGGTCACTGCCGTTTCAAGGTCGACTCAAAGGGAACTCACTTGTTTTGCATGACTCGGAGCAGTTGCATTTGTTATAACATCCATTCAATTTAACGAGAGTATGTAGTGAGCTATCCATTACACGGGTCCAAAGTATATAAGTACATGATTATGGCGCCCAAACTGCCCTATCATGGTCAAGAGTACATGAGCCATCGACGGCCCAGCCCAATCGCTGCCGTGATGAAAGACCTAGGAACAAAAAGCTGCAAAAGACCTCCGTGGCTTAGTTGCAGTCCGCACCGGAGAAAGGAGCCAGGGTGATCTCCTGGTTGTTGTTGGTGAAGCGGCGCCCGTCGGTGGCGATGCGCAGGACTGAGTCGGCCGAGTTGCGGTTGAAGAAGAAGCGGGTGTAGGTGTTTGTGTTGACGCCGTCGTCTCCCGCCGCCGAGCACTTGAGGGGCACGCCGACAGTGAGCGACCGGTCGTTGACCTCGCAGATGAGGGGGCAAGCTTGCGGACGAGGACCTGGCGGGGGGTGAAGCCGTTGACGGGGCGGTTGTCCTCCTCGTAAGGCGCAGGGACAGCAACGAGCTGGCCGTCGGTCTGGTAGAGCTGGCCCGTGGAGAGGTTCAGGTCGAAGCGCGCGGCGGTGCTGCCGGCGGGACGGATGCTGAAGCGGTTAGAGCCAATGGCGACGACGGAGCCAGGGACCGGGCCGGTGGAGACCTTGAGGCAGAGGTTGCGAACAAAGCCGTCGGTGGAGGTCGGGGACGCGGATGAGGAGGTGGAGGAGGTGGTGGTGGTCCCAGTTGTGAGGGTGCTGGTGACAAAGGTGCTGCTCTCGGTCGAAGAGGCCGAGGTGGACTCTTCCGTGGAGGAGGTCGAGGTCGAGGTCTCGATGAAGATGGGCGCGCTGGTGACGGTCGACGTCAAGAAGGTTGAGGATTCGGAGGTGGAGGTCTCGGAAGCGGACGTCAGGTCGTCGGTGGTCGTGGACTCAGCGGTGCTGGAGGACGAGCTGATGAGAGTGATCGTGACTGTAGCGGAAGAGCTGCTATCGCTCACGGTGACGGTAGTCGTGGTATTAGGGAAGGCGGTCGGCTCGGCGGAGGACGAGAGGCTTGTGATGCTGGATGACTCGATGGCGGTTGAGTTGGGGAAAAGAGTTGACGTGGGGAACTCAGTCGAAGTCTCGGTGAAAGTCGTGTTAGGGAACAGGGTGGAGGAGAGCGAAGTCTCGGTCGCGGTGGCATTAGGGAAGCCAGTAGACGTGGGGAACGCCGTGGTCTCGGTGTCAGAAGTGACGGTGGTGTTGGGGAAGAGAGTCGAAGAAGGAGAAATCAACGTCTCGGAAGTGGTGACGTTGGGGAAGAGAGTCGAAGAAGAAGACAGGGAAGTCTCGGTAGATGTAGCATTAGGGAAAAGTGTCGAAGCAGAAATTGACGTCTCGGTAGAGGTTACATTAGGGAAGAGAGTCGAAGAAGCAGACAGGGAAGTCTCGGTGGTGGTGACGTTAGGGAAAAGAGTCGACGAAGCAGACAGGGAAGTCTCGGTGGAAGTAATATTAGGGAAGAGAGTTGAAGAAGCAGACAGGGAAGTCTCGGTGGTGGTGGCATTGGGGAAGAGAGTCGAAACAGAAATCGAAGTCTCAGTGGTAGTGACGTTCGGGAAGAGAGTCGAAGAAGCAGACAGGGAAGTCTCGGTGGTGGTGACGTTGGGGAAAAGAGTTGAAGAAGCAGACAGGGAAGTCTCGGTGGTGGTGACGTTGGGGAAAAGAGTTGAAGAAGCAGATAGGGAAGTCTCGGTGGTGGTGGCATTGGGGAAGAGAGTCGAAACAGAAATCGAAGTCTCGGTGGTAGTGACGTTCGGGAAGAGAGTCGAAGAAGAAGAGAGGGACGTCTCAGTAGAGGTCACGTTGGGGAAGAGAGTTGAAGAAGCAGATAGGGAAGTCTCGGTGGTGGTGACGTTGGGGAAGAGAGTCGACGAAGCAGACAGGGAAGTCTCGGTGGTAGTGATGTTCGGGAAGAGAGTCGAAACAGAAATCGAAGTCTCAGTGGAAGTAATATTAGGGAACAGAGTCGAAGAAGCAGACAGAGAAGTCTCAGTGGTGGTGACGTTGGGGAAGAAGCTCGAGAAGGAGGAGCTCGTCTCCGTCTCCACGGACGACGTCGTGTTGGGGAAGACGGTAGTCGACGCGAAGCTGGACGTGATGGTCGTGGATCCCGAGGTGATGGTCGTGTTGGGGAACGAAGTCGAGGTCACAGAGTCAGTGGCAGCTGAGCTGCTGGACTCGGTGGAGGTGGTGTTGGGGAAGACGGTCGATGTGAGGGTGGAGGACGTCTCCGAGATAGTAATAGTGGTGCTACTGTTAGGAAAGATGGAGGAAGTGATGGTCTCGGTCTCGGACAAAGAGGAGACGATGGTGGAAGTAAGAGTAGTGGTGTCGAAGACAGGGGGCACCGACGTGGTGCGGGTAACGAAAGTCGTGAAAGTAGCGTTGGTAAGGATTGTGCCAGTCACAGATGTGGTCTCCTCGATCAGCTCCGTGGCGGTGCTGGCAACGGAGGTCGTAGCAGTCACCAGCTCAAGGTCGGTGGAAGTGAGGACGACGGTCGCGAGGGCGGTGGACGTTGTGGTCGTGGTCGCCAGGACGGTCGAAGCCGAGCCGGTGCTGGTGACGGTGATGGTGACTACGGAGGTGGACAGAATTGTAGCCGGCACCGAAGCAGTGACGGTGACTACGGCAACGGCCGACGTCACAGTGTTGGGTGTGACGCCGAGGCAAGAGCAGGCTGATGCATAGCGTCTGACGGAGCTGCAGGCCGAGGCGTATGCTGGGAACGTGTTGGAAGAGACTGCGGTCGCGGGGGCCTGGCGCCTGTCGAGAGAGATGGTCTCCAAGATGGTCTGGGTCTCGGTGGCGACGGTGGTAATCTGAGTGGTGCCGAAGACAAGGGTGCGGGTGCTGGAGACGAGAACCGTAGTGGGGACGACTACGGTCTCCGTTGCGACCGTGGTGGCTTCGGTGATGCCGACGACGCTGGTCTCGGTGAGGGAGGCCAAGGCAGTCTCGACAACGACGCTGGTCTGGACGGGACCCGGGCCGGCTTCAGTGACGGTGAGAGTCGACGTGAAGACGCCGCTGGTCGGGAGCGTGACAGTCTGGGTGGTTGTGCTTGGGGGATATCAGTCACCGGAGCCTCGGGACCTGGGGGGCGAAGACTTACACGGCACCGGGGTAGACGGTCACCTCCAGGTACCTGGAACAGTCGGCGGTACCGCTGCGGGTTAGGATTTGAGTGGCCGCGATGGCTATAGGAAATTAAGGTCAGTCTGCGAGCTCTTGGTGTAGATCTCCAGGGGGGGGACTGGATGCTTGGATGGGAGTGGCTAACCTCTCAGGCAGTTGTCCCTGGCACACTGAGCAGCGCTCAGCCCAAAGAGGGTGGCCAGTACGGCGGAAGTGGAAGGCTTCATGGCTGTACTGAGGGTAAGGAATGGATCTCTTTTGGGACTTGGGACCGTTGGACTTCGGGACGGGGCTCGAAGAGTTGATTGTCTGGAGCTTGTCGATGAGAAGAGATGCAGGAGAGAGATGACTGCGCTGGCGTGGAGATAAGAACAACATCCTGGGAATTCTTTTGGAAACGTCGAGTTATATACATCAGAAGGCATCTAGAAGAGACACCCAGGAAACAACACAGATAGCCCGAAAAAGCGCGTCTTTCCAGTACCAAGGGATGGAGGCAAAGAGCCTCTGCCACCAATATCGCGCCTCTCTGGGTCTGAGACTCCTTCTTCCCTTGGGTCATCTCGCGATTGCCTCAACGATAGTACTGTACATACGGGCTTGTCCATCGTAGAATCGGCGTCTCCCACGCTGAAGCCGCCGTTGCTTGCTTTGCTCATCGAGACATCCCTGCCTGAGCATGTCAGTTAGAGACGAGGCCAAGCTTGCGGACACTAGCGAATGTGGCTTGATTAGCACCAGCGTCGTGCCCGCGGCGATGGAATCGTCGCCCGCTGTGCGGGGCTCTCGCAGAAACTCGCCCCACTGGCCGCGGGGCCAGTAAGGTCAATAGGAGATGAGCTTGCGTGATGAGAGGATGTTCCCTAGCGTGGCCGCGGCACTACGCTATTGGCATAGTGGGCTTCAAGTTGACTGTACTGCAAGGAACAAGACGGTCTTACTGCAAGGGCAAATGAAGTCTGTCTGAGATGTAGGCATCGGATCATGGCACACCGTGGCAGACACTTGGCAGGGAACGGGCCAAAAGCCGCGGGAAAGGGAGGAAGGCCTCCCCAGCCGCGAGGAGAAACTCCAGAAACCTCCGGGACACTGCTGATTGGACAGAGAAGCCGAAAGAAGAAAGAGCAGGCCTAGAAGCCTGCAGACCCGCAGGAATTCGTCAAAAGCAAGCGTTGTTCGCGCGTGAGAGTGGACGGGTTTGAGTCCCGCTCTGCACGTGCGAGTCACATTTTAATGAAGGTCTTCAGAAGCCCTGCATCGGATGCAGACAAGAAACAAGTTCGCCACGCCCACAACGACAAAACCCGGTTTTTTATGTTTGGTTTCATCTGATGGGAGCTGAGGTTACCAAGGATCTCGGGAGCCGCAATAGCTCGGCCTGTCGTCTCCCTGCGAGATGTTGTCCCAAGATCTCAGCAGCGGACTCATCGGACCGCATCAATCCAGACGTATGGAAATGACGTCCCGAGGGACTCATGACGGATATCGTGTTGATGATGTACCCCGCCAGCCCAGAGAATGTTCTTGCAACAGGAAAGACGATGCAACTTCTTTGGAGCCTTGTGTGGCACCACAAGCCAACCATGTGTTGGAACCCCCACGATCGCCCAGCATCCAACATGCACATGGTTCCCATAAATCTTTTGCTTCAAACAATGCTTTTGTGACATTTCAAGAGCGGTCAAAAGCCCCGACACAAGCTGAAATTGGTGACTCTCCCCTTGGATCATGGCTTTAGTATCGAACGCGCTGACCACGAACATATTCGCTTCCATGATGGCGGCTGAGATCCTCAGCCCAAAATCTAACCTCCTTCTATCACCGTTTTTCAGCTCGTGGAAAATGTAACAAGCCTGTCTTTTCCAAATCCCAACAACACGAGGGATGCTTCTACGCCGTCATTTTCGTGGTTGCTCATGAGACATGTATGGGTACCGCATGCAGGCTAGACTCTAAACGTGCCGGAGGTCTCAAGCGGAGCGACTCGCAAGGCTTTCCGGCGGTAGTCGGGTCTGGATGAGCGACATCGCATGAAATCACGCCCCATGGCTGACTGCTATGGCCCCCGAACCCGAAAGCTTGTGTCAGATCCCGAGTCCATTTGGCGAGCTGTTTCTTGACGCGATGTCTTAGCAAGAACCCACTGCCAAGGTAGCTGAGCTGGAAAAGGTCTTGAAGATGAGCCTCGCGTGATTTGCGAGTTGAGATATTCCAGTGGATGCTTCGCATGTCTCTCTGTTGTCCTAATTCCGAGCAACGTTGTAAAATCTTGGATGAGGAACTGAAGAAACCCTTGAGCAGTAGGAACATTGAATTTTATGGCCGCATGTGAAAGTGAAAGCTGCCAAATAGTAACCAGGTACCCTTTGGGCACTTAGTCGTTACTAAGATGAGATGATTTCATCAATTGTTTGAAACTTTGTTGCGAACTACGGCCCATCTGTGTTTAGTTAATGGAAGAAAGGTTCAAGGTCATTTGATGCCGGGACCGTCCTTGTTGCAAAGACACGACTGTCTACAAGTCCACCCCTAGTCCGGAGATGTAGGTTGTAGCAGTAGGCCACAGTCAATCTTACCTATTCTGGTCGTGCCTTAGGAATGTGTCTGGCACAAACGCGTCAATCAACTGCCAGATCTGCAGCGAGCCTATTTTAGCGCAATGGTCTTAGATCTTGATGGCCTCTTTCTGTTGGTCGGCAGCCGTGCAACAGATCCAGTCGCCCTAGGCGATAAGTAGCTCTCAAGAGGGAGATCCTGTCTATAACAAAACGGCCGTTTGACGACCGGACCCCACGCAGCTGTTTATGCTACTTTTCGAATGGGTAGTTCACTGGTGAACCCTTTCTGTGACGGCTTCTCCATGGCATTAGATGCAGGCTGTCCACCGGCACATGCACTGAGACAACCGGGTGTCGAGCCTCCTCGCTAGCATGGAGCGTGCGGTACGGCGCGCTCTCGAGACATCAGTCAATATCGAGAACCCCTTGCTGTCAATGTTCTATTTTTCGAGTCCTCTAGTGTATGGGACGTACCTGTGGATTCGCGCAGACCTCAATACTGAGCTGAATGTCATCATAGATTCGTTCAAAAGGCTCACTTACCCCAGGGAGGATTCAAGTGCGGTAGCAATCGGAATTCACCATACCTTTAACCACAAAGATTCAAGATTCCAGTCACGATGTATTCCGTCATAAAACAGCAGGTGTTGGGACGGAATTCCAACTGTACTCATCATAGCCACGGTTAGTTGCAACAAGAAGGGACATTAATGCTGTCATTCTGATACAACACGGCAATTCCTTCTTAGTGAATGAGGAAAACTTACTATCTTTGGTGGAAGCATTCTCATAGTCTTAGTCGGAGGATGGTGCTAGAACCTCAGCGACAAATCACTATTGTTCTCTTTGACAGTCTCGGAATTTGAAAGACGAAACGTATGAAATTGAGAGATGTTGTAAGTAGTGGCGCGTACCTACCCACCCATCTGTTCTCAAGTTCCGAGAACTAGCCCTTTCCAAGTAGGCTGTCTTCAAACCAACCCAAAATTGCCAACGACTAATTTATAGAAGACACCCGAGATCATTGAAAGTGAGATTCGAGAACCCCAAGAACAGCCAACTTTATAGGATTCCCTAGCGGCTATGGTCGGGTGCGGCTGGGAAAAGTAGAGAGAAATTGTTGTCATTCGACTTATTTCGGAACACACGGCCCTGCTTCTTGTCATTAAAAATTAATATCCTGGAAAGGTATCGTTGGTATGGCATGTTACTTCATGACTACTTCAACACCTAGTTGGGACTAACCCGTACCATGAGAAACTCTGAGACACAAGAAACCCGCATCTGGCTCTATCCATGACAAGCAACACGGTTCCTCTCTGCCATGACGCCTTGGTCGCAGTGTAAAAGCACGAGGGAGGAATGGGAATTTAACGCACCTACACAAGAGGGCTCTATCAGTGTTTCCAGCGCAGGAATCAAACTCTGGAGTCAGAGCTGTAAGTTCCAAAGCTATTATACCACAGATGTCCCCGTAAAAAGGTGACGTGAGAGCTAGGGTAGTTATATGTAGAATTTTGGCTTATCAACAGCAGGTTTCTTTCATCATATACCCCGTCATGGACCAAGGTCTTGTTCAAATGGTCTGCAACCATTTGCTGGTGTCTACTAGACCTGTGTATGAGCAGCGAAGGATGCACTTTGCCCCGTGGCGTCGCGCCACACCGCCGCGAAACGAACCCACTAGCTGTCATTCCGAATTTTTACATCATGGCTTGCTTTGACAGTGTCGATCATTTGGTTATTCCATCTGTCGGACCAGGTCCTTATAAAGCGGGAGATGCTTAGCTTGGCAAGCTTGGAACCACAAAAGTCGCGACAGAGTGGGGTTGCACAAAACTGACGAATGCTAATGTCTCTACGTGCGATGTATGGCATGGTAACGCTCGTGTCAGTAATAGCTAACCACCTCCGTTGTCTATTCAACGGTCAATGGAAACCCTCAATAAGTCCCGCTGTCATGGAATGCATCGATTGGACAACCAAGACACTAATTCGTTCTGGAAACATGATTACAGTTGAATATGGATGGATCTTGGGCCGACTTTCATTCAATGAGGCAGGCGTTTGAAGACGGGTAGTGGAGACAAGAAACCTGGGCCCATCAGACTAACAGCGCTCATCAAAGAAGAGAAACCGTAATCTTGGCTGGCCACGACCCAGGCAATCGGTCGCCGGATCCGGAAGGAAAGGGTTCTGTAGTGAACGCGATCACTGAGACATTTGGACGAACGCGTGCTGGGAGGACTGTTAGCAGCGTTTGTAGCATGCCTGGGTAAAAAAGGTGGCGTACTCTTATGTGGCTTGTTTCCCTTGAATTTGAAATCTCTGTCTTTTTTCTTGGCTCTTATCATTGACTCGTGTCGTAGTTGACTGCCTTACAGCTGTGAGGTTTTGATCGATTCTTCTACCAAGACCGAGACTCCTTGAAAGATAGGCTTGAAATCACTACCTTTACATGACTCCCGTTAGTCCTCCCTTGCCACGACGCGACGCGAGCCGGTAAATTATTTTCAATTGCGAGACGCTTGTTGACCGAAAAACGGTGAAAAGATCGATGCGTTGATAGACGAGGCGATCATTCCCGATGCTGATCTGGCCCATCCTAGAGAGGGCAGGCATGAATTCTTCCCCCGATGGCACCGGTGAACGGGTTGGCACGGCCGAGG